ATCTCTTCCTGGAGCTGGGGGTTTCGTGCCACAAATGAGGGCAGCCGGGACATGTGATTTTCAAGGTATCTGCCCACATCATCCGGGCTGGCACGAATATCTATTGATATTGCATTTTGTTTTTCAAAGATGGAAACAATGTCCGGAATGTAGCGGGAAGTTGCGAAGAAACTAGTACTCGCATCGCAGCTGTTCTGAAGACTGAAAACCTGGGAGAGCAGTCCGTGTAAAGATTCACTCGGACATTCATCAAGCGCATCGATGACAATAAATATTCTAAAGAAGCTTGCGGTGGTAGGTAGTAAGGCACTTCAAATAGCCTTGAGTCTTGGACGCCCGCCTCTCCGTTTGTGCTCGTCATAGAGTGCCTCCACTATGGTACCGACAGAAGATTGTTGCTGGACTAACTGCCGGAGTATGCTTTCCAACAAATGTTCGAGCTTCTGCTCACAGCTTTGCCCGAAATTGCAGTATAAGTACGCGACAGCAACATTTTGGTCGCTTGTAAACTTCTGCTCCAGGTGATCAACCAGTATTGAGGTAAGAATAGTCTTTCCAGCTCCTGGAATACCTGGGCAGAATAAGGTCTTCTTTTCGCCATGAAGCCAATCCTGGAACTCATTGCTTTGCAGAAACCATAGACCTGTCCCATCTTGCCGGCGATGCAAGAAATCAAATTGCTGCTGAGAATGTAAATCACCAACTGGACTTAACCAGTTGAGGATCTCTTGACGCTTTTGGTCTTCTTGGTGGAGATTCAGACGGTCCACACCGTCTTTGATTGCTATGGTCAAGGTGCTGTCTCCATGTAAGCGATCACGTATTTATCTTGCCCAGCAGCAAGTTGAAAGCCGAAACATTTGCAGCCACCCGTTGTCGATAGTCATTTATTTCTCCGTGGTCCCATGTGGCTCTTTTCCAAACACGACGTGCTTTGCCTCTCACACCGACAGCCCTCGTATCTAGCTCCTGGTATCTATCCAAGGCGCTCTTGAGGTCTGAAAGTACGTGGAAGCATCCCTGGCTGATGATCTTTATCTCTTTGTGCTGGTGATCAGTGAGGCCTTGTTCCGACTCAAGATCATCAATATCTTGCAAGATAATGCCAAAGCTTCTGACCTCTTCGGACACTGCCCTGAAATCATCAGGGGCAACAACCAGCCGCTTCCTGATCTCATTTGAGAGTCTGAGAACTGCCAAGAAGTCCCCAACGCCGAAGCCAAAGCTCATGCAGCCATGCTTGTTGCAAAATAATTATGGCACGTCTACGCGACTAAAAATATATGCAAAATCGTCAATTATTCTTTATAAATGTGCCTGCGGTGCTTTTGTCGGGTAGGTAGTTCGTACAAGGCTGGGCTAGCAAAAGCCCCGCATCGCAAGGTTGCTTGCCTGACATTCATTCCCGCCCAATCTTGGTTTGTATTTGTTGATCAAACCCAAGGCTGCGCAATCTTTCGAGGTGTATGTCGGAGGTGACATTGGAAAAAGCAAGTGCAGTACATATATGTGCAGGGGATTTTCAGGAAAGGGTACATATTACTGTATTATTATGCATATGCTCCATCCGTATTAATCGGGCCAACATTGTAGGCTTCACCGGAGCCAGCTAGCAGACTAGGCAGTGTTAAGCTTGTACTTATGTATCTATTGGTGAACCTGGCTTACTGGAAGTCCCTCAAAACTTGGTTGGTTTATGTACATGCAGTGTTATCGCTAGACCAAGACGCCACTCAACCTTTTCGCGCGTCAATACTGAAGAAAACTCCTTCAAGTTTTTACATATCGCCAGTCACCACAACCGTCTCTTTAGACCTCACTCGTTGCTTCTGTACAGCATGATCTGAAGATTTGGTGTACACGCCTGTGGAAGGGGAAGGGGTATCAGCGGGGTGTTCATTAATTCTGCTCGCTTTACGCGTCTCCAAGCCGGGGTTTCCCAATCCGGTGTTTCCGGACGCAGATGATGCTGACCGGTCTTGTACTTTGGCCGACTGTCTCGGACTAGCAACGTGGTTTATCGGCTGCGATATCTTCTTGTGGCCTTCCAAGTTGGCGAAGGTCATCTTCGGCACAGCACTTGCAAACTCACCCGGTACCGTACTCCACGCCCTACCAAGTCCCTTCATGAATGTTTGCCAAAAAACATCCATCATTCGCTAAACACCGTGGAGTCCAGATGTAGCAGATGTGACATTAAAGGGATCAGGGAATGGTGGTGGGGCGAAAAAGTGGGAATAGAGAATCAAGCGCATTGATGTTCAGCAGCGCCACTTTCGGCGCCACTTTCGGTGACCCCGAGCAGCGGGCAGGCGAAGAAAGGTCGTGGGAGAAGAGAAGATGAAGGGATAGAGGACTTTACTAGGCACGAAGATAAAATGAATACACAATGAATTGATATATAGATTGCCTCGGACTAGCTTGGTTTTAAGAAGCATGCAGTCCTTATAAAAATAGCATCATATTTATATTCTTCCTGTAGACGCCGAATGTCTAATTCTCCGACTTTAATCTTCAGGCTTTGAATATTAGTTAGTATGGCCCAATACCATCCCACAGATAGCTGGGATTACTTACAACCCATTCAAGGTTCCCATTATTGTTCGTAATATGGAGGTCTAAGTTGATTTTCCGGCGCTGGCGCTGGCTTCCATCGAAGTTGGACAACTCGGCAACCAACCAAGTGACACTTTCGGGATCACACGGGTCTCTGGGTTCCAGCTTGATGTGCTTGGCAGATTGACTGAATCCGTTGACCTTGCGGCTGAACCAGCCTGATGTATAATTAGCGATATCCATTTGGGAAGTTGAGAGACGATATCTAGGGATAGGATAGCTTACCATCATCATTGCCAATGGCTTCATCTAGGTCGATGAAGGTATGACTGTAGTTACGAACATTGTTCCTAACGTGGGCGCAGAGAGTGGTTGAGCCGCCTGAGAAGACAATGTACATGTTTTCAGAAGTCTTGGAGAAGGACATTTTGGTTGATTTGGAGGGAAACTGGAAATAAGGAGACTTGAGTGAGTTGGATGAGACCATGATCAAAGGGAAGTTTCAATGTTCATATAACATTTACGCCTCCCACGCTGTCGTCAGCTGCGCATTGCAGAGGGCCCACAAGTGTTATAAGTGGAATTGATAAACCATTTCAGCTGACCATTTCAGCTGAGTTATAGTGTCATTGGAGATTATAATGAGGCCACTCATTTCGATTCTCGATGCAGAGACCCGCTGCGGCTGAGGATTTGTACAATTGTCAAACGCCATAATATTGCAGGAGAAGAGTGTCAAGTGGCTGCCTGAGTGATGAGGGGTATTGCAGGTTGGCGTTTTTGGATGAGGTTGAGTACCAGATGGCATTGAACTGCTTTTGAGCAAATTGTTGTTGGAGCATGGTTGTTAGGGGCCAGGCCCGGGATGTTAATTACTACAATAGTATCGTCGATGCCGTTCCTTGCCATAGCCTGATCCACATTAGTCTAAGAGAAACACCCCTGTCCTTCTCGGTCAGTCGCCTGTGATGTCCTCAAGTCCTCGCAGATTTACCGTTACATATGTCAGGTTCAGGTCCTGGGTGATACACCATTTGGATATCTGTGGATTTTGTAGAAGCTGCGGAGCTTCTTGGGGGATGATCATGAGTTGACTGAGCAATGACCGCTGCCAGAGTATATGAACAAAAAGCCACGATGAAAAGCATAGACATTATTACTCGAGAATCATATAGATGTTTGCAAGAGAAATCTATATACTATGACACCAGTCTTGGCATGTTTGTCCCAAACCCACCCTTTGAATAACTTCAGCCAACCTCCACAAAACTCCCCAATTGACACACCCAAACGAAATCAGACACATAATGACACCCCTCCGACGAGCAGCACAAACAACTCGCACCCTAACCTCCTTCCTCCGAACCACAACCCCCCACCGCCTCCATTCCACCGGAACCGCACCCTCCTCCGTCTCCGCCGATGAACTCTCCCATTTCTCCGCGCTCGCCAGCAGCTGGTGGGATCCAATGGGTCCCTCGCGGGTCCTGCATTTGATGAATCCGCTTCGCCATGAATTTATCGCTTCTTGTTTAGCTGAAGGGCCGCCGATGCATGATCAACAGCAGCAACCGGGGCAATTGCAGGGACAAGAGCAGGCAAACCTGCATTATCTAGACGTAGGCTGCGGGGGAGGAATTTTCGCAGAATCGCTCGCACGAACGATCCCGTCTAAGGAAAATAAAACGGTAACGCCTACCCGCACTGCTTCGATCACAGCACTCGACCCTTCCTCCACACTTATCCAAATCGCCCGCGAACACGCCCGCATTGATCCTACGGTCGACACACATCTCCGCACTGGCTGGTTTAGTTACCAGAACCGGACACTAGAAGACCTCATCGAATCGTCCTCTGACAGCAGTGAAAAGAAACAATTCGACATCGTCACCCTCTTCGAAGTCCTCGAGCACATTGACCCATCTACCTCCTCGCCTCTCGCTTTCCTTACAAATTGTCTGCGTCTCGTGAAGCCCGGCGGGTGGCTTGTTGGGTCGACAATCGCGCGCTCGTTTCCGTCGTTCCTAGTAAACCAGGTCATCGCTGAAGCGCCGTGGCCGATTGGTGTTGTACCGAGGGGAACGCACGAGTGGAGCAAGTTTGTGAATCCTGATGAGGTGAAGGCGTGGGTGCAGGAGGGGTTGATGAGGGGGAGAGACGGGACTGCTGAGAAGGCTGGGAGCGAGGCGTTGCAGGGGTCGATGTGGAAGTGTGAGGGTGTGATGTATTTCCCGGGGTTAGGGTGGGAGATTGTGAAGGGGTCTGAGGATTGGGGGAATTACTTCTGGGCTGTTAGGAAAGGTGTTTGATATGGTTTTCATGGGTGTATACTAGGCATGTAACGTATGTACGATAGAAAAGAGAAGCGTGCTTTTATTACCAGTGATTTTTGTAGCACTCCAGGCGCCGCCTGGACTTTATTATAACAGTCATGTCATGAATCATCACCCACGCCCCTTCCCCTTCCCTTTCTTCTTCTTACCCTTCACCTCAGGCTCCGGAACACTAACAGTCCCCTGCTGCACATCCTCCCCCTGATCCATCAACCGCTGCGACCCACTAATAAAAAATGTAAGATCCCGATTCTGCTCACTCAAATCCGTATTCGTCTCTTTAAGCCCCTCCATCTCCGTCGACAGGAACTCAATCCTCTTCAGAAGACTCTCATTCATCGTCTTCTCCTCGCGCCACTCCTTCTCCAGCTTCCGTGCCATGCCCTCGAACTTTTCAGCTCGTTTCTCGGCACGGGATTTATCGCGCTCAATACCGGGAAGTGTCTCGTGATTTAGCTTGTCGTGTTGGGATTGGAGGTTTGTGAGGGCTAAGGTGGCTTTTTCGGCGGCTTCTTGAGCCGACGAGGCTGCGGCGGATGCTTGGGATGCTTTGTCTGCGGCTCGTTCGACGACTTCTTCGAAATAGGCGCGTTGGCTTTCGAGTTGAGAGGTTAGGAGGTGTGTGTATTCGACGGACATGTTTTCAAGTTTCTCGCGGGGTACGGCGTCGGTCCAGTCTGGTGGGTCAAGGGCACTGTTATCTGCTGCTGGTAGTTCCACGAGTTTGCCATCGCCTTTGTTTTGGATGATGCGGTGGACATAGGCGTCTCCGACGTAGTCCCAGACACGTTGTGTGGAAAGGTCCATTGAAAAGGCATGCGTACTTTCTTTGAAGTGTTCGTAGGCGTGTGCGCCGTCGTAACGACCGCAGCCAACCGTTCCGCAGACCAGACAGATCCAGAGGTTGATATCTGAGTGACATACGTGACATTCAGCTGGATCGTCTTCGAGGGATAGACTCTGGCTGTTTCTGCGGAAGTCATCCTGTGTGTAGCGGCATACCGGGCAGCCGCTGCCTTTCCATTTCTGTAGACATGTACAATGGAAGACGTGTTGGCAGATGATGGTCAGTAAACCGGTGGTCTCGTCCATGCGTTCGAGACAGACTGGACAGGTCGGTAACTCTATGAGCGAAGGTGTTCGCGGTGCGAGAGGTTTGGTAGATAGAGTTGCAGAGGGTATAGGGTTCGATTGGTTTTGAGAAGAGACACTTCCTCTCTTGGGACTATTTGTGGCAAGGGTGTTTTGGAATGAGCTGCCAATCCCTGACGGCGTACCAGGTTCTACGGCCTGAATCTCAACCGTATTCACGAATACAACATGGCAAGTTTCGGGCTAGACAGTTAGCATGGCTTGACAGAAAAGAGAGGACGGAACTCACCTCCATACTATTAAAAACCTTCCCATTCCACACCTTCTGCCACTCCTTGGCTTTCTTCCCACTTCGGAACTTCATCAAAACCATATACCGATTCGCCCTCGCCGTCCTAATCATTCGAAAATGACTAACGTCATCCATAGTCGTCTCCCCCACAAACCCCAGAAAATCCGACGGCGACAAATACGACGGCACAGCCAATATACACAACGTCGTGCACTCCTCATCCGGCGAATCCCCCTCCACACGAGTCTCTCCATAATATCCAACCTGATCCCCCGGCTGCCTCGCCACAGCCGACGACCCCTTCAACTCCGACGGATAGTCATCATCAATCAAATACGGAGTCTCCTGCGCATCTCGATACAAATGCACTATACCCCAGACACTATCCGTCGTTTCCTGGTCAAGTGGTATGTACCGCCCCTTCGTCCGGAGTCCACCAAGGATATCCGTCCCGATGCCCGTGGTGACGGGGTTATCCGTGAAATGGACCTTCCGTTTCGAAGAGGGCGTTGTTGTGGGGTCTTCTCTCTCGGATAGAGATACCATGTCAATGCACTCGATGGAGACTTTGTCCAGTCGCTGGTCGTGTTGGATATCGGTAGCGCTGCTATGCGATTTTGTGTAAGGATGAGAGGTAGTGGTATTATTACTGGTCGTAGGGATGGCGTTATCGACGACGCGGGTATTGCTAACTGAGCTCGACGATGATCTGATAGGTAGATTCGGAGAGGGGGGACATTTGCTCTTATCGCTGGGAGAAGCGCGTGAGCGTCGACTTGAGTGCCGGATTGGCCTCTGGAACGGGCGTAGAGCTTCGCATGCGGAGTCAAACGATAGTGAGGTCGACTGATCGTACACACAGGAAGCAACTCCAAGGTCAGTGAGAGGACGTGCGAATAATTCAATCGCGAGATGATAAAAGTATGAGGGCATCCCGACCAAGGCTCACATCCTGAAGCTCTGCAATGATTACTCTGAATCTTTGAGCGGCTCAGAAAACGGCTAACTGCAACGATTAGTTATGCTTAGATGATCCCTTAGTCAGCTGCCTTATGGGGAATGCGACGTGGCAAACAACGCTACAGTAAGGTGGATAGGGTGGATAATACGGGTACCTACTGTCAGAAAATGATAAAGAAATGTCAAGAGATTACCCATGTCTGGGCTCAATTCCAAGAATAAACTATATAAGCACCATGTCTATGGCGAATAGAAGAGAAAGGTATGCCCGTTAAGCCGTGTCAAAAGAAAGAGCCATGTAATAAAGGAAAGCCATCCAAACGCCATGCAGGTCATTCAACCCATAAGACGAGTCATTAGAACAAGTACAAAGGAAAGGGAATCTAGAACAAATGGTCGTCGATCATTTAGTTTCCACCACGGAGACGCAGGACCAGGTGCAGCGTGCTCTCCTTCTGGATGTTGTAGTCCGACAGGGTGCGACCGTCCTCAAGCTGCTTTCCGGCGAAAATGAGACGCTGCTGGTCCGGTGGGATGCCCTCCTTGTCCTGAATCTTGCTCTTCACGTTGTCGATTGTGTCGGAGCTTTCGACTTCCAATGTGATTGTCTTTCCAGTGAGGGTCTTGACGAAGATCTGCATACCACCACGGAGACGAAGGACAAGGTGAAGAGTGGATTCTTTTTGAATGTTGTAGTCCGACAGGGTGCGACCATCCTCAAGCTGCTTTCCGGCGAAAATGAGACGCTGTTGGTCGGGAGGAATCCCTTCCTTGTCTTGGATCTTTGACTTGACGTTGTCGATCGTGTCGGACGACTCGACTTCCAGAGTGATAGTCTTTCCGGTCAGGGTCTTGACGAAAATCTGCATACCACCACGCAGACGCAGCACCAAGTGCAAGGTAGACTCCTTCTGGATGTTGTAGTCGGACAGCGTACGGCCATCCTCAAGCTGCTTGCCAGCGAAGATCAAACGCTGTTGGTCGGGAGGGATGCCCTCCTTATCCTGGATCTTCGACTTGACATTATCGATGGTGTCGCTGGACTCAACCTCGAGGGTGATAGTCTTTCCAGTAAGGGTCTTGACGACTAGAAAGCAAAGTTAGCAATGAGTCATAATCAAGATATAGTTGCCTGAGGACTTACAAATCTGCATGCCACCACGGAGACGGAGAACCAGGTGAAGGGTAGACTCCTTCTGGATGTTGTAGTCGGAAAGGGTACGGCCGTCCTCGAGTTGCTTTCCGGCGAAGATCAGACGCTGCTGGTCAGGTGGGATTCCCTCCTTGTCTTGGATCTTGCTCTTGACGTTGTCGATGGTGTCGCTCGACTCGACCTCAAGGGTGATAGTCTTGCCGGTAACTATAGCGCGAGACCGTTAGCGAAAAGTTCAAGTGGCGGTGGCGTTGTACCACCAGAGAAAGGATGGAAGGGAAAGGGATAACTCACGAGTCTTAACGAAGATCTGCATATTGACGGCGAAAGGAAGAGAAACCGGTTACGCAGTAGTTGGAGATGATGACAGTTACTTTGGTTATTCAAAGTGACAGATGGTAGGAAGAGGTAAGAGTGGGAAAGAAAGAAGACAAACGGTAGAAGGAAGAGAAGAAAAAGAGAAGATCAACGTGGCAGACGGGCGAGCTTTAAGTAGTGAGGGGAAGAAAGGACAGAGAGCGAGAAAGAGGCGGAGGCGAAGCGCCTTAGTCAGAGAGTCCAACGAACGAGAGCGACGGCGCCTGTCGTCACGGGGGCGGATAACGTGATGCAAGCGCTATTTTCCCCGAATAGGAAGGCAGAATGACTGGGGGAATCTGCTAGAAAGGTCCTGGTCGATGACTCAGGCAAGCAAAACTCAAGTCCATGACCGCGAATGATATACAAGTATGCGCTGGTGATTACTGGATTCTACCAGTTTTCTCTGCTACCAGGCCGTCTTCGTGCCTGTGCTATTCTTATGTTGATTCACCGCCACTGCCAAATGACGCCACCAACCGTATCTCATACCGACGGGGACGGCCGGGTACCATTCGCGTGTCTGGTTATGGTAACTCTGTTTCCCCTGAGAAGACAGGACACCTTCTACGCCTTCTACACCTTCTTCTTCACTTCCACTACTCCGTATTCACTACTGATTTTGTCTTATATCTACAAGTACCTTGTAGGCTCCTTATCATGATGCTTCAACCGACCGATGACGTGTGGTGCCTTATCACTGCTCCATCGTCGGCTAAGAGCGGGTCAGGTGATCGTCGCATCCGGCGCTTTTCTGGGGTCATTCCGGAAGGCGGTAAGTGTACAAGACCGGGGTAGGAGCAAACAAACAGTTTTTATGGACCTACATAACTTTAGACGCCTTGAACCTTTACATGTCGTCTGCTTGCAGACAGCTATCATGCCCATAACGCGTCTCTTCGCGAAGAGATCAACTGTTCCGCCCGGATAGAGCGGGGCAACATTCTCCACCGGCCAAGGTACTCTTGATAAGCGAAGGAAATCCTTATCGCGTACTAAAAGCCGTTAGATAAAAGCTGTCAGAAACTACTTTACAAAAACTCCGGCATAAGGCTCGACATGACAAGACAGAATGGATTGCACTGGGATATCAACCGGCTTTCCAGGATTAGCGCCAAATAGGGAACTGGATGAAACATTTCGAAGAGCCGCATCGTAGCCCGAATTATCGATGATGCTTCTTATTCTTCATCCTCGCCGTCATCGCCAACCCCAGGGAGTTCGAGGTCCCCCGGGTCCTCATCGACATCGTCTTCATCATCGTTGGCACCGCTGTTTCCTCCCAGAAGATCCTATAATGATTGACGGAAATGACTTAGCAACCTAATATGGAATGATTATATGTGATGACCAAATTCTAGACGATACTTACCGAGGTTGCTTGCTGTGTTCCATTGTTAGCTTGTCATTGCGATATAGTACCAATTAGAATCTTTACGGAATACTTACCCTATTCACAAGGCCACCCACAAGAACTCGATGGTAGTTTGTGGTCTGTATCTCTTGCTCAAAAGCCGAACTCACTTGCTGCCCATTTAGGGCAGGTTAGGCATAAGCCAGAGGAAGAAGTGCTGAAAGGATAAAGAAGAGCTGCATGTTGTAATGAAGAAATTTCTGGGATTGGATCAAGTATGAAATCCAGAGTAAAATGTTATTCAGTTCAATGGGAAAGGGTAATCGGGATGCTTATGTAGCTTACGATACTTCTGCATTCGGCAGCTTTCTGAGTGGATGATGTTTACTATGATGTATACTCAGCGCTTCTTGCAAGAATATTGATTAGTTAAGGCTTCTGACGTACTTGAGCAAATTGATGCGGCTATTTACTCACTGGGGGGGGGGGGGGTTATAGTCATGAAGCTAACAACTGCAACTCTATTCTGATTTCCTTATAACTACACCCATCGTGATCTCTAGCTGATCCCATACTAAGGCTGTATCTGCATCCGCGTTGTACTCTGATCCCATCTCCTAACCAAACGCTACCGTCATTAATATTGTCTTGGGTACTATCATTGCTGCTCTCCATGCCGTTGACCTGGTTGTTGCTCTGAGGACCAGTACTTGAGTCATTGTCACTGTTGCTGCTGCTCTGGTCCTCGCCCTATTCATAGTTACCACTGCTCTTGCTTCCTAACAAACCCTATATTTATCAAAGGAAATTATGATTTAACAACCCAGTAATTCCATATCATACAGAGGTTATATTGGACTTCCGGACACTGTACTTAAATCCACAACGCCATGTATCTCCATGTTAGTCTGAGCAGTGATAGTATACTCGCCGGGGTGGATTTTTACCTCCAAATTGCTCACAAGGCCAGGAAGGAGAGCTCGATGGTGGTTGATAGCTTGTATACCTCGTGCATTAACACTGGAGTATTTCCGCTCCAGCTCATTGCAGCACTTCGGAACGGGGACCACATAAGTCATTGGGAGAAGAGCAAAAAGGACAAACGAAATCTGCATACTGGAATAATAGTGAAAACTCGGCGTACAGGACTTGATAATTATTGATACCGGGTAGATGAGAATAGGGGATTGAAAGTGCTTATATATCTCGTACATGAAGCAAGGGCTGCATTGTAGATACGATAGAATTACTTTACATACAAGTAGGACTGCATGTCCTTAGTGTTCAGACTATTAATTTGATATGTGATGCTTCTAGTGCATAACACGGTCTTCAGTACTAATCTATGAGACCTTATTGGACACTGTTTATCAATTTGCCAGACAAATGTTTCATTACTAGCGCTATGATCACCTTTACCGTATCAAGGACCTTGCATTTGAAGAATCATTTGCGGGAGTAGAGTCGTGTGGATACTTCGTACAGTCTTTCAGCGCTGACCTCTTCTCGTGCAGATGTGACGCATGGTCTGATGGCAGTCCTGCTTTGAATGGACGACAAGTAGACTAGAAGTTCAATGATGTTATGCTTACTTAAAATTGTATCGACATGACCTCAACTTTCCGTACCTCAAGGCGAGGGACACTCCTCGAGCATGTGGTAACCAGGTAAGCACCCCCTATATGATTATATACAAGAAATATAGATATGATCACAACGGAATTTTCTTCACATAACCTGATTTATACCAGCATTATCATCGCCGTCCTCATTCTCGCCCTCATCATCATCATCGTCCTCGTCGCTATCATCACTACCGGCCTCGTTTCCTACCAGCACGGCCTATATTGATTAGGAGAAAATTTAGCAGCCCAATCGTCCAGGAAACACGACAGCACTTACCGAAGATTCTTGCTATATTCTATCATTAGTTTGTAGTTGTGACATAGTAACAGTTAGGTAGCTAAGCACTTACTGCCAATCCACCAGTAATGCTGATAATAAGAGATCGACGGTCGTTAATGCTCGGTATAGCACTGGGCCCTTCTGCTCCTACGAATTGTGTACAGAATCAATGCTATTAAGATTTTATTCAACATTTACGATGGACGAAGCACCATAAAGATATCGGAAAGCTGCATTATATTGATGGGGACCTGATATCTGGACATGGAAGATTGGTATATCACGGAGTAAGTTGGTTAAGAAACTGAGTGCGGAAGACTGGAGATACTAATATAGCTTGCCATGCTGTATTCAGTACATGTGTATAGAGTTTAGACATTGATGTGACATATGTAATGGATTTTGTGTCGAACGAGTTCAGCTGTAGCTGAAGAACCCGAATTACTCTGCAGACCACACACAGACAGTGAGCAACACTGTACGGAGTACAGGGTAATATGTAAATATTATTTTGCAATCCAGCCAAATACTGAAAAATAGGCCATTGTGATAATGTGAATTATCCCCAGCGGTGTGCTGCTACGTTGCTTCTAGTAGGGACCAACCAGGGAAGCTAGATGAGAACACGATCAATCAAGAACAGAGATCATCAGTTCGAAAGGTATATTAAGTGATATAATCTAACCACATTCAAATTAATTAAGGACCCCATCTGTGCCATAGCGTATCAAAATCAGATCTCAGGGTAACATATTACTAAGGAGTGTCCCAAGACTGGCTTGCTACCCAGAAGCCAAATATAAAAATCCGCAGTATAACCCCGATCCCACTTTCTAGCTAACGATGTCTTAGTTGTTATCCACTTGATCCTCGCCACCGTCCTGGCGATTGTAGTCCCCATAATTGCCGATGAAATTAGTCTGGTCGATGTCAACAGCGATATCTCCTGATTCTTGTCCCAGCAGACCCTATATTCACCAACGAAATGTGATTAGCAATTATCCCCATCATCCACAATAAAACAAGCCCTAACCAGTACTACTCACCTGAATGGATTGCTATATTTCTACGTCAGCCTATGCCCAACATCAAAATAGATTTCAAGCCTTGCTAACTTACCCCCAATCCACTAAGAGCATCATCAAGATCTCGACGGCGGTTGTCGGTGAAGCATTTTTCCAGCTCCTTGCGTATCGCAGGCTGGGCGACCATGAGCTCTCCGAGTTTCTTCACTCCATGCTCGGTCATGTTGGTTCGGTCGATGTCGGCGAGGGCAGTGAGGGTTTCGTCGAGTTGTTGGAGCTCGAGGCAACGGGATGGGATGGGGCTGGCGTAGGCCAGGGGGAGGAGGGTTAAGAAGATGGAGAGGAAATGCATATTGAAATGGTGAAATTGAAATGAGAGACTTGATAGTTGGATGGATTGAGTAGATGTGATGGTTTGAGTTGATGAGAGGGAAATGACCTGGGAAGTCGGGATGCTTATATAGCTTTTTTCAGGAAATTAGAAACTGGGATGTGATTAGTAGGTGTCCAGCGCAGGTCGTACTAGATCCAATATTCAATTACCCTGAACTCATCTTTCTACCCTATATAGTGACGATCATCTTTTTTTTTTTTTTTTTTTTTTTTATCGGGTACCAGCAATATGGCGCCACCATCGGATCGTGGCACCCAGGGTGTTTATGCTACCTTGATGGATACATATAGCCGAAGAAACTGCATATTTTATACGGAGTACTCTACTCCAAACTCGCGTTGAAGGATTAATCAAGTGAAGTGGTACAGCAACAACTCTGGGTTGGCACAATCAAACGCATCAACAAGGTCACACAAGCTGCAGGGGCAATGCAGGCATGGCCCCTGTAGAGCTCTTTATCTATACGGAGTAGTCTACGTGATTCTGGCTCGAGTAAAGCTACTGCATTTGGCTAGTTGCCAGAATCGAAGCTTCCCCCCCCCCGGTCATTCGATACTATGAGAGCTTCGTGACGGTCAACCATTTGCCGGTGTCACTGGCACCCGAGACCCGTGTTACACTATGCATTCCACTCAATCAAATGTTCCTGCATATGTGGAAGAGAGATAAGCTATGGAAAGCGTTATACTTTATAATATTCATAGATACATTAGCGTTCATAAGCATGAGGGTATTCTATAAGTGTCGTTATACAAATTCGAGTAGTACAGAATGCATATAGTCGTACCGAGACTCTTCAGATTTTTCAAATAGTGTGCGTCCTTTCTATAAATCGAGTCCCAATATGTTTCATAACAGTACTTCTTTGTGCATTACGCGGTTAGTAGCTACATTGTTATCTTTGAACATCCGAGTCTATAGTAACAGATCTAGCATATACGATTTCCCTTAGGGCTGCTGACACAACACACGCCCAATCCAAGCCACCCCTCGTACTATTGACATACTCGCTATCCTCGCTTATCTCAAAAACAACACCACTCTAAACCTATCCAAAGCACAACATCCACTAGAGCCGTTACCAATCACAGGGAGGCAAAAAAAGCACATCCCGAATATACCGAATCCCGAGTTAACTCCAGAAATTCTTCAGCTCTATCCACCACCAATTCCACCCGCATCTCCGTCTACCCCCTATATCCATACCCACTCCTGTATTCCGTGCTCCGTACAAGTTGTACAGTACGGACAACTCCGCAGCGTACTCCGTAGACACCCCACAAGCACGACCCATATTACAATACAAACCAACACCCCCCACGCACGCCACCGGACCCGACCCAACCGAACCAAAGAAAAAAAGAAAAACAAAAAGAAGCGAACCCTGGAAAAAGAAATACAAACGGCCCAGTGGGTCGGGTTCGGTCCGGTTCGGTCCTCTTACGGAGTACAACCTACTTGACTGACTCCGTACAAACCCAGATTCACCACCCTATTCAACTATACACAGTAGTAGTATGTATGTGGCCACCCTGTAAGATACTGCGTGCCCCGTACAAATACTCTATTTCCTCACCTGGAAGCGGACACAGTACTGCAAACAGACTAGAACACCATGTGGAAATCCAATAGTCGGAACCACTTCCCTGCCAAACGTGGTTCAGATAAAATAGCGGTCTGTGCAGGATACATCTGCCCTATTCCATATTGGTATAGAGTACAGTAGTAACTCCGTTCTTGTACAGATACGCTCGATATCCGTGCTCTGAAATCTGAAATCGCAAAAGTCTATTTAATAGTACTGTACCTGTACACGTACTCGAGTCAATAAAGTATGGGGCGAAAGGGTGGTTATACATGATACGAGCACAGCTCGTCAGCTTTGGAAAATCCCCGAAATGGCGGTGTTCATTGTTCACTTCCTCTTTCATTTTATAAATAGAGGCAAATCCCTACACTTCACTTACTCGACTCCTGAATCCTGATCCCTGATCAACATCGAATGGATACCAACTGTGGGGATAATAGGCCGTACGGACCATACTGTAAAGACTAAAGACTATATGCAAAACGACTATATTCAGTAGATCAACTAAATGTATGGAAAATAAAGCATAAACCAAACATTGACAACAACTCGGACCATCGCCTCCCTGCTGCCAATCACTTCATCTTCATGTGCGACTTTCATAACTGTACTGGGAAATCATCATAACGTTCGTGATCCTCATCATCGCTATGTAAATACGGAGGCAAAAACGTATACCACTGAGAAGGCAAAGTAATAAAAAAAAAGTAAAAAGAAACAAAATAACAGAGAAAAATAACGAATAAAATAACGAATAACATATAACATCACGATCATCGCTTAAGGCTAGAAACTCGTAAAGAAAGACATTTCCGAAGTAAAAGAAAAAGGAAAGAGCAAGTTTCGTCAAGAAACATCGAGACGGAGGCATGAAGAAAATCGAAAGGAATGATAGCGCTCGCTATGTAACGTCTCATAATCATCAGGAAAATGTCGGCATATCTCATGTAGTTCATCGTAGTAATATCGTGCTTCATGCCGTTGAATCTTTGCAGCCGTTATATATCCGAGAAAAATATAGCACGCGGAAATGAACCTTCAACCTCGAAATCAAACTGGGGTCTTTTTTTTCTGTCGCTTAATTGGCACGGATAACAAGTCGCGAAATGAATTTATTCGATAAGCAGTCAAAGTCACTGCGGTCGAATTTCGAGTTACCAGTCCGGCTCCGGAGGTAATTCTCTGCAAGGTACGTTAGTGACCATCTCACAAAAAACCTCGTGGTGACATTTGCCATACCGTGTTGTGTAACATGTTGTCGGACTTCGGTCATAGTGCTGCACACATCGGGGTTGGATGCCAGCAAGTGGTGGTGTTTCTGTGTCTCCCAGTCCGTGAAAGCGGGCAGTTTCTGCGAGATTGCCTGGAACAACCCCACAATAACACCGACTGGTGTTGTCTCCATGTCATTGCAGAATTTATCCACGGAAGCCGCATCCTAAAACAATTAGTCTCAATTAAAGAGCAGAAAATGAGAGAAAAGCTCACCGGTGTGCGATAATGCGAGTCGAACTGCATTTCTTCCCACACAGCCAAGAGAATGCAGGCCAAGATGAAGATGGTTGGCCAGTTCTTGAGCTTGTCACCACTGTAGACACTCGAGTAGAGAGCAGAAAGCTCCTCCAAGACGTCCTTTTGCAACTCACGCCACATGTTGGCCATAGCGCACTTGATTTGGAAGTTGATCATGACCGGTGCCATGGTCTTGCCGCTGAACTTGGAGGCGCCGTCCCGAATCTTGCCCAGGAAGTCGTCTTCATCACCCAGGCCCTCAACCATAGTGACATTCAAGGTCAGGTTGTAGGCGACGATCAACTTCAGAGCCTTGCGGATAACAGGCAGCTTCGTGCGGTAGTAGTAGCGGAAGGCAGTCTTGAGCATTTGTGTTAAGAACGGTGTGCCCTCGAAATAGTCGTCGACAAACTTCTCAAAGGTGCCGTTTCCATCGATGTGGCGGTCCAGGTAGTCGGACAGCATAGCATGTGAGATGCCCTCCATACCAGCCGACAGCTTGGCCGTCTCCACCTCGTACTGGGTAGGTTCCCGGTTCATTGTCTCAACCCAGTCAATACTGAAACATTGCTCGTCACGCACATAGACCTCTCGAGCGTTGATAGGGAGAATCTGACCATAGCCGTGGGTGATGAAGAGAGTCCGTTCGTGTTCCGAGAATCCCTTGATGTTACCCACGGAGAAGCCCATCGAGATATGGCGTTCGTAGTCCGCTTTCCAGTCCTTCATGAAGTATCCAATCTCCTTGATGTCAATGCGAGTGCAAGGCACTTGCCAGAGACGAGCATGCGAAGGCTGGCAACCAGCACAAGGTTCACCTTTGTCACACTATTCAACCCATTATTAGCTCCAGTAATTTCTCGATACAGTATAGTGAAGGAACTTACCGTCTTCTTCAGGAACTTGCAACGCAAGCATGCCCTCAGCTTCCGGATCTCACTGGCCTGTTTCCTTTGATCCGGCTTGAGAGGGCCCTTGCGCTTACCCACTCGCTTCTCAGTGTCAGGTTTTCCGTTCTGCGACTGTTTGCGAACCTTGGTGTCGTTTGTCTTGGCGGCAATAGGGCTCTTCCGCGACGGTTTCCGGGTGGTCGGAGAGACAGAAGAGGAAGCAGTCGACGAGGTTGACCCCGTAGACCTATGAGACACGGCTGAGCGCGTCGGCGACGTCGATTTCTTGCCTGGTACAGGAATCGGCCGCACAATAGCCACGGGACTAACAGCAGTAGGAGACTGAGAGCCATGCGAGGTGTGGTCGAACGACACGCGACGGTTCACGGGCATGAAGGGGGACTCCAGGTTGGTTTCCGATGTGGGGGAGTTGATGGGGTTCGAGATGTCAACCCAGCTACCGTAGGAGCCCGAGTACGACGACTCAGACAGACTTCTATCATGCAGCGTCTGGTTGGGGTTGATGAACAAACCCTGCTCGGGGAAAGAGAAGTCGATAGGACGACGCTCAATGGTGTTCCAACCATTGTCACTGCTCGAACTGCCCAAAGACCGAACCTCGAGGTATGTATCGGCAGGCGAGCTGCTGTCAATCACGTTGGGCGGTTCTGAGTAAGGGGACATGTCCGGAAGACCGTGAGTCTGAGGAAATGCCATCAGATCAGGCTGAAGGTCCTGGTAAGGGAACATCATATCGACGGGGGCTGATAGGGACAGATAGGAACCGTCCAGCAAACCCGTGCTCATCTGGCCGTGGGGAGCTGCAGGCATCAGGTCCATGGGAGGAGAAGACTGGATGGGCATCCCATAGCTGGCGGCGGTAGTGGTGAACGGAGGAGCGGAGGTAGGGTCATCGTGCTGCGGCGGCGGGGGAGGAGAGTATTGAAGGTGAGAAGGGAATTGCTGGAATTGCCAGTCGACCATCAACGGGTCGTGAGCAGCGATGGTTTGGTCATAGGGGTGACCAGTGGTGGCAGTGGCCTGTAGGGGCGAGATATCGCGTTGTACCCGAGCATGTTGGTGGTGATGGTGGTGGGCGTGGGCGTGGTGCGGATGTTGATGAGCGTGAGCAAGATGATGGTGGTGGTGGTGGTGGTGGTGAGAATGTTGGTCCACGGCCACAGGCCAGGAGTGAGACTGAAGATAACCTCTCGAGTCGTAGTCGAGCCCGATGAAGCCATCACTGGAAATATCAACATTCGACATGGTTCAACACTATGTACGGAGGAGGAATTGCGGCGGTGGTGGTTGATAAAAAAGGCCGGTCAACAAATGAGACACAATTGAGGGTTCAATTCATTCACAAGAAATGAAAAACAGCAGCAAAGTAACAGGGAAGAAAAGAAAAGGCAAAAGGCAAAAAATCAAATCAGCCTTGACACAGGTTGTACAAAAGGAATCTGACTACAGACAACAAAAGAGAAAAGATAAAAAAAATCAACAACGAAAGAGACGCAAAGAAAAGAAAATAATAATCCGGGGATGATAAGAAAAAATAAACCCAGCAGTTTCCAAAAAGAAACCGATAAAAAGAGAAGAAGAGAATTGTCCAGCAAGCGAAGAGAAGTGAAAGATGATACTAAAGAGCGAGAGAAAGCGAGATACATACACTTACAGCCTGTCTCTCTCCACGGTCCAGAGCGGTGGGGAAGAACCGCCGGCAAAACAGCGGTGAGCAGCAGGGCGGGTCACGCTAGGGGATCCCGGCAGTCAGGTTGGTCCTGATTGGTTGGGGGAGTCAATTACCGTAATTGGATTACTGCGATAAAATACAGCCAATGCTAATGCCACGGTGGCGCTGCTGGACCCATGACTATCAGAGTCTATCCATACAGAGTAGGTGGGTGTTTATGCCATCACATTACTTATTATTGTCGGGCTGCTATGGCATGCTTGACTCTGTAACTATTCAGTACTCTGTACCTAACCATAAGTATCAATACCCCTGGTACTGGTACTGATACCAACACTGGTACTCTGTACAGTACCCTGGAACATACCAGCCTGTCATTGGAACATTCTCGGAAAGGAAGATCAGTGGATCTTCAGATCCTCTCTCTGGCCGTGGAAATAATACCGTCAATACGTGGCATCGGACTGACCCCGCGGTGGACCAGCAGTGACCCGTGCTGGTCGATACCATTTATTACCGTATCATCTTACTCAGCCTCGGAAATACTTCGCCCACACACATCCACATCCGCATCGTCACCAGAAAGATACCTAGAATGAGGCTTCAAAATGTACTCTGTACTCTGTACAACTGTGCAAGTACACGCATGTACTCCCGGATCTCTGTACAAATACCTACGCGACCTCGATATTATCAGTGCTCTGACGATTGATGAGATCATATCCCTTGCCCACATCTCAACCGGGACTCAACCCGGTTAGGACCAAGTCAGAATGATAGATCAGGTCATATCATGCATTAACGGCCAATATCGACTGTGCATAGTAATACGACTAAGGAAGGACCTTGAGGGGTCTGCAGATCGAGTCAATTCACCTTTAGCCCTCTTTTTCGTCTACTCTGCCTGCATGAAACATGTCAGTACCGGTTGTTGACTTGCAGCCAGACACGCCAGCGGTGCAAGCCATACATTCTGTGTTGAGAGAGTGTGCGTATACCGTAGAGTATTTGCGAGTATGCAATGCACTCTCGAGCAATGGAAAAAATACGGCCGAATGGTTGGGATGCAGAATTTTTTCTTTGAATCGCCAGATTCAGTCAATCGTCCGTTAACTTTCACCCGATAAAAATAGGGCCAAGTTGGATCGACGCAAGCCATCGTGTGGGCTGGTCAAATCGCGATGCTTCGGACTAGACTAGTTTCTCGCGGATGCATTGCCCGATTGCCCGCAGAGTATGTCTTTGCGAGTGTACGTACGTACATACAAGTAGTGTCTTTCGGGTGTCGTAGTCGGAAGCTCGTGATGGCGAGACGATTCACGCAGGAAAAGATATGGGTTGATCGATGCAGATCACGGGACCGGAGTCATTCTTTCATCCCACTTACTCGTTCGGTCGAAGCACTCAATAACACTTTGCGGAGTATTCCAACCATCGCAATTCAAACCATTGAGATTGAGAAGCATAGATTCATTCAAAAATACTGTGTTATTCACCTCAATGAATACTCAAATCTTGTATGGAGTGCGGGACAACTGCACAGTTGGCTCTACTGCCCCACCAAACAAGACAATGGCCGTCCATCTGTATTCATCCCCCAGGCCATCCAAACAGAGAACAATATTAAGCAATTTCAATTCAATCTATCTACACTCATGATTTCATCCAAGTGAACAAAGAATCAAAAAAATATTAAATATACTGCCCGGAGCCCATGCCCGTCATCGCTGCCACGGGCAAGCAGCGTCGAAAAGTCCGCTTTTCCAACAACCGTCCGGCCACCAACTCCAACTCCAACAAACTGCAAGCCACAAGCAACACACCTGCACCCACTGCAGTCTCAAACCCTATCGCTTCCAAATCAAGTACAAAGACTATCATGAGTACGACCGCGGCAATACGCCCGGGGGTCCCGGCTCTCTTTACTGAGCCTCCAGCGATCCACGACCCGCTTATGACAGAGACCTCTGATCTCCAAGAGCAGACGCTCGAGAAATGTTTGCCCTTTTTGCAAGGTAATCAGAAATCGCAACGGGAGCCCTTTAGTCGGCACGGGGTCCCGGCACTTGGACGAGATGACCATATCGGTTTCCTGTACGATTCCCTGGAGGAATATCCAGACGACTTTGTGGCACTGGATGCTAGTCGTCCCTGGATGTGTTATTGGGCTCTGGCGGGGTTATCCCTACTTGGCGAGGATGTCAGTAAATTTCGTCAACGGTAGGGATCATGATCATCACTGATAAGCGGGAAATATCGTTTTTTGACTTCGTGACTTGTACAGGGTGATTGCTACTTTTACACCCATGCAGAACCCCACCGGGGGCTTCGGCGGGGGGCATGGTCAGATGTCTCATAGTGCCTCGAGTTACGCCGCCGTGCTCACCCTGGCTATGGTTGGGGGCGAAGATGCCTATCGGCTGATTGATCGGAGGGGAATGTGAGTTGTCCTTGTCCTGTAGCCTGTTTAGGGAAGTCGTTCCGGATTTCTAACGTGAACTGTTTCAGGTGGAGATGGTTGGGGAGATTAAAACAACCAGACGGAGGCTTTAGAATCTGCGAGAACGGAGAAGAGGATGTGAGGTAGGCGGTTTTCGCTCTTATCATTTGTTGCATGGCGCGTCTTGCTAAAAACGCTCTAGGGGCGCGTATTGTGCCATGGTGATCATCTCATTACTCGATCTGCCACTTGAGTTACCCGCGGATGCGCCAGCTCGCCAATATGGTCTAGAAACATTCACAAATGGCCTTCCGGAGTATCTATCAAGATGTGAGAAACGTTATCTCCACACGATGGCGAACGGAGCTAACGATGATCCACCACAGGCCAGACATTCGAAGGAGGGATGTCCGGAAGTCCTGGTACGGAAGCGCACGGGGCCTATGCTTTCTGTGCTCTGGCGTGTCTTTGCATTCTGGACCGGCCTGAAAAGGTTATCCCCAGGTAAGATGAAGATCAATGGGCATGCATACATGTCGCCACCAAATACTAAGGCTGTCTCTTTCAGGTATATGGATATTCCTTTGCTTTTGTCCTGGCTCTCCGCTCGTCAATATGCCCCCGAAGGAGGTTTTGCGGGGCGGACCAACAAACTAGTAGATGGGTGCTACAGTCACTGGGTGGGCGGCTGCTGGCCATTGGTCCAGTCTGCTCTGGACGGCATGCAACCAGCCGCCGCCCCGAACAAGGCCTCTGGCAATCTCTACAGCCGGGAAGGTTTGACGCGATACATTCTAAGTTGTTGTCAAGCTAAGCGAGGACTTCGGGATAAACCCGGAAAGTAAGCAAAGCTTTCGATTAACCTTAGTGGGAAAGTTGTGGCTAACAGGAAGCACAGGCATCCCGATTCGTATCACACCTGCTACACGCTGACAGGCCTGAGCACGACGCAGCATCGGCATTACCATACAGACACAAGCGCCACTTCCAAGGAACCCTTTGCGTCGGCGTTTTCCTGGAAATATACGCCCGTCTCCAGCAACGTCAACGACGACACAGACGTAAGCGTCTTCGAAGAGGCAGACCGAGTGAACCCGGCGCATCCACTGTATGTCATTCCCCACCAAGCAGCCGAAGACATGCGACTTTGGTACGAGAAGGAGCCATTGGATTTTGCATAGCATAGCCGATATACCTCCCTCATCACGGAGTATCCGTACATAGCTTGGGGAGAAAACGGAAGTAAATGGAATTCTGGCGAATTGACCTCGAAGCCTTTCCCTCCCCCCCTTACCTCGTACGCGCAGGGTACAGCGTGCCTCGTACAGATCATGATGCGTCCGGACCATGGAGGATGGCGACAGCTGTCATGCTCATGGATCTTTTATCCCATTGCTTATCTCCACAGAACAACTCATCGCTGCATAACCCCCCGTACAATACGGACTCGAGCTTGCCTCCCCCTTTTGTTTTTACCAGGTATTCCTTGTACTTTGGTTATCGCCATCGCAATTTGTTACTCGAACGAGGAATATCCGTCGAGTACAAGTATTTATTGTCACCTGTATTCCGTACTCCGTACGGAGTCAATCATGCCCCTCTAACCTGCCCCTCCGAATAAAAATAAAATAAACTCAAGTCTGAGTCGAGCCCGAGTCCGAGGAAGCGGTCAATATCTCAATCTCAACGACCTCTAGCGTAATTGCAAACGCGACGAAAAAAGATAACCAAATCTATTCAAATAGACCACAGTTCAAAGAGTCTATTGCATTTCCAACTGATAACATGCCTGTTTCCATTTTCTTTCGAGGCAACGAGGCAACGAGCAACGAGTCAAGGACTCGGGTCCGCAGAATCATAAACCTCCGAGGGGCTCGATTTGAATGGCCATGAGCGATGCCAGCACATCACGTCGCCGTTGCAACTGACAAAACAAAAGAAGCTCCCAGCAGAGCAGTAAGCATAGTTGGTTATCTTATTGATACTTGGTAGTTGTCGAGATTTGGAAATGCCCCACGTTGTGTTTTCTCAACCTTTTTTTTTTTTTTTTTTTTTTTTTGTGCTGTCGTTTCAATTGAGCAATAAAACAGTTAAGAATCTATGTCTATTGTACTTCTAATTTCATATTCTACGGAAAAAGCACGTCCATAATCCTTTGAACCCAATTGAATCACAATGTACTACGTCCTCTACCTAAGCAGTACGTCCCCCGCCATAGCTCTCAACCCAGCCCACCAACAACCCATCCTTAACCACATAGAACCAAAACTAACCAAAACAAGGCCTCTGCAAACGCCGCCACTGGCCCGATCCCCTTTACTCCCCCTACAAAACCACAACCCCCTCACCCACCACTGGCCCAAACACCGGTCCCAACCCCAACACCAACAACCCAGGCTACACCTGCACCGTCCGCGTTAACAACCGCGAATACCAAACCGACACGATCTGTGAATCCGAACAACTAGCCCGCGAAAACGCCGCCATGCGCGCATACCTCATCTGTCGCAATTTCTCGGTGAACGATGGCATGTACCCCACGGGTCATGACCATGGGGGTATTGTGCAGGGGGTGCCAGTTGCGATTGGGACGGGGAGAAAGGGGCGGTTTCAGTATGGGAGTGATGGGTTTGGGGAGGTTTATGCTGGGGTTGGCAACGGGTATGGAGCTGGGAGGGTTGGGAGTGAGAGTGGAGCGAGTAGTGGGAGTGGAGGGGTTTCGCCGTGATTTTGTCTTGTGCTGGGATGGGGATGGAGATGGAGATGGGGAGGTTATGATTGATGAGTTATGACTATATCCGATTGATAGATTTGGCATGGCATGGCATCTGCTGTTTTTGAGTTTTGAGTTGGAGATATATTTCTGTGCCTTATCGGCACGTGAACATCGTAATTGCATGGCTCGAACACATAGCCTCAATGACCATTGCCTTCGCAACATTACTTCAATGCTTCTATGATCGCAGAACTATTGAAAAGAAACCTGGAAAGAAGTGGTTCTGCCCAAAGGTGTACCATACAACACTGGTGTTTGTCCTGTTTGCCTGTATAGCCCCTATGACGTAGGTCGATCCCCAGACCAGAAACAACCAACTTGCAAACAACACGGAATGATGCAGTTTTTTCTACTGATCAGTTGATTCATCTTGAAGCTACTAGATATATGTACAATTGTTATTTGATACATTTAATTTATCCTAGAATTGAACTACAATCACCATCACCACGATACGGAGTTTTAGAGCCATGACTTGACTACCACGCTCGCTACTTTGTCCCTAGGAAAAGATATTAAGTCATACACCAGGAGGACATTTCATCTTGTTATACACTCAGGCAATTGCCGTGACATCGTCTTAAACATGCGCCCCCTCCGCGTCTCGATACCCGCCGTCCAAACCCCATTGCGACTCCGTGGCAACCCAGGAACGCGATTGCCCATCAGACCTTTTCAAGCAATCCGGCCTGCGCAACGGATACCATTAACACAGTTCCCAGTTGCGGCATATGGGGTACGGCATTTCGGTCTCTCCAGACTTAAAGCAGCGGACGATACGTTGGAGCGATTGGAAATTCGGGAGGGAAAGGATCTTGGGAATGACAAAAAGACCAATGAGAGGAGGAGATTGGAGGAGATGAACAAGGGTACGTTGTATCTGATTCTCGATAGGGATGTTGCTAACGATTGCAGGTAAATTGTTGACAACACCGTCGAGATTGTTCAAGCTCTTGATGCCATTGACGACAATTGACCACAACCCTAACCACCGAGGTAAGTGGCAAATCCCAATAGATGGAACAAAGACAACAGCTGACGAGCCAGACATCGAACCAATCGCCGTCCTAATCCACCCCCAACAACCCCTCTCCTACCTTGAACGTCTCATCCAATCCGAAGTCCCCAAAATCCGCGGCGAAAACGGCCACTATCGACCACCGTCAGTGTCATTCATTGCCCTCCAACTAGAACAAGACGCCATCCGACCCAGGAAAGCCATCTACGAAAACACAGACACAGAAGCCCGCAAACTAGGCGAAGGGGAAAGCGATGCTGTCCTTGAACGCCGCCGCCGGCCCGACGACTCAGACGACACCTACAGCTACTTGCGTGAACCGGAAGAAAGCCAAGCTCAACCAGAACGGCGCTTTGTAAGGTGGTCACAGTCGACTGAGATTGGCGATTTCATTCGGGATGCTGCACGCACGCAGGAGTTCATCGTGAGCATTGAAGGTGCGCCGGCTGGCTTGGGTCATATCCGCGTGACTGTTCCATCCTTTGACGAACGGACATATTTCCTCCGCATGCGCCTGCGCAAGATCTCAGGACGGATCCAAAGCATTGCAGAGATCAAACATGACTGTGACGTCGTCGCTCACCGCGGTGCCCAGCGCGTCGCCATCGGCGGCTTTGGAATCCTCTCATTTTGGTGGTGTCTGGTTTACAAACTGACCTTCGGAACTGAGCTCGGTTGGGATACAATGGAGCCGGTCACCTACCTAGCCAGTTTATCCACCCTAATGGGAGGTTATCTTTGGTTCCTGTACCACAACCGAGAAATCTCATACCGATCCGCGCTGGACTTTACGATCAGCGCGCGACAGAAGAAACTGTACCAGGCGAAGGGCGTGGATTTACGTGCGTGGGGGTTCTTGATTGATGAGGGGAATGCGCTGAGGAAGGAGATCAAGAGTATTGCGGCGGAGTATGATGCGGATTGGGATGAGATACAGGATGAGCAGGATGAGAGTGTGACGCATGCGTTGAAGAAGGAGAGGCTCCAGAAGAATGGAAAACAAGAGAAGAAAGATGATGAAGATCAGGATGCTGATGACTGATAGGGGTTGTTCTTGTATGTATTATTGTCTTGTCTATACCATGTATGTACGTTATACAAACTTGATTTTGTTTTCAACACTAAAGATAGGGAACTACTCAACATAAACAGCCTGAGGGGGCACAACATGCTTGTGAAGATGCCCATTGATGACAATAGCATGCAACTTCTTCTGGTCCTGAAGAACCTCAAGATCCGCCAGCGGATCCCCATCGACCAGAATAACATCCGCATAAAACCCAGGCGCCACCTTGCCCAACTCCTCCGGATACCCCATCATCTCGCCTCCCCAAGCGGTAGCAGCAACAATACTCTCCATGGGCGTATATCCGTACAAGTCCACCATATGCTTCAGGTCCCGCGCATACGTCCCATGAGGAGCCCACGCAAACCCATAATCTCCACCAGGCATCACGCGAATGCCCCGTTTCCGCATCTCCTGCATCGCCTTGCACGCCGTGTCAACCTCGAACTTGATACCCTTCTTCGCGGCCTCTTCGGCCGTCAGACCGTACGGCGTGGCTTCGCCGGTGCAGGTGGTATAAAAGAAATTCAGCGCCGGCGCGACCCAAACACGATCTTTCACGGCTTCCAGAATACTCATCCCCTCATCGTCAATGAAACTAGCATGGTAAATCACATCCACACCAGCCTGAACAGCGAACTTGACGGAATCAGCGCTTCTGGCGTGCGCGCATGCCCGCTTACCCTGCAAATGCGCCTCATCCACCGCAGCCTGCGTCTCCTCCAGCGAGAAATACGTCTCCGTACTCGGCATTGTGGGATGAATATCATCCCCACTCATACTAAGCTTAATATTATCCGCCCCAAGCTCAATAAACTCCCTTACCCGCTCACGCATCTGCGTCGGCCCATCCGCATACCGCGAGATACTAGGCACAATCGCACCCCCCGTCGTCGTAATCTCAGGCGCATTCGCGAGCGTCCTCGGACCCGGGATCATACCGGACTTAATGGCACCTTTGATCGCGACGTCGAGACGGGGCTGCGCGGCAGCGGCCCCGAAACACATGGTATATCCGCAGTCGAGGAAGGTCTTTGCGGAGTGTGCTGTGTGCAGGACGTGTTCTTCGAGTTTTAGGTTGGTCAGGCCGTCGAGGTCGGTGGCGTTGTTCCAGCTTAGATGTGTGTGGGCGTCCATTAGGCCGGACATTAGTGTTTTTTTGCCCTCGCCGTCGATGACCAGGGCGCCGCGGGCGGTTGAGGTGTCGATGTTCTCGCCTACGGCAACTATGCGTTCGTTTTCAATTAGGACGTTTCCATTGTAGGGGGTTTGGCCGGTTGAGTCCAGAATGCGAACGTTTTGGAAGAGGATTTTGGATGGGTCTTCGGCTTGGTGATTGTTGATGGTGATATCTGCCGGCGTGGGCCGGTACGGCGCGTTGCCAGTGGCGATTGATCCCATGATTGAAGCACAATTTGAAGATTTTGTTCATATAATGTTGAGGGGCATTCTGCTCTGTCTTTGTATGTCCACACAATGCCCCCGATTACGCAGCATGACAGGGATCAAGCGGGGTTGATGTATCTCTAACTCCCAAAAACCCAGAGTTCATGCAACTAAACCGAAGGCTACAGTTTTCCTCTTTTTATTTGTTGTGTTTTGATAGGGTTCCACCGGGTTCTCATACTAAAGAGTCCTCATTTTGCGGCGCAGTGACAAAGGTACGATATTTGCCGCTGCCATTGGCCATGATCCAGGTACTGATCTACTTACATTAACCACAACTAATTCCTTGAGCTTTCCCTCAAAACCGCGCCACATTCATAATAATGTCTCGGTCAATTTGCATTGGGCATTTATGCCTCAATAAAAACTATAAAATGAGGCCAATTTCGGGTCGACATGCCAATCTTTAGGGTTCCGCTGCGCACATCTCAAAACGGACTCATAAGTCAGACCGTCGATATGCCTCAGCTCTGTGTTCGCACCCGCGCACATAATGTCTTGATAGTCGCCATTTCGAGGTTCCGCGCTGCTTTGTGTAATGGGGCGAAAGCTTCTTGTCGGACGGCGGGTACGTCGACCTTGTCCGATCCAGCTCTGACATCAAAGCAAATACTCCCTTTCGCCTAAACGGCCACATCCAATCGTGAACCCAGATGCGAACCTTCTCTTTTCTCCTATTGCCGAAGGCATCATTTTCATTGCTACTTGAGCCGTCTACCTTTTCAAGCTGAAGATGCATAATCAGCTTGCTCCTCACTTGATCGCAGGTAATCTGGCACTTGGCCATCGGAACAAGCAGGTTTTTCATCAATTGGTTGATTTGTTTATCCCGATCAACCATGTCTTGTATATCTTCAGAATCCAGCGCATTTCTCAAATGATCCACAAGATTATGGAAGTCCATGATATCGCGACCGAGGTTTCTGATTTCTTTAGGGGCATTTCGTATTGTCGATATGAATTGGTAGACTTCGAGAGAAGTTTTCGTTGCCATATTTGCTATTTACAGGATGGATGCAGCTGTTCCAATGGCCTCCATTATGGATGGCTGCCGTTGGCTTCGTAATGGGACAAGGGGGTAAAGCAGGATTCTCAATGTAGAGTGCGGTTCGGCTCGTGTCAGGGAAACTTAGAAGATGTTCTGTGGGATAGTAAACAAAGCTGGAAGGCGTATCGATAATTGGTCTATCTATTGGTTGCACTCCGTCCGGAGCAACAGAGAAGAAATCACTCGACATGTTCTCTCTTTAAGATCAGGCTCTCAGCCTTGTCTGGTTGGTTTCTCGTAGCTTCGCAGTCGGTCGTTTCTTTTTATGTATGTTTGTCTATACCAGATCTATGCCTATCAACGCCTGTATGAAAACCTTGTTACGAAAGTGCCCAGATCGCGACTCGCAGGATAATCTTTTTGGCTATGTGAATGATGTTTCTTGTATCTAACACTCATCAGTTTCTATATCTGTATAGGTATCCCACCTTTGAGTGTGTCTGATATGGGGAATGATTCTAGTTTTATGTCTCTTTCCTGGATCTTGCTATTCCGTGATGAGGAAACATTGCAACTTGAGCATACCCAAGCATTTATTGAGTATTCTTGACCACATCAAAATAACAGGTTTTATCACCAATTCAAGAGCCACTCCAATTCAAGAGCCACTCTTAGCAAAAAAAAAAAAAAAAAAAAAAAAAAAAAAGTTGTTTGGAGTGTTTGTTCTTTGATGCCATGGAGGCCTGTCTAGTGAGGCACTCTCTGTTTTTATCAGTACATAATGATGATTTTGTCATGACATTCACTTCTGTACCACAACTTGCCTTCTTTATTCTTATTATCCTCCTAGATTCTTACTCTCTTGCTGCTTTCCGATCCAACATTCAAATATGTCATCTACACGCACTTGGTTTAGAAAAAGCTTAGTTGAACCCGGCACTATAGTCTCCTTCGCTCTGCCATCCCCATCCCGATGGAAGGTCCTCGAGCAGGTCAGCGAGATCGAATACCAGATAGATGAAAGGGCTCTTTGCCCTCATACGCCGCCATAAAGCTCCTATGCCGCAATACACGTCGCCGCAATCAGGAAGCTTTCATGAGAATCTACCTGCAGATCCCATACACAGGAACCGATTCGCAGAGTCTTGACGATCTAGCCCAGCAATCTGCGACCTACACTCCCATCGAACTCGAAGCCCTGCAAGCGATGACCGAAGAAGGCTTCTCCATCATACCTCAATTGTATGCATGCTCGGAAGGCCAGCAAGATTAATCTGGATGGGTTCCCGGGGGTTTTATTACGTACCTTGTGTGGCAGACTGTCCTGGGGGTTTGCCTTGGTGGTGAAACGGGCGCAGTTGTGTTTTGGGAACTGCCACGAGGTCAACGAGATGACATTGGAAATGCCATCGAGACTGGATTTGAGTATGTCCATGCCTCTCAACCTTAAACTCGTTTTCATTGATATTAACACAGACATCATATTTTCAGTGACATGATGAATCTCGGTTATTATCCTATGTTTGCCGGGCCGAAGAATCTAGTCTGGAATAACAGAACCAAGACTCTGTATGCCACGCCTATATTCCAACCTTTAATATATCTACTAACTTGTGTTTCACAGCTACTGGATCGGATTTCGTGATTGCGAACTGAGTGACCCAAACGCGAGATGGAGTAATGCTCGTCTGCCTCATTACTACCTAGTCAAACTGCCCAGGGGGGAAAGGTGGTAGGCTGGGGATTGGCAACCTAACACTGCACAATGGGAATACTGAATGGTGTTTATGGCTCAGGTCCCTACAGTAGGACTTCAATACCTGGTTACTGTTGTACAATGCCTTGGAATAAGGTGGACTCCTGTGTGTCAGCACCTTCCGCGCCGTTTTCATAATCGTCGTCTTCGTCAGAGGAGGACTAGGGGGTGAAGAGAATGGTGGCGATGATGGCGGCGACGGTCTTATTAATTAGCAGGAGGGTTTACGATGCATTTCGCTGGTTGATGGGCATCTTTTGAACAGTACCATGTTTCTTACTATCGGAAGAGATACTCCTTTTCATAGTCCATCATTCCAAGGCTTCGTGACTTGTCAGAACCGTAAATACTGTAGCATCGGCTCCGCGACGCTTGAACCGACTACAGGTACAAGAAGACACAAGTTGATAAATCGTTCCAGCCTCAGACACAGTTACGTGCTGAAATCAGAAGTCCAACACTCCGACAAAATATCCCCATGTTGCTGCATCAACGATTGAATAGCTGCACTTGCAACTTGAGACCCGCCAACAGTCACATCCAGTGAACACAGGCCTTTCATGACGATATCAATTTGCTGTTTCCAGATGCTGTCGGCACCATGCTGTGCGTCCTCTTCGCAAGAATATAAAGAGACTATATTCTCAATGGCCTTCTGGAATGTCGTTGCCGTTAAGCTGGGAGTAATATGATAAGCGAGGATGGGGACTTCGGCACCGAGGCCGTTCTCGAGATTGAAAAGCTCTTCTGTGGGTAGTAAGAGTACGCGCTTGACTGTTCGGGCTACCGATGAGACCGCTTCTTCTTGGTGGGCGCGCATGGTTGAGGTTATGTCGGCTTCAGTGAGAAAATTGTGATCTCGCAACGACTCGGCTAGTATGAGGACACTAAGACCCCAATACAGTGTGATAGAAACTGATTTGCGTTTTTAGTCTCAGGTCAGATCCGTGTAGTATATAACATACCAGCAGATGTTCTGGACCGTATAGAAAGACGCTCAAGGTTGTCTATACAGGTACTCATGAAAGGACAGAATGATTGGTTAAACTTGCCAACGGCTGTCATAGTCGACGCGATAGTTTCAGATAATTCCAAAGGGATGCGACTATGACTTTGCACATGGCGAGACACGGAGCCTTTGACTTCAACTATCTGCCTCCAGACGCAGAATGCCTCCGCGACAGCTTTCTGGCATATGCTTGGAACGCTGTTATTCAGATCTGGATGGAAATTCCGATTATCGAACTGGCATAGGTCGTAAGATTCTACTTGGTCTAAGTTGTTCTTAGTTGGTATTTCCCTTCTGAGGGGACAGTCGGACATACCTTTCGCATGGCTCGAAATACCCGGCAATTTGCAGTCATGGTCTGTTGTAAGCGCTGCTCCGATGTCACGGATGTATCCACCCCAGCGCACAACACTCAGACTCGCTTCTAAGAGAGCGCCATATACGGAATGCGATCCAAGAGTAACACAGTATTGCTTGACAAGTGTATCCAGAGAAACAAGCTTCTGTAGACCCGTATCAAGGAATTCATGCGCTACGATAGGCTCAGTTGCCCCGTGAGCTTTGGTTGGAATGGCAATACCGTCAAAGAGCAGGGTTGCATATACAACTCTGAACGAGCGCACTGACTGTGCATTTCTGAGGAGTGTTCGCGCTTGAGACCAGGCATCATGAAATGCATTTTCGAGTGGGTCGCAGGTTGTCTGGTTTTCATTCGAGCTATTGGTGATCAAACTATCAACGGAAGTTGATGTTAGCTCGGTTGAGGGCAGCCACTGGAGCGAAAATACTCGAAGAACCGCTTTCAGTGCAGCATCTGACCGTCCCCGTGCCACTGAAGTCAAGCGATTGCCGTAAATATCGCTGAAATGATCCAGGAAACGGACTGTACCCAAAATCGTCATCATGCAGCCGGCATCTCTAAATGCCAGCCCAAAATCCAATAGAGAGCCATCCGTCTGTGATATTAAGGCCTGTGATTGAGGTGATGCATTGCTCGAAAGCAAATGGTGTTCTGAGTCTCCGTCCCCCAATCGGTAGCGACTCGCTGTTGCATATAAGTTGCAGTCATAATCCGCAAATCTAGATGCACACCCCGTGACAATGGTATCGTGAATCCGTGCAAGACGTATGTCAAGGATAGTGGCATCGAGTTTCGAGTTCAATAGACGGATGGGGCTATTTAATGAACTGCCAACGATATGTTGCGGATTTGGCCGTACACGAAGCCGGTCCTCCTTAGAAGCTTCAACTGACGTTACAGCATCAGGTGCGAGAAAATCCGGTAATTCCAAGCATTCATTGCTCTGTTCGAGATAGTCAAAATCTAGCCATGATGCCAGGACGTCATGGCCAGCCACAGCATCTGCTTGGAAGTCGCCACTAGCTAGACCGGGGTATGCCTCAGCTGCGCTATCTGAAGTGCTCTGCCTTGTACGAGCTCGCCTAGACCTCTTATTCTGTGATTGAGAATCGACAAATTCAAATGTGCAGGCGTGTCCTAGGCGCTTGCAATGAGTGCAGGATACATCTGTGTCTCCAATTCGGGGGGATGAGAAAAAGCAGCGTCGCTTAGAACGTCGACATGGGTCGCAGCTTGAATTTTGGCGGCGTTGTGGTAGCATATGTAAAGTTCGAATATGAATAATAATATGAAAAGGAACATATAATGATAGAACAGGGATATAAAATAGTCTTCTGGAACGAAGTCAATCAAATGCCTGAGGCATGAGTCACAGATGCACAAATCCGTGCACAAATACTGACTCATCTTTGCATAACTAACAAGCATAACTATTGCTACATTCTAACGGAGTAAACAATCAAACATCCTCCCCAGCAGCCCTCCTCAAACAACCCACCACAAACCCCGGATTACTCAAAAACGGCGAATGCCCCTCCTGACACCTCTCTACATGAAAAGTTCCCTCACCCTGCGCAATCATCCTCTCCTGCACAGAAAGCGGCAACGCATTGTCATTCTCGCAGACAATGTACGTACTGGGGATCTCGCGGTAGGCTGTGTACATAGCTGGCACGGTTAACGGGCCTACTGGGAACGAGCCTAGGTGAGTTAATGCCTCGTCGATGTCGGCTGGGTCGCAGCGGTTGTAGAAGATGTCGCGGATGGCGTGTTTGGGGAGGATGATTGCACCGTCCTGTAATGGTTAGTTATTGCATGTTTGAGATATGGCTGAAGGAATGAGGTAGTACATTGGTGAATTGCATTCCTCCATTCTCCTCCGCATACTCCTTCTGTTTCTTCTCCCGCTCTTCCTCTTCCGGTGTGACGGGCTTTATCTGACCCACGTGCGTCTGGCCCTTTGGCAATGCCATAGCGCACATGTAAACCAGTCGCAGGACACTGGTAGCATAACCTTGCTTCAGGCGTTCTTCCTTGCCCAGACCCTTAACAGCCTCGGACATGGCGACTCCGCCGAATGAGTGCGCGATGGCGATGACATCTTGACCGAGATCGAGTTTCTCCATTATGGTCTGGCGTACGGCCTGCGCATCCTCTTCCCATGTTTGTAGGGGTGGGCTGGAGTTCACAGAGGGGAGGGCTACGGCTGTCGCGGAGTAGTTGTGGTTGGAGAGATGGGTGATAAGGCGCGCGTAGTGGCGGGGGATGTGCCAGGCGCCGGGGATGATTATAATTGCTGGGTTGGGCATTTTTGATAAGTTGAGCAAGAATAGAATAAAGAAAAATTGGTAGAGTATTTCTCAGGAACAATGGGGGTTAGCGCGAGTAGATACTTTATATGGCCCGTCGGTTCCGCAGCTTGGCTTCCATCGGATCCGATGAACTCGAGTATACCCAGGATCCACATCGCGCTGATTGACATCAACATGCAACTCTTCAATTAGATACCGCACACGTTGCATATTGACATGCGTCGGATGAGAACCTGCCCGACTGACAGCATTGCGAAGTGTGACTCGTCCCGGTCTAGCGCCTAACGCGTAGAGACGCTTCATCATCTCTAGACTTCCAAACAAAGCGACGCTGTCGAGTAGGGAGAGTGCAATGTACCAGCCCCGGTACGGATCTTTGTATCGGTCCACATCATCCTCAAGCTCATCGCTAACTGTTGCCCCATGTTCCAAAGCCCAATGAATCATTTCATCGTGACAGATGAGGTTTTAACATCCGACTCTGACAGCCCCATCCGCTTGTACGCTTTGGGCGTTGGTTGATGTCCCAGCCATGCCGAGCCAAGATGTCAAGTAAAGGTATGGATACACTCTCCCATACTTTGTCTGGACCGATGTGCTCCAGGGAGGGCTTCTCAGGGTGTTCGCTGAGGAGGTACTCCATCACGGAGAGTGCACCTTTTCTCACGGCGTAGTAGAGAGCTCTGCCAGGTAGCGTGTCGTATTCCGGGTAGTTTTTTTTTCCTTGGGATGCTGCTAGGTCGAAGCTGCGGTAAGGTCGATTTTGCAGGCGTCTTCGATGACGAAGTGTGGGTAGCCTTGTCGTACCCGTGCTTTGCGTTCTGGGTCGATCATGTTAGCCAGAGGTGAAGAAAGGATTTGCAATGAGAAGTCGAGCCGTAGATGTAGCTACTGGAGATGGCAGGATGAATGATAAAAGTGACAGTAGAGAAATGGATGAGAAAGAGAAGAAGAAACTGGTACACAAAGACCCTTTAAAACAACCAACCTAGCTATCCCATCACGTGATTCCCATAGGTCTTTGTTTGCCAGGGTGTGAAACAATCAGTACTACAAGAGAAACAAAAGTCATTTATTGAATCATATCAATCAGCTCTAATCCAGTACAGTTGTCCAAGTCTTTCCCGCAGTCAATCAATTCACCGTCCCATTCCGCACGGGGTCATAGTACCCTTTCGTACCCTGCTCCTGCTGCTGTACGTGTCCATGTGCATGTCCGTGTACCTGCTGCTGCTGCTGATTCTGCTGCAACTGATGCGACAAATCCACCTGTTTCCGCGCTAGTTCACCGTCAGCATCACCCCTATCCCCTCCCCCATAACGCATCTCCAATCCCAGAATAAGGTGACAACATACCAGCCTCATTTCCCCTCCTCCGATTCCGATTATTTCTCTCATCCCTCGACCGAAACACACTATACAACAACCACCCGGCGACCCAATTCGGCCCATACTCGCCGCTCGTCGACCCCCGGTCGAAATAGGGCCTCGTGTACGACGACGCCGTGCGCCAAATCTCGAGTATGCCCCAACGCTGGCACTCGGGGCGGATGTGGTGCCAGTAGAAGGGGGGTTGGGTGCGGGGATCGTCGCGCAGGGAGTCAAGGAGGTTGGTGCGGTCTTGGTTCATGCGGTTGTAGATTTGGATTGCTTCGTCCTGTCATCTTTATTAGGGACTGTGGGGTGGGGTTGGGTGACGGGAGGTATGGGGGAATGGGGGGGAGGTACCCGCATGGCTCGATAAAACTGTTCATCTTGCGAGGAGGTAGTTAGACCTAAAGCGCGCATAAACTCCTCCTTATTAACTCGTGGTCCCACAGCCATCTTGACGAACGATAACCACAGAACAAATATATCTCAAACTCAACAAACAAACCAAAGAAATTGAATAGACAAACGAAACGACCACAATCAGAACACAAGAGCAGCGAGAGGGACAATAAATAACCACGTCAAAAACCCCTGCCCTACGTTAATTTATCCCACCCTCTCCTGACAAACCCGGGTAGCAATGTTGTACGACTGTTTGATTCACGACTTCACGACTCTGGTTGTGTTTGGCACCGCTATCCGCGGTGGACAATGGGAGGGGATGTAATGCAGAACCGTTGGACTTATCCGCTGGCTTGTGTAGCGAAACGGTGTTGGCCGTGAATTTTCCCGGAATATATATATGGTTGTTTGCTAGTAGAGCAGGATGCATCTATACCCGAGTACCACCGGAGTCAGATCTAGTGGGCGAGACAATACATTTGTTATCCTGCTGTCCTGTACTGGCCTGTTGTCATGGTATTGCTTTTTCAGGATCTGATTATCTACCTATAAAACCGAGCGAACAGTACCACATCACGACAAACATACCATCGTACATTTCATCTCAATCTCACCCGCAGACGCAGAAACAGGAACGGCCACGAAAAGGACATGACACAACCCGGTCCATGTTCCGGTTCCGTTCAACGCAAACCGTTTGTGTCACTTTGTGTGGGTGTGATGTGGATGGTAGGTTGACCTGGGTTCGTATGGGCTGTAGGGTATACAAATACAGACTGGTTGGCGGAGGGATAGGAGGTGATCTTACTGGATGTCTCTTTTCCGGGGACAGAATCCTCGGTGTGCGGTGAGAGATTATATTGCTTTGTTTGAAGTGTATATAATCGTCTATTGTAGTCCGTAGTCCGTAGTCCGTAGTCCGGGCTCGGGATAGTTGTCTATGTATGACTAGGTGGCACTGTGCAGGTGGCTGTTTGATATCGTGGTACACACACGGGTGTCGGGTGTCGTGGGTCAACCTGTCAACCTATCAGGATAGACAAAGACACGGAACTGTTGGTCGCTGGTTTTGAATATAAATGGTTGATTCTGGATTCGTAGCAAATGCTGAGCTGAGCTAAATTCTACCAACTGACCTGTTGAAACAAAAGAAAAATCATGTCAAACACGCTCAAAGATAAAGAAAAATAAACATGAGGAAAAAAAAAAAAAAAAAAAAAATGACAACCGCCGTTATCCATAACCAGAGACCAGGGGGTAAAGTTGGAGGCTGAGAAAAAGCAAATATTGTCATCTGTCATCTACCGCATCGTTCCATGCATAAGTGACATTCCATTTTTTTTTTTTTTGAAGGGAAAGAAAAAGAGAAAAAGAGGAGAGAAGGCGTCCTCCTTGTATTCCTTTGTACGCTGTACATCTGGGCCGCTATTACTCTTCGTCGTAGAATCTGCGGAGAAACACCTCAACCTCTTTGTAATCCACCTTGACCTGAGTCAGGGTCTTTTCGATGTTCTTCAGCGAGGTGCTCTGGTCGGGTTCGTCGGCGGTACCGGTTTCATCCTTGCCGGCGCCGTAGTGCTGGATCTTCTCGCAGGCTTCCTTGACCTTGCTCAGACCCAACGTTGCCGACGATCCTTTGAGGAAGTGACCGAGAGACGACAGATCAGAAAGTTTCTTCTCCTCCCTGCAGACGTTAGCGCGATTTTTCACCCAGGAGAAGGAAAACATACAGAGCCTTCTCCATCTTCTCGAATGTGCTCTCGGCCTGCTCGAAAAATCCATATACAATACCCTTGCTGAAGTCACGGTCATCGTCATCGTCCATTTCGAGGATCTGTTCAAAGGTGGATTCGTCGATCGAGTCGGCCATGTCGGAGAGCTTAGGGGGACCGGTCTTGGTCTGGGGTTATCAGCATCGAATTTGCGAATTAAACCGGCGGAGTACATACCGTCTCCTCTGTCGTCTTGGTGGTAGTGGTGGGAGCCATGGTGTGTGATGTGTTTGTGAGGTGAGTGGTATTTGGTAGTGGTGGTCGTTGTTGTTGGTGGTGGTGTTGGTGGTGGAAGGGTAGCGAATAAGGCGATATCACCAAAGTCGACCTGATCAACAGGAACTGAAGCTGGGATAAGGGTGTTGGGATGTCGCTCGAGTCAGGCAGGATCCACTCGGGGGTGGTTTAGGGAAGATGGCAGGGAAAAAACAAGCGATTTTACAATCTGGATTGCTTAATGTCAGTCTATGTTACAGTGGTTGGTCGAGTTTGAATCAGTGAGTAGAAAGAGTGAGTGGGTTGATGAGTGGAAAAAAAGGAGACCGAGAGGAGGGGCAGATGCAAAATGGAATTATCCCACCTTGGATCGCGTATCTGGTATCGTGGGTATATCTATGCAGAACGGAAAATCAATAAAAATAAATAAAAATAAAAAGACAAAGACAAAAGAAGGAGTGAATTCAGTGGTTCTTTTGGGAAAAGAAGAAGAGAAAAAAAAGAAAGAAATGAAGGCAGAAAACGAGGGGAAAAAAATGAAAGTGGAGGAGAGATTTGGTTATGCTTTGTGGGTTCACTGCCAGTAGTATTGATAATGAGAACCGTTTTTACTGTTAACATTCTTGATTTTATATGGCGTGACAGTAGTCTTCAAATCTGCACCATCAACCCTTATACAGCTATATAGCATGTCGAATATCGCATGTCGAATATCGCATGTCGAATATCGCATGTCGAATAAATACATTCTTGTTCTTTTCTACTCTGTAACAGTGCTGTTCTTATTCTACCGTTTTCCCGACAAATTCGGTTCTTGTGGAGCACTTCGGTCAAATCCCTGGGCGGAGTTAACAAATGCTTGACTCTGGGAATTCATAAATAATAATAGTAGCATTAATATCTCAATGGAAGATATTCATCTATAAAAAGAATAGATGAACAGAGAACGTGACATCTGATAAGCATCCAGTCCCTCGAGCCTTAAATACCCGTGACAGCCCTTCAAATCCCGATGACCGCATCGGATGATGAAATCATGATGAAAGCGGTCAACAACCTTTCTTCATCACCACGCGACAACACAACTCAACGAGTTTCTATATTCAATACTTTCAAAAGAAGTAAAATACTTTCAACTCAATCATGGCTACTGGCCTTATATACCTGTAAAAAACTGTGCGAATGAATCCCTCTTCAGCCCTCTCGCCGTTCCCTTCACCTATCAGCATCCCGCACTCTCCCCACCCTGACATCACCGCTGCCTCTCCACAGCCAATAATATGACACTTCCGCACCGCCGCTGACGTTGGCGGGGCTGAGCCAAGACTTTAGCGGGGAAATTACCTCAGCGCTGATTCGCTATAAAAGAATAGCGGGTCGTGAACCCAAAGAACGCGCCAAATGGGCGTCTATTTCCTATTCGGGTAGGTGCAATCAGGTGACTGATACAGGATGTGTATTTGTACGCCGGACGGGTGTTGTATGACTGCTGGGGTCACTGTAACGTGCTGGCTGTACAACCACTGTATTCTACCTGAGGCAGGAGGTTACATTAACATACGATGTGCAATTCACGGATTGACTAACGCTGGAGAGGCATGAGGCTCAACATACCACGTGCGAACTCTGCAAGCAATGGCTGCCCAAATCTACCATATCTGGAATCCCTCGACGATCTCGAACCCTAGATCATCAGTAGAAACTCTTTGACTTCCTCAATGAATATGTCCACCCAACCAGCACGACAAGCCCCGCAGTTGCTGCACAACGCATCGATGCTTTGACTCATGTAATGGCCCGACTTGGGGGCGAAAAGGAATCACCAGAGTTCTTTACGTGGGATATTCAGACGATCTCTATTGCCATTGCTAAGCAGATTCCTCAAAATCATTTCTCTCAAGGTCGTCTGGCTGGCATAGTCCAATATCCGCGTACAGACTTGCCATTACCGGGTCCTTCTATGAGTTGGGGACTACGCTCTGCTTTGGAAGAAGACTCGATTGGCGCGAAGCTTGATCCGATATTACCGCTGTTACAGAGTGGATTACACATAGTGGCGTGGGCTTGTTCGACTAGCTGAAGAGGATGAAGAGGGGCGTGCTAAGGCGCCTGCCGTTTTGTATTAAGGGAAAGGGTGCTCTTTCGTTGTACACCCGTGAGATTCCGTACACGAGCGTACTCTTCTCTGGAATTCAGCCACGCGGTCGTGAGTAGGCATGGTATATTGCACGATGGTGCTCAGGCCCGGCTTATCAGGAACGAGAGTGTCAGGGTTCAACACAATCTTGTAGAAATCCCGGTTCCTGTCCTGGCCAATTCGCATCGATGATTGCATCTTCTTGTACATTGCAGCAAGCAGATTTGCTCGATTCAGATGATAGTTGTAGTTCATTGTTTCGAGGTGTGACCCAAGTCGGAAGGCCAACAAGATCAGTCTATCCCATTTGAGCCCTGGCTTTGCACGAAGTCACACCTGTCCAGTTTAATTAGGAGGACATGCTTCCATCTGGCTCATCCGAGCCACATTTTTGTCACTGAACTCACAGTACTGTCAGCGGATCAAAGAAATAACACCCCCTGTTAACGCTGCGGATCATTGAGCGGGGTAGTAGAGCCTCCATCGGTCATTATCTGTAGCGCTTCGAGTCCAATGGGGGTGTAAGATGCAGATTGCTGGACTCGATTGCCACGGGTCTCGGAATCGGTTCTCGCGTATGGAATCTGCGTGAAGATTATCATGACGGCGTTCTTTCTGCAGCGGCGTACGAGGGCTCAGAGCCATCTTTGACAACTTTTCCCTCGATATGGTGTTCGAGCTCCTCCCATCAGGATGGGGATGGCGAAAAGAAGGAGACGCCGGTGCCAGGGACAACCGAGCTCTTACAAAAACAAGTGCTGCGGACGACATGATCGAAAGAGGAAGGGGCATGGGATGGGCGACGGAAATCGGGACGAGGATGAAGCCAAGGGGTGATTGAAAGCGGGAACTAGAACCTTTTGAAAAAGGTTTGTTGGTCTTTTTATTTACAGACCGGGGGCTTCAAAGAGTACACAACGTCGGATTTCATCAGGAACCGACGTGTTCTAGTAAGACCGGGCAAATGAATCGGATCGACGAGAGCGAGGAATACGTCCGTCTAGAACAGGTGTCTTGAGAACGTAGGATCGCTTCTAACTCGATTTTGTCTTGGTCCGGGTTCCGATCCTGGCAGCGTACGGAGTACACCCCAATAGCTATCCAGCGATTGTGGCGCGGAGCATGTTTCTGGTCGCCGACTCGATGGCATGAACAATCTCAATTGGATGCGTCACAACCTCTGTGAGCATGAACGGGCGGAAGAGATCAAGATCGGTGGTTTTGTCTGCAATTCTGGCGCACGAGAACTTGTTCTCCAACTCCCCAAAGTAGCCCCAAATATTGCCAGGGTATTTGAGAGGTCGATCGCCAGCTCCTTGGTTGGCAATTCTGTGGTTGTATACACGTTCTCTGTATCTGTTCTGAAGAAAGAAAACAGTACTGGTAAGTCTGCCTTTCTCGCTCCATGGTGGATTTTTGCTAACGGAAACGTTTGTAACCAACCGTGGCTCCTAGGAGAACGGTGGACCTGACAGCTTCGAAGTTAACGATAGTCGCCACCATGAGCGAGAATCTTGGTCACTCTATCCAGTTGAGGTCTGCGAGCCGGAGTACGCACGATGGACGACAAATCCCAACCAGACATTTACCCCGCATGCGCTCTCGAAGCAGATTCTGATTATCATGAAAGCCAATTGGGCTCAGCAAGACGATATTTGGACCTTCAAAAACGCTTCTATTCCTGATCATAGTAAGTTTCTGGACTTCTTACCCTTGAGTATCATCTAATGCATATCAGTGTTCGGGACAGGAAAGTACTTCGTCACGAGTGTTATACACCACGTCGACTATCTTCTTAGACCTACTCTCGCAGAGTTAAGCATCCGCATTTCTCGTCACGACGAGTTCGCAACTTTCAGAAGAAACGATAGGGATATTAAACTCTCAGAGTTGGTCAAGTTAGCAAAGCACAGCTGTGAGAAGACTTTTACAAGTGCTTCCGTAGCCTTGATCCATCTGGGCATTTCACCGTTCGCCATCACCAGTATAGATCAAGCTCCAACGGCCTCTCCACGAGAGCTGTTATTTAAGATACTGGTAAAGCCAGCTGGATCAGGTGACCGCCATCATGAGGGATCTTCCTAATAGCATAGGTAAGTTTGAGACACAATGAATTCTTCTCGATACCGCAGGCTAACCAGTCATGTTATATTAGCGGAAGCAAGCCACCACATATCCCTCCTCACGGACCCGAAGAGCGACAGGAAAGAGTACGACATAACAATGAATATCGCGGACGGAATCCCCAGGATGTTTTTCATTTGCCTTCATAAATCGACAGCGCGTGCACCGTTTTTTTGTCGATGCCAGCCAGGAGAATTGGCAAGGGGCGGACGAAATCAAGAGAATCCGACGCAAGGCCCACAATACACGCCTCCGCAGCTACGAGCCCTTGGCCCTCTCGGCCTCCCGAGCACTCAGAGACGTAGAGACGTCGGTTGTGCTCCCTGAGGAGTTCGAAGGTAAATCGGAAAATATCATACTTCATGAGCGGCGAGTCCGAACTAGTCAAGCAATAAGGAAGAATGGACACTTCCTTGGTCGTACGACTGACATTGGTCAAGCCTTCGATTGTCATTTACGTGCACACCAATGTTGTTACGCATACTAGCATCCAAGCCACCTTCGCCCCGAAGAAGACCCGCTATTATCTATGTCACTTCAAGTGGGAGGAACAGGGGTAGTACGCTACGGCATGTGCCGAGGTATGTTTCAGCTTGCAATGTGCGGCATGGTGGCAAAAACACAATATCGTCGCCAAGACCTATTTATCGCCAGCGGGAGCTTTAGTGGACGACCGATATTCTTGCCGTCGCCGCTGGAGCGGCACTTGTTGAATCGGTTGGAGGTGGACTTGCGGGTTCGACGTTGGTTTGTGAGGGGGGCCTGTGGCGTATTCGTCTGGGCGTCGAAGATGATGAGATGAGGGTGGAGTTTTGGATGGAGGTGGTTAGGGGGGAAGGATTTAGGGTTGTTGATGACTGCGAAGTTTAGAGGACATGTGCAGAATAACCCGGTGGATATTTATCATTCTTGTTTTATGTCGTTGTTGTTGTTGTTTTGTTTTGTTTTGCTTTGTTTTAATTCAAATGCTTACAGAGATCAAATGGCAAGGACTGAGTAGTTATGCGGCAGGATGAATGACGATATGTAGTTAACTAGTTAGTTATGTGGTTTTCAGCTTTGTATATTACTAAGCATCTCCGAATCCCCAAAATCTGCCGAAGGACAACAAACAACCACCGAGCATCGCGAGCAATTGAGCACTCCTGCTCACTCCTTCCCTCCTCTCTTCTCTAGTCGTCCTCCGTTAACGACCAAACCGCCGAAATGTCCCTAACCCGCCTCTACCTCTTCACCTACAACGCCCTCGCCTTCACCCTCTGGGCCACAAGTACCACCTACGCAGTCCTTCTCCTCACCCAACAAACCCCCCTCCCAACCATCTTCAACAAAATCTACAACCCCTACCTTCTCACCGCGCAGTCCCTCGCGATTCTCGAAATCCTGCACTCGCTTCTCGGCCTCGTGCGCGCCCCCGTCATGACTACACTCATGCAAGTCGCGAGTCGGTTGTTGCTGGTTTGGGGGATTATGTACCCGTTTGGGGACCATAGTGCTGCTTGGAGTGGGAGTAAGATTGTGGGCGGTGTTGGGGAGGCGCAGTTGGGTGATTATGCGTTTTTGGGGTGTTTGGGGGCTTGGGGGGTTACGGAGTGTATTCGGTATGGGTTTTTTGCGTTGCAGGTTGGTGGGGTTGGGGTGCCGGGGTGGTGGACTTGGTTGAGGTATGTCTCTCTTCTATCCAAACTGTCTGATATGAGAGGTGTAAAGGATGCTAATGAAGTAGATACAACACGTTCTACGTCCTCTATCCCCTCGGTATTAGCAGCGAGTGCACGATGGTGGTTAAGGCGCTGAAGCCGGCGGCTGAGTTTCATCCTGCTTTCTGGTGGTTCTTGGTCGTTGTTCTCGGTATCTACGTTCCTGGTATGTTTCTCTATTCTCTTGTTCTGGTGGCATGTACTGACTGACGACTCAGGCTCGTACATTCTCTACACGCACATGATCGCCCAGCGCCGCAAGGTTCTCAAGAAGCAGAAGAACTAGGTCTGTCTTGATATGGCCGTATATATGTAGATACCGCATATATGTAGATATTAGTATAGTATCTATAATGTTACATCTCTTTCATGATATCCCGAACCGCCTTGGCTGCAAACTTCTTTCGTTCGCTTTCCGGTAAATCGGCGCTCATATCTACTTCATCAGCATTTGCCTAAACAAAGACAAGAGAAGAATACATACCTTTAATAGCCTGCATCCGTAACATCAGCGCCTCCATCGACTCAACCTTAATGTCACCATCGTCATCACCCTCGAAGTCCCCAAACTCATCCCCATCATCACCGCCCCGTTCAATCGCCATGCGCAAGCCAAACATCTCCCGCTCTAGCTCGTTGACTTCGAGGTTAAACCCGCTACTGCTCTTATCGAAACCCAAGAGCTGTTCTTCGAGGTCATCGTCGAAACCTAGATCTGCATCTGCATCTCCGGATTGATCATCAGACGCCCAATCGTGAGTTTCGATGATTTGACGAATTCGGCGCATTCCTTGGTATTCTAGTTCTATTAGCATATGACATATGGGGTAGAAAAAGGGGAGGGGCACAAACCGCCATATTTATCCCTAAAATCCGTATCCGGCGCACTAGGATCCCAACTCGCGATATCGAAATCCATCAACCCAATATCATCAAGCTGTTCTTCCCACCATGAGATAGAGAATGGTTCTTGAGTCTCTCCTAACCCATCCTCATCCTCAATATTATCATTTCCCTTCTTCTTGGTCTTCGTATTCTTATTCTTATCCCCATCCTCAACGAGAATAATCAACCCCAGCACCTCCCCAAACCCAATCCCCCCACCTTCACCATCATCATCGCCATCACCACTCCTCTCACCCTCGATTAACCGCTTGACTTCGCTGATACACCGTAGGAAGTCCTTGAGCGCTTGTACATCCTCCCGCTTACCCTCCTCACTGGTATCCTGGCCAATAGCACGCGGCCGCGGGTTCTTCAAGCAGATAACAACACCTCCGATCGCATCACGCACGACTCGCGCTTCAGCGCCTGAGAATTCGGTTTTCCATTGCGCTGCTCCTGTCCCTTCCACTTGGGTTTCTGTCTTCGCCTCTGTTCCAGTCTTTGTATTCGTATCCGTAGACGAAGTCGGAATCTCATCAACCCAAATCGGCACCTCCGCTTTGTAATACTTATTCTCGATCGTGAGGGGTGTATGTGTCGTGTACCCCGCGAACGTCGTCGTCGCAGTTGCAGTCGCGGAAGGGGGATCTTTAACCGCGACGCCCGTTAACGTATGTAAGAGGGGAGGGATGGTGGTGAGGGAGTGCGAGGTCGGGGTGAGGATGAGGAGGCGGCGGGGGGAGGAGATTAGTTTGGATTGCGATTTCGATGGTCCGGTGGTTTTTGGTGGTGTTGTTGCTGCTGGTGATGATGGAGGCAATGGGTTCATTTTGGAGGTTGTTTTTGAGTATGTGGTGGTTTGCTGGTTGGTTGATTGTATATTTGAAGATGACATCGATAGATTGCGGAGATGGAGAATCGGCGGAGCTGATGGGGGCGGATTTGCAGAGCTCAGAACAAGCTCCAAGTTATATTTTATCTCCACGCATCCCTACACATTTGTTGTCTCTGTAGCTGTACCAAGGGTAGCTTTACCAAGCAAGACAATTATAATTATTTTCCAGACCTCGCATGCAGTTGAGAATCACTACTGCCCTCATAGGCACATATGTACAAGCTACGGAGGTAGACAAGGATAGACCAAACTGACATCCAGAGAATCATCACCTCTAAAGACCAGCAGCAAAATACCCAGTCCTACCTCCTTACAATAATATCCATAGCATGAACTGGACCAGACAGATTATCTCATTGAGCGTAAATTCTCAAGTCCCCAAGTAAATAAAGAAGAACGCCGACCATCATATGGAAATGTAAACCTCAACAAAGACGAAAAGACCAAGTCCCAAGGACAAAAATCAACCCCTCCGCTGTCCCCTAGCCCTCTGCACCGTCGCCTTACCACGCGCCAATCCAACACCTCTGCCGCGCTGGCCTCTCGAGCGGAACATAGGTGCGTTTCTGTACACCACGGGTTAGCATCTATCATCTTCCTTTCATTTTGCTTTGCTGTCTTGCGCAACGCAATCTGGATAATGGGGAGGGGAAATGTACCTCAACATATCCGGCACAATGAAGAACCGCACATGACTCCCCCGGATATAAACCTGGTCGAGATGCGAGACGCGGCCGTCGCGGGCGGTCACGGTGATATCTTTGAGTTGGACGTTCATGTTATCCTCGGCTGTTTCATTGTCAGTCTTCATTGATCGCAAGGGTATTGTATTCGAGGAGGTTGGTTTGTTCGGGACAGGTGGTGATGGTGATGGGTGGTGATGGATGAACGTACCCTCCAAAAGCTTTCCTCGGTAGACGACGCCGGATGTAATCTCAAGGGTGACGACGTGGCCCTGTCAAACATTCAGCGTTAGCTTCTTTTCCAAGATCCCGAGACAAAACTGCAAAGCTGTAGCAAAGGAGCGTACCTGCGCTTCATTCAGAAGCTTGATCGGAATCCCGATCGTACTGGTTAACTTGCCCATATCGACAACAATTCTTGTAAAATCCTTCTCAAGAAAAACAAGATGATAAATACGCGAATACGCGTGAATAATGAATTGCGAACGGTCGACTCGTGAGTGGAAGAAAGCGCAAAGACAACTCCGTAGCTTAGCTCAAGATCCAAGGCGGAGAGTTTTGCGGCTCTGCGGTCTTGGCGGTTTTTTTTCTACAAGCATACAACTCGATTTCTAACTACTAACTACTAACTACTCTTTACTCTGCACAGTGTACATAATGCGCAATTGAACATACAAACTTACAAAAAGAAAAGAAATGACAAACACAAACCTCCGCGGCTTCACCCAAGCCGTCCGCACCCTCCTCACAACACCCTCCCAATTCCTCCCACACCTCACAATCCCAACCTTCACGCATTTCCCCGAGAACATCGGTCCATACCTCCAACAAACATCACCAAGCACCGAAAAAGACACGAGCAAGTCACCCGTGATACGCGCCCTAGTCCTCGACAAAGACAACACCCTCTGCCCCCCGAAAACAACAACCTTCCCACCCCAAATCCTCACGAAACTCGAACACCTGCGCAAATCCCCAACATCGCCATTCAACCAACAAACATCCCCGTCATCGATCCTAATAGTCTCGAATAGAGCAGGCAGCCACGCGTGTTACGACGCCGAAGTACACTCCCTCGAATCCAGTCTCGCGCACCTCCAAATTACCGTCTTCAGATTACCAGTGGGAATCGAGAAGAAGCCGTTCTGTGGGGAGACGGTTGTAGATTGGTTCCGGGAGCGGGGGGTTGTTGAGCGGGCGGATGAGATTGCGGTTGTTGGGGATCGGTTGGGGACGGATGTGGTTATGGCGAGTATGATGGGAGCGTGGAGTGTTTGGTGTCGGGATGGGGTGTATGAGGGGGTTGAGGCTGGGAAGGGGAGGCCCGGGATGAATATGTTGGAGAGGATGGAGATGTTGCTGGAGAGGTATTTGAGGGAGTCGAAAGGGCTTTGTGCGCCGCCGCCAAAGGGGTGGAATGGCAGTTCGTAGACTGCGACGTACAAATACATACCCTGTACAATAGATAGATACCCTGAACAAAGTTATCCCAAAAATCATGATTCGGTGACTATCTCTACTAGCTTCACACCAGAACCACATGCCCAGGACAGAGGATGTTACAACCCTGTCAGCATGGATCCAGGCTAGAATCATGACCTAGAACAAACAAAACAAATGACCATCACGACAAGTGACATGCAAACAATACCTAACCCGCCGACCCAGAGTATATAAAAAGCAGCAACAAAAAAAGGGGGGGGGGGGGGGGAATCCGAAGGGAAATCGCCATCTTCAAGTCCGACTTTCTGGCATAACCACGTTAAAAAAAAAAAAAAAGTGTTGGATAAAAAGGGACCCTGGCCAGCATGGACAAATGGCCAGGATGAGAAGAGAAGAAAAGAAAAGGGAACATGAAAAAAAAAAAAAAAAAAAGGGAATCCAACCGCAGTCAGACGAAGAAGAAAAGAAAATCAGAAAAAGAAAAACACAAAAAGGGTCAGGACCAGCCGCAAGCAGAAGGGTATTAGTAACAACAAAACATCAATCAAAGTATTTCAAATAGAACGGGAAATCACATCCGCCTAATCATCGCCATCAATTGGCCAAGTTGCAAAAGAGACACACAAACCTCACAGGCCTCTTGTGTTGAACAGCATGGTATCCAATACAGGAACCAGTGAGCTTTGAGGGGGTATCGTTTTGAAAATCAGGAATAAATCGGATCAACGCCATATCCTGTACAGGTGAAAGGGAACCCTAAGTGGCCGAATCACGAGGATTCGTGCGCGTAAGAGCGAAAAATACATCGAGTACATGCCCGAGAACTTTACGATCCAGGTGCCAACGTGTTAGGATCCACGTGGTCCAACGAACCCATGCTCTGATAGTCGCCCTGAACGCTTGGCGAGTTGTGACCGGACAGACTGTGAATGGGAATTTCAAAGTTGTTGCTCTCGAGTCCCATGCTAGTGGGAACAGAGTAGTTCACATTTTGCTTGGGATACATCTCACCCAGCCCCATACCCTCGTCCGCGAGCGAGGACTGATGATCATGTCCAAAACCGTACATCTCCGTCGACGCGTGCGGCATGTTCGACAGCGGAGGCGAGTGGTTGGCGATCATGGGGTCGGCAGCACTGACAGTCGAGTATGGCGAAGCAGATTGCGACGCCATGTGCGACGATTCCACTGCCGGCGAAACGAATGGCATGTGGAAGGACGCCCCCATGGTGGTAGCAATTGGAGTGGACTCGCCTGCCGCTGTGGTAAACATGGATGGGCTCGCGAATTCAGACGGAGAGGCCGCGGTGGTCGCAGACATCGGAGGGCCCCGAGGATCCATTCCGTAGGGAGTCGAAGTGTCAACCCGCAGGTTAAGAGACAATGGGTGAGCTGATTGAGGAACCGGAGCGTAAATCCCCGAGTCTGCATGGCTTGTGTACGGCGATGTCTGCGGCATGTTAAACGACAGCGGCGCTTGCAATGCCGAAAAATCCACCGCAACTGGGACGGAGCGACTCCGTTGGCGCTTGTGTCCTCGACCGGGGTGCAGACTCATATGCGGGTGGTGCTGGGGAGCATCCTGGTACATGCCCAAGAACGGAGCTGTGAAGTGGTGATGGTTGGGCTGCGAAGCTGGGCGTTGGATAAAGGGCGGCGACATCGGAGGGGCGGGCATGGCAAAGTTGTAAGCCATACGATTCTGGAAAGACTCCAAAGAGACCAATTTGGCGAGCTGAACGCTAAGAACCTTGGGATGACCCCCAAGATGATGAACCAAGATCTGACTGGCCTGCTGCTCTTCGGTGAAGTCACCGCACTGGTAGAAGCCTCCAGAGTTGGAGGAGTCCATGTAGAAAATCGGCGGACGGTTCAATTCCACGACCAAGCCACCAGGCCTGGGAGGAGCACCGTTGGGTTGAGGACCTTGGTCACCCGACTCCAAAGTGATGTTCTTGATATGGGAGAAGGGGTACTCGATCTTGTATCCGGCGGAGTCATTGTTGATGTAGTAGGTCATGCAGGCCTTCTCTGGCGAGTAGAAGACCACCAGGTCCATAGCATTTTGTCCGATGCGGCGCCAGCTTCCAACGCTCAACGAACGGCATGTGAAGTGATGAATAACTGGAGATGCATGATTAGTAAGGGTATGCAAGCCACATGCAGGTGTCAAACTAAAACACTAGAACGTACCAACTTTGCCCGAAGGGGTGGCTTCATTGTGGTAGCCGTTGGCTCCATAGGCCCCCGTGCGGCCAAACGCATCCCTTGCGCCAGGCTTGTTCGGGTCAACCTGCATGGCGAGATACTGACGCATAGACTCAGGAATGGAGTCACAGCCTTCACCCGTTTCAATGCTTTTCTTGGCGAGCATCTTTATTTTGGCGCGGCTATGTCTGTTAGTAAATCCGCACAAATCCATTATCAATCGTAAAACTCACCGGTTCTGGAACCAAATTTGCACGGAACGCTCAGTCATGCTGATTTGTTGGGCAATTCGCTCCCTTGTGGCAGCGGTAGGGGTAGGGTTCTTGTTGAATTCCACCTCGAGAGTAGACAATTGATCCTGGGTAGCCCGTTGACGCTTGTTGTTCTTCTGCTGCTGGGTCAAGGTGCTCTTGCGATGAGGGCGACGCGAGGCCGAAGCCGAAGTGGATGGAGTGTTGGTGACACTCGACATCGATGGAGATGGCGTCGAGGCGACAGACGAAGCAGTCGCGGAGGAAATGGCCGACGGGCCAGGGACGTCTATCGAAGACATGGTTTGTATTGCTGAAATTGGATCGAAAAGGAGAGAGAAAAAAAAGAGTAAAGAATGTCGAAGAGTTGTTGTTAAAAGGAAACAAGAGAGGTGACGATCCGGCCGACAAGTGAGTCTCTCGAAGCAGCGTCAAGCGCGAGAGACGAGATGACGGGAGGAAGGTGGAGTAAATAAACGAATGGCAGCGAGCTTGGAGAGAAAGGCCCAAGACTCTGTGGAGAGAGGGAGAAAAAAAAAAAAAAAAAAAAAAAAGTTGGTGTATAAAAGAGATCTGATATACAGATCGGAGGAACCGGTGAGCGCGTCGCAGCGGCGTCAATCCAATATCCCACAGGAAAGCAGCTGACCTATGCAGCTGTATATAAGAAGCGAAAAGAAGAATATAGCCTGCAATCTTCGCCCGTCTGCGTCAAGGATCCAGTCACATATACCGGAAATCGGAGATAGAATGAGGATTGTCGTCGTGAAATGACGGGATTCTCAGGAAGTCGACTGGCAAGCGTCGTCAGGGAGCGAAGAAAGTAGAGTAGTAGCGAGCGGTACGGTCGTCGTTGAAAGAGTGAAACGAAGCGACCTAAAAAGAATAAAAACGAAGGAAAGAAAAGAAGAAAAAAGCGAATGAAAACGAACGGATGGTCGGAGACGATAAGAAAAGAAAAAGAGAGATGGAGAGAGAGGAGAGAGAGGAGAGAAAAGAGAGAAGAGAAAAGAAGAGAGACTGAGGGAAAGAGGTGGAGGTCTCGGGTCAGGGGATTGAGAGTTGTGATTGGCTGAGGAGGTGGAGTGTAACACAGCCAGGTACAGTACAGTACAATGAGCATGAATAATACTCTGTAGTATACAGAATAAACAAAAATATCATACAGAAGACGAAAGTCGTATTTAAGACAGCCAATCCAATGGCTGGTGCTGGTGGTTATTCTGGCGCTTCTGCTTTGGCGCTGCGGCTGGATGTTTGTTACAGAGTCGCCTGTTTTGGCCCCTGCAGATGCATGGAGAGTATTCCGTAGTAAAGAGAGATAGTATAGTTACTCCTTGGGAGAGCAAGATACTCTGTAGAATACTCTGAATACTCAGCCCAAAACAATGAAATGATAAATCATTTACATCACTACAGTACAGCACGTTCGCCGTTGATAAATCCTCGTGCCCGATTCTAGCCAGTAGTCGCCAGACCTCCAGTACCGCCAGAGCCCGCATCCGCAAGATCCGGTCTCCACGCATAGTGCGTGCCTGTGGGTGCCTGTGCTGTGCCTGATATCCCCGTAGCGTAGTTATCCGTATCCGGAGCTTTTTATGATATCAATATCATGATTCTCCAGTTCTATCCATACTATTATGTATATCGTTGCTCTACAAGTACAATTATCAATTATCAAATATTCGTCTTACTCCGTAGAGGTGCACACACAGATACCCAATACAGTTTAGTCTACCCCCCTTACTTGACCCATGGTCACTGACCTTCGATCCAGGTACCCGAACCCACATGCCCATACATTCTGATTGGTCCAACCAGCATGACAGCGAGGAGGTCAGCCTGTTTTGTAACCCCACACACAAAAAGAGGGAAAAGGAGTATCTGTAAATAGAACATACTGCTGGTTGTCCCATGGCTTCCCACAGACTAGAACTGGAGGTAGGTGGTGCAACCACTGCAGGGGTATGCATATATAGTATAGTACTGACTACCCTAGAGTTCACATTGTGCAAACAATGCCAACCCAAACTGGGATCAGTATCCTATCCTATTGTGCTCCGTAGTTACAGAGACAAACTGCTGCTTACAAAATCCCGTAGGCTGGACCCCAATCCGGCAATCCATAACCCAATCCAACCCCCTAAAACCCTCGCCAAGACCAACTAATAACCTTAGCCACAGTAGTCTGATCCTACCCTCCTCCCTCACCAAGCTATGACTAATTCGGCTAGTTTTTCGGTTCGTGGCGCTTTCGCCGGGGATGGTTATTGTGGGATATGAATATCCGGAGTTCTATATAGACACTCCGAGCATACAAATATAATTGATGTCTATACATATAATACTAATACTATTTATCGATATCTTATACAAACCACTGTACAGTCCATAGACAGTCAACGGGGATTATTAATACAAAAACACAAGAGGTATCCCAACTCCAGTCAAAATCACAGAGACAAAAGAAAAACACAAAGAAACTGGGCAAAGAAATACCAGGTTCACTTCAAATGCCCCTTCCGAATCGCTCCATACCCCTTACTGAACAATTCATGAATATCCTTGGACCGCTGCGCATCCTCGCCAGAATGTCCCGTCCCAGGAACTTCATTAACATTAGGTCCATATTCCATATTAGTAGTAGCAACCGCAACCTGACCAGAGCCCGTCTTGGTCATAACCCGAGGCCGCGCCAGGAGTTCCTGCACCTGTCTCTCGCGCGCCTCCTCGTCTTCCGCCTCCTCTGCCTCGCGCGCCAGCTCGAAACTCGCCTTCTTCGTGCCCCGGTCCCAGCCCTGCTGTAGCTCCATCGCGGCGGCTTCTTCAAACCGCTTCCGGATCTCCAAGTCTTGCTCGTATTCTTGGAAGATGTCCACGTCTGTCGGGAGGAGGTTTGCTCGGACTGCGCTGACGGTGATTTCGAAGACGATCACGGCCATGACGGTCACGAGGAGGACGGCCCAGAAGGAGAGGTTGTGGCCGGTTTGCTTGAGGAAGTTGCCGTTGACGTGGTACACGCCTTTGCCGGATTCCATGGTGTAGCGAGACGAAAGGATCATGTTCCAGAGGAACCAACCGCCGATGGAGATTACCATCACGATCACCGACAGGTAGGTCTTGTTGTGCACCTCGAGCGCTTGCAGTTTGGTGTTGATAACCACCACACACGCCGAGAACGTCACAAGTCCCAGTGAGTAAATGTCGTTGCCTGCACGGTTGTTGAAAAGCACATTGCCAAACAGCCCGTACATGGTAAAGTAGATGATCATCGCTTCGCACGCTGCCATGAACGTCCATCCCAGGAACAGCTTGATGTTAAACCCAGCATGTCGTTGGCCCTTGTTGTATAACTCCGGCACAGCCAGGAGTGTTGGCGCGGCAAGGTCCTTCGTAAAAATACCCAGGAAGATCACCGCCAACGACGTGAACAGCGTGTTGAACATACTCAAACTCCACGATTCGTACAAACTCGTTCCCGTATATCCGTTCCATCGCTGGTAGAGCGCTTGCGTCAAATAGAACAGCATTTCCTTCCAGAAAGTCCCCAACGTATACTTGCACGCGCGGATGTAATTCCACCGTCCGTGACAGAGAAGCAGCTTCAGCAGGAACCGGAACTGCGCAATCGAGTAGTCTGAGATCCGAGCAGCCTGTAATCCTTCTTTGCCCGTGATGCCAATACCCACGTGCGCTTCTTGAATCATGGCAATATCATTGGCACCATCTCCGATCGCCAGCGTTACGGAATCCTTGACTTGAAGACGGATCGACTTCACAAGGAACGCCTTTTGCTTAGGACTGGCACGGCAACAGATGACCGAGTCGACAAGGATAGCAAGGTTGAGGAACCGCACCCGCAAGGTCGCGTCTGCCTCAATCATCGACAACGTCTGTCCGTCCACAACCAGAACCGAATGAGCCACGACACCCTTGGTGATATCCGCCGTGAGCTTGACAATCGACTGTTCGACATCGCCGTTTTCCTGATCAAGAATGACAACCGTGGAGTACTCCCTGACCAGACGACACGAATGGCCGACATTGATGGCTGTTTCGCGCTTGTCACCAGTCAACATCCAGAGCTTGATGTTTGCCCGTCGCAACTTGTCAATCGCCTCCGGCACGCCCTTTTGCAACTTGTCCTCGATCGCCGTCGCACCAGTCAGCTCCAGGTGTTGCTCGATCTCCTCGCCCACTTTCTCAATCTTCTCTTGCCGGTCGACTAGGCTGGTGCAAGCCTCATGGTACGCCTTCTTCCAGTTCTCATACGTCGCTTCATCCAGGTACCGATGACCATACAGCAGCGTCCGCAGACCCTCCGTCGCAAAGTCGTTCAGATGCTGGAAGCACCGCTCAAACACTGCCGTCTCGTTGACCACCAGCGCCTCCTCCACCAGGTCCTCATACTCCGCCTCATGCATGGAGCTGGAGTCTGAGACCGCCATGGATGCACGTCCAAGTTGGGTCGAAGGGCGAGGGCTGTAAAACGCGCTGTCGTTCTCCCGAGTCAAGATACCATGGTCCGTTTCGCGGTCCCGCAGCCAAACATCAATGCTGTCCCGCAGGGTGTTAACCTGCTGACCAGAAACACTTGAACGACGGTGCATGCTAGGTCTGCTGAAACCGCTTTCCTTTCGGTTGTTGTATTCGCTGTTGTGCCGTATGATCGAGTTCGCTTCTGCAGCCTTGCGCCTGCTCGCGCGCCTCCCAATCTCGACGGCCTTCTCTTGCGCCAGATTAGACTTCTTCAGCAGGTTCATCAGAATGCTATCCGCGCCCTTGCAGAACACACAGATGCGCTGGTCAGGCATCCGCACCAAGACTGACATTCGCTTCCGTGCACTTGAGAACTCAATAACCTCCAGAATCTCAAACACCTCGTCAACGGCCGGCTCATATGGTCCATCGGGGAAACTTCGAATAGTCAAGGTGTTCGACTGGCGATCCTGGACCAAATATCCAAGTTCCCGCGCGGCCGAGACCAGTGCCAGTTCATCCGGCGAAGACGCCTGGTACGACGTATCCCCGTTCTCGTCCTCTTCAGGAATGCAGGTGTGGCACAGAGCAATTGACAGAAGGAACAGCTTGGCCTTGCGCGCAAAGACGGTGTACGGTTTCCGCTGGATATACTCAACCATGTCCGTCGTCCGGCAGGTGGAAGCCATCTTGCCATCCCTCAGGGATCGACCCCTCATGGACATAGTACCAGCCATATCCACGCCGGTAGACACGTTCGATTGTCTGACACCACTTGGCCGGACCTCTGACACGTTGGACTTGCGTCCCATGACTTTCTTTCCTTTGACACTTCGCTTCTTGTGGATTAGCTTGCCACGATCGCCTTCTTTGGCCTCTTCTTCGCGAATGTCGAGATCGTGGAACCATGCCGTGCCCGCGACACTCATCTTGCGGAACTTCATCGTGTTGTTGGTCAGAGTACCGGTCTTGTCCGAAAATATGTAGCTCACTTGTCCCAGTTCTTCGTTGATGGTTGACGTTCGTGCTTCAAGAGGCGTATTCGTTTCCTCATCGTACATGTCGATATCGTTCAAGAGGAACATCTGGGCAACCTTGACAATTTCCATACTCACATAAAGAGAAATTGGAATCATCGTGTTGAACATGATTAGGAACGACGTGAAAATAGGACCCAAGTCGACACTTGCCTGCGTCAAGTACCATGCGGAGTTCTCCACGTCCTCGGCCCAGTACTTGTACGCGATGGTACAGGCGACCGCCAACGCGACGACTAGCGCCACAATTAGCATGACGACGCGGTTAACCCTGGCCTGCAGGGAGGGTGACTTGATCCGCGGGTTCTTGTTAGCGTTCATTCGAATCTTGCACTCCTCGCCGGTGTAGATGACCATCCCGAGAACATGCTCAGTGTTGCGCAGAATGCTCCCACGGTAGACAATCTCGTTGTTAGTCAAGGGCAACTTTTCCTGGCCGTTGATGACCACATTGCCATCGAACTTGTACAGGTCCAGATTGGGGTCTTCCACTGCAAAATGAATGGAGTTGCTGCAGATATCCTCGACTGTGGCGCAAACTTTGGAGACTGGCTGGCATGGCTGTTTGTTCTTGAGATTCGTTTCACCATCCAAAGCCATGGTCTCGATGTACGCAATTCCATTGGGTCCCTCGGCATGAAGCAAGACGAAATCCGCAGGCACGGGCTGATCGCGCTCGAGTCTGATAACATCGCTGACCTTGATATCTTCCCATTTGATAGAAGCCCAATCCTGGGAATCGCTTGTCACGGAGACGTCACCACTTGAGGCTGCCGGGGAAGCGCCTTTTCCAGGGCGCAGAACGTTCGCATAACGGTTGTTTTCTTCTTTGTCTAAGCGATAGCGACGCCAATCATCAAGTCCTTCTTTACCCATCGAGATACCAACGAAAACCAACAAGGGAACCAGAGTAGTGTAAGTACCGGTAGTACTCAGACCAGGAATCATCTGCAGAATCGCGACAACCAGGAAATAGAAGTTTGCAAGTTTGGTGAATTGCGCCCACAACTGACGAGGGAAGAAACTCCAGAAACTGTAGCGACTCGACCGAATCCAGTTGCCGGTATATGGTTTCCCCGTGCGTTCGTCAATGGGGGTTTGAGTGCATTTCGGATCCAGGTCGATGTGACGGCCATCCTTGCTTGGGGGAATGTCTTTGATGCGTAGGATAGTCTTACGAATGGCCTCCAGAGCGTTGTTGACACGGTTGATCATCAGAGTGGTCATCGCTTTTCTTTTGAGCCACCTCTCCTGCGAAATCGACGTGGAAAGTCTCCCTTTGTTGTCCTCGGACGGTTCCGAAAAGTAGGTCGATACATCTTCTCTTGAAGTTGATGAATCCGCAGTAGCCTCTTCAATCGTCAATCCATGCTTCTCATCTTCCGATGCGTTTCCATCCTCCGCTGGAATGCGCTTGTCCTTGGTTGGCTCATGTACCTGCTGAGTCGTCTCTTGCGGACCACTGGCCTCACCTAATTCAATCGCACTGGGAGGCACCTCGCCAGGCTGAGGTTGCATGTTTTTGGTAAATATGGCGCGACGCAGCGAATACCCCCGATTGCGGGATCTTGAGCGACCCGACTCCTGGGGTGACGGAGGGGACAGCGCCGCATTGGGAGAGAGAGGAGAGAGACTCCGATCTGGAGAGCAACCGGCAGAATGGGATCGCGGAGGTGCCAGATTGGTAGTGTTCAGAGTAAGCTCCCTGGACGCCGCCCGTCGCCCTTCCCAACTCCCATCTCGCGATTCCTCCACACCGGGTCGTTCGAGATCGGTCGAGAAGCGAACATGTTGCTGCTGGGACGATCGGCGGCCAGAATCCGAAAATGCCCTAGTAGGGAGAGGCCTTGAACCGATGCTTTCCTGCGATGGAGTCCTTAAAATCGACGGTGGTGCTTGCAGAGACTGCGGTCTTGAAGACGCCGTCTCTCCCCCTGTGGGCTGAGGCGCTCCCTGTGAGGGAGAATTCTTGGATAAACTATCATCTTTTGACATGGCGAAGGAATGCTCCTCCACCAACAATTTCCTTTTGCGTTTATTTCGGAATGCTCAGCGTCCCGATTCTTCTCCTTGCATCCGTTGACAGGTTATTAATTCAATGAATATATATCTCTATCGATAGAACGTCAAAGTTCGTAACGCGTATAGTCAAATCGTCAGAATTTCGAGAAAATCGTAACTAGGACCGGGGAGGCATTATTCTCGCAGTCGACGTGACAAAACCGGAAGAAATCTGTAGTGACAGGATGTCCACGTTAGCTGCCGCTGCCGCTGCTTGCAATCGCTTGTTTTGTTCCAACACACCAAGTTACCAAAAGACATAAGCAACTAACGACGCAATATTCTTGCGAGACAGAAGTGGAACGTGAGATTAATGGGCCACCACAAGTTTTCCCGTCCGAAGTGTCTGAGATAACCCAAGAAACAGAAAACCAGCACAGAACAGAAAAGAAAAAAAAGAACCGAGCAACAACAACCAAACTTTTCTGCAACCACACTTGCAGCCCTGTACAAGGCGGGAAAGCAACGTAAAGCAGAAAACCCAACACCTGCGCGATGCAAAGAAGACGAATCGACGATTCCGCAGGCGGACAGGTCGACTTGGGGGAAGGCGGAACGTGCGCTAATTGGTCAGGGGACGGATGCGGCGTGGATTGTCTGAGCAAGCGACAGGCAAAAAGAGCAAGTGAGAAAGTAATACTTGGAGAAGGACCCAAAATAAAGTCTAGACATTGACTCAATGCAACTTAAGCGTCCCTCAAGCGAGGTACGTACCCATTGTACGTAGCCTCCAAGATCGCGGAACCGTGGGTTAAAACACTGCCTCTCTGGTCTTTGCCACAAAGGGACTGAGCTGCCAATTAAGGCACATGGCAGTATCAATGGTTTCTTGGTACTCTGAGGGGGTACCATCTGTCAAAGGTCAGGTGACCAGGTTTGACATTTTTCTGGAATAGTTCAGCGCCCGCCCATTGTATGCAGGTGAACAGATGGCAGCCAGCGCTTAGTCTTTACTTGAAATTACTATTGCATGAATTATAAGGGTCTCTTGTCGCATAAAATGGGCATATCGCAACAACAGCGGTGATCGACGTGGTTATATATACTCCGTACCTCTAAAAACACCGAAATCTGCGGACTAGACTTGAAGCATTGAAAATTCTCTTCTGTTTCACTGGCCAGTATAGATTGACAGCTGCTTCAAAGTGTTACTGTGTTTGAGGGATTTAAACAATGGAATCCGTTGGGCAGAAATGCTAGGAAATCCCGCAACCCACAATGAACTGCGTAGACGAGGGGCTTCAATGACGATGAAAAAATACTCTACCCTTGCGCGGTGGTTTATTCTTTTCAAAGGAGTATGAGAAAGAATGGATGCTTGCTTCATATTCATGACTGTCCACGGAGTAGGTTGGTCAATTTATATGATTCTCCCCTGCCAGACACCTGCCGTCGGAAGTCAACTTCTGGTAGAATATCTAGTGCCGCAAAGAAGATCACACTTGAAAGCCCGGTGAATAGCAAAGCAGAATACTGGATCTGAAATGCAGGGCTAAATTCCCGGTTGTCAAAATGTCGCGCAGTTACTCCATATTTGTACATCTACCTCCCGAGGACCAACCATTTAGAGCGGACTCCGAAGGCAGGGATTTTTAATTACTTTCATAATAATGGAGCCGGATGACGTTGGGCATAGTATGAAAAGGAAATCTTGCGAAGAGCTGTCATCGAGGAAATGTTTGACCAATTCAGATGGCGCTGTGCGGAGTACTAATAGCACCCCGGTCAGCAAAGATGTAACTCGCAAGGATGAGGTGCAGTTGATTCCAGACTCTTGTTGAATTTAGTCACAGAAAGAGTACAGGATCTGGTATTTGCACTTGAACCAAGTGAGTGTGTAGGCTAGGCTGTAACAGGAGTCATTTGCACGTCTCCTTGCGGTCTCGGTACCACCTGAAATCCTACGCCACGCAAAGGGGGGTGAGGCTCTCATAATGTACTCTGTACAGAGTACTCTGCTGAGATGCGGCGTCATCCTGTATGGTCAGATGACAGCGGGAATTCCGAAATGCTCCATCGTATTCCTCAAATACCCCATATGGAGTAGTAGTGTCAGACAACAGACAAGGATATTATTGCCGTGACAGTGGACCTTCGAGAAGCACGTTGTCAGAAAAATGTAGGCGATGGCTAATCTGATTGATATGATCTTGGCCGCCGACATCGGCGGGTTCACCCGGGACGGACGCACGGGAAACAAGGACCCGCGTATTTGTTATCTGATTTTGGTCTCCATGCATGATTTACGACTTTTCTGCAACAGTTGCAGGACACTAGCGGCAATAGCCTGTCAAACGACATGAATTTCCTATAGTGCACATTCTTATGTATACTTCTGCACCAAGAAATGAAGTGGCAGGATTCTGTTTCCCGAGTTGGCCATGTCACATTTTCGATGCCAGACCGAGTTATCTGATCCGGCAACCGACTTCCCGAGACTCACGTGAATGATCACTGGATACTCCGGGTATTTCCTTTTCTGTTACGGATGACGGGTATTGAATAGAGAATAGGAATCTTACGGATATTTTCATTCCCATAGACGTTAAAAGCCGGCAATTGAATGCTTGAAATAGTGGCCAGATGATGTTATGATGAACACAGCAGAGGTAACCGAGGATGAGGAAAAATGACTGCCACCGGATCAGATTAGATACAGAGATCCTTGCAGGTATCGTACTGTCGCGTATTACCGCTTGCCACCATACAAACACGTTACCACTCCATACTACAGAGTACACCATACAGCTACTTCCCCAACAAGACAAATAGGAATCCTCCTCAATTGCGATTAATGCTCCTTTCAATAGCTAGGCCAATTGCTGCTCGACAGTTGTACTCAGAACATTCCAATTCGTTGTGATCAACCAGACCCAGCGTAAACAAGCGACTTACCGAGAACGGTAGAGACTAGACGCTGCATTGCAGATCTCGGGCTGAGATTCAACAATTTTCTCTCTGCGGGGGTAAGATCCTTAATTTCTTGTCCTGTGAATTTCTTGCTCAGAATAATGGAATTTCCTTGCTATTATTGTTATGTAGAAAATAAAGCCACTGGACTCTGATACTTTATCTGGAATGTAACATACGGTATGAAACAAGTGGCGAGACCGGATCTGGTGTGGTAATTTTGATTGTTTCTTTTTTCTGCCCTGCGTCTTATCTGGTGGTTTTTCAATCAACAATTGGACGACTAAATACGAGTGTATTCATCCTTCCACAAGTATTTAATCAATTTTCTATGCACTTTATTGCAGTGTATTCTGTATTACATCGCAACCACATCATTACCTAGTGCAGCGGGACCGCTCTCCCGGGTGCCGGCTTTGTCGTTTTTTTCCTCGCCTCGGGCCACTTCCTTTCCTCCTCATCCCACAATCTGTTTCCATTTTAACATCTCCTTCTCCTTCTCCTTCTCCTGAATGCTTGGCTTTGATTCTCGCATTTAATCGACGACCGTTACCGAGTTGTCGCTCATTGTTGCTTTTGTTCTTTTACGCCTAGGTGCCTACTTGCTCTTCGCTCGTTACGACCCCGGGTCTTTCTCTCAGTTTCTTCATATTTAACATTATCTCCAGTCACAATGGGTAATTGATTCTCAACAGTCTTCAAACAAGAGAAAAGAGAGGCTAACCATGATCAGTGCACGCCGTTCTTCCTCCCTCCCCGCCATCCGCGAGGACCATGTCCACCATGCCGTCCTTCAACAACCACCCTAATGGAGACCACCACAGCATCCCTGTGTCCGCCACCTCTCACCCGGACAACCCCATCCCAGAAGAACCCCGTGACCGGTCGCTATCCATTCCCACGAGCTTCAATGCCTTGCCCACCCCGTCCCAGCAAGAAACAGACATGACAGATGCCAACACGCCGGTACCGTTGACCCCACCATCGGAACCGCAAGATGAGGTCCAAGATGACAACGCGCAGTCGTTCAATGGTGGTCGACGGGCATCGACCGTCCTCCTTTCGCAGAACTCGGATGATATGAAACGGGTATTAGAGAATGTGGGTCATGCAGGCACCCAGAAGTTACAACCGCTTTGCTGCGGGGGTGGCTGTTGCCGTAGCCAGCCGTTGCAGAGAGTTCCTGTCCCTGGTCCTACTTCCACGACGAACAACGTCATTCCCCCAGATAACGAGGCATTCCGGAGCCTCCAGTTGAACATCGACTATTTGACGTCAGACAGTATGCTCACCGACGTTGCTGATCTTCCGGAGAAGACGGTTTCTTTTTCGAGTGTGCCAGTGTCTGCTGTCGACATGAAGCTGGGACCATCCGACCACCCGCCTCCGTTTGTGCAACCGCATCCTCCGTACGAAGTGTTCCGTGCACCCTTGCACCACGCCCGAGAGCTCACAAAGGCCGGCGCGGAAAAGCGGACGTATCACTTTGATATTGATATCACCGACTATCCCGCAGAGAGCGGCACAGTTGATTTCGTCGTGGGTGGTGCTATTGGGATTTGCCCCAAGAACAAGGATGAAGAAGTGGACGACATCTTCAACTGTCTCGGAATTCCCAAGTCCATCCGGGACAAGAAGATCACCCTGCACACGACCAAGGGCCGCTGGCCTACTATCTGGGGAGATGACCAGCCGCGTGAGTTGGTCACCAGCCGGAGAGAGGTCTTGAACTGGTGCTCCGACATTCAGAGTTACCCTCCCACCAAGGCTCTGTTCCGGCTTTTGGGCGAGTATGCCACCCACGAACATGAAAAGAAGATCCTCCTTTTCCTTGCCTCTTCGCAAGGCCAGGGTGCTTTCTGTGACCTCCGTACCACATCGCATGTTTCCGTCTCTCAGCTACTGCACGCGTTCCCATCGTCTCAACCCCCTCTGGACCATCTCCTTTCCTCCCTGAACACGCTGATGCCACGTTTCTACTCGCTCTCCCAAGATCCCTTGGCCTCCTATAGCATTAAGGACGGGGTTTCTCGTCGCCTGGTCGAAGTCGCCGTGTCGGTGGCCGAATCCAAGGACTACAAGCGTGGCTACCGAACTGGTGTCGGCTCGGGTTATCTGGAAGAGGTTGCTCGCAAGGTGGTCGATGCCGAAAAGCAGGGTATCGACCCTTCAACACTTAACGTGCACATTCCTATGTTCCGGGGATTGATGGCCAACCCATTGGCCACGCGATTTGCCTCGGATGGACCCATGCTTTTGATTGGAGCTGGCGTGGGAGTTGCGCCTTTCCGTGGTTTCGTCCAGCGTCGTCTGCAATCCGCCAACTGCGCTAACAAGGTCTGGGTGCTGCAAGGTGTCCGGGACTCCCTCCTTGACGAGCTGTACAGCGGCGAGTGGGGTGTGGAAGAATCCAAGGTGCGAACGGTAGTGCAGAGCCGTCGGGGCGAGAGCAAGTACGTCCAGGAAGAGGTGCGACACCAGGCTGATTTGGTCTGGTTCGTGGTCAACGCACTGGATGGACGGGTGTTTGTCTGCGGTAGCGGAAAGGGTATGGGTGAGGGTGTTGAGGCTGCCTTGATCGATGTGGCGATGGCCAAGGGCAACCTGAACAGCGAAGAAGCCCAATTGTTCTGGGATAACAAGAAGGAAGCTGGACAGTACATTGCTGTAAGTTCCTCATCCTCTGGCCTATGTCTGAATGAAGCTAACAACCACTTTAGGAAACTTGGTAATTTATTGTACCTTTTTTCTTGTCAGTACCTTGATGGTCTATAATCTCGCAGCGCGAGATCAAAATTTGGTTGTATGTGTATCTGTCTGGATTGATATTCATTGCATGGTATATGGGAAATCGATACATGGGAATTGTTTGTCTATTGCAAAAATTTGGTCTATTTAGCGTGTTATCTATCTTTTTGGTTAGTTGGATTTGTGTGCATATATAGTATAGATCAGGCTGGTAGCAATACCATGATAATTATCATCCTGCCTGTGCAACTGCTCTGTTATGCTCCGTTATTCACCCAAGGCACAACATGCTCTTCCCTATCCCTCGTCTTCGTAGTTTGAAGCAGTGTCTGAATGGAGTAAATACGACTTCATAACTGCAAACCAGAGCTACGGGGAACAGCGGAACAGCTGTTTTCTGACTGCAGCAATCTGCCTTATCACTGGGACAGCCTTCCCAGAGGCTTGCCACATTGTACCTTTCGTGCATTGATCATGGGCTCATGCAAGCTCTTGGAAGACCCGGATATCCTCTGCAACCACCTAGGACAGCACCTTGGCTCATCCGATAAAGATTGGAATCCTCGTTATTGGACCGAAATTTGGTGTCCCACCTCTGACCGACGAAGCTTCACGAAGAAATGAAACAGCGGATTTCAAATTCCGAAGAAACAACACTTGTTTGACGCAAGTGTCACTTTAACCCTGTCCGAATCCGGACATGTAAAAAGAGTGCCACAAATGACGCCGGAAACCAGTTCGTCTTGTTTCTAACGTATTAAAGCCATGCGTGTCTGGAAAAAGACAAAAAAAAAAAAAAAAAAACACCACAGACAGAATCTGATCCAGATTCGTTCGAAGGGAAGCTTTTCATGTCGGTCTGACTCAAGTAAGATCGGGGCCAGGGTCGAGATGATCGATGGTCTGACAGATCTGGTACGAGATATCGCGCACAGTGCGGATGAAAACGTCATCTTCTGATGAGTCTGGAGCGAGGGCACGTCGTCGGATGTAATGCGCGGCAAAGGGTTTGCTGTCAGTATAGCTGGGTTCGACCGTGGTGCACACCCGATTGGTGATTTCGTGAGCAAAAAGCTCTGATGTATGTTAGTATTTCGCTTTGGATGTCAACGGTGCGGTAGATAGGATTTATTATTGATCAGTCTGGCTTAGGCTAGAATATAGCTATTACCATAGTCACTGATATCTCAAGCGGTAGATCAAGGAGGTGCATATTGCGTTTGATGCTCGATGGATGTGTTTTGTTCACGAGCGGATCGATATTTGTCTTCTAGTCAGGAATATGACAATGGTCTCATGGGACTCGTATAGAGATGCATGGTCATCACATGATAGAATACCCCGTTATCAATGCAAAACGAGGCGGTAGCATTGAGTAAATGAGCTGGATATTTCCATCTCTAGATCTATATATTGTGCTATATTTATGTCACGATGTCAATTTGATGCAGACACCCACCACAATAAAACTACAAGTCATCGATCTTGATAATTATGCATTCATTTTCATCAAGAGATAATCACCATCCTATTGGTCTATATATAATCCAAAAGGTCTCTAAACGTTTAACTTAATGACCCACCATAGCTTGCTGTGCAGGCGCATATCTGTTGCCATGTGGTTTGGCAGCATCGATAATCTTGCGCATTTCCTGCTTCTCCTCCTCACTTAGCTCAACGTCCCGAGATGCCCAGTTCTCCCCAAGACGCGTGGCCTTGGTTGTACCCGGAATAGCAATCATTCCCTGAGAAGCAACCCAAGCAAGCGCAATTTGACTGACAGTGCAGCCTTTCCGAGAAGCAAGTTTCTTGACCTCTTCAACAATTGCCTTGTTCTTGTAAAAGTTCTCGCCCTGGAATTTTGGGACTGCGGGTAAAAGGGTATGTTAGTTTTTAAAACTATTGCAGAATAGGAGCGAAGCTCTTGATCAAGACTTACCACTCCGCCGGAAATCATCCGGCGCAAAGTCGTCAGGAGACTGGTAATCAAAGTTATCGACAAGCCAGCCATGCCCCAAGGGACTATAAGCAACATATGCGACACCCAGCTCCTTGCAGGAGTTGATCAGGTCGTCTGTCTCATGCAATGTCTCAAAGGCCGAGTACTCTGCCTGGATGGCGTCAATCTTGGCAACTATTGATCGATGGGGTTAGCGACTAGGTTGGCTAGAGGGAAGGAGAGAGGAACCAACTTGAATTGGCTCTGCGCAGCGTCTTTGCAGAGCATTCTGAGAGGCCAATGTACTTGGTCTTTCCAGCCTTGCGAATTTCATCAAGAGCCGGAATGGACTCTTCAAGAGGCGTATCTTGGAAAGAGTCAGCATACAGCATGTATGAAAGCGGTGGAAATAGGACCTACTGGGATCGATCCGGTGCAGATAGTACAGATCAGGTGTAAAGCCTAGTCTTTCAATGGTTCCTTCGATGTACTCCTTGATGTGGGAGGCAGAATTGGTGACGGAACGATCACCAAAGACATCGAAACCACACTTCGAGGCAACTGTCGATGAATCAGAATCAACTATCCACAATCGAAAAACATCAACAACGTACTGAAAATCTTGTCGCGAACATTGTGCTTCCTGATAAAGTCTCCTAGCAGCTTTTCGTTCACACCGGCTTGATAGACCACCTATATTCCCAATTGTCAGACTCGGTCGTATGCAGTCGCAGATAGGCACCCTCGACTTACAGCAGTATCCCAGAAAGTGCAACCCAGTTCGATCGCCTTCAACAGAACCGGCTCAGCTTCCTCCAGACTCAGGTTACTGCCCAAGCTAAAGCTCAGACCCATTGCGCCGAAGCCCGGCGACGGGACTTGGATATCGCCAAAGGGAAGTGTCTTGACCATGATGAATTTATTTTTCCGGGATGTCAATGATGCTGTCAAACTTTTGTACTCGTGGTGGATGGCAGTAGTGGTAGGGAAAAGCGAGTTTAAATACAGTTGCTCTTCCCCACAGGAAGTCTGCCATATGCAACCTGCTTACCCCATAACACTTGGTCGGCGCTGGAAATAGAGACGACATAGCGGAGATAAGTTAACTAGTCGATGATGACATATTATCCCCGACCCTAACTCCGTCTGAATATTTTCGTAGATGACATTAATTGACGACTCATTTTTTTTTTTTTTTTTTCTCTCTCTCTCTTTCTTCTCCCCCCTTCCACTAAGCATCATACACCATGGCCACTCGCTACGCTGAAGCCCACAAGAAGCCCCAGGGACCTCTACTGCCCTCCAGGACTCCAGGTGGTGAAAGATGAAGGCCTGGAAGAGGCCTGGAAGGCCAGTTGGCCGACAAGTCCATTTTCATCACCGGTACCTCCTCCGGAATCGGCGTCGAATCTGCTAAGGCCCTTTTCACCACCGGCGCAACGCTTTACTTGGCCGCGCGCAATCTCGAAAAAGCGAAGCAAGCGCTCGGTGACCTCACCCGATCACCTCGTGTGCACCTACTCGAGCTAGATCTGAGCTCCCTCGACAGCGTGCGCGCCTGTGCGGCGAAACTACTATCGCAAATCAAGACGCTGAACATCTTCATCGCGAACGCGGGTGTGATGGCCACCCCCGAGGGGCGCACCCAGGATGGATTCGAAACGCAATTCGGAACGAACCATCTGGGCCACTTCCTGTTTTCCAACCTCATTCGGTCATCGCTTCTGGCAGCTGCAACTCCTCAGGTCAACTCGCGCGCCGTGTTCTTATCCTCCGCCGCGCACCGATACCCGTAAGCTTCCTTTTGACAACTACAACTCGGAGGGCGAGTACGATCGCTGGAGGGCATACGGGCAAAACAAGACCGCCAACCTGTGAACGGCCAACGAGGTTGACCGTCGGTATAGCTTCCAGGGCCTGCGCGCCTTCAGCGTCCATCCTGGTGGTATCCAAACTGGACTGCTGCAATACATGTCGGAGGAGAAGAATGCCTTGTCGAGCGATCCGGTGCTTGGTCCTCAGTTCAAGAGTCCGGAACAAGGGGCTGCAACTTCGGTTTGGGGCATAATCTCCAAGTCGCTTGAAGGCATGGTTGGCAAGTACCTGGAGGACATCCAGATCGCCAAGGCGTACGATGCCAGTGAGGGACAGTGTGCACCTGGTTATTTACCATATGCCTATAGCTCAGAGAAGGAAGCAGGTCTTTGGGAATTGTCATTGGGACTGGTTGGATTGGAAAACTAGAGCCTTTTGCGGTTTCTGCCTTTATGTATACATAGACTCTGATCATCTGTGGTCTTGATAGATGGCATCTTCTGGTAACGAATGATGTAAATACGATAATCAGAAATACCGATGTATCATATCCATATGCAAAGCTTGCATTGCTTGAATTCATTCTATAGATGCGCTCATACTGGCATACAAACGTATTTCATTGTCCATTTTCCGCACCTGATCCTTCCTATTCGAGACATCGTTTGTAAACGCTTATCATAGCAAGATACGGATTTTTATTTTACAGCTAATTAGTTAATTAATGCAATATACTGATGTATTAAGTGCACAATATGGGCTCACGATCCAATCTCCAAATTGTTGGAGTAGGTTCCTCTTTACCATATGAATGTGATTGAAGCCAAATTGTGAGACTAGTCAAAAAAGATATGCTTTGAGTTGGATTATTGGAAGCTTAACCGGACGATGCCATCTATTTATGCTATTCCCTGGATATACTTCGAGGCATATTGTGCCTATTGGAAAACTTATATGTCGAAGCGCTTACGCAGTAAGACTGTATCCCTGGCATAGACCCTAAATAGAATGACATTTTATACCACCACTGGATATCAGAAATCGAGTGGCTCTCATGTAATGCACACATAGTGACTAGAAGATCTAGATTCGGTCGAAATATCAGCGGCAATCATGTAGTTTGGTATATCGGCGGCAAAAGCTTTGAGAAAAGCAGATTTCCAATCATCCCTCCTTTGGCGCGTATGGTGGGTGTCGATCGGACAGATATAGAAACCACGCTAAGGATCGCCCTGCACCGCGGCAACATCAAGCGAGAGAGAATGTCTTCCCTTACCCGCCAGGAGCACCAGTGCACTTGAGATAATCACCATAGAATCATAAAAAGTTCAAGCACATTCAGAGCGATGGCGTTTTGGTACATCTTGGACCATGTCTTTATCCGAGCGAACAGATTCTACGGCCAGCCATTTTCGGGACAACCTTTCATCAATTTTGGCAAAGGCTCGGCATAAGGAGATTTGGGGTATTAATCTACAAAATGGAGAGCGACACTCGGTCGAGATAATCCTGGAAAAGGTACTCAAGATACCTAGATAGAAACAAAGCGACGTTGCTAACCCATGAATAGTTTCTCAGTTCCCATGCCGCCATCCCTGCATTGCAGTTCTCGAGGGCCAGCGCTTCAATTAGAAAAGCTTTGGAATGGAGACGTTACTCGGAACCAAGGGCCCTCCTGAGCGACGTAGAGTGTCTGCTTCCAGAGCTAGACCTATTTCATATCACACTTTGCCACGGTCAATATGTGCTGTGGGTGGAAATTGATGACAGAGCTATCAAAGCCCACTCACAAACATACCAGAACCTGGCCACACCTGCAGGAATTGTGAAGCTTGGTCTTGCTCTGATGGAGAAGCTCGCCACTTTGCTTCTGGCTGAAAGTTGTGATCCTAGCTACTATTCAGCTTCGTGTGTCGTTCACTTCAGAACACGTACTATATCCGCTACTAGGAAAGAACTTCTAGTGTAGACTTTTCAATCGAAGCTGTGCAGGGCTCTCGAGGAATTGGTGACACTTATTCGATTTTACTACCCTGAAATTCTGGGAAAGGCATACATAATAAATCCCTCTGACGAATACCTTACGTCTCTTGATATCCCCGAGTCTCTTTTGAGGAATACTGTACTGTTGCAGAATCCACAAAACCTGACTGATTACCTGGGCTCCCAAATACCACCAGAGTATGGCGGCACAGGAAAAACATTGACGGAGTCCGACTTTCTCCCAAATTCCAACTTTCATATTACATCAGAGGAAAGTCGGGATTCCAAGACACAGAGCGACAGTACAGCGGTAAGCGCTATTATAAGAACTCCAGAAGCGGAAAAATACATTCCAACTTCCCCAAGAAACCCAGAGCTCATGGAGGAAGAACCTCGCTTAATCTACTCTGAAACCATCGGTCCTCCATCCATCATCCTCGACCCAGATGACTTACAGACGGCAGTCAATCTTTGTCCCGGCAAGATAGGAGCAAGTCTCGCTTTTGCAGACTCAGATATGATTGTGAAATATGGTCATGGTGTTCGCTTAGCAGAAGCCGAAGCTCTATACTTGGTATCTACCTGCACGACTATTGCAACACCAAAGCTTCTCAGTGCATACATTCTTGACGGCACCGGATATATCATCATGTCGTATGAGCAGGGCGAACCTCTGGAGCACTATTGGGACCGCGTCTCAGAGGGCGAGCAAAACCGTATTCTAGAACAACTGCGTGATTACGTGAACCAAATGCGGGACATTGCAGGAAATTTTATCCAGGGTCTTGATGAATCACCCTGTCGAGATGGCATCTTTGAAGCAGGCTATGGAGACTACACGCGCTACAGCTATGGTCCTTACTCATCCGAGGAGACTTTCAACGAAGGAATAGTTCAGGCCTTGCGAGATCGGTTGTCCCCAAAAACCCTTGTTGGTGAAAACGACACTGAATCCAACTTTTTCAACAGCGAGTATATCTTATACCAGACTGTCCGGGGGCTCAAAGGTCACAAAATCGTGTTTACGCACGGGGATTTGCATCCAGGAAATATAATCGTCAAGGATGACGGTACGGTTGTTCTTCTGGACTGGGGCCTAGCTGGGTTCTGGCCCGAGTATTGGGAGTTTTATCGTGCGATGTTTAGTCCAGGGTGGAGGGCATCTTGGGATCGTATGGTGGAAAGGTTCATTCCGCCGTACTATGTCGAGTATAGTGTGATTAAACGGGTATTTGGAACCGTGTGGAATTGATATCGGATAGGTCTTGTTAAGAACTAGATAGCTACCACATTCGACTCGGATCGCTTGTCCCTGTGTACAGAAACAAACCATCCTCATTTCTAGTGGAAACAAGCAACAAAAGCCCGGGTAAAGACTATAGCTAGTTAATTATATTTTGAAATTAATTTATTGCAATGGCAACCACAATTAGAATCCAAAGTTCGTGGCATAACAAAAGATTCTCCGCAAGGGCTACTACTCACTCGATACATTGCCTCTCGTTCAATGGGAACGTTCGTTCTAGTGGTTGACATCACGGTTGGAGACAATTGGTTCTACAGTGGATGTCCACTCTCCTCGCTGCTAAGAGCACTAACTGGATAAACCTACCCCGTACCCTGATCTGAGCCAGAATCACGAAAAACAAGGTGGATAACAGATCTGCGACTCTAGTTAAACGAATTAATAGTTTCAATAGCATAATTCTTAATTGCAATTATTATTATCCTAATCTAACCTAGTTGCCCTCCCTACCATGCCAGCGCCAGAAAACAACCCCCCCCCCAAAAAAAAGGAAAGAAAGAAACATAACATGTTGCCTCTCATTTTGCAATAACCAAGATCCAAAAACATTATCTGGTGGTATATAGATTGGTATATATATAATGGCCAAGTATATGCAGATTAAAGAGAACACCTGCGCAGCATGTGTAAAGCAAGGATATCTCGAAAGGATGAGGAAAAAGGAGAATAGTATATACAAACCACAGCGAAAGAATCATCATCAATACCATCAACGCCTTCCCGGCGCGTGCCTTTTTGAGGTACCGCGTCCCATAGCATAAGAGAAGAAATTTGGGTCAAAGACCCGGGCTAAAATAGCTGCTTAAGATCAATCACGTCCAAATCATTTGGACGTTCCCTTTCCATGTGGATCTACCAATCTCAACCGTTCTTGTGCCCATAATTCCATGACCCTGTGCAGGTCTCTTTCTCCCAGGGGAGATGTGGTGTTGCCCAAAATTCATTGGTGTTGAGGGAGTTGTGGGTATTGCTGGACTGTTAGTATTGAGTGACATCATGGATCGACTGCCAATGCCACCCCATAATCGTGGTGTTGCGATTGCTGTCGATGCCGGAGAAGCTGACTCCTCTGGAGGTGGCCGTGGCCCCGTTTTATTCCCAAAGCAATGTACTCCGACACCAGCTGCATAGTTGAGCGACTGGTTGGCTGCCAGAATGTGTTTCCACGCGACGAGACCACCATCCGCGTCTTGCCCAGGGAGATCGGGACGCAAAAATGAACTTTGGAATTGACACGTCCCGATCATTTGACCGCGAGCCTATACGACCCATATATGCAGGCATGTGAAAATCAAATACCGTGACTGGCCCATCCGATTGTTTCTGCTCTGCTGCTGCTGCTAGCCTCCCCTGAGTGAGACCTCGCACAATTGTTCCATGCCACCTCTCTGCGTGATTTAATAGATGAATTTTCTGCTCGAGCAGCTCCATCCCACAGACATTACACTCAACCCCTTTGGTTGGCCAGGGAGGATTGACATGTTTTCATAGAAAATGCCTGGTGAGTGAACCGGGTGTTGCGTATTCCGCAATCCGATTCTTTAGTGGGAGACTAGCATTCCCCAGGCAAAGAAAGCAGAGCTTAGGCCGCTCTTCTGGAGATTTGATCCGTACGGATTCTGGCGCAGGGTAATCTCGCTCTCGTCCTCTGAGAATTGCTGTTGCCGTTTGGCAGGAGGACAGGGTTCATCATTGTCAGGCGCAGGCCGTGAGCGAGATTGGCTGTGCCGAGGCGTGGGCTGCCCCTCTTCCACAGGGCAGAATGCAGTCATCGCATTAATCGCATTGATCCAACGTTGATACTCCACTTAAAGGGTGGCACCTGGCATGCTCAAGGTGGCGTCAATCACTGTTAGATGCTACAGAGGCATGAAACCCTTGTGCTCTAAAGCCCCCATTACCTTGGTATCCACCAGCTTCCCTGTCAGTTGCCGCTCAAGGTCAATCACGGGTTGCTCATTCCTATACCGCTCTAGATTCTCCCGGATCCGTCGGTTCCGCTGTCGTTGCTTCTCATTACACAGTTCACGGACAGCTTTGTTATACTTCCGCTTTGCTTCCATCATCCGATCCTGGAAAAGTTCCAGTTTTCCTGTAGGTGACGGTGATGCTTGGAAAGCACTCCTTCATCAAAGTAGCCAAAGGCGGCTTGACATGCCATAATGGCACGGTCTAACTTGGTTTTGCGGTCTTCCCATTTCCGCTTGCCTTTGTTTACTGTGTCCTGCCGTGTACGAACCACAGGGAGCTCACTGAGGGACTTGGATTCTTCAGGAGAGAACTTATACAGTCGATCTGGGTCAATTGAAGCACTCAAGGAGCACGTAAATCGCACCAACGGTGTTTGAGAACCAGTTTTGCGGATGATGCCTTGAACATCAACATCCACCTCATAATGTCGGACAAAGGTGCGGATATCTGCGTGCTGTAGGATGACGTTTTGGAGAGCATCGGTAACCTCTTCTATCCATAGTGTTAGCTACCCAACAAGCTGAAGAACCGATGGAAACTCACCACTGCTGCTGAATTCCTTGGCTCCAGCGTATCGAAGGAGGTACGGTCTGGTGATTTGATCGAAACCTGTGATCTCACCACCTCAATGCATCCGTGGTCGTACCACAAATGCCGTCAGTCTCTTCTCCAAGGCAATTCGATATCCAGCAGTTTCCCGCTCCACCTGGCAGAACACAAATTTATCTAATATTTCATCCTTTAGTTTCAATTCCTGCTGTCCCTTGCCGTTCTGTAAAGTTTCTCCGGTGAATCCAGTACTGGCCCAGTTGTAGAGATCTTCTTGAAGCCTTTGACATGAAAGAGCATACTCAGCAAGCATACATGCGGACTGAGTACCAGGGTCGGATCAAAGATGATTTCCGGAATCTTAAACTCATTCCTATCCAAGTCCATCAGCCGACCGGCTCCCAATAAGGATGATAGATTAGCAGCAGGTCACATATCTGCCAGGGCTATCAAAAATATTCATACACACCGTTAGAAACCACTATTAGAGGCACATCAGAGGAGGATGCCGTCAAAAGGACACACAACATCCGCTTCTTTCTGCCCCAAGCAACCTTCCAGCAACGCTAGAAAACATTTTTATGACTGGCCGAAACCAACTTCAAAAGCAATTTCAATGTCATCCGAAGAGGTTACGAGGGATGCGTCAGGGTACTTGACGCTCCCCGTATCCGGGACTGCTTGGCCCAATTCGAATGACAACATATTCCATACGGAATAGTTCAGCGAAAGGGATGCATAGCTTTATCTGCCCAGTAACCTGCCACGGTTGTATTGAAGCGTGAACGGCCAAGTTTAGCTCGCCGCAACCAGGTCAACTCCCTGAGAGCTCTTTATTGACTATGCCATCCTTCTGTTTCTGACATTTTATGGTGATAACAACCCGTAAATGGGTCTTGCCACCCCGTATCCAGAGATGCTCTTCCTGTAGCATTCTGTATTCCAGTCACCAGAAACTCCCGTCCAGCGCGATATCGTTTCCGCGGAATCGAAGCTGGCTGTTCATTGTTGCGAATTACTCGCCACTGCCTGTGGTCTTCCTTCGGGTCGTATTCCTGGTAATCTTCCAGGGCCTGATAAAAACTGGAAGTAAACGACGATCTCGATGTAGAGAGCCTCGCTTTATCCAAGACTGGGTCTTCACTTGCAAGGAATGGACAGGGCAGACAAAGTAACGATTTGGCCAACGTCATTGGCGATAGGAGCTTTGGGAGGCTATATCTTTAGATTTAGTTTACTGGAGACGGAATCTTCTATTCCAGCGATGATAGAACTCTGTAAACACCACGAAAATATGCATAGCGAACAATTTTATCCATCAACTACTTAAGATTAAATCTATCGCCTCACCTGTATACTCGGCATTCCCGATGAGATCAAAGGCAATAAGCCACCAGCCCCATAAGGGGACTTCACTCAAGCAATCAAGCAACAAGCACTAGTACTACCGGTGTGATCTCACTTGGCGCGAACAGCTGGAGATAAGAGACGGCGATCTAGTGATCTATCACACCTGTCAAACCGTGCCTGTTCCAGCCGTAATTTAGTCCCCGCTTAGTAAAATGGATCAATCGGCAAATGTTCGCGGCTTCTGGCATGAGTCTTTTTTGTTTTCGTTTTTGTTTGCCTTTGGGAATGGCAATGGAATGCCGGCCGTCCCGGTAGTTACATGGTTAGCAAATAGCGTGTCGTGAGTTGATTGTAAATAGATTAATGCGGCTCCATCCCGAGGACAAGGGTTGTTGGGAACAGAACAAAAAAAAAAAAAAAAAAAAAAAAAAAAAAAAAAAAAAAAAAAGCGCGCAGATCGGGTGAGACACTCACGGCAAGAGACAGACCAGATTGATGAGCTACGTGGGTCCAGATCGCAATCGCGACAAAGACGGACAAGTTCCTTCGAATTCAATGGCAAGGGCGAGCTTGCGACAGACACCTTCTCGGGCTCCACCGCGCAGCCGTCATGTCGTCGCTGCCGCCGTCATGGATCATCGGAACCGGGAATCGGATCTGGCTCTCTTGGGACGTGTTCCATTGACCAACCAACAAGGCCACTAAATTTAACTAGTTAAGGGCTGGGCAACCTAGATCCAATTTTTTTTTTTTTTTTTTGGCCCCCGACTGTCAGCCTGTCAACAATCATAATGTTTTCCTGCGGTCATCGTTACATGCACGGTGGTTTCTTGGAATGTATTCGGTTCAGCCGCGAGATTTCGAGTCATGACTTGCAGGAATTATGTTCCAGAGTAGGCATCGCGTGCTGCAAAGTGTAGATCAAGGAACTACTAATGAATCCGACTGGATAGCACTATGTGTGTGTCGACGGCGAAGATCCTTATAAAACATTTATCAATGATTGAATTGTGCGGAGAATACACAAGCATGCATGTAGGTTTTGGCGGTTTCACTTGTCACTTGGCCCTGGTCGATTCCGGGGTAGGAAGCCAGATTGGCCTGATCTTTTCAAACCGAGGTCGCAAACCTTTCCAAAAGAAGACATTCAAGGATTGCATGTGACACGAGAGCCTGGTCGACAAGCGCCCGACGTGGACCGAGAAGGTTTCAGTCAAAGGATTATTAAATGCAGGTGGCGTAAAGTGGTCGTGCTCGCAGTCGAAATAATAATAATTCAATAATCGATGGTCCGACATCCAGCAGTCAGCAACATTAATTGCAGTCGCCCATCCTTGCCGGATCCAAGTGGCAGTCCCACTGAGCCCTCAAAGCGTTGAGTGGAGCAGCTGTCAAGCCGTCCCTCGAACCTTGACACGTGCCAATTTCATCATGCTGTGTTACCGTGATGGTTTGTCTGTCGGCTTTTGTTCATGCGGTATAATGACAAATCTTCCAGGGCGCAGCCACTGACGGAATTTTGCGAATTCTGCATACTCCGTAGCTGCAGGTGACCAAGACAAACAGTAGTAGTCTGCATGATAGCATGGTGTTTACTATGGTCAAAAAAAAAAAAAAACAGCGGGGCATGATTTTGAGCTATCAAAAGCCTATCCATAAAAGATCAGAGGCTCAAATAATCAAGGAACTGCAAAGGGCCCGAATCCTTTACCGCAAAGGAACGTATGCAGCCACCCACGCAGGATTCGGACCAGGTGGCTTGGGATCCATAAGCATTGCTACCTGGAAGTCAAACATATCGATAATTCAAGTTTATTGAAGGTCACCTGCCTGCCAGATTTGCTTTTCTTTTGCATATATAGAAAGTCTGTGTAGCGGTCAGCGCCTTATTATGCCACCAATCGTGCCCGATGTGGAGCTCACTCACTCCGTATCCCATTCTGCAACTTGCACTGTACCATCCTGCTACAAACGCATGAATGCAGGACCCTGAACATCGAACATCGCAGTAGTCGATCCCTTAGGTCCCCGATGCACATGTATCCCCGACGCACAGTAGGTTCACCATTGCAAGCTGTCACGATGCACTGCGGGGACAAATGACATTTTGTCTGTTTGTCCGTGCAGACAGGAACACGTAGAAGATAATAGCGCGTCTGATCACAACAGCTAGCCATGCCCATATCCTGTACCCGCGACTACCCAAGTCGGCATCCCCATTCGTCTGCCTGCATCGAGATCTCATTATGATTCTAGCCCGACTAACGCCGTATGGAGATGCTGTCATATGCCGCATGACAAGGGTATCTGTATGAGTTGTGTAGCCGCGAACACCGTGGCTTCATGACAGACAGGGATTTGGAAGCAGTAGACGTTAGGTTTTGCTGTCGGGACGCCACTTGCCGTGATAGTGCACCGCAGGCGTTAGCGTCGTTTCTTCTTTGTATGTAGATTAGAAGCCTTACCTGGTTTGATTACTTCGCGTTGAACTTGTATGGGATGTCGTCGTTCATGCTCATCGAAGTAACTTGATAACAGAGCACCTGTAGAATCCAAATAATGAGATGGATCGAATGATAATTGATGAGAAGAAGGATGAGAGACGACAGGGATTTGAAGCGCTGAGAAGGCACATGGTCTAATCCCGTGACATCTCGGTTCCTGTGCAACATACAACATTTACCAGACTGATTGAAAACACGAAGCATAAGCGAGTATAGACTATGCTACGACTCTGACAATAACTGCAATATCTGACTATTATACAGTCCCATTCTAAACATGCAACATCGCCCCCCCCCCTTTCTCTCTACTTCCAAAACAAAACCATGTCCCGAATAGCAAACACCAAGCACGTCCCTTCCACGAGCCGTATCAACTCTGAAACACACCACGCGAGGACGGACTGCATCGTCTCATAAGTCGTCGCCGTCAGACACTGAGACAACTCCACCGGTTTGAAGCTCGACAGGATTAATACAGGACGGTGTCAGTGTCAGTGTCAAATTCGGCAGCTGGCAGCTGGCAGGAGCGGTCGCCGTTTCGATGGTGAAACGTGTCAGATGAGGCTGAAACGTCGAACTGTCGGTGTCAGTGGTTGGGACGATAGGCAGGGCGTTTCTGTTTCTATTATTTCATCCATAATAGTCCGTAATATCAGAGGGAGGTTCATGAGTATATGCATATGGGTACAAGGATGTCGGCTCTCGAAACAACGGTTGTCGTGAGTATTTTCAGCTACATTAGCATATTCCTACTTACTCCGGAGTAGTATCCGTACTTCGTACGGAATAGGGATAGTCAGTGAACAGAGCTCAGAGCCAGCCAGCCAGCAATCTAGCAGGGCAAGACCGACGATCATTGTAGTATTCAACAGAAGCATAACATTACGATTGAGATTGCGATTGAGATCATATTCTTCAAGGTATCCAGTGCGACAGGGGTCGTGGAAGAAGCCAGGACCAAGGTTGCTTTCTCGAATGACGTACTGGAGGGGGGTTCTAGAAAGACAGATTGAGTTTGGGTCAGGGGAATATAAAGAGTTTGGGGTGGTTATTAGAGTGGCCGACTATTGAAATTGAATCGGACAAGGGTGAACTTCGGTAGCGTGGTAGCGTATAATGTCTAGGAACACGAGAGGAACTATTCTTTGTCTTTGTTATTGAGGGAAGAGAATGATATTCTGTATGGAGAACTGTCATTTGTAAATGGAGGAGTGGAGAGAACCCAGCAACCAGGTAATGGCAGCGGTGACAAGAGGCTGACAGGCAGGCACAGGGCATGACAAATTCCACTAGCATATGATAGATCATTCTGATTCCTGACCGCGTGGATGGCGAATTTGTTGGTTTACCGCTAATACATACGGAGTAAGGTGCTGGGTGTTCTCCGTATACTCCGTACTACTCCGTCCTTGCTCTACGGAATGATAATGAAATAATCATGGGATTTACTGAATCGGATGCTCATGATTATCCCAAGGATCTACACGATCTGGGATCTGGATCTAACCGTGTTTGGAAGGAGGTATTTCACTTTGTCCAATTTCTAAGACACAACAGAGGGGAAGGTCTCCTGAAAACCACTAATGTGAGAGAATTTGAAGGTGAACCCTTGGTCACGACAGGAGGATTAACACAATGCTGTCATGTCCGTCACAATGAAGAGACGGGGCTACGGAGTCTCATTGGAGTGTGTAAAGCACTCGTGCTGTTGGATGGTACCAAAAAGGACTAGTAGTGGAGCGACGTTAAGCTTATGAACTCTCCAACACGTATTACTGACAGGAATACGGCTGATTCACTACTCTCCACGTCGAAATAGGCAATAGCATAATCCGGCGAGACAGAATTGGAACAAAGTTTATTTCTTTTCCAGGCGCTCTCTTTGGTCTTACCGGATTACACACCAGACGAGCACCGGTGCTGATTACCGCACACAGCAAGAGGGCCAGCTCCCATTTTGAGAGATATCCCCGGATGGTTCGTCCATTCATAGTTGCGAGTTCTCTAAATAGTAATCCATTGAAAGGGGTTGAAAGGTTCGATGGATTTTCGACGGAGATCGATGGGGCTACTTCTTTTCCAGTGATCCGAATGACAGGTGTCCGTACTCCGTTCCGGTGTATGTCATAGTAGTGCCTCCATACTCGGTCCTGAGAGTGCGAGGCACAGAGGGCCAACCAGGTGATACTGAAGTAGTGGAGAGGTCTCCATATTGAACTCCGTACAACCTATGTATTTGGGACTGTGTACATACAGAGTACGCACCTCCGTACGAAGCAAGTGACACCTGACACGTTCCCCATCGGTCCCTTCCGCTGACAACCCCGTACTCTTGCACGAGTCAGATCGTGTCAATGGACCATGTCCAAATCGCTAGTGTGGTTTTTGCGATTCATGGCAGGGAGAATCACCTATCGGGATTGCAATAGAAACAAACCAATAAATTGGATCCGGACGGGTGATGGACACCAATTTTTGCCCCGATCGGCTTAGGAGTGGGATTTTTCCCGTCACGGCCACGGACGGGGGTATGAGCCAATAAGAGGACTCAAAAGCGGCCATTTTTCAGCTCGTCCGGACTATCATCTCGTGGCCAACCAGCCATATTGAGATACGGCACAGTGGAGAAGTGTGTCATTTGTCATTTGTCATTTACTCTTAAACTTCCACTAGGCGGGTTTTAAATTTTTCTTAATTATTATCCTGTCAGATGCTGCCTGTTGCTGTTTTGAGTATCCATGGTTCTCTTGACACATGTCGGATACGTATTCTCCAACACATCCGACAAAGAATATACATACTCTGTACAAGTATAGAGATACAACCCACATATGCATAGCTTCCTAGTCAGTATGCCACCCCCCCTTGTCTCCCGATTTAAAAAAAAAAAAAAAAAAAAAAAAAAAAAAAGCACGGGGCAACGGATCTCGCATCCAGCACCGCACCACCAATCATCTGTAGTTACTTCAAGGGCGTCACACAGATGGACAGGTCGTTTTTATTTGTTTTCCTTCCTTTCTTTGTAAAGATGCAGCGTGCATAGGGTTACAGAGATCAATCAAAGGGAAAATAGATCCGGCCATTGAATTGAAGAAAATAATTGCTTCTTTCTGGCTTCCAGGCGGAAAGTGGCGGATGGGCGCTTGACGTACAACCCGAGGTGGGTCTCTCCATCTCGACAGCCGTGGGGCGAACAGGCGATCGTTGTGTGTACTATGTATGTACAGTACTCCGGAAGTACAATACATAGCAGTACATACTCTATACATTGTAGTATACTCTGTATAGTAGCATATACTTGTATATCATTCTCTATCCAGTATCACATTATATACAATACTGTATATTCTCCATGTCTATACAGATCTGACAGTGGATCTGCGAGGGGCACTGACTGGTTCACCCCGGCGATCTTTGCCCTATGCGCTGGGAACTGCGGACGAGGGGCCCAATAATCTAATTATTTTGTTACAGTTTGGCAGTCGGTATTAGGGGAATCCTAGTTATCGATCCCCCCTCGATGCACGAATAAGCACTCAGTATTACCAGTATAACCGCCTCAGACACCGCCGCCACCGCCACCCACTCGGTCTGCAGGTGCTCTATCGTAGGAGTAGAATAGTATGGAGTATCTACGGAGTACAGTATGTACGGACGGGAAGATGGAGATGGTCCATACAATGATTGTTTGAAGAGGTTTCAGCTATCTTTGGTTCAGTCAGTTCCGACAACAGTGCTCCAAACCGTCTCATTTCGGACCGAATAAGGCCTTTCTCCAAATGGAAGACCTTAATTCTGCTTATTAACCTCTTAAAAATGGTGTGATGACAACATTGGCAAAGTCAAACCCCCAGTGTGGCAGCCATGGTTCTGGGACACTTCGGGAATTAACACGGTATCTACCCCTACAACTTTACTATGTAGTTACGGATTACAGAGTACAGCATACACTACAGAGTACTAGGACCTGTATGTAGGTGTTGTCCTTCTGAAGTGTCCTGCTGCCGCACAACCTGATAGATCAACTATCCCTTTTATTTTTATTTTCTTTTTTATTTTTCTCAATGATGTCCAAAGTAGATCCATCTGTCAAGAAGGTACATAATAATATATATATATATATATAAAAAATAAAAAATGAAAAATAAAAAAAATGAAAAAATGAAAAGAAAAAAAGAAAAAAAGAAAAAAAAAAAGTTTGGGACGTTTCCTCCACCCAAAAAGCCTCAAAATCCTTTCTTTTGGATATCCCGAACGGAGCCGTGACGGTTCTCCGTAGTTTGTGGATAATCCATGTCCGGATCCACTCGGTCTTCACGCCTCCCACGATCGTCCTTGTTGGGTTTGTCCCTGATGATTTCACTTTTTGGGGTTATGAATATCTTCTATTCTGTCTGTACATATAAAATGCGATTTTCAGACAGCCTGGCCTGCAGTCAGGAGTGGTGCCAGCCCGTGCATATTGGAACCGCCTAACTATACTTACTTACCTCCGAGTAACACTACTGGTACCAACGACCCAGATCTGAATTATTTTATTTTATTTTATTATTTTAGTTTCCCATTTTATTTTATTTTCTTCCATTTTATTTTTTATTTTTTTCTTTTGCACCCCTGCCTTGCATCGATAACCATATATAACCTTGGTTCAGCTGTTTCCCCATCGTCATCGACCAATGTCACTGGCTCTGCGTTTCCGTTCAGCTCTCGTGAGTCTTCTATATTAAATCTCGAATTTCCTTCCTTTATCCTTGTTTTCTTTCTTGTCAATCCTTGTTCTCTATTTATCATCTTCACATCCTTTCCTTCGCCCAATTCATACATCCACACTGCCAGCCGCTGGCGGCTCCCGATCGATCTAACACTGCCTCAGTGATTGTCGCCCATTCTCTCTCTGCTTATCCTGTATCCATTGCTTCCGGTTGGATTTGTATCCTTGTCTATGACCACGTCCCATCCGGACGACGATTCCAGCAAAATGGCGATTTCTTACGCAAACACTCTTCCTACCGATCATTCTCAGACCCTGCCCTCGTTTAGAGAGGTATGCATCCCGTCTTACATTTCTTGCTTTTCTCCCAAGGAAATAGAAATACTGACCGGAGCAGCTTCTCCCTCCTCATCTCCACGATGAAATCGATTCTACCTCCTACTTCACCTCCCCCCGTCAACGCTCTAGCTTCGAGTTCCCCGGTCGTCAGCCTCTACAATCACCTCCCAAGATGCCGCTGAATGACGCCCCACGAGACTACTCCCTCACTCCTATCCGTGCTTCAGATTCTGGGGATCATTCCTCTCTCCCTCCCCGGTTTCCCGGGAATGGCTCCCCCGTCGCACCCGGTTCGACTCCCCGGTATGCGGCAACCTCCTCGCGTGGCCCTAGCCCCATTCTCCCTCCGATCCGGGATTTGCACTCTCTTCCAGACCGCAGCTTGACCTCAGGTTCGCCATTCTCAGATGGAAGACCGACATCGCGACCAGACCCATTTCTACCTGATTACCGTTCTACGCCGATGGATGTACGTGGGCCATGGGATCGTCGCAATGGGGACTCTGCCTCGTACATGGGGACTAGTGGACCAGCGGCGATGATGCACAGTCACCCCGCTCCTTATGGTTATCCAATGGCCTACCCCAGTGACTCCGAGCAGCACTCGCCGCAGTTGGTATCGCACGCGCAGTCGAACTTTGGCATCATGGGCGATCAGGCCGACTCCAGGAACAGGCGCAGGCGGGGTAACCTTCCCAAGCCTGTGACCGATATCCTTCGGGCTTGGTTCCATGAGCATCTGGATCATCCGTATCCCAGTGAGGAGGATAAGCAGATGTTCATGACACGGACAGGGTTGTCTATCAGTCAGGTAAGCTTCATCACTCGTCTTTTTATCATTATTACTTTAGCTAACGACATCCAGATCAGCAACTGGTTCATCAACGCCAGAAGGCGACAACTGCCCGCTCTTCGCAATCAGATGCGCAGCGGTGCCAGCGACATGGACTCGCAACGACAGTCCCCCTTTAGCGACATGGATCAGACCTCGTCTGAGTCGATGCCTTCTCCTCACCGGTAAATTCGACCACCTAATCCGATAATCCGATATAATACATCCCGCAAGGGTTAGAACGTTTTGCATCATTTCATCATTACGAGTTACGGGGCCGGCTAAGTACACGGAAAGCTGGAATGCCTCGTCCACGAATTTTCTTTATTGCACCATTTATTCAAGACCGACAAGATCATACTTGATACCCTATCATCTTCATTTTTGGTTGTTTTATTTTACTACGTGGGATTGATCGCTTCGAGGACCATGCGTAGCCGCCACTATGCAGGGAACCTTGTAACCTTGCTTGATCCTCCCACTCAATATGCATCTGTGCGGTGTTCTGGTTCGTTTTTATTATTTATTGGATATTTGTCATTTTCATTTGTTTTACTCGTGTATTGTTTTGGTTTGGGGGTTCATGATTTTCATTTTCTAAGACCTTTATAGAAGTTACTATGCATATTCTCCTTTTCGGAAGGAGATGGAACCAGGGAAAGCTGTACCAGTATGGAATTGAATGATGATGATGTGACCATGTTTCCAGCGCATAATACTTTATTATCCTTTTAGCAAACATGATCTAATAGACAACTAGAAATTTGATTTGATTTTCTGCATCGACAACTGGTCATTGCAACCTGCCTAAATCGGCATTGACAATCCGTGAAGAAATAAATACCTAGAAACTCAAAACTCCTCACGACATCCGAAGGTCTCCAATCCCCCTATGAAAAAAAAAAAAAAAAAAAAAAAAAACAACTCCACAACGGACCTTCCGATCATATGTTTGACAACCACATGTCATTGACAATTCTAGAAACTGCCCCGATACTAACGGTACCAAGATTTGGGTCAGGGATACACTTCCTGCCATCAATTCGATACATATTCGATAATTCCACCACCATGGAAAGGGGGCTGAAATCCCGAAAAACCGAATGCTGGTTCGTGAGGCTTGATTGGGGAAACCAGAGTTCGTGTAACCGTGGTAAATTAATCTACTCGATACGAGGCCAACGTTAGTCGGTCTCCACTATTACCATAACCATGGGCGTGTGTCATTTTCTGCTTTTCCGGAAGGAGATCACGACTATCAGTTCTGCCGAGAGAGCTGGTATCGGTACGTACTGCGTATGCCCTGGATACCGATAGCCGCGGATGACACTGGAATTTTAAATTGACACATCCGTACGGATACTGTACATACCTAGTAATATGTCCCAGCCGCCAGGATTCAGTCCGTGGGTAGTGGCCAATTGGATCGGGGGTGATTTCCAGAAGACTTGGTGCCCTGGTTGGTATGTACAAGTATGGTCGATCATCGGTAGGTGACATTACCGAAGCCACCACCACACTGCCATTACAATTAACAGAATACTATAGACGGTGACAGCGCATGAATCCTACAAGCACTCCTAGTATGCAATGCATTGCAACTTTGCACATCAATATACAGAGTACATCGCTCTAGTTCTAGAGTCGCTGCGCTGTAATACATACCGACGGCTAGGCGCAGGGACCTCTGACCGTACTCTGCAGATGTCGATCCGGAAAAGTAACGGCTTGAGTACCGATACTTGTACCACTGTTCCTATTGGGGTTCCGTACTCCGTACAGCACCCCTGTATCGCGTATCCTTAATCCCTAACGTTATGCCTTGGATGCATGTTTGCGCTTTTGACGTTGTATTGGCGCTGCAGAGTATTTCTGTACAAGTAGTCTGCGCTGCGCTGCGCCCTGTATGTACGGAGTACGGAGTAGCAACTAACCCCTACATCCTAGATAGCAAATAATAAAGGCTTTACTCGGTGATACTTTCTTTTCTTTTGCTTCTGTCACTATCATATCATTGTGTTTAGCGTCAGTATTGGTCTGGCTATATGGAGTACGGAGTACGGAATACAGGGTCCCGCATACTAGCACCCATTTTCTCAATTGGGACAATGCATGAGTAGTAGTAGCACTATGCCAGAGCGATCCGTCGATCTCGATTTTCGATCTAGGGGGCTGTCTTGTCTCTCTTGACCCCGCAGCTCGCACTCCATAACGGCTGTAATAGTTAGTCCTTGGACTGGACAATAGTCTGGGCAAGCAACCTGCGTATTCCGTATACGCAGCGTAGTAGGCAGTAAGGTTGGCAGAATATTAATAGTGGCGACGATATACCATGGGAGTATCTACTCCGGAGTACCACTAGTGACTGTCATCTTACTCCATCTTACTCCATCCATGTATGTTCAAATCAAGGTGGTTTTTGCACAACGCAGTCAGCACGGAATATTCCGAAAATAATTAGATTATGATTATGGAGCTGACCATTATGTACTCTGGGTTTGGGATGATCTGCTGATCTGGATTGGATCTGCCGAGACCCGGATGAATGGAATTGTTCGGAGACTACTGTACAGAGTACGGAGTATGGGGGACTAACATGGATGGTTACCCTGGGATGTGATATGGTGTCTGTTTTCATTTCCAATATGTTTCCATATTGTGGAATTCCGCGGGGTAGGGGTACTGCGCAATCGCAATTCTTTGTTCTTTGGATCGATTATCTGTGTACGGAGTGCTTTGTACGGTTCTGGCTACAGTACACCGTTACTACGTGCGTCGGTCATGATTCACCGCCATGTGATAAGAGGTCGGATCGAGATCTCCTAGCTGTCTACTCCGTACTTGGCTGCTTGTTGTCTACCTGTCCACCTGTCCAGAGCGTATCAATGCACTGTACAGTGCTCCCTACCTCGGAAAAGGTTTCCTACAATAGTCGCGTTTCATCCTCGTATAACTACAAGTATGATGCAGGCGCGCTCCGTAAAACATACATATTTGTCTGTGGTTGTATTGCATACAAGGGCTATTTTGGTATGCGGACGCGGCGTACTCCGTGAAATATGTATGCATGGGTACCAAGTACCGGGATAAGTCGAATGGAAAGCTCTGGACGGAGAATATGACATGTGGCAGGTCTTGTCGTTTGCTGTCAGTGAGGTGAGTTGGAAGATTAGTATGTTGGCTTGGAATGATATGTCAGATGTGTCACTGCTGTATGTACTTGTATACTTGTACTAACATGTAAATGTGAACTGGCAGTGTATATTTAGTATTAGTGTCACCGTAAGCAACTTCGAGAATGGCTCTGACATGACAGGGATATAGTTACACAACAGACCTCTCGACTCTCATATCCGCACGTCAATACACTGACACCTGTTCCGTTCCACAAGAGAATACAGAAAGAAGGAAAACGAAACTTGTCAAATTGAAATCCAACCGACACCTCCCTTCCAAGTTCCGGGAACTTGCAGATGTCGGTGACAGAAATCCCGAATCTCGAATCTCGGCCGAGGCACTGATTTTATAGTTGCCTAGGCAGGGAATGTTGAAGCACAGGGGCAGGAGCAGGAGTAGGAATTTCTGGGATTGGTGGAAGAGTTTTCCGATGCATCGGAATGCTGGTTCTGTTCCTTATCTTGACGGATATGTCTTTATTTTCTTTTTATTCTTCTGTTGTATTCCGTACTGGACAAGGATTTGAGGCTGCCACCTGTCAGGAATGTCAGCTCTCTTTGTCACCATGTGCGGGATTCCACTTTCCTAGGGGGTCGAACACCCCCAAAGTGTCCCTGGGATCAAACTTTGAGATGTATCTTCTGACCAGATCTTTGGCTTCTTAATACGGTCCGTAACACCCCCATAAAAACAGTGCTATCCTGCTGGAAATCTGGTACCAGCGCCCCAGAGTTTCCTGTGGCACTGAGCAGGTCTCTACTTGTGTTATTGAGGGCTCTGTCGCTGCCAGCCACTCGTTCTCGTATCTAGTTTTGCGGACATTCGGACCGCACCAGCAGCCCGTGCATTCGCGGTCGCCATGCATGTTGTTTGGCTCAGCTAGACAGATCATGCTATAGTTACGTTAATTAATTAACTAACACCTACATTGGTAATAGTAAGCCATTGATGAAGACCAACTAGTTATGAGGAGTTGAAATCATACAGAATCCTCATTCCCTCACATGCAACACAAGCATTCAGCCCAGTGGCTATTTTTCAGTTCGCATTCCTACTATTGTTTATGAAATTGTAGCACAATCCTCGCACCCTTTGCAAACTCAGCCAAAATCCCTTTGACTCTTCGCCATTTACGCAGTAAGAGAACAAAACACCCAGACTGCTCGCTTGCTTTGTGGTACACAAGATATAATCCTTCATTTCAATGTCTCCCTTCCTCCCCCCCCTCTCTCTCTCTCATCATGCCATCGTCCACGGAAGGATGTGTGCAAGCGAAGCTCGATGCAGACATCACCCACGGCAATCTTCAGGGCATCAAAGACTTTTACAAGTCAGCAGACCCAGAAAAACAAACCAGCCTACTTGCCGACATAGCTTCACGCGCTGCAGCAAAAGCACAGGTTGATATACTTGACTGGGTCTTCAGTGGGGGCTTCCAGGTCCCCCCTGACTCATTGAATGGTGAGTTCTACCACCAGGCTTGCCTCGCACAGTCCCTTGCTGTGTGGAAGACACTTGTCAAGAATGGTTTTAACCTCAACAGGCATCACAGTGAACTTTTTGGTGATGCACTGAGCCTGGAAGCATACTCTGGCAATGTTGAGATTATATGCTTCCTTCTGGAGAATGGACAGGACCCCAATGATGCATGGGGGAGCTATGATGATCTTGAACTAGGTGTGGCAGCATTAGTTGGTGAGAAACCATCTTTGGAGATCCTCCATCTGATGCTTCAGCATGGATGGAACTAGAAAAGAAGTGCTACACACATTGCGGCTGCTGAACTTGGCAACATGGAGGCGCTAAAGTTACTGGTGAAGCATGGTGCTGACCTTGAGGAAGCTAGTGGATGGTGGCCCAACTATGGTATAATTGAAGCTGATAAATGGGGAACTGCATTGTATCGCGCAGCTTACAAGGACCAGAGAGAGCCTGTGGCATATCTGCTAGACAAGGACACTAACATCTGGTTCAAGGATGACAAGGGGCAATCCATCTTGTGGGCAGCGAAGCAGGGGGGAGATGAGGAGGTGATCGAGTTGTTGAAATCTGCTGGGCTTGGAGAAGAATAAAGAATGAACCAGTCCACTTTCATGGCTAGATATACAATAGCCTATCTTGTGCTTAGTGGGAAAAACTTTCCATGCCAGAATATATATAGTCTCTTCTGTTATAAGCCACATAAAACGGGTTTCTTAGGCATTAAAATATGAAACCCACTTTCAAGTATTACTCCGTAGAAGCCCGAACATATGGATAGATCTAAATGACCATTGACATTCTTTAGTTGGCCCGAGGGATATAGACCTCATGTGGGTGTGAGTGTACTTCGGAGATCTATAGACACCTCAGGATGTAATTCATGGTACCAATTGCATTTTGCGACTGAATATGAACATCTAAACCAAACCATTCGCTAAACACCAAACCAACCCATAACAAACCCAAACACACACACACACATTTATATATATATAAAACCCTACGACGGCCGCTTAAACGGATGTGCCTCAGTATTCAAAACATACTCATCCAAGCTAACAAGATCCGGCTCCGAGAAGGTAAGGTAAAAGTATTTCAACGTCTCCGCAAGCCAAAAACTCTCCATGAAATCGGACTGATCGGTATGCTTGTCCCGGACGTCGTTGATAATTGCGTGGCCGAGCTTGGTGCGGGTGTGCTTCTCGATGCTGGAGAACATGCGCCAGGCGGCGTCTTGCAGGGATTTGTCGCCTGTTATACGGTACATTATGAAGACGGATTCGATGGCTTCGGGTCTGCTTGTTTGTCAGATTGGATTTTGATGGGGTTATGGGGGTTTTTTGGGCTGGTAGTACCTTAGCTTGTACTGGGCATCAGTGACATCCGTCACACCTGGCTGAAGGCCATGGTTTTCGATAAGAGACTTGGTTTCCTTGGTGTTGTCTTCATCGGTGGTACGGCCGCCACGCAGGAGACGATGACGGACATCACGGTACCACTTCCTCTCATCCCAGTCACACTCTTCGATCGTTTCACACGAACTGACATAGAGTGTCTCTGGCATGATACCAGTAGGCATGACATCGTAAGCCCAGATACAGCCGTCGACCAAACCACGTGCAATGGAAAGCTCCTCGGGACGATCGAAGACCTTAGCACCGATACCAACTGTACCACCCAGGTAGCATTTGAGGTGTTCTGCCTGGTATTCGATCATTCCGTCGCTGTACCCCGCACGGGTATCGCCTGCAAACAAAATCTCTTGGCCGGTTTGGGTGTTCGCGCGGAAGAGAAGACGTCTCTTAATAGCCTTCATAGCCGTCGAGTACATGTTGCGATACTGGTCCGTGCGAGCTCCAAGCAGAATATGCTCTTTAGGAAGGTACTCGTAAGTGGAGTCTGCCATTCCACCCACTGTGTACCGGGGGTCATTGAATGCCATTTCCTCGGCGTCCACCATGATCGGCCACAAGCCTGGGACCCGGGTATGGTTCTGCGCTTCTTCCATGTGGTTCGCGATTCGCTGAATGGCGTCAAAGTATTTAGGGTCGCCGGTCAATTGGGTCAGTCGAGTGAATTCGAGGTTCAACGAGCCCAGTTCGGCCATGATGGTGTTCCTGCTGGACTGGATTCCCAGACCTTGCGCAGATCTGGCAAATAATCAATACTTTATCTCTCGTGTGGATAACCACCATTTCTCACCTGGTCCACTGCCAACGGGTCTGAGGCATCCGGTTGCTCGTGTCGAAAGCACCATACAGCATATCAGCCACCTCCACCGCTTTCTTGAGCAGTATGGGGTGAGCACCGTCAGTCAAGTCATACGCACCCATGAAACCTCCAAGGTAGCGAATGTTGGTTTCAAACACATTAATCTGCGTCGAATCGGTTGTGTAGAAATCAATCCGATCAAGAGCATCCAGCGCCTCCTCAAACTCATCGTCCAAGCCCAAAATAACCAGCGAATCAAGCGAGTCGACCAAGGTAGCTGCCCAGCCGGCAAACGAAGTCCTATGACCACCGCTAAGAGGCGACAACTCATCACGCAGCCAAGCATGGTGTTTATACCCTTTCCAAGCATGCTTGAAAGCTTCCTTGACTGCCTTCTGACGGCTCAATCGCTGTCGACGAGCCCACCATGATTCTTCGGGGAAGTCGTACTGGATCTTCGGGATCGGGGAGGGATGGTTCTTGGGGTAGGGAATGTAGTCGGTGACGGGGTGCTTCTCAGGATATTTGGTCCAGCGAGTTCGGCCGGAATTTGTGGTAGACTGGACATATTCCCAGTTGTCGTTGTCGTCGAGGTTGAAGATGTCACTGGGAGGGAGACTGGAGAAGAGGGTATAGACGACGAAGATGAGAATGACGGTGGTGACCAGGTAACTCTTCCGCACAAAGAGCATTTTGACAGTTAGTTAGTAGTGTAGTTATTTGAGCAGTCTTAACCGCCCGAGTCAAGTAAACGAGCGACAGCGCATGGATGTCTCAAACCATGGGTAAAGAATGAATGATGTCTAGAGATAGTAAAGAAGCCAAGGAATGAAGTGAGTGAGTACGGAGTAAAAGAAGAGAAAAGACAATCAAGTCAGAGATCGTCTGCAGGGACTTTGCTGTTCATCCTGCACATCCCCTCAGCCCCCTCCGGGGCAAGCCAGGAGAGAAACTGACGGCGTGGAGAGAGGGTTTGATCGCCATAGGTTCTCACCGTCTCCCGGGAAATGATTGACACGGCAAAGGAATCCAGGAGGCGATGAGTGCGTAATGGAGTGGAGGGCTTAATTTGTACCCGTTCTATTCTGAGACTTTTTGACTGAGATTTGTTCTTGGCTCTGGACCCTGATTGAATGCTTGTCCATATGAATGTGTCTAGAAGATCGTAAAGTGATGGATCTCATGCCTGATTTAGTATCGTTCGCTGGGCTATTCCGTATGGGGAATGTTGTCACTCGAATTGAACATGTGGCTGTTTGCATTGTTTGGATTATTGCCTGAGGCATAATTGATATCAACTTCAGGCTACGAGACTCAGATATCGACATCACTAGATCTATTGTTTGCCTTGAGCATATCATGATAATCTCCTAATTACCTCCACTAATACTAACACATTATTGCAACTTGGTATGTCGGATGTCTTTTTCACAAAACAGCTGCTAATACCTGAGCAGGAAATCGATATTCAATGCATATCTGCCATATTTGGATGGCATCTATTCTCTATATTGATCTATCTATTTGAACCTTTTTATTCTTCCGGGAGACTGTCGACTTGACTGGCCTTGACTGGCTGCCGCATTTCGTGTCCAGCTACCATAACGCCTTTGAACAGTGATCTTGAAGATACGACCGCCAAAATGCCCATCACAGGGTACGTCCCCCTCCAATTTTCTCTTTACCTGCATACTAATAAAACCAGCGTCTTCTTCATCCCCTCAAACCCCAACTCCTCCACCGTCCTCTCCACAATCTCAGAACGCCTACACACCGTTCTCTCTGACGAACCTATCCCCATAGGCCGCTGGGCATTAGAGCACAAGCTCATGCGCGACACGCCATCTTGTCTACCAGCATCTGCATCTCAGCGGCCCGCGCAGCCTCGGTGGATGCAGTTTCTGTCGTTGTCGTATCACCCATTTCATGGATTTGTTTATGCGTCGGAGGCGGATAAGTCGCAGTTTGGTGGTGCGGCGCACGCACAACCGCAAGCACCGGGGCAACAACCACAGGCACAAGCACCAGGGGCCGTACCAGGGGCACCGCCGCAACAATCTCAACTCCAACAACAACAGCCCCAATCAACTCCAGGCCCAGGCACAAGCACAGCTACAGCTACAAACAGCGGAATGATAATGACAACAGTCCCCCTCCCCTCCTCCGTAGCTCTCTTCCAACACTTCGTCTACGCCTGCCAACCCTTCTGGAGCCACCGCCACACCCACGCCATCCCCGGCGGCATGGTCTACGACATTGGCGACTTCCGCGTGCGCATCGGCGACGTGCGCCAGACGCAGCCCGTCGCGAGGATTCGCGGGACTGTTGTTGAGGTTGAGTGGAGGGGTCCTTCGTTGTTGGATTCGTTGATGCAGAATCACCCCGTGACAGAAACGCAGGAAAATGGGGAAGATGATGATTCGGGTATTGATGTTGGACTTGGGTTGATTGAGGAGGCGGATGTTGATGCTGAGTTTGCGGCGACGGCGGGGTTGATTAGGGAGTTTTGGGGGAGGTTGGGGGTTGAGGGGGCTAGGGAGGCGATTCTTGTGCCGGATGTGGGGAAAGAGGTTAAGGAGCAGTTGAGGAGGTGGAAGGCGCTGCAGCAGGAGGGTAAGAAGGATGTCCATGGTCATGGGGTTGGGGAGGGTAATGGGCAGCTGTTGGATGAGGATCCTGATCCGCAGGCTGGTGTGGATGTTGCGAGGCAGTTTATGGAGATTTTTAGGTTTAACCGGTGATGCTGCTTGAGTAAGTACGGGAGTGCAAGAGAATCACATGAAGTTCTACGGTAATCTTGGAATGGCAACAAACATGACATGAGATAAACAAATGTAGATCATAAAATAAAAGAACAAATGAGGCTAAATTCCGAAGATGTATTGTCCAGATAGAGAAAAAACCGAAAAGAGAAGAGAACGGAAGACGCTCTTTCGCACTTCACATCTCAACTAGCACCGGCTGTCGAGACATTCCACAGATTCTTCCACATAGGGCTCATCGAATTCAAATAGAGAATAGAGTCGTTACTGCCAAGTACACGTGCAGTCGAAGAAAAGTCTCGGTTAGACTACAGGTAAATGGTATGTATAGCATAAGATGGGATGTGATGAACGAAACTGCCAGCGGCCTTCTGTCTCTTTTCGCTAACGCCCGAACAAAATAACCAAAAGGGGGAAAAGGGAGAAACGTTTATTTTTGCATCATGAGCTGAACGAATTCGTTGTCTGATATCGGTTAGCTTCCTCAAATTCGACCGGGAAAAAGACCAGGTCCACATACAGTCAATACGGCCGTCACCGTCCTGGTCAGCCTCGCGAATCATCTCGTCAACTTCGTCATCGGTGAGCTTCTCGCCAATGGAGGTCATAACGTGGCGCAACTCCGCGGCAGAAATAAAACCGTTGTTGTCGCGATCGAAGACCTTGAAAGCTTCCCGGATCTCCTCCTCGGAGTCGGTGTCCTTCATCTTCCGTGCCATCATGGTAAGGAATTCTATTATGGTCAGATTCGCCTATCTTGTTACGGGGGCTTTCATGTCGGGACGATCGCATACCAGGGAAATCGATGGTGCCGTTGTTGTCAGCGTCGACCTCGTTGATCATGTCCTGCAACTCCGACTCGGAGGGGTTCTGGCCCAGCGAGCGCATGACGGTACCCAGCTCCTTGGTGGTGATCTGGCCTGTAATCGCGGAAATCCATCAGTATTGTGTCGTTAACCAGAAAAGCATTATCTCAACAGCGAATATCATATCACGGTCGGAACCAATCGATAGGCGGGGTAAAGAGGCATTAAATTTAGAGTATAGCGGGATCACTAACCATCGCCATCTTTGTCCTGTTATAATGCAAAAATCGTGGTCAGTTCACTGTCCTCGACGCCCGACGGGGAAAATGCCACATCGAGATGGCCAGCGCACTTACGAAGAGGGAGAAAGCCTCCTTGTACTCGGAGACTTGCTCTTCGGTCAACGAGTCAGCCTACATAATAATGTTGTCAGTAAAAGATCGGTAAAAGTCGTCTTCGAGAATGCGTTCTCAAGAATGTTCGTCACAGAATTGCCCCGCAAGTTGGCGGGACATGACAGGGGAGGTGACACGCATACCATGATGTAGGATTCGGAAAAGTCGACGAAAAGGGGAAGATTGAGATGGACGGAAAGATGGAGGATAAGATGAATTCTTTGCCTAAGGAAAGAAACCAAGTGAGTGAGGAAAAGGAGAGAAGATGGAGAAGAGAAGAAGGAGGTGAAGCGTAAGGCAGGCTTAACTAGTGAGTTTAGTCTGGGTTGGGAGATGGTTTTTGGTCGGGCGGTGGGGGAGTGGCAGCCCGCCTTTTTTTAAGGGGAAGCAAATGAGTATCGAGCCCTGGTACAGTTACTTGGTAGACCAGCGTAGAACGCTGAATATTTTGTACCGGTACTTGAATGTTATGACGATTGCTATGCCAGAGAATAAATTGCCGACATGACTCCTCTTAACGCTTTGGCAACCCAATCTGAAATCTCTCAGCCTTACACTCGGTCATGCACGTATCTCTAGCTGCTCCATATATTGCGGGCTACTTCCATAGTTCAGAGACAACTGTGACGATAACTACGGCGTACTCCGTACATGAACAAACCAACCGTTTGTCTGCATACATGGCATCGGGCTGCGAATTCGGCTGAAGCCGTACAGTACATATCCTGCAGCCTGTGTAAGATGCATGGCCTCTGCGTACTCATACAGCCTTGTCTACTACATAGAACACACCATCCCAAACATGCCCAGACACAGATCAGCAGCATATTAAAGTCTAAGAATAGCCCTAGTTAGCTTGAACAGTGTTCTGGATAGCACTTTGTCTGGTACTCCGGAGAGAGATTGGTGGATACATGTGGCGGTGTCCATATATTGCCCCTGAGATCTATTCTACGAAGCACTAACTTCCAGATGGCATTGCATCATCAGCCATAGAATAATACAATGTGCACAGCAATGCGAAATCCTTTTGATAAGTTTTCCGGTTCAAAGACTTGGGCAACTGTACACTGTGCAGAGTACTTGTACAGATGCTTTTGTCCAATGACCGGCTCTGATATCAGAGTACACCCCGGCCCTGTATTACCAATTGTTACACGTATCCTCACTAATTTCACGTGCGGAGAGCCCTAAATGACCGTACAATTACCGTACACCTATCCTAATACGGACTAGCGTCACCTTCCCCAACAGTCTCACGTGGTCCAGACTCGGAGATCCAGTAGTGCTATCACTATCGCTTCCATATACAGACTACAGATAACAGAGAAACGCTGTTCGACAAACTGACATGCGCAGATAGAAAGTAAACGAACGTGTTTCTGTATCTGCGACAACCCCGGAATCCTCTAACCTCCCGCCGCGGATGACACTTGGACGCTCCTTTCTTGGCCGACGATGATCCCGACTGTCTAAAGGACGTTTCCAATTCCATCACCAGCCAAATCTCCAACCCACCTTCACACCTTATATACATACACAAATAATAATAATGTGGCGGGACCGCACGAACCTGTAACCATCCCCTTCCATCTCATGCTATCCAAGTGATGACTGCAGACTAACCCTTGACTATCTGCTATCACCAGATATATCTCCTACCGACAATCATTCGCCCACCACCCAGCCAAAAAATCTCGCAACACCTTCCCCGACCCCTCCACCGAGCCAGAAGAAAGCCGCCGCCTAATATCCTCCACCGAAGATGACGGCGACGCAATCATTGAAATGGACATCCTGCCCCCCCGCTGGGTCGACATCCAGGACGAGGTAACCGAGCAACTAGCCGATATCGCGCAGCAGTCGTCACAGCTGGACAAGTTACATCATAAACACCTGCTTCCGAGTTTTGGAGACGAGGATGTGCGGAGACAGGAGGAGGGTGCGATTGAACGGTTGACGCAGGATATCACGCGCGGGTTCCATGAGTGTCAGAAGGCTGTTCAAAGGATTGAGGTTATGGTGCAGGAGGCCAAGATGCAGGGGAGGGTTAGTGGGGGGGATGAGACTATGGCGAAGAATATTCAGATTTCGCTGGCGGCTAGGGTGCAGGATGCTAGTGCAAGGTTTAGGAAGAAGCAGAGCACTTATCTGAAGAGTGCGTTGCATACTCCCATCTTGGAGCTGACAAGTTGCTAACAGCTATAGAACTACGAGGCCTAGAAGGCGTAGCTTCCCCCTTCGACCGCACCCCAACACCCACGCAAATGCAAAACCCATACACAGACCCTTCCCTAATGGAATCCGACGCCGACAAGTCCTTCTCCCAAACGACCCTCATGCAAACCCAACAACGGCAACGGCGCACCGGCCAAAACGACGCTGCCATTGAGCAACGAGAACGCGAAATCAACGATATCGCAAAGGGCATCATCGAGCTATCAGACATCTTCCGCGAATTGCAGACTATGATTATCGATCAGGGGACCATGCTCGACCGGATAGACTATAATGTTGAACAAATGGGGACTGAGGTTAAGGCGGCGGATAAGGAACTCAACGTGGTACGTTCATTTGCCTTGGATGAAGGAAAGACAGGAAAGCTAACAGAATCAAGGCTACAAATTACCAACGACGCACGACGAAACGAAAAATCCTCCTCCTTCTCATTATCATCGTCGCGGGACTGATTATCGTCCTGCTAGTCAAACCGAAAAACAATAACTCCTCTGCACCTGCTCCTCCCCCGCCACCATCCTCGAACAACATGCGTCGAACAGACGAGATGATCTATCGTCGCAGACGACGGTATTCGAACTTGGCGCGAATGACAAGGGATAGAATATGGATTGATCCAGATAGACCTCGATAGATAGCTTACTCTTTTAATGTATAGATGTATTTGTATGCACAATGGTTCTCATTAGATGGCAGGAATTTGTCCATAATGTATTATCAGGATCACATGAATAAGATCACACGGCTAGTACAACAGACGAAGAAAAAGCACCACAAATAACAAACATGCAAATAAGATATTGCCACGAAGCAAATAAATGGCCTAAGTCTGAGCATTACCCTCTTGTTCAAGCAATTGAGCAACATCGGCGTCTAGATCACCGTCCGCGAACTGGGCATAATCTTCATCGCCATGATCGACTTTCCGCTTTTTGGCACTAGTGCCATTCGGACTGCCATCAAATTGATGCTGACCAAGAGATGTAGAGATACCAGGGAGACCTGTACCGGGAAGCGGCATACCACCTTGCTGTGGCTCAACGGTGGGCAGTACAAACGGTAACGGTGCGGTGGCAGCAGGGTCGTTTTCTTGCGGTTGCACCTTCGGAGATCCAACAGGCGTAATAGATTCCACAGGCGGAGGAGTGAGCGCCTCAAATTCCGGGCGAGCAATAGGTTCCCCTTCAGCATTGCCAGTAGGATGGGCAGCTGGCATATTTTCAACGAAAAGCCCTTTCATGATTCCATCTTCGACGTCGCGTTTCTTGGTTTCGGTGTCTGCTCTTCTCTCCGACAACTGCGTAGCCAGAGACTGTTCTTTCGAGAATGCCGATCGATTGGTCTCCAGGAGCTTCTCCAGACCATCTATCAATGCATGTCGCGACTTGATGACCTCGGATACGGAGCTTTCGGCATTCGCAAGTGTCTTCAACAATTGACTCAGACGTGCAGCATGCACAGGAGGTGTAGGCAGCGGCGTGTTCGGGTCTTGCATCTTTTCATACTCTGCATTGGCTGTAGAGGCAGCACCAGAGGCCATCGTAGCCTTGGACAGCGCCACTTGCAAAGGGACCAGAGGCTGCAGTTCAGACGGCGTAGATCCGGAAGAGCTCGAGAATAATGACCCACCAAGTAAAGGTTTCTTTCCAGTTGAGCGTGATCGATCAATTTCTGTCATACAATCAGCAACCGTGGACCAAGCGCTGGGAAGAAAGCTGTTCTTACCATCCACACGAGCCTCTATAGCTTCCTGGATCGGGAGTTCAAAAATCGAACGTTGCCGCCACACTTCCACCACTCGTCGAATTTTCTGTTGGATATCATTTGACGATCCTTTGTATGCGACGGCCGTGGCCTCGGCAATAACCTTCCATGCGTTAGCTCATCGCTAAAAAGCGTCGGGAAGTGGCACCAACCGGAGAGAATGCGATAAGGAAATCTTCCTTTCTCCGAGCTTTCGACTGTTGCGCCACCTCTGCATTGCTATTGTGTTAGTATCCGAAGGCTGTTCTCGATAACGCGTTTATCGTACCGTTCGCCAGGTATATCAAGTTCAATCGCTTGGGAGCCGGGGAATCGCGAAGCTTTTGTAGCCAGAGTTGCGCGGTTCGATCTGCATGTCGTCTGTTATTCAAGAACTGTTAGCTTTCAATTTTTCCATCTCTGAATGGATATCGAGCTACCTGTGAAACAAGACCCATTGCGCGACAGTGACAATACCCTCCTGTGTCTCATTGAGAGCGGAGAGCTTTGCCTTTACAGCATCATCGGTATACGCCATGGTGAAAACTGAGCTTGTAGAGATGGGATGGGATGAGAATATTCAGCAGTACTAAGCTGAGGTCTGTATAAGGAGTGCCGTGTCGTCTCTGACCGTCCGTCGCGATCAAAGGCCTAGAAACTTAGATCTTGACGCACGCTAATGATGATGCTGATAAGATTCACTGCTTCAAAACCCGACAATTCAAGACAGTACACAACAATTCGGACGCTGAATTCACTGAGAAGGATCTTGAAGGGTTTGACAGAGAGAGAGCTATGCAAGTGAAGGAAGCTTGCTTGCAGTCCTCTCTTGACAGCAGCTCGCATTCACCGCCCCCAAAGCGGCAGAAACCCCCCATCATCTAACAAACGGGACTCTCTTGGAGACGCCAGCTTAGCATTCCTGTTGATTTCCGTTCCTTTTCCTTCCATCCAATTGAATTTCCTATCGCCTCATACAGCCTCACCCTAATCTACCGAAAGACCTAACATACCTCCAACATGGCGGACCGTTTCCCTTCCCTCGATGAGTTCTCTGCTGGTAAGTGACAGCCCGATTCCCCGTCTCCCCCCATAGTCCTAACTGACAACGAACAGGCCAGACCGAACCCGTCGAGGCCAACGGAGCCGATGCCGACGATTTCCTTGCCCGTGAACGTGCTATCCTCGGAGAAGACGCAGAGCAATTTGCTACCGCTCAAGACCACGTTGCTGAAGGACAGGAAGTTGGTGACGACTTGCTGGGCGAGTCCGCCCCGGCCGCTAGCGCTGCCCCGGAGGAGATCTCAGGATTCGAGTCGTCTTTCCCCGCCATAGAGACACAGAACGAGGTGCGCTTAGCTTCCGTGTGATTACATGGGATATTCTCAGGAGACTGACGGAATATTCCTATGACAGCAAGTTGCACCTGGTGGTACTATCACCGGAACCGGTGCGCCTTTCCCGCCAACTGGCTATTCCACCCATCAAGCTCCGGAGGAGGAGGGCGAACCCGTCAAGTAAGCCAGCCCTATAATTACTGTATTTTCTGGTTGCGATTATTTTATTAACCGGTTGCTTTCACTACTACAGAGAGTGGCGTGAGAGACGAGACGCAGACGTTGCCCGCCGTGCCGAGGTCTCGAACGAGAAGAAGGAAGCGAACGTTAAGAAGGCCCGTGAAGACATCGATGATTTCTACGTTTCGTATAACAACAAGGCCGACAAGCTCCGTGCCCAGACCCACGCTGATGCCGAACAATTTCTCTCCAACCGTGAGGACACCTCCGCAGGCGGCACCAGCTGGGAGCGCATTGCCAAGTTGGTCGATGTTTCCGGCAAGGGCACTCGGGGTGGTGCTAGCGGCTCTGGTAAGGAGCGATTCCGTGAATTGCTGCTTGATCTGAGAAAGGACCAGAGTGCGCCGGGTGTCAGTGGAGTTTAGGTTTTTGGTCAACGGAGCCGGGGAGTTGAACATACAAGCATACATACGGGGTAATAGATGGTTTTTGCCCAGCGGGTATGGACGATGCTTTGGCTCTTGAGATCCTTAAGGTGTAATATACCGAGGATGTCAGGGGATCAGAACCCAAGCATTTTCTCTACACCAGATCCTTCCAATGGTCATGCCCCAAAAGTCTGCCTGTGTGCCTCTTGAAATTCGGTTCTCATTTATTGCATTTTACCCCTTTTTCTTCGTGCGTTTTCTATTTGGTCTTTTCATTTCTTCGTGATGCAACTAGATATCAAATGCTATGCTTAATTTTTGGTATTTTGCTCGCGCAGAATAAGAGCATGGTTTACTCTTCTGTTGAACACTTGGGATATCTCAGTATTCAATTCGTAGCATCTAAATGAAAGATATCTTAAGCATGTACTCGTCACATTCCATCAAGATCCAATGGTCGGGGTCTAGTCCAGCTCAGTTACAACTCCCTCCCCCGGCTCCCCAACCTCCTCAACCTTCTCCCGCTTACCCTCAGCTTCAATCTCCTCCAACTTCTTCTTCCCCTCCTCCGTAGTAGCATCGACAATCCCCTCCTCGAGACTAAGCAGACCACCATCTCCAAGCTTTTCCACGACGTCCTCTGCCTCCGCAACAGGCATCTTGCCCAGAACCTTGTTAACCTCGTCCAGAGACTCAGACAACAATGCGTTCCGCAGGTCTGCGGAGAAGGACTCAAAGATCTTGCGGGCTTCAACAATTTCCGGATGGTCGCTGCCCTCAGGGGGAATGTTGATGGTGATCTTGGTGTTGGGGTCGACGGCGTGCAGCTGGATCTGCTCGACACCTGCTGGGTCGTTGGAGGCGGAGGGGTCTTTGGCGAGTTCGGTGGCGCGGATTTTGATTTTGCTGTAGGTTTCGTTGACGTCGTTGCGGAAGAGGGTTGATGCTTGATGGTTGTCGGTTGTGATACTGGAAGCGATAAGTTAGCTATGATGTGCAACTATTGGGAGTGAGATGACATACCGTTTGAAGAACAGGGAAACACCATCCCGACCGAGGGAACGGCAGTATTGCAACAATAGACCATGGTGGACACACCGACGAGCATAGTCGTCCTTGCCTTCCATCTGGCTGTTAAATGCCTCAACCAGAAGACCATCCGTCTCCTTTTCAGCGACAATCTCGGGGTGATCGCCGATGAATTGAAGCTGAGCTCGGTAGTCATGTTGACTGATCTTCGCAAACGTTTTTACCAAGTCACTGGGTCTGGCGTTCTCCGGGTCGTCATCATCTGCGTCAGCCGACGATGAAACCTTCTGGGGCGCCGCGCCAGGGTTCAACAGTTCAACAGAGCTAGTCTGCCCTCCAGAGGATGTATTGCCCTCGGCAGGCTTCGCAACGTGAGAGGTGTTAAATCCATCATGCAAGCCTTCACTGGTAATCTTGCTGCCATCTTCCTTCTCCAGCTGAGCCAGCCGTTGCAGCAACTCCTTCTGCAACCCTTGTACCTTGTCCTTATGCCCCTGCACACCCTTGACGTACGCCTGGAAAAGTTCGTCCGACTTAACCTCACCAATCTCCTTCTTAACCTGGTCGACGAGAGCGCCCATCATGGCCGAATACTTTGGCTGCTCCTTCTCGTGCGTGTAGATACCCTCCGGAGGTGCAGGGGGCTGGTCCTCCACTGGGTTTCCTGCAGACTCCATGATAACCTGGAACACCAATTCTTCAGGGTTGCCCGACGAGGTCTCATGTTGCTTCAAGGCTTGAAGTAACTTATCGATGCGCGAGAGGAGTCCGTCGTTGATTATGCGCTCGTATTTCAGAGTTTGGATCTCGTAGCGGCGCTGCTCTCGCTGCTGGTGAATTTGGTTCTGCTTCGCGCGAATAAATGAACGCTTATCGACGTTGGGATGGACCTCAATGTCCGAGTCATCGGAAAGCTCTAGGGCGTCCCACTTGCTGTAGTCTAGGACCATTTTGGCAAACCGGAGAAGAAACGTAGGTGTTTATGGGAGAAGTGGGACGTAGAAGCGGGGGAAACTGGAGTAAGAAAAAAGGGATTAGCAGGACAATTTTAACCCAGAACGATATGGAAGATAGCCAGAGGACGTACCAAAGAAACCCTTTTAAGCCCGGCGAATCACACCTGTCAATCTTTAAAAACAACCAACCAGCGCTAGCAAATCGAGGCAAAATCATCGAAAGCTCTCGATCGCCTTCTACATTTGATAGGGCAGGCGGTGGCGATTGGCAAAATTGACGCCGCTTGGCCGGCGCCGATACTGGCCCGACTCCGACGGCGACGCGGCTGACTGAATTCCCAAGCTCTCACCCCCGTCTCGATCAAGCCCTATTTTGACATTTGGAGCAACCATTGACTCATTGGTGGTGCCATGATAGCTAGAGCGCTTATATTCACCTGGTGAAATATGTCATCCTGCTCCTTTCCTTCCGTGACATCATCTTGAAGCCTGTCCGATTCCGCGTTCTATCAAACCTCCGAAATGCGCGGGGCCAGGTCGATTGCGTCCTTGACTCCGGGGTTTACTGCAAGACAGGTCGCTCAGCCGAAGCGAAGCATCCTAGGGGATTTGTGTTCTGGGTCTCATAGGCCTGTCACTCCTTTTGCTGTTCAGAATGGCCTAATCAGATTGTACTCGGGAGCTTCCGGGCCAGCCCGCAACGGCCACAACTCTCTACGTCTGTCTTTTGGATTCGCACCGTCGATTTACAACAATGGTATAAAACACGCTGGTCCTTCCTCTCGTATCGCTGATCAGGTACGACTCCTGTCCTCGACACGGCACTCGTTACAAGCGAAACCGACAACCCCGACGAAACCGGAAACAGACAGCACTTCTACACATGACAAGGATAATGAGGATGTTGAAAAGGGGTTTGAATTGTCAGAGAAGGCAGCCCAGGCGGCCCAAGTCAATTTGAGCGCGAAGCTGGCTAAGGATGGTGCTGGTGGAAAGAAGTCCGGTTTCCGCGAGATCTGGAGGCTTCTGATGATCGCACGCCCTGAGGGCAGGAAGCTCATTTTTGCCTTCATGTTCCTCCTGGTTTCTTCGTCGATCACCATGTCTATTCCGTTCTCCATCGGGAAAATTATGGATACAGCGACGAAGTCCAAGGAAGAGGGAGGCAATGAGCTGTTTGGTTTGAGCCTTCCGATGTTCTATGGCGCGCTAGCTTGTATTCTTGCTTGCGGTGCTGCTGCAAACTACGGCCGTATCATTATCCTGCGTATTGTCGGTGAGCGCATCGTTGCCAGACTCCGCTCGAAGCTCTTCCGTCAGACCTTTGTGCAAGATGCAGAGTTCTTTGATGCGAATCGCGTTGGTGACTTGATCTCCCGTCTGAGCTCTGACACTATCATTGTTGGAAAGAGTATCACGCAAAATCTGTCGGATGGATTGCGGGCTGCTGTCAGCGGTGCTGCTGGGTTTGGATTGATGGCATACACTAGTCTCAAGCTTTCCAGCATTTTGGCTCTGCTGCTTCCCCCAATTGGACTTGGCGCTTTCTTCTACGGTCGAGCGATCAGGAACCTCAGTCGTCAGATCCAGAAGAACTTGGGTAGTCTGACCAAGATCGCAGAAGAACGCCTAGGAAATGTCAAGACCAGCCAGTCTTTCGCTGGAGAGATTCTCGAGGTTAATCGTTACAACAAACAAGTTCGAAAGATCTTTGAGCTTGGAAAGAAGGAATCCTTGATTAGCGCCACATTCTTTAGTTCTGTACGTATCAGGCCCACTTGGTATTGGAGGACGGTATACTGATTGCATTTAGACTGGACTCATGGGAAATATGACAATATTGGCACTACTCTACGTGGGAGGGGGCATGGTCCAATCTGGCGGTATCAGCATTGGCGAACTGACCTCCTTCCTGATGTACACGGCCTATGCTGGCTCTAGCATGTTTGGTCTGTCCAGCTTCTATTCAGAACTGATGAAGGGTGTTGGTGCAGCTAGTCGACTTTTCGAACTGCAAGACCGTCAACCGACAATACCACCGACCAAGGGCAGAAACGTCGAATCTGCACGTGGACCTATCCGCTTCGAGAACGTCACGTTCAGCTACCCGACAAGACCGGCTGTCAATATCTTCAAGGGTCTTCATTTCGAGATCCCCCAGGGAACCAATGTTGCTATCGTTGGACCTTCGGGAGGAGGAAAGTCGACAATCGCTTCCATTCTTCTTCGTTTCTACACTCCTACTGAGGGTAAGGTCCTCATTAATGGAAAGGACATCTGCGAAATGAACGCCAAATCCCTCCGCAGGAAGATTGGTGTCGTGTCGCAGGAGCCTGTTCTCTTCTCAGGCTCGATTGCCGAGAACATCTCCTACGGGAGACCGCATGCGACACGATCGGAGATTGTTGCGGCAGCTCGGAAGGCGAACTGCCAATTCATCAGTGATTTCGTGAGTAGTGGACATAACCCCTGTCAAGTGCATAACTAACAAAATCGTTAGCCCGACGGCCTTGACACTCAAGTCGGCGCAAGAGGCGCCCAACTTTCCGGTGGCCAGAAGCAGCGTATTGCCATCGCCCGTGCATTGATTAAGGATCCGGATATTCTGATCCTCGATGAAGCCACATCAGCTCTTGACGCGGAGTCAGAGACTCTTGTGAACAGCGCACTCGCAGCTCTTCTCCGCGGCAACAACACGACGATCAGCATCGCCCACCGACTTTCCACCATCAAACGCTCAGATACAATCATCGTCCTGAGCCCCGACGGCACTGTGGCCGAACAGGGCAGCTACGAGGAGCTCAGCTCTCATCCTGGCGGGGCTTTCACAAAACTGATGGAGTGGCAAATGAGCGGTGGCGATGCGTCGCAACCTCCTAAGACAGCTTCCGTCAGCCCTGAGACGGAAGAGAAGCTCTCGGAACTTGACCGTGAAGAGTCTGAGAAACAGCACACGGAATAACCGACATGCTCCCAAAGCGCATTGCTCATTTATTTGCATTTGCTTATCATTTCTACATCTTGGCTTCGCAGAAGTAAGTTATCGACACCCGAGGGCTAATGATGCTCACTACATGGTCACAACTTGGTGTATGCTTGAAAAGCTCTCTTCTGTTATTTGGATTTCTTTATGAGCACATATAAGAGTTCGATACTATTCAGCTGGTTCTAGCACTCCTTTTTCAATTTCATGTAATTTAACTTCATATTGTTTTTCTCTCTAATGTGTCACTTTGGAAGTCCAACTTGTACTAACAGAGTGCGACAAACCGTACAGAAGCCGGCCTGACTATACTGGAAATATTCATAGCTATACTCACACCAAATAAATATACAGTCAATCCCAATTCAATGATAACCATTCGTCAAGTTCTCTTCCAGCAAATCAGCCTCGATAACACCCAATCCTTCCCCCTCTCTCCCCCAGGAGTTCAATATCTTCAACCCAACACTTTGCAGCAGGTTGGTCCATTGTTGCCGGGCCCGCTGAAGACCTGAACAAAACACCATTACCGCAATATCAGTCATGCAAGGTAGAGCCGCGTTACGGTCGGGTATGATAAACTCCTCAACCAGGATCTTGGAGCACTCGCGCCTCATGGCGGGTTTGAGATTATTGAGGATTATGGTCGCTTTCTCATCGGACCAGTCGTGGAGGACGTGTTTGAAGTAGTACGCCCTCGCACTGTGGACGGGCTGCTTCTCAGCAAAGAAATCATGGCCCACCGTCTCTACACCCACAATATCCATGTCTCGCGCTGCGCGCACCTCATCAAGAACAGACGGTAATTCCTCCAATATAAGCATCCCGGAAGCATCAGGGAATTGTTCCCGGAAATGAATAAGATCATGTCCACGTCCACCACCAATATCAACCAATAACGGCTTCTTAGGACCTAACCCCTCGTGGTTTAAGATTCGCTCTTGCACGGGGAACCAGTCACACCAGAAGGGATAGTTTGCGCGCTGGCCTTCCATGTAGGAGTTGAAGCGCGTTAGGGCGGCGGGATTCTGACAGAGCTAGGTAAATCCGTCGACTTCGATGTTGTGGGTGTATTGAAGGGGAGCGTACATGGGGTTGCGGTAGTTGATGGCGCGGAGGTATTCGGGGGCTTTTTGGATGAAGGGGAGGACCTCGAGGAATCTGTGAACGGAATTCTTGATTAGTCTTGGGCTTTTGGATGTGAGAATTTGTTTCTGGGAGGAAGGGTTACAGGGATTTCAAATTTCGATTGTTCATCTCCCGGGATATGGCTGTTGGAAAGTACTCGCGAGGCCTAGCTTCTTCGACGAAGCCATTGAGAACCAGGAATCGCATAATGTGCCCTACGTGTTCCATCTGTCAGTGGCTACTAGAACAGAGCTCATGTTCAACATAACTAACCAACAAGTAACGGATCCGCCTGCTTGACAACCGCCAGCTCTTCCAACGACATAGGCTTAGTCGCCTCGTTCAACACGGAGAAGACGCCCAAATCAATGGCGACCTTGACGGCCATAAAGCCACTGGGCTAATTAACTTCCATTAGCTATGTGTCGACCACATACATGCCATGGCCATTCTCAACGCTACTGATTATGAGAACTTCCTTCAAGATTGCATTTTGCGGCCGCTCGAGAGCGCGAGCCAATTGAGTGGCCTTATCCTGAGCATAGACACGGGATGTCTCGCTTCTCCCGGAGGACTTGAAACGATCAAGGCCAGCTTGGGTTTCGGCGAGAAGAGTTTCGATGCGTTAGATATCCATTGTTCAATTGGTCCGTGTAAGGTTTGCCACGACAGGATCCGGACGGGAGACGAGGGGGGAGTATTTTGATTCAAAAATAGGGGCTATATTAACTAATTCTGCAGAGTACAGCTACGCTACTGATAATGCGCTCAATTTCTCCGACCTCTTGTTGTGTACTTGAGCAACATAGGGAATGCACATACTATTTTCGGCATGCCACTTGATGGCTGTCACCAAGTCGGGTGGCGATTCTGCCATTTGGGGTCCATAGTATCTAGCGCCGTGGGGTCCAGAGACCAATGCTACAGGGCACGGAGCATAAGTACCATCTTCTGTGCAATGACTCGGTACACACTGTACATATATGTCTTGGGCGCTTATTCGGTAGGAGTATACGAGTTGATATACGGGATGCCGTGCTGATTGTATGGTAGCAGTTGAAAAACGTTCAACATGAATCAGTACCTGCACGTCAACGCCGAATCAGCGTTGCAGCAGGGGTATAAAAAAGAGAGAGGATTTCAGACAAAGAAAAAAAAAAAAAAAAAAAAAAAAAAAAAGCGAAGTTACCAGGGTTTGAAACGTAGGAGACTATGCGAAGATCTCCCATTATTGGCTCCATGACTACCAAGAGGTAGGTGCATAGGGAGTCGGACGTCCCCCGTACTAAGCACAGACACGAGACATTTTGGCATTCCGCTTAGCTCAGATAAAGAGCCATCCAGAAAGAACAGTGGATACTCGGGTTCATATACATAAATGACTGCGCCGCACCACTTTTTTGGACTGTGCACGCCGCGATTGACGGGCGCTACGGATGCTTGTGTTGCGCGTCCGGAGACACCAAAGGAACATGTTCCCCAGTCATCAACCTAGGGCTTCCTTCCGAAGTTTTATTCCCTGTTTCCCCCAATTTTGGAGCTGTACAAGTGTTTACGGGTTACATAACATCTCGGACGGAGGGATTGGATACCCGGTATATAAAAACAAAGTTATGCCATGTGGGGTGAAGGATGCGCTAGTGTTAGTCTTATTCTGTTTATGACACTCCATACAGTTCGTCCAGCCTTCCAGTTTGATTCGATTATTTGAAAGAACAAGGAACTAATTCCTTGGCTTCTATTTGTCAATGCAGGATGATACTAGCTGCGGTGGTAATGCGGTATTACTTGTATGCAATTCACTGTTATGCATGGCATGACCCAGTGTTAGGTCTTCAGGGATGGATGGAATTGGCGCAGTGTATCCTGAACCTGATAATTCCAACGACTATCATGCAGGAGCTGCAATGCACGAGTTTGATGAAGGACATGTTGGGGGAGTAGGGATCAGGCTGACGGGCGCGACACGCACGTGAGGCTCTTCTCTTTTGTTTTTTAATCTATTTTTCATTCAAGACATTCTCTGCAGATTGGACAAGTCACATCTCCAGATTCCAACAATGGCCTACAATGTGGCATCAGAGCTCTTTGCAGAATGGGCCATTGGTCTGGTCATTATTGCTATCCGTCTTTATGCCCGCTGGAAAGTCGGCGGAGAGAAGTTCTATTGGGACGATCTGTGTTTAGGATCTGTTACTGTATGATTCCGTTCCACCCTGGAGCCCGTGTGGATTGGTGGTGCTGACTGGTATCTTAGGTCTTCTGGACGTTCCACACGGTCTTTTTGTACCTTTGCACTGGTATGTATCATATTTGCAAGGATGGTTTAGGCGAACTGGTGTTCACGATTACTTTCTTCGGACAGATGTATACGGATCGAATATTGGTCTTACCGATAAGACGGCTTTGGAGGTTCCCGATGACCAAGTACCGGTGCTACGAGAAGGGTCCATTGACGCCTTCGTTGCCTGGCTATCCTACATTTTTATGGCGTGGTCGTTTAAGGGAGTTCTCATTTTCCTCTATAACAAGATGACGTACGTTTTCGCTTCAAAGCACAAGATGCGACATGAGGTTGACTCGCTGAATATAGGATGGGTCTCTGGCAACATCGGCTGTCAGTGATAGCTAGCATATTCTGCGTCTGCACATTCTTCGCATCACTATTCTTCCATCTGTTTATCTGCTACCCGGTTCACAAGACCTGGCAGATCAAACCCTATCCCGGAGGTAAGCCACCCATCTCCAGAACAGAATCAAACTAACAACACCAGACAACTGCACAGTCCGACCCCTAAACTACATTGTCATCGAAACCCTCAGTATCGTGTACGTCCCTCCATAACCCCATCCATACGAAGAACTAACCACCAAACCAACCAGAACCGACATCGTAATCATGTGCGTCCCGATCCCCCTAATCCTCGCCGCGCGCATCCGCGCAACCCAAAAGCTCATGCTCTGCTGCCTCTTCTCCTCCGGAATCTTCGTCATGGTCGCCGCCTTCTTGCGCGCCTACTACTCTGTGAAAAACATCTCCAGCCTCTCCATCGCCCTCGGGTGGGCGTCGCGCGAAGCCCTCGTCTCCGTGATCACCGTCAGCGCACCGGGTCTCAAACCGCTGATCACGCGATCGAGATGGTTCCAGTCGTATGGATCTTCTGGTGGTGCTACGGGGACGGCTGGGACGGCGACTATCGGGGGTTCGAATAAGAGGTTGGATACTACTTGTAGTAGGAATAAGAGTCGGGGGTGGAGGGAGAGTATTGAGCCGCATCCTATCGAGATGGGGTCGTCGTTGGGGTTCAAGAAGGGACGGAGGGACTCGGAGGCTGAGAGTCAGGAGCATATCATTGGGGAGGAGGATTCGGGTAAGGGGCAGGGGAAGAATGGGGGGATCTTGGTGACTACTGATTTGACGTTTTCGGAGGATATCGAGCAGGAGGGTCAAAAGTAGCATTGATGTTTTCATTCAAAAGCAAGTGTGTATATAATAATGGTATAATTGTATATTAGCAACAAAAATACTCAAGACTTGGTAGCCAAGTAACTTGACGATTCAACATCAGTTCAGTCGAACAAGATACCACGAAGCCGGGTAGTTAAATGATCTGGGGCGCCTGTAGTACCGGACAAGGCTAGAATCGAAATCATTGTCCACTACAGGTCAATCATTCTCTTCATTTTCAACGCCTTGTCATAAGGCATTTTAATCTCGATGATTTCCCCAGACAAAACAGGTCTGGATGATCGTACCTTAGTCAAGCAAATTCTAGCACCATCCTTTGTACTTCCCGGTGTATCTGTGAGTCTTGAGTGCCATGAAATGTCCTGCAGAGTCTTCTTCCTGTTATCAAAGTTTATTTCTCGATGGGGATCTCGTTTGTTGTATTCAGAAGTCCTCCCAGACATCCAGCAAACCTGGGGTTTGATTGTAGCCAGTGGCTCTCCTAAAGTTACTCTCAGGCACTTGAAACCCAGTAAGCCTTTTCTCCATAAGTCATAAACCCGGGGACTTAGGGATAGCATGTTCCAGTCCTTGTCCGACCCTCCAAGCTGCCTTCCAAGATCTTCCCCTAAAAGACACTCATCAAGGCCGAGTAATTTGCACGCATTCTGGATTAGAAGACGGGTAGCGTCTACATTTTGCTCGGTTGAGTCGAAGTAAAAAGGGACTATGTGGTAAGCTTCGGAATACCCTGCACCGGTGACAAGACAAGTTTCTTTATCTCTGTCAAGGCACTGAATGGTATATCAGGTTAGACATTATATAACCATTTCCAGTTTTGAGGATAACGTACTGCCTTCTGCTCTTCTGAATCGCGCCTGACAGAAACATCTTCCTCGAAAGTCGGCTTCTCTTCGAACTCGTCTTCGTCTATAGTTGAATCCGTATCCGCGGTAAATTGAGTCACCCACGATGAAGTATTATCACTTCGTGGCCGTGCAGCGGCTCTCAGCAATAGAGTCTTTGCGGGCCCATTGAGATCCAGGAAAACTGATATGTCAGCTGGTTATTCAAAAACGCTCATCAACAATAGACCTTACAGTAAGTAGTAAGCATATGAATATATTCCAGCTCATTATAAATGTCCTGTGCAGTTGATACGGTCAAGTGACTCTTCACACTGGGAATATCCTCCCAAGGCGTGACCATAAGAACTGACAGAGAAGAGGCGGGGAAGGGGAAAGGGAAGCCATGCTGGCAGTTCTGGACAAATCCTCGCACATGTTGGGCAAAGTCCAGACGCTCCTCGATTTCATGGATGGGAATCAAGTCAACCGGGGGTATGGAATACGGCCTTTCTGTGAGATATTTGAGCAGAGCGTGTTTGTTCTCCGGTCGTGTTTTATCGGAGGTCAGGAATTTATCAAGAGCTGAATGCAGCTTGCTCCGAGTTTCGTTACTTTGCTCGTTTTTTCAGCTCATGAGGCATGACGATGTTAATGTGATTGCTGGAGAAACATTTCTCGACGATTTCACCTTTTTTTTTTTTTTTTTTTTTTTTTTTTTTTTTTTTTTTTTTTTTTTTTTTTTTTTTTTGGGTTTTATTAGGGTATTAGGGTTATTATTATTAGAGATCAATGTTATTATCCTCAGTGTAATTAAATTCGTCGCCTACAGCCTCGTGCAGTCCGGATAATCGACTCCCCCGACTTCCCCGATATGGAGTTTTAACCGCTACGTTGGTTTATCCGTTTCAATCATCATCTTATCGACACGTGACCGTATGACAACATCAGTGATAAGTGAGCTGAACATCGCAATAACTCCATCTTCATCTTTCTGTCCCCATCGTCTCAGCAGGGGACGAAAGCTCACACTCCAACGATCATGGACCGCATCCGGAGATGGTTTCAGCCCGATCCCCCAGCCAGCTACCAGCCCGTGGAGGATGCCGGTGAGGCGGATGATTTCGAGAATCGGTCGCTTCTTTCACAAAGCAGTCATGTTCTGCCATTTTCCAGGGTTGAATATGGGATTTTCTTTCTCTTGGGTGTGTCGATGCTATGGGCATGGTATGGTTCTTGGATTGTTTGCGGCTTGCGTTATTACCTGGTTCACTGACGAGCTCGGTTTGCTCCAATACAGGAACATGTTCCTTGCTGCGGCACCCTACTTCCAGCACCGATTACAGTCAGACGACTGGACTGCAACCCATTACCAGCCTGCTATTTTGTCCGTCTCGACAGTGACAAATTTGGTAACGGCTTTCGCTCTCGCGAAGGTGCAGAAAGGCGCTTCCTATCCCAGACGAATTGTCTTATCGTTGCTTATCAACCTTACCGTTTTCACTATCTTGGCCTTTTCCACAATCCTTATGGAAGATGTCGCCGTGGGGACGTACTTCAATTTCTTGATGGTCATGGTGTTTGGTGCTAGCTTGGCGACGGGAATTAACCAGAATGGGGTGTTTGCGTATGTGTCAGGTTTCGGAAGGGAAGAATATACTCAGGCAATCATGGCCGGGCAAGGCGTAGCAGGTGTCTTGCCCAGTATCGTGCAGATTCTGACACAACTGATCACGCCGGGGCCCAGCGGAGATTTAGAAGCGCCGCAGGGATTGGCCAAGTCGGCCTTTATCTATTTCATCACCGCGACACTGGTGTCTTCGTCCGCGTTACTTGCGTTTCTTTATCTTGTCAAGCAGAGTTCAGGAAGGGTATCCATGCTGCCGACCGATGATGATGGATCGATTCTGTCGGAGCATGTCGATCGCAAGACTGTGGGTCTTTGGGATCTTTTCAAGAAGCTCCGTTGGAACGCCCTGGCCGTCTTCTCGGTATTCATGATCACAATGATGGCCCCTGTGTATACGGTAATGATCGAGTCGGTCCATAATGATGCTGGCCGCTCTCGGCTCTTTGAGCCATCAGTGTTTATTCCATTGGCGTTTCTGACTTGGAACTCAGGAGACCTGATTGGCAGGATGATAGTTCTTGTTCCACGTCTATCTCTGGCACATCGTCCCTTGACACTGTTCATTTTTGCAGCTTGTCGCTTGGGATTCATTCCTTTATACCTGCTCTGCAACATTCATGGCCGAGGAGCTGTCGTGCAGAGTGACTTTTTCTATCTTTTCATTGTGCAACTGCTCTTTGGTATTACTAATGGTTACTTGGGAAGTAACGGTATGATAGGAACGAACTCTTGGATCTTGCCGGAGGAAAGAGAACCTGCCGGTGGTTTCATGAGCATGATGCTTGTCGGAGGCTTGACTGCTGGGAGTCTGTTGAGTTTCCTCGCTGCCGGTTGATAGCGGCTCTACAGCACGTTTTGTTACTGTATGACTCCAATTGGTTTTACTATACATGTCAGATGTTGGATGATAGATGGTCAAGATTGTTCTGATTCCCTGTTCATTCCCCTGTCCCCTGTTCCGAGTTCTATCCGTCCAGTGAGCATGTGCTTATGTGTCACCGTGTTTTTCTTCTTTCTTTTTCTTTTCTTTTCTTTTCTTTTTTTTTTTTTTTTTTTTTTTCCGGGGTTGCATTCAAGTGATATTCATCATGACCCAAGAGATCAAGCATCTACTGTCGCCTTCTGGAATGGCACGTAGCGATATCCTGGTTTTGGAGCCATTGCTGACCATTCAAGATGACCTCTGACTGGCTCCTGTTTGTCACTCGGAATAATATGTGAGATATTTCATTGGGACAGTGAAACATAAATAAACTTTTGCCATTCACCTTGAACCATTGAATTTTCCAGATTCATTGTTCTGATCATGCTCACTCATTGCGACTATTACTTGACTTCTGCTTGATTTGTTCTCATAAATGCCCTGTTCCCTTTCTCAATCTTGATATCTTATAATCAACTATCAACATCTGACTTTCTGCTTGTGTCCCTTTCTTACACTTGACTGTCATCCAGAGCACTTCTGAACAGACCATGGCCTTGACCCTTAGTGGCCTCTGGGGTCATCTGTCTTTTCAGGACACGGCATATGGTGCCCTCCTCACGGTACGTATCCAGTTATACCAGATGTTGATCATTAGCTATGTTGGCGGACATTAATAATAGACAGTTCCTTATATACTACCTCGGCCACGCTGTTTACGCCCTCTACATTCACCCGCTAAGCCGCTACCCCGGACCCAAACTTGTCGCTGTCTCCCTTATCCCACAAATCGCCTACGAGATCCGCGGTCAGCAACACTCCTGGGTCAAGGCACTCCACGATAAGTATGGCGAGGTCGTCCGCATCAGCCCGAATGCCCTCATCTACCGCGCACCTCAGCCTTGGAAAGACATCTACGGCCACAAGAAAGGAGGACAGAAAACGTTCGTTAAGGATCCGTAACTTTACACTGCGGCTCCAAATGGCGCAGAGGGTATGTAACGGCAAACGGAGCGGATCACTCCCGCATGCATTCTCGGATAGGGCGTTACGGGAGCAGGAGACTTTGTTGCATACTTATGCGGATCTACTTGTGCAGAAGATACAAGCAGATTGTCGAGGACAAGACGTCGAAAGTTATTGACCTCGTTCGTTGGTACAATTACGTAACTTCGACTTGATTGGCGATTTATCTTTCGGGGAACCGTTCAATTGTCTCCGTGACGACCAGTACCACTGGTGGGTGTCGTTGATACTGGACGCCGTCAAAGTGAGCGGATACCTCAATATCCCTCATTTCTACCCGTCCTCAAGCCACTGAGCACGCCCTTGATACCGAGGCGCCTTATCGAGAGGAGAGACGCCGTATTCTATCAGGCCGTGGAGAGGGCTAGTCGACACCTTCAGCGCCAAATGGAGCGACCGGACTTTACATCCTATATCCTCCAACATAAAGACGGTGAGCTTGCAATATCCAGGGGCGAACTCGATGCAAATGCGGGCACTTTCGTGCTGGCGGGCAGCGAGACGACTGCTGCTATGCTGTCGGGAACTACGTACTATCTTCTACGGCATCCGGCTGTGTATCGATGATTGGTGGATGAGATTCGCGGCGCTTTCAAGAATGCATTGGATATTTAGCTCTTGTCGATTGCTTCACTGCGGTACCTCAACGCAGTCATTGATGAGTCGATGAGAATTTACCCGCCTGTCCCAGCTATGCTACCGCGTCTTGTCCCTGAGGGAGGTGCGATGATAAACGGTCAATATGTGCCTGAAGGTGTAAGTATCCTTCCCTTCACCGTCAGCATTTATTCCTATACTAACATGAGATGATAATCTACAGACATCGATCTTTGTATCCATATATTCAACCGTCCGCTCCGCCACCAACTTCGCAGAACCAGACACCTTCATCCCCGAGTGCTGGCTCTCACCATCCAACGGCGGCATCACATTCGTAAAAGATAGCAAATTCGCCCTGCAACCTTTTACGGTCCGCGAGTTTGCATCGGGCAGCAGTAAGCCGCTTCCTTTCCTACCCTTTCTATTGTTTATGGCATGTATGCTTGACCGTATGGTTATGTAGTCTCGCATTTGCAGAGATGCGTCTCATTCTGGTTAAGCTGTTGTGGCATTTTGATCTGGAGTTGAGCCCCGAAGAATTTGGTTGGGTGGAGCAGAAAGTCGTATACTTTGTGGGATAGATCGCCGTTGGAGGTGAATGTTCCGCTTGCTCCTAATACTGTTTAGGGGATTGGTTTTGGATATTTATTTGATGCATTCGGGGTTGGTACTTCTACATTCAATGATTCGGGGCTTTTTTCTTTCTTCCCCTCCCACAACAGTTCGGTTCTTTTGACCTGAAAGTTTAAACTAATTCGAGTGATATGCCGTTGATTTTCATGAAGCATCCAGTAATTGTAAATGATCTAACAAAGCAAAAAAAGTCACCGTTCGTGATAATCCCTCTCAGGCACGACACTCGCCCATTCGTCCTCTGCATTTCCGTACATAATATCGCTAAGCCAGCCCTTGATCTGGCCGGTCACCTCACCAGGTCCATCGTTCGATCCAACATAAATGTCTTGCCCTCGGTGCTGGATCAGGGAGACGGGGCATATAAACCACTGTCACTTCGTCAGTTCATGTAAAAGAAATAATAAAGAAAGAAAAACTCACAGCCGTTCCCGCCCCAAACGCCTCCAAAAGCCTCCCCTCCCTCTCAGCCTCCATCACCTCCCCAATAGTATACTTCCGTTCCGTCACCTCAAGCAAACTCCCCATCCTCTCCCTCGCCAGATCCAAGCAACTCCGCCGTGTAACCCCATTCAGGATAAGCCGATCATCCAAGGGCGCCGTAACCAACTCCTTCTTCCCATCTTCCTTCCGAACCCAGACAACAAATAGATTACTGCCCCCAGCCTCCGTACACTCCCCAGTTTTCCCGTAAAGCCAGAGGATCTGATGGAAGCCACGGCGGGAAGCATCCTGCGTTGCAAGAACGGAGGGACCGTAGTTCGCGCCGACCTTGGCGTGTCCGATGCCGCCTTGCCACGAGCGCACCATGTCCTCTGGGGAGGTTTGCAGTCTCATTCCGCCTGGTATTGTGTCCACGCGTGGCATGTAGCCCAGGATGATGAACAAGATGGCCTCCTTTGGCGCCTGCACGCCCAGGGTTGGCTGGGTGCCGATGATAGTTGGTCTCACGTACAGGAAGTCTCCAGCGCGGTTGGGAGGAAGCCATTTGGGTCCGTCGACGGATAGTAATGTTTGTATGAGGTTCTGCAGTTCCAGGGTGTCAACTTGTGGCAAGGAGATGCGAGCAGCGGACATGTTCAGTCGCGCGGCATTGTGTTCAGCGCGGAAGAGGCGTAGTTTCCCGTCATATCCGCGGTACGCCTTGAGGCCCTCGAAGCACTCTGTGGCGTAGTGGAGGCAGGAGGCGCTGGGGAGGAGGGATAAGGGCCCGTAGGGCTTTAGTTCTGGGGTTGACCAGCCGGTGGTGGACTTCCAGGTTGCGAGGACCATGTGGTCGGTGCAGATGGTTTCGTCGTTTGCGGTGGCTGTGGTTTCGTCGGGGACATTGCGTGGGTTGGTTGTATAGGTGTAGGTTAGTTTGGAGGCGTCGAGATGTTGGGGGGATTGGTTCTCGTTGGGCGTAGCCGCCATTTTTGTAGGTCAAACAGTATTTGTTATATGAAAACGGAAAAGCAGGATATGTAGCGATAAATAAGACTATATAGCCCTCATTAGAATATGAGTAATACCAGATGCGTTATTAGGTTGACTCCACTAGGGCGTAGTGTACGTAGGGCGTGTTTTTTCCTGCGGAAAGCATGACAAATCATTACTAATTCTTAGGCTAATCTATAAGGTATCAAGGGAAAAATTATTTGAACATGAATGTCTGTAACGTCCACTTCTAAGATGGATTAGACGTTGTATGGTCTGTAAGCCCAACAGAGCCATGATGGCATTGCTGCTCTCGAAAAGCAGCCAGCCACTGTGGATGATCCGCAATGGTTTGATTCCATGGATCATCACAATCATAGAATAAATGCCTCGCTTCCTGCTGGAACATTTCATCCGTAGGAACGATACCAAGACGTATCTGCTCCTGCGCATAATGACTTAAATGAAGTGTCAAAATCTGGGTGTAAGAATTAAGAGGCGAATCTTGCACTTGGAGTTGCTCAAGTAAAGCTGGTAAGTCTGACTTGTTTTGTGTTTGCTGCTGGCTGGTGCTGGTGCTGGTATCAGCATCACGGTGGAAGGAAGCCCGTGAAAGCATCTGAGAGAAATGGTCCTTCGCCTGGCTATTAGTCGCGGAAAAAGGTACCACCGTTCGTGATTCTAGGTCTATCAAGTATGGTGGCACAGCACATGTGACCTTGGCTGCAATCGAGTCGGGAAATTCATGATCACCTTTCCAGTCAGCCATCGTCAAGCCGCTGCGGAAATGACCTGCAAGGTGTTTGTATCGTTCAGGCCAGTTGGACATTTGACGATCGCAGAATCCGCAGCGGGAAGTGAAATTGGTGGTTTCTGTTTTCCAGTCGTCGATTAATGGGAGTGTTTCAAGACGGTGGAAAAGACGAAGATGTTGAACAAGATGATCTTTTCGTCGGAAGCTGCGCTGTTGGCCATCGCATGCCCCATGATTATGTTGATTGAGGTGCTCAGCAATTGGATCAAGCTGATTACAATATGCACAGTGTACGCGGTTTGTCGAGGGCAGGAGAACGGTTCCTCCATATGGAGCGCAGATCCAATTTTCGAGATTCAGATGAAGTGACTTCTCGTGCCGCATCCAGTCATACTTACTTTTGAATTTGTCACAGCAAAACGTGCAGCAGAACGGACGAATGTCATTCGCTGATTGTGGTTTGTCTTTCTTCGCTTGACGTGTCTTGCGGACGCGACCTGTTTTCTTCTCGGGTGTCCTGCGGCTACTGCTAGAGGTCCCTGATTGTCGAGAAGATGCACTGGTAGCACTTCCAGCGCTCGTTGTAGAGCCAGCTCGGGATGCTGGCCGACGGAAATTCCGGAAAGCGTTGGCGACGCCTTGGTCAGGGATACCAGTGGACTGCTCGGATAACGAACCCTGGACCGCGTCTTTGATGGCAGACAACGGAGCTGGTTCTTCTTCAGGAGGAGACTCTTGCCAGCGCCGTAGGGGATCTGGAGTGCTGGCACCTGATGGAATGGCTATCGGACTGGCCTGCTTCCCGGACCTGTCGATGAAATATCTGCTTCTGCGGCGGGGAAGACCTCGTTTAGACCTGTACCGTTGCCTCTCTGGTGGTGCAGATCTTGGCTCTTCTTCTCCGCTCTTTCTGAGACCGGAGGTCGGATCCGTACTTGTCGCGAAAAGATCCGGCAATTCGGGGGATACGGGTTCAGAATGTTGATTCATCCATCCCACCGGAAGACTGTTTTGAAGCGACCAGTCATTGGCACTCCTATTTTGTCCAGAGTCACTGCACACATAGTTCTCGATATATGTCCCAGCGTTGATGTCTGTCAGAGCTGGCGGGATATGATCATCCTGAACAACCGAGGTAGTCGCGTCCGGATGAACGAGTGTCTCGTGGGGGAAATATGACGATACATCGTCTGGAAGGGCAGCGAATAATGGATCGGCCTCGAACGTATCCGTTATGTAAGGGATATCGGGCAAACTGTTCACTGACAGGAAGCGATTAGCTCTGAGCTTGAGACGGTTGTGGTCGGTAGACGGACGCACAGTTTGTGTCTTGAGGAGCAAATTCCTCCTCGTCTAGAAAATAGAAGTACGGAGATTGAGTCGCAGAAGGTGTTTCCATTTTATGGCGGCTGTAGGACAAAAGGTCTGGTGGGTGTCACATTGCCGGTTGACTCTTTGCGATAGATAGTGACTGGTCAGAGAAATGCATAAATCGCCAGATTCGGATAATGAACGGCTTTATGTAACTATGAATAAGGCATATTAAGCGAGCGAATGACATGCGCCCATTCTAGAAAAGCACGCCCTACGCCTTACATGATCGACCTTGACCATAAATGGTACATTGCCTTCTTTACTTGTTCCTATTCGACTCTCACACTCTCCTCACAAGATGCGCAGGTCCGACCAGCGCGATAGTTACGAATTGAATGACAATCTCACTGTCCAAGACACCCTGCCGACGATGCCATAGTCAGCCAGGCTTTTCCGGAAGGTGGCCGCGAGGCATGGTCATGTCTTTAGGCTCGTTCCTTCTGATGTTTGGCTCTTTCAGCTTTCAGGCTTCCGGTAAGAAAGCAGCTTGTGGCCTTGTGTGTCGAGTCAACTAATTCCCTCCAGTCGGAACAATACAGGACTACATCAGCACCCATCAACTGTCCGATTACAGCGTTCGCGATGTGGGTTGGATAACAGCAGTACTCGTGTTCCTGACTCTCTTCCTTGGTTTCAATCCGTACCACTGTTTGATCGTTATGGACCGCGCTTGTTACTGATTGGTGGCTCATTGGCTAGCTTTGCTTCCTACGTGTTGCTGGCGCAGTGCTCTAAGTACTGGCATTTTACCTTCGTGATGTGACGTCCTTCCTCAGGTTCCACTGTGTCGAAACTGGTAAGGTATATAAGATATCTAAGAGCTGTTAGCATGAGCAGCCACTTGAGTAAGGTTTCGAGGACGTACAGCACGTCATTCTCCTTATCATAGCGGAAAAGTTTGGATCCTGGTCGGATAAAAGGAATCCCTCCTGGTACATATAACTGAGCCAGAGACAGCTGTTAACTGATACTGGCCCGCTGGTCATTGGAGAAATCCTCGTATATGTCGAATAGATTATCACCAGGAGGCGACGACATGACGAGGAAATTCACGTATCCCTCATTCCACGAAAATCGCTTTCCTGCCTTGGTGTTGGGTTGTGTGATGTACCGAGTTCCATGGCCGATCTTAGACACAATTTCGACCAGGTCGCACTCCGTTAGGAACTCGTCCGTTGCGTAGTCACGATCATAGAGGGGATCTCGGGGTCGTCGTAGCTCTTGGGGTTCAGACTGGATGTTGCGGTATCGTCTTGTCAGCAGCTTTTCAAGTTTCGGTGCTAATAGGAAGGGATGAAGAGGCAAAGGAACTCACTCATAGCGGATTTACATTAGCAGCTGCTCGCCAGTGTCCATGTAATGGGCGCGATTCAAGGCCTGGCGTTGAGCCAGATGTATGACTTCGGACTCGGTTTGCCGTCGATTTTGAAGCAACGGTCTCCAAAGTAATATTCAAATTTTGGCATGACGGTCGCTCTTGACAATGATAGAGAAATAAAAACAAGTATTGATGGATGTTAGAAGATGAAGTTAGTAAAGAGGAAAGGGGAGGAAGGTGCGCTAGGGCTGTCTACAGGCTACCGTCACTAAGCCATTTTCGGCTTCCTACGTGCCTCAAACATTGTTCAGATTAAAGGACGCTCTATGCATTATATATGCTCTATCAATATATACAAGAAAATGCGGCCAGCCTAACGCCTATAATGCAATTATAAAGGGACCAGCTCAGAAGAAATCCCTCTCCTCCAACCACTGCGAGTCAATCGCATACGCCACCAAATCTGCTGCACAACACATATCCTCATGGCGATGCTCGAGATCCAACAGGTCAAGGAGAGCTTCTAGTCTATCGTCAAGAATCTTCCTCCACTGAGTGGCCTGTAGCTGTGCTTCTGTGGTGTTTATTCGTTGCACAAGAGGCTTGTTCCCGGAATCCTTCCCTTGTTTCTGTCCAGACTGTTTGCTGATGACGACGTTCTGCTTATTTGGTGAACAGGGTGCTAAAGGTTTTCGTTGTGTTTTTTGTGGTTGTGCTGGTCGGACTTCGTCCTTCTTGTTTTTCAGTAGGTTTTTGAGTAGGAAACGGAGCCAGACGATGTTGGTTCCAGGAGCGTATTCGGACCAGATTCCGGGAACATCTGCTGGCTTTTCGGGGTTTGCTGGGTTTCCGGTATATAGCTCAGAGCGCATGCTGGGGATTAATTTAGCATCTTCCTTGTTTGGACACTGAGCCATGGCTACTCACTGTCTATATGTGTCTCGCAGCAAGGCGTCGTCCTCATCGTGGCCGATAGCGTCAAATAATTGTTTCTTGTCCAGATCAGAAGAGGCCACTTCGGGTGGTGCATTTGGGTCTTCACTGAGCCGCAACTCAGCACGAGAAAGTGAGTAATCAATGAGAGTTGTCTCGAGGGTGCTGAATCCATATCCGCTGGAATGCGTTCGAGATACAATTTGAAGATCGGTAGGCGGATCCATGCGGCCGTCTGAGCGCGCAGATCGAATGCAAACGTTTCCAAGATGGAGATCCCGGTGCTAGATAAATTAGAGACCCGTCTTCTTTAGTTTCAGAAACGGACGAGCTTACCTCGAACAAAGCGTATTCCTCCGCCCGTGCAAGAGCCATCGCAACACCCCAGAATATATCATAGATTTGGAACACGGACGACCAAGAAAATTTCTCCAATTCACACCCAGCATCATCCATCTCAATAATAGCCCACATCTGCGAGTCCGGATATGCCCTCTTGTTCGCCGGGTTCGGGTTCATACAATCATCTTTGGTCTTCTTGTAGTAATCCCATGCCTCCTGGAAGGACTCCGGGAAACGACCCTGAACGACATGGATTTCCCTAAACCGAGCAAATCCAGGAATCGGATCGAGATACTTGAGCATCTTGACCTCCGACACGATTTCATCGACGCTGGTGAACTTCTTCGAACCAAGACCCTTCACAGCTCGCAACGGAACCACTTTGAACACACCATCACCGTACGCGCGCAGCTTTGCCAGCTTCGACTTGGACATTTCCTGTTTGCAGACCTCTTCCCGGAGGCGCATCTTGTAGACTTCACCGTATGATCCTTCCGCGAGTTTCACCACCTGCAGCATATTTCCACCACGAGCAGCCCATGAACCGAACTTCTGCACACCCTGTGCGGCGATCGGCGATAAAGCTTCGTTGAGAATCGAACGGGCGTATTCGTTGGCTTTCTCGTCTTGAACGCAGCCGGATGATAGTCGCGGGGCGGGTTTCTTCTTCCTTGCGGGGGCCGCCCGTCTTCTGGGTTGTGTGGCGCTCTCGTCTTGTGGTTGCTGTTCGTTCAATGCGGGCTCTGGCTTCCTTGGGCTTATTTCAACGCTGACCATCCTCTCGCATTGTCTTTCCGTTGTCGTACTCTCCGGGGGTGGTTGCTCGACCTCCTCAATCTGTGGCTCGATCTCCGCGGTGTCCGGCTCCGGTTTTGACGCAACAGGCTCCTCCTTCACAGGTTCTTCTTCATCGCGGGGGTCCGAAAACGCATCAACAACCCCTCTGTCCTCCTTCTTTTCCTGCTTTTTCTTTCCGCCCTTCACGGCCCGCGACTTTATCGTGATGCTGGCCATCTTGGCCTGCAGGCCATCCACCACGACATCGTCTGCAACCTCTGCTGTTTCCTTGGGCGGACTCTTGTGCTCGAATACCGCCCGTGGTGCGTCTGCCTTGCGCTTCCCGTATACTCTTCTACCGGCAGTGCGTCTCTTCGTCGTGGGTTCGGGTTGTCGGGTGGGTGTTGCGAGAATCGCGGGGGAGGACATGGTCGGCGTGGTTTGAGGTCGACTGATGAATCGCTGCGTGGTCGAGGTTAGGTTAGTTGGTACATGTAGCTCAGATTAGCGCTTAGCTGTTGCTGACGAGTCGTAGAAGTGCGATGGTGGAAAGTGATCCCTGAGTGTCGTGTTGACTGGTTTCCGCAAAGAGTTAGGTGGTTGCTGTGGTAATGGAGAAGTGGGTCTATCCGAGAAAGGAAGTATATAAAGTACAGTAATACTTCCCTCATCTCGCAACCTCGCGCAACAAACCTCAGGCACTGTAGCAGGCTCCCATAACCAGGCTCCCGCGAACTTCCTTTATATTTCGCTTCAGGGTCTTATATACAAAAGAAAGGGTGCGTAGCTCAGTCGGGTAGAGCGTTCGTCTAGGTTGACTCCAGGTCCGGGGTTCGAATCCCCGAGCGTCCATTTCTTTTTTATTTTTATTTTTATTTTTATTTTTATTTTTACTTTATTCAATACTCTTCATACAAAGTAAAGGACCAAATTCGAACACAAAGATTAAATTAACCTACTCAGGCAAAATATTATACAGTCCGGCATCTCTCATGGTAGTAGCACCTCGAGATGGCAGGTCATCTTGATATGCCACCGAGGTAAGCTTCGTACAGACGCATTTATGCTTCGGTCTAGGCATAGCTAGCAGAAAGAATCCTTGCCAGTGGTTTTATGTATGCATGCTATCCAGTTTTTCAGTGACCTCGGGGTCGAACACTTCAATTTGGATTTGGGCTTGCTGGTATTCGCTCTAAGCGGTCCTTTAGACCTCTGTTCCATTAGCACTTTCCCTGCTTCGTCTAAGATCTCGCTCTTACCTAGAAAGTGGCTTGATGTTCGATCGAGTCATAGACTCTTTGTATGTCAGGCTCTCACCTAGTTTTTCGGCAATGGCTAGTCCTCAATACGCTCGAAAAGCAGACGCTACGCCCACCAGTGACTTTATCGGCCATTGTTCCTGTTGTTTGAGGTTGGCAAGCCGCTGATAAACAACTAAATTACAGGTACAGGACGGGGCTTTTGTAATCTTCACCAGAGCCTTTTTGCTGATGGATATTCCACCGTTTTGCCCTGCTCTGCCAAGGGGATTGTTTTTCGAATCGACTACTAGGAGTGCTCACGTTTCAATCCCAACCTGCGAAGCACCATCAACATTAAAGCATATCAGAGTCTTCCCATGGACGAATTTCGATGGGACCATAGCTGCTCGGAGTACCAAACAAGGGGATCTTTAGCTTAGATAGCTCCGAATCTTTCATGCGCTTCAGCGCTAAAGATTTTCTGTCGCCATGGCATCATGTCGCCAACTGAATCAAACTTGAGGGTCACATTATCGGGTCCATATTGCTGAGTTAAGCTTCACATCTCCTATAAGATACAAGGCTTGCGAAAGATGATACTTCGTTACATGCTCGAGCAGGGCCGCATCCAAGTCACAGCAAAGTATGATAAAAGTGAGTCCAAGCTCACATCCACTGATTAAGCCTAGCTGGTACGTATTTGTGCTCAATCAAAACAGTCATGCCTCTATCTGCTTTGAGGTTAAGGAACTCGCAACCTCTGTCGGTTCTTCTACCTACCCTTTGCCCAATTGTATAAGGTGTCTTCAAATCCCGTTGCTCGTGCTTGAACAGGAAAAGCAGCATTTTCGAGACATAGCTTTGAAAAATGCGTTTTTCTTGTGGATTCGTGGTTTAGTCCCGAAGAAATTTGCTAGAGGTTGTATGTAGCTTGTCAGACGTGGCGTGGTCAATTTGCTTGATTTTTATGCCGACTGTATTCCTGCTTCATGTCTGCTTTGCCGGCTTTTAATTAGTGGTTATAGTAAATTCCTTTGAATGCAAGCATGACACAAGAAACTTGCAAGGTGATAAGCAAGTTGTAGGGATTGATGTTCCAAGAATTTCAGAAGTCAAAGACCACACTCGCTGAAGCACGCTCGTTATGTTAAAAGCCGGCTAACTACCAAGAGTGGGAGTCTCGAGTGCTGCACATGGCAGTACAACTCTCTGTGTGCGTGATCTTTCCAGAAGATGCTCAATAGGCCTTTTAACTGCGGACGTGCCACATACGATGCGCCTTACCATCAAGATGTCTCTGCATCATATTGAATAAGTTGCAAGATCTGGAAACTAATGCCTTGTGACTCGCGTGTCTTATCTTTCTGTGGTTAAGTCCAACCAACGACTCGCTCGACGACTGGTCCTTGCGTTTGGTCCATAGAGTTAGACGCATAGTTGAAGCTCTATAATTCTTATATAGCCGTAATATTGCCCTCGACATCTCCTTAGCCATCTCATTGGTTTGGCAAATTTTCTCGCAACAGAGCCGATGTGCAGAACATCACTGTGGGGGTGGTTCAAGTCGTTCTGGAGCGAACGCTTAGGATGGGCCTGGTTGAGTACTAAAGGATCTCGACAAATGCTTTTAATGCGTATGCTAGCCTTTGTAACTTTCAGTTCGGTGCATCACTATGTTCTTATGTTCACGACTTTTCGTCCTTCCGAATTATATTCTTTTTCCCGGGTGTTGCTCATGATGCTCACTGAGCTATTTTTGAAATAGAAATTATTTCCCACGGCTGTAAGCTGAGGGTTTAAGGCGGTGTTCACCAGGATCTCCTGTAGTAGGCGTGGTATGGTCTCAAGTTTGCATGTCGATATAGACCTTACGACCGCCATGAGTTGCTCATAGCCTGACTGGAGCTTTTGCCATGGACGCAACTTCCGAGAATTTATCCTTGTGCCTTCTAATATCTTTTATTGAATTGGTGGTAAGTCTGGGAGCCTTTGAAATGGACGATGCAAGATAGTTTGCCTGGTTGGGCTGAGTCTCTTGCGGAGACATTTTTTCTTCTTCGTGGATAGCATGCGTTGCATTTTGGTGGGTACAATTCCAAAGTAAGCTGAGGGCTCCTCTAGCATAATCCGATAAATTTCGGACTGAGTGCCTTGTAGCCGTTGCCATGGTGCTTGTGATTAGGGATTCTTTTCATATACATCAATTTTGGCGGTCCCTCTGATGCTTCACAAGTAAAAAATAGCATTCAGAATCTGCGGTATGCACTTACTTTTGGCTTCTAACCATAAGAACGGTTAAACGTGCCTGTAAATGTGGCAGTCTTAACCTGCTCACTGTACGGAGAGTCGTTATTAAACAGATCCGAATTTCTGTGTATGCCACTCAGTGGCGCATTTAGAGAGGGAAAACACCGTATAGCGAGGAAAGACAAAGCTATAAGCTATACTGAAAAGAATTTCGCTAGGAAAATGTCAGTAGCAGTCTAAACTTGGATGATAGCCACTTACAACTTAGTTAGGATCACTTCCGCAGTCTTATCGTTGGCGGTTAAATGACAAAAATCAATTCAAGGTGGCAAGAGTTGTTGCACCCGTACGGTCTCACAAGACTCCAGTAAGTATTGCTCTGCTCTTGACACTCGCAACCGTTGATTGAGTATGCTGGTAACGGCCGCATCACCAATAAATCCGCGTTGATATATATCCACACCCCTTCCATCTCAGCCATGGACTGAACTTCCGCAAATCACGCCCACTGAGCTGGGTGGTTGAGCACAATCGTAGACATAGCTGCAAAAGCCAATAACAAAAGAGACATTGTTGCGTTCGACTCCGCGAGCTAGATTTATAACATGCACTGATGTGTACGGTCAATTGACGACCGAGTCTGTCTAGCTATGTGTTATAGTGCGCTGATAAGGGGCGTCTGCCACTGATGACCTAAAGGCGATCAAATGTCAACGGACTCGTAACACTGAGGCCTCCCACTTGTCGAGTCACTATCGCACTTTCGTAATTCGGGTCATCTCTTTGGTAGTCTGTACTCCAACTAATGTGGTCGACTACCTCGCTGTCAAGGAGAAGTCATCGAGATCGTATAAAACCACCAAATTTCTGTCTGCAGGCAATGGCGGGGAGCTTTTCTCTGTGGTTTTGAGGCGTCAATTTGTATGATGTCGAGTATTTCAAGAATATCTGCGCTAGGCACATGATTCTTTAGCCCATTGCGTGGTCTACCAGACTAGGACCGTCATTAGTTAATCGTTCTTAGATTTAACTAAGAGTGATTAGCATCCACTCACCAGTAAGCTTATTTCCTGTAATTAACCTATGCAAGGAACCCCATGAATAGTCTCAGGTACATCTTGCCGGCTAGTACTTTTATTTACCAAGTTGGTAGCCGCGTCTCACGCGATCCGATACAATGTTCGGATACTTGGACCCGAGACGAGACATGGAGACCGGCGTATGATATATAACTCTCTAGGTCGAGGTGTCTGATCTTCTCTCTGTCCTGTGGATGTTTGCGTCCTTCTCAACTTTGAGGCGGATTTATGCCGTGCTCTGACGGCGTTTGTGAATGGGTGCACTTGTTCACGGAAGACACCAGATATGTTGTGCTTAGCACGGGAACGAGCTTAATCTTTTTTTAACATATATAGTTGGTTATCCAGGTTGTCTATATGGTCCAAGGCAGAGACCCTGGTTGTCGGGAGAGTTTGAGGAACTAGAAAGAAAGGAGGAAGGATAGGAGCTAATTACCTTGCAAGTGAATGTTAAAAGAGTCATTTGATAGATCTTTGACTATAGTGAATAAGGTTTAGCCCCTTAAAAAGGGGATCATAGCAATATTGCAGAAAAATATAGATGTCAAACATAGGGCTTTCTATTTACAAATCACGCCCCCTCCCCAACCCCAACCTCTTCCACAACCTCATCCTCCCCAACCTTAACATCCTTCGCAACAGTCTCATCATAACTATCATACTTATACCCACTCCCCACATGATCCTCCCTCAACCCACTCTGCCCCTTCCCGTAAACCTTTTCTCTCGCCGTCAACCGCTCCCCCTCTGGCAACGGCCCCGGATACACACCCCGTCTCCTCAACTCAGGAACCAGCAGATCAACAACCTCTTCAAATGTTCCAGGTGTCGTAACATAACCTAAATTAAACCCGTCCAGGTCACCCTCTTCGAACCAGCGCTCTAATTCGTCTGCGACGGTTGCAGCGCTACCGATGGTTACGGGACCGAGTCCACCAATGGCAGCGCGCTGTGCGACGACCCGAGGCGTCCATTTGGGAATTTCCTTGGAGGTTGTTGTGAAGGCGTCGAGGATGGAGGTTACTTTGTGTGCTTCGAGGGAGTCTGCGGCTGTGATGTCCTGGTCGAGTGGGATGCGGGAGATGTCGATTCCCGTCCAGCCGCTGAATAGAACCAGACCACCTTCGACGGAGGCGTATTTCTTGAGTTCTTCGTACTTGGCCCATGCAGCCTCATCGGTTTCGGCGATGATAGGTGTGAAAGTTGCGAAGAACTTGATCGATTGCGGATCGCGGTTCTTCTCCGCGGCTAGGTTGCGGATGTTGGCGATTTTTTTGCGGAGGAGGGCTGGGGAGTGGCTTGAGACGAAGACTGCTTCGGCGTGGGTTGCGGCGAAGTTTGAGCCTGCGGGTGAGGTACCTGCTTGGAAGAGGAAGGGTGTTCGCTGGGGTGAGGGGTCGACGATGTGGCGGGTGTTGAGGTTGAAGTATTTGCCCTGGTGGTCGATTGTGCGGACTTTGTCGGGGTCGACGTAGGAGTCTGCTTCGGGGTTGGGGGAGAGGGCGTCGGGGGCCCAGGAGCCTTCCCATAGTCTATCAGGTGTTTGTATCATTCCTTGGCAGGGTGGGGAGTGTTGCGTACTTGTAGACTACCCGCAGATACTCATCTGCCTGGGCATATCTCTCGTCATGCTCGATGGGACTGTCAAGCCCTATGGCCTTGAAGGCAGCCTTCTTCCATGACGTGACGATGTTCCATCCAACACGACCACCCGTCAAATGATCCAATGTCGAGAAGCGCTTCGCCAGCAGAAACGGTGGTTCAAACGATGTCGACGACGTGATTCCGAAGGCCAGGTTCTTGGTCACAGCAGCCATGGCAGAGATGGGCTAGACAGTCAGTACCCTTATAATCACTTGCCATAAAAAGAAAGGAACATACGATGGTAGGATCAGTTACAGGCCACTGTGCCGCACGACGAATACACTCATCCAGCTTACCCTGGTAGGTATCATATCCGCCGTACGTATCAGCCAGGAACAAGGCATTGATGCCACCGCGTTCGAGAAGCTGGGCGAGTTCAACCCAATAGTCTAGTTTGCGCTTTGTCGCAGATTTGTCTTTGGGATTCTGTAAAGGGTCAATGTCTGCGGAATACATCAAGGTTAAGATATTGTTGCTCACCTTCCACTGACCAGGCGACAAATGCCCAACAGTCGACATATCAAAAGCATTCAGAAGAATCTGCTTTTTCCCCTGTGGCACTTCATGGCCATTAGCCTCAGCAGTATCATTCGTAGTAACTCCAATATCGCCCATGGTTGTTTTTCCGAATCTGAATATTGTTCCTGATCCCTCAAAAATAAGCACAGGTAGGTAAAGCTTCACTTAAATGTCAATTCAATCTTATCAAACCCCTCACTATTAGTATTCCATTGCATGCATATAACATATGTATACGCCATTGTTAATTTAGGTCGCGTGATGAGGGTCTGTCAAGAGTGAGAGTCGAGGTAGGTCGATACAAGGATGTCAATTCGCCATCATCCCCGCAGAAAGCGCAACGACGGGTGCTGTTATGCCGGCGGGTTCTTGCCGACAGGTAGTCTATGTGGTGGTGTAGATACGTTGTAGATAAAGAGGATGCTATCATTATGGGGTATATTGCGTGATGACGGTTGGTGGATAGCGTGGGATTTTTGTAGTCGGAGATAGGATGGTGTTCTAGTATTGGTTTTCTACATGTTTAGGTGTACAATGACGGATAAGAGTGAAGGAATCAAAAATATGCTATACTCCGTAGTGACTTCCATTTTATGTACTCGTTACAATGGATTTTCAGATTAATGAACCATTCTACACGCGCTCATTTTGGATGAACAGTATAGTTCACAGCTTCCGGGTCTTGAGCACCCTCTCCACTTCCCACAGAGCCTTGTCCCTCACTATCACGTCTTTTCCTGTGAGACCATTAGCAACAATCAGAGCCATCCGGGAAGAAAACACTTACCCCTCTCGCGTAGTGAAATACCGAATAAGATGCGCCGTCAAAATCAAACAAATAGCATTCGCAAGCACAAACGAATACCCCTTCGTAAACCGTGGCCCCTCAACCGTCTTAAACACCAAAAGAGGCGTCCAGATAGTCGTAGATTGAGCAATGACGGTAGTACTCACCAGGACCACAGCCCGTACGATGGGTGAGTACCGAAGCTCACTATTCATCCAGCCATACAGGACACTCGACATACCGACGGAGGAGTAGGTAGTCGCAAATGCGAACCAGAGTGCGGATTCGGGGACTTTCCAGATGATCAAGATGATTAGGCCAACGATGTTCCAGGTGTGTGCGACTGTAATGGCCCAGGCTGGGCCCAGGACGAGGTCGGATGCGAAGCAGATGAAAAGGGTGTAGAATATACCCAATGCTGGGGATATGGCGTTTAGCTCGTTGATTTTGCTGGTGGAATATCTGTCCAGGCTCTTCAGCCAGAGAAGATAGCCTCCGGCATTGGTGTTGTAGCATGCGTTCCAGAAGAAGATGTCTAGCCAGAGGAATGCCCAGAACTTCCAGTTTCGGAGGATTTCGAAGAGCGTCCTCCATCTGAACGCGCCGGAGATACCGTGTCCAGCGCGTTTTAGTCGGTTCTGTGCAACTTCGATATCGCGGTCGTTCAAGATGAACTTGTTTGGCTTGTCTGGGGTTCCGGGAAGGATAAAGTAGCCAAGTATACCAATGGGAATTGTGATGATGGCACAGATAATGTACATCCACCGCCACCCTGCGAGGCCATTGACTCCATCGAGCCTTGATGAAGCACCGGCTTGGATCAGACTTGCAGTTAATGTGCCTAGAGTGAGTCCGACGTAGAAGCAGCCGCCTCGACGGGCGATTTCATCGCCGCGATACCAGGCTCCTGCAAAGTGTAAGCTGATGTTCGGTTCATGACTTGAAATTGGGCTTACCAAAAATGTAATGCATCCCCGGAAAGAAAGCAGCCTCGAACCATCCAACCAAAAATCGATAAGCCGCTAGTTCCGAATACGAAGTAACCCGATACTGCAACAGGGTGAAAATACCCCATGCGATATCCAGAAACGGGATAAGCCATGACATGGGGAACTTGGTGAACAAATATGCAAAGGGAATCTGTCCTAGCACAGCACCAAGTGTGTACATGGTCTGCAGCTGGACGAGTTCATTTCCGTGGAGGTTCAGGTCTGTCTGAACTCCGGAGACGTAGGCATTATCTGGATTGTGAGCAGAGACTCATTGAACCGGGAAGTATAACATACTAATATTAGCCTGATCAATGTACTTTGTCCAGTAAGCCAGAAAAGCATAAGGAACGATTAAAAGATCAAGCTTAAGGATGAGACGCCGTTCCTCCTTGGTATCGTCGTCGGAAAACCATTGAAGATGATACCATTTTCGCCGTTGCTGCACGTCGGCCATTTTCTGACAGTCTGCAAAAGTCTATTCTTTTTCATTTTGACAGGCAGGTACATACGAACTTTAAAGACAAGCTGGAGTAGACAAGCTTGTGTAGCTTTGACAGTGACCCTCAGGTCACGCAATAATCAAGTCGCAATGCATCTTACAGCGCCATTCAGTTCTAGTCGTTCTTCCAGGTGGTCGTCAATGTTTCTGTATCTAGTCTGGGCACGTTGTTTTAACAGCACATGGTTGGTGATGACCCCGCGAGAGTGTACAGGGGAGACATCAGGATCCAGGCACTCCACGGGAACCCGATTGGTGTCAATGCAATGCGTAAACATAGAAGACAACTTTATCGTCACTACGGAAGTTATCCAGGCTGATAGATAAGAGCGCCTTGCCCAGATGGCCAGATTCCTCGAAACGAGCGCGGCCAAGCATCGTGTCATGAGGTGGACGGAAGACGTGCTCCTGGAAAAGCACCCGCGCATGCCAACACATATATCGGGGAGTCCCCTAACTTCCTGTCCGTGAGTGATAACCGCAGAATACCAAAATTGTCGAGCATTGTTCAAGTCTGGTAGTTCACGAGAAGAGTCATAGATGCGGTGTGGCTAGTGATATCAGAATCGAGTCAAAGATGCCTCTCCAACCCAATGCGATGTGTCTGTCAGCCATTCAAGACGCGGCAAATGAATCAGTGCCATTCATCTCGACGATCCTCATCAATCCACCAGGCTGAGAGCGATTCAGGGCCCAAGATCCTCCTGTCATTCTATCAGTCTTTTCTGTGGGCCACACCAGAGAAAGGTGATACACCGGAAGTCATGGAGGGCTGAAAGAAGCATGCGAGAAATAAGAGATGAACTTATACCTGCCATAGTGAGCAGGTGTAGAGAATTCTCCGTATATCGGACATTTCAGGGGTGCTGGATGTTTGATCGACAGGCAGACTAGGAGTACTCCGGAGTACTTTTAATGAATAAAGAGTAGAAATGATCAACTGCAATTGAGCTATTGAGAGGAACGGATGAAGAGTAAGAATAGCCAGTATTCCAATCGGTATACAAGCGTGAGGCGTACCATAGTAGAGGCGACATTCCGGTTGTGACGTAACCCCACTTCCCGCATATTTTTTTCTTGAATTTTTATTTGGGCTCCCACAATGGAATAGAGTCAGTACAGAGTATTACTCCGGAGTACAACACAGAGCCCCTGAACAATGCAGCAAATGAGGGAGCATAACTGAATAACACACTACTAATAAATACAGGCTATAATTAAGGCTAGGCTGTACATAATAATTACAAGTCCAGCTATCAGCTGATCTGCGTCACGCGAGTCACCTTTGGACCCTCGGGAATCTTCGCCTTCGCTTTTCGTCCCTCTCTCTAAGATTTTCCTTCGCCCCGGCGCTTCTTCATATTTCCTCCTTCTTGCTTTTACCCTCTCTTATAATCCCATTTCTCGTCGCTTCTTTTATTCTTCTACTCTATCCTTTTCTTTTCTCTTTTTTAAGCTCTCTTCGTTTTATACGCACACCCTCAATGCTCGGCAATGGCGTTCAACTTCAACTGGTCGCCGCTCATGGCAGACGCGAGTTTCTACACTCGTGCCCAAGAGCTTCTGACTGCTGCGCTCAATAAATCGCCTAAACCGCCAATTATCGTCGATGATATTATCGTGACCGAATTGAATCTAGGCTCGATCCCTCCCGAATTGGAAATTCTCGAGATCGGCGATTTGGCGGAGGATCGGTTCCGAGGAATCTTCAAGATGTCATACACCGGAGATGCCTTTTTGACCCTCAAGACCAGAGTCCAGGCGAATCCTCTCAATACCTATCTCATGACACGCCCGTCGTTTGCTTCGCCACTACCGCTGGCTGCAGCGTAAGTTGTCTGCCCGTTTCATCAGTCTCACACTGGTCGTACATTTGTCAATGGAGGGGCCCCTCGCTTACTCGTTTCGTTTGGAATACCACAGGACTCCCCTTACTATTCCCTTACAGATTACCCTCTCCGATTTCAAACTCTCCGGCTTTGTCATATTGGTCTTCTCAAAGCAGAAAGGAATCACCGTCGTCTTCCGAAATGACCCGCTCGAGTCGCTCAAGGTCTCCTCGACGTTCGATTCGATCCCCTTCGTTCGCGACTTCTTGCAGCGGGAAATCGAGGCGCAACTCCGCATACTGTTCATGGACGAGTTGCCGGCTATTATCCATCGCCTATCGCTACGACTATGGGTTCCGGAATATCGGGCTGAGGAGGAGATGCAGAACCAGATGAACACAACCCCCACCCCCACCGAAGGTCCCGGGCACGATCCTCTTGCCAGTCCGCCGCAAGATCCTGTGGATTCGTCAGGCAACGCATTGGACGAGTCGGAGATTGCGTCGTTATCGCTGGACTCGGCCGTCGAAACCCACTCGCTGTTCTCCCAGAAGAACCTCCTTCGCCTGGCGACTCTGACGGATTCCCAGCGGACACTGTCACTCTTTACCCCGTCGATTCACCAAGTCGTATACCGTGCATGGACATCATCCGAACAGAACGATTTGTCTGCCAGCGTCATGTCGCCATTGAGCCCCGCTCTCTCGAGAACTCAGTCGCAGACAGGCAGCATGTCTACTTTCATGGACAACGCTAGCACAATATCCGCCCAAAGCAGGACACCCACAGGACCCACCCAGTCGTTTAGCAGCTATGGCTTGAGCTTGGGAGCCGGTCGCCATTCCAAAGCACATGCCAGAAGGCGGAAGAAGCGTGTGGTGGATCTCCGTAGTCGCCCAACGACACCCGACGACTCCGCTAGCGTGAGCGTGAGCGATGAAAGCACATATACAGAGAGTGCCAGTGCACCTTCGGTTAGTTCCGCTCCGCTGCCGGCCGTCCATGAACAACCCGACGACCCGGTTACCCCGCCGTTGTCGCCTGAAAGTGATCAGCGACTCCCCGCAATCCCCGAGAGACGTCGTATGAGCCTGTCGCGCTCTTTACCTCGCCGCGACATCTCGAGTGAGATCCTTCGTGATCGAGCTGAGCCTTCTGAACCGATTCGGAACACCTTCAAGACCGACGACGTGAAGACTGCTGGGGGAACTATCCGCCCTCACCCTGCACCCCTCCATGAAGCCGGTCCCTCTTTGGGCCCCACACGACAACTGTCTGCGGCAGGCCTTTCCTTCCCACATGATAACCCGACCGGTAGCAGCATTGTTGACCAAGTGTTGGTCGAGAAGCTGGCGGGTGAGATTGCACGCCGTATGCGTGACGAAAAACTAATGGCACCAAACTCTTGTGGTTCTTTCTGGGACCACCAACCGGAAGAAACACCACCACCGGCTTATGGCCAGTGAGTGCTTAGCCCTCGACACATCATACATTTCCTTTGTTCGATTTTCCTTCTCTGGCTTGAAACAGTCCAAAAGTTCGATTTTACCTTCAGCGAGCGATACCTGGAGTTTGTTATGACCGTTATGACTTTGCGTTGTCATTGATCTTGTTTCTCCTCTCTCTCTCTCTCTCTCTCTCTCTCTCTCTCTCTCTCTCTCTCTTTCCTTTCATCAATTCGATTGTTGAGTTCTTGATTGTTTCTAGCGGGTTTTAAAAATGGGTGTTTCGATTTGGGTTTAGCACGATGGTTCTTTTTTTTTTTTTTTTTTTTTTCTGATATCTTTACAAGCGACTGCTCTCTTTCAGCACAGGATACCACTCATTCGTCAATCCTCCTGCTTCCGTTTTCTTATATATCACCATATCTTTTTTACTTTATGAGCGATCATCTGATATGGGATCGATGGGATGGGATGTGGGATAGGACTGGGTAGGACTGGGAGCTGGGAAGGACCATAGTGTCCATTCGGTATATAGAAAACAATTCATATTTTCCAGCGTCAAGTGCATTTCAAATATATTTTTAGTTTCTTACTGGCATATATGATTCGGAGATTTTCTCCTCGTTTCTGGTGTGACCAGATGCACTTCAGGATATGCGGCTGCGAATGCATCTGACTAATGTTGCCAACTCACCTTTTTTTTATGCATGTCGCATCTTCATGTGTCTTGAAAAACTGAACAATGTCTAAGTCCTAATAATGCTATCGTAGTAGGTGTACAGAGTACTCCGTAGGTTACTCCAAACGGGTGTAAATATTGCCCCATGGTTCGGCCGCTTAAGTTTGGCTCCACCGCCTGCCATTCTGCCAACGTCCACGTTCCGTCTTCAACTCCGCGAACTTTGGCTTCCTCTCCTTCTTGCACCAGCCACGTCGCCAGTTTTCGGAGGTTGTCTAGTGCTAGTTGTACCTCCTCCGCCCTCACAATGTCTGACATGCTCAAGAATGTGTTTGGCGGCGCCGCGTCGTCCGGTGCGGTCAAGCCCGACGATGGTAAGCTATCTGTCCGGAGTTCAACTCCGATTCTGCAATTGCTGGGAGACTTTATCTGACTCTGCTGTTGCTGTATAGAATTCGCGGACTTTGTCGAAGCCCCTCAGCCCTCTCCTGCCTCCATCCTCGGTTCGTCGTCGACACCAGCTGCTTCGCCGAGCAATGGAGCCGCCGTTCCCTACACGGCATGGTACCGGGTGTGGGAGCGGACATCGCCCAAGGACTTCATGCAAGAAGCAATGGTCCTGCCCTTCATCATTCTGATCGTCGCCTTCCATCTCTGGGGTACGCGGAAGAACCGACGCAAGGCCAAGCAATGGGCCCAGGCTCACGCGACTGCTCTCCGGAACGAGTTTGCGGTGGTCGGATTCGGTGGCCTCCACAACGGCGAGACTGCGACTCCCGAATTGGACTCTGTGGACAGCGTGCTCAAGGAAAAGTCTCCTCAGGAGTTCATCTCTTACGCGACGGGTCGGCAGAATGTTGCCTTTGTTGACATCTCGGTTAAGCTGCCTAAGCGGTACAACCCGGTGACCTACTGGATGGACTATGCGTTCAGCTTCTTCTGGGAGACCTGGCCTGCCCCCGCTGAGAAGATCGAGGCTACTTCGTACGCGTTCGATGGCAAGGAGAAGGAGCTGGTTCCTGTCCCCGCTAAGGATTCGTCGTCTTTGAAGGTTAACAACTCGGCTTATGATGGGTTTATCTGGGCTATTGTGCACAAGAGCTGCATGCGCAAGTTCCGTCAGGACCGCTACGATGCTTCGATCACTTTCACCAAGGATAACGCCAAGCTGCCTCCCTGGGTGACTGTGATGACGGAGAGTGCTGAGATTACCGAGGCGCTTCTTACTCCGGAGTTGATCAAGGCCATTGAGCAGGCGGGTCATGAGTTTGAGTACTTGATTGTTACTGACCAGCCTACTGACAAGCCGATGAAGTGAGTATCACTTTCCAGCCATCCATGCGCACAAAATCTAACAATTCTAGGATCGAGGAAACCACCCCCAGAAAGCGTATTAGCCTGTCGATGAACATTCCCTCCGCCTCCAATGCCTACGCCAGCACCCTGCCGCTTTTCCAGCAATTCCTCGGTTTCGCTGACAAGCTCGTTGCGTCCGCGCACTTCCGTGCTGAGGTGACGCGCAAGGTCCGGAACGTTCGTGAGGCTGAAATCAAGAAGCTCCGCCGTGCCGATGAGGAAGAAAAGGCCGAGGAACGCAAGATTGCCGCGGAGAAGCAGAAGAAGGAAGAGCGGGAACGCATTCTTCGGGGTATGAATGCGGAGGAGCAGCGCAAGTACCTCGAGCGCGAAAAGGGAAAGGAGAACAAACGTTCTACGAAGAAGGTCACTCGGAGGGCATAGATTCTTCGCGTTTTCTGCTTCATTCTGTACAATTCTTCTTCTTGATGCTATTTTTATTGAGAAAACGTGGAGCGGGCTTGAAAAGCGATTCGATCTTGGCTCATGTACCTTCAATGTATATTAATCTTATTCGGGCAGGAGATGCGGCAGGGGATGTGTCTATTACGGTCTTTTGTCCAGAAATGAATGTGTTTTATGAGGCTAATGCGCGCTCTTTTCCCCGATGTGACATCGGATGTTATCGGCGGTGACCTGAATACGAGGACAACTATTTTGTGCTCCGTACTTGAACATGAATACGATGTCAGGTCCCTCCCTGTCGGTTATGTGTTTCTCGCCGGTTGGGTAGAGTCTTTCCCGTTCCTCTTGGCCTGCAGCATAAGCTAGAGATAAGCATAGTGACAAACAAACAAGAATATAATCAGCCTCTTCGACAGGTCCAATTGTTCTGCCCTGGCCCAGGCCGAATGCATGCTGACTGCAACTATACCTAAAACTTTCGGTCTCTGTTTCCTAATCGGTGTGTGTCGAGTCCGTCCAGTGCGCCTGCCGTATTAGGAAAGCAGCTTGGCTGGCCCTGCATACAAAATGTCTTGACCGTCTCTCCCTCGTCTTCTTTTTTTTTTTTTTTTTTTTGCCTCGCCAACCTCCTACAATCTCCTCTACACACTATTTTTTTACTTCTTTTCTCGTTCGTTGACCTTATAATTACTATACCTACACCCTACTACTATCATCGTTATTCATTCTTACTACAACCGTCAAAATGGTGTCCCTTCGCTATCTCCCAGCCTATGCCTACGCTCTCTTCACTGCCTCTATTAGCACCGCAGCACCTGCACCCATTGCCTCTCAAAGAGCGACGGCCAATGCTGCCGTTGCAGTCGGTGCCGTCATCGAACGGTGCACGACCCCCGGTACGATAGCCCTCACCTTCGATGACGGCCCGTACCAGTACACTTCCGATCTCCTCGACGTGTTTAGCCAAAACGGAGCCCCAGCAACGTTCTTCCTTAATGGACAGAATGTCGGGAACATCTATGACTATGCGGATGTTATTCAGCGGATGCATAGTGAGGGGCATCAGATTGCGTCTCATACGTGCGTTTTCCCCTACCTCTCGTGTTAGGTTTGTGTGATTGATGCTAACCATGGATGCAGTTGGAGCCATCCTTACCTCACCTCGCTCGACTACAACGGGGTCGTGTCGCAGATGACCCAGCTCGAGGATGCGTTGCAGGAGATTGTCGGCGTTAAGCCTGCCTACATGAGGCCGCCATATCTTGCCACTAATGATGTCGCGCTGGGTGCTTTGGGGGATCTCGGGTACCATGTTATCAGCTGCAGCATCGACACGAAGGATTACGAGAACGATGACCCCAGTTTGATTGCCAACAGTGTGAACAAGTTCAATGACGAGTTGAATGGTGGGGGTAGTATCGTTCTGTCGCATGACGTGCATGAGCAGACGGTGTATACACTGGCGCAGGCTATGTTGGATGAGGTTAAGGCAAGGGGATTGACGCGTATGTTCCATCCTTCCTCTCTCTTTGGTTGTTCGGTGCTGACTGGCTTGTTTAGCTGTTACGGTGGCGGAATGCTTGGGTGATTCGAACGGGTGGTACCAATAGACAAGGGTTGGATATATATATATTGAACCGGATAATTCAATTCAATCTAATTTTACTGTTCTCACTTTCCTTTTGGCGTACGTATATCTATACCAAGCCAGGTTTTCAACAGTAGACACTCGCATGAGTTAATAAGACTAACGGACTAACGGACGATGAGGGTCTATCGAAGATACCTGGATTATGAAAAGTCCCAAACCTGTATAGCTCTATGGTCTAATAACAGTCTAATTATACAAACCACTCATATATCCGTCAGTGAAGGTGCTCACAGCGACCACCTCTTAAAGAACTTCATGATAATCGGCGCGGCATCGAAGTAGGTCTCCTTGGAACTATCATAGTTCCCATCCTTACTTGGCCAGACATGCTTCCATCCATCAATCCGATAATGTGTAACTATTCCCAAACTCTCCCCACTCCCAAACTCATACTTCTGCACATTCCCACCCCACAACTCCTCCGTCTTATTACTCGTCCCAAGTCCATTCCGATCAGCCCACTGCCTCAACGCATGCGATACCACCGGCAAACACTTCCCATGCCTCGCCCCACCCGCATACGGAATCGTCGTATCAGCTGTGCCATGGAACTCCAGAATCGGCACCTTACTGCGTCCCGGGTCACACTGGATCTTCACGGTGCTCGGGTCACAGTCCTCTTCGGAGGCCAGGTTCTGGTAGTACCCGCCAGAGACGGGGGCGAAGGCGGCGATGCGAGTTGAGGCAACGGGGTCGCAGGCGAGGTCGTTGGTGAAACCGCCGCCGTTGGACTTGCCGGAGGCGTAGATGCGGGTGCTGTCGATGCAGTAGGTTTTTTCGAGGTGGTTGATTAGTTGGATGATGAAGGAGATGTCGTTGGGGCCGGAGGAGACGTGCCAGTAGTCCTGTTTTCATTGTATTAGCACCTTTCTTCAGGTTGGTCTTCATCTTGATCTTAAAAGATCCATCTGGATTGAAGGGGGGTAGGGGAGACATACATCAACAATAGCCTGCGGATAAACCGCAATGGCATCGGGGTTAAACTCCTCATTACTAAACTGCGTCAATTTCTCCATGTACTCGGAATCCTTGCCGCGTCCATGGAAAGCAATCACCACAGGCGCCGGTCTGTGGGTTGTATAGTTCGAGGGCAGGTGGATTAGGTACGAGCGGTTGCGGCCGTCGTCGGAGATCATGTTTGCGCGGTAGCTGTCTCCGGGGGAGTGGCCTTTGGCCAGGTGGTTGCCGCATCCGGGGGATGTGGATTTTGGTTGGGGGAGGGAGGATGAGGATGCGGATGCGGATGAGGATTTGGCTGGGAGGGCGGTTGTTACGCCGAGGAGGGCGAGGATGCCCAGTTGGAGGTTGAATTTCATTGTGTTGTGTTGTTTGCTGTGGGAGAGGTGAGTTAGTTGCTGAAAGGGCAGTTGTTCAGGATAATTATACACTGTACGGAGTACACCGTAATCCTTCTGATAGATAGAATCTAGAAACCTACCTCCTATCTTCGTTCGTAGAACTATTACCTTGGCGCAAACTAGTAGCTGTTGAATTGTCAAAAACCACCGAGGGCAAGGATCGAACTATATACTGGACAATGCACACAGTACGGATAAGGTTAAACTTGCAATGTATGCACACATACCCCAAACCCAACCAATAAAAACACCTCATGCAATGTTAGTCGCATCGAACATTACTCGGTGATCCTTTCTTATTCCCCCTATCCGGGCTTCTTGATCTTGTACGGAGCAATGCATTAATTGATGAGGATTGCTTTTGTAATTGCATGTAGTTTGAAGGTGTTTTTGGCTCCCAATCACTACCCTGGCTTCTGGGGGGGGGGGGGGGGGGGGCGTGGGAGCTGTGCTAGCCGAGGTGTTAGTGTTTCAGAAGTGTACAGAGTACTTATGTACTGCATTTGGTTGAGGTTTGGGGGTACGTATCTCGGCTCGTCAGAGTGGTTATCCAAGGAATGACACTGCAGATTATAGCTAGAAGAAGAAGAAGGTCAAGTCAACACTGCCCTATTGTTATCAATCACAAAACATCGGTTTAAGCGTCTGTCATAACCCTATCCGATACCCTATACTCTATACTTCGTATACTATACAAATCCCAAAGTACATACACAGAACGAGAAAAAACACCCCAATCCCTCCCTCTATCCTATCTCCTATCCCCCCAAACAAGCCCCATAAAAACCAAAAAAGCAAGACCAGACCTCATGATGTACAGAACCGAGGATCAACACCGCCAATCCGATGATCTTCCCAGCCGAGAATGTGAAGATCCGAAAATATACCGCTCCGTTCCCTGTTTACTACGTATTTCCGTATATAACCCCGTTTATCTCACGGTCAATCATGTACCTGATTATCATGCTTGTTAATTTTTCAGGTCCCAAAAGTACAGGTAAGCTCGTCTAGAACGACCGCTATCGAGGGTGATCGCCGGATCTGCGCCGGAATAGCTTTCTGTTTGGTTTGAATATTGGATGAGTGATTATTGACGGCCTGTGGGTGCTATTTCCGTGGTGGTTTGGGATAGGGGGGATGGATGGATGGTGAGTAGCTGAGTAGCTCTAGACTTGTAGAGTAACGATGTCACTCTCGGTTATCTGCAATGCCAGAGCACACCGCCTTCTAAAAACAAAACTAGCACGCAAGTCTGGGCTGTCGTCATTCGGAGTCACTATCACATCCCCCATGAAACAATCTACACATTACACTACACCCCTGCATCACTGACTCAAGTCTAGAAACAAACACAACGAATGACCTCTCTCAAAGAGAAGTTCAAGAAACTCTTCAATTGCCGCAAACTCCGCGAGTTCTACGCCGAATGGGCCGTTCTCCTACCTGCGAAGAGCCATTTGGATTCCGATTATAATTTTCCCCAAGGGCGTCCACCGGGGCGAGAAGGAGGACGTGGGCCAGGGGCGATGGGGTGGGCTGCTGCTGGGATGGGATAGTGTTTGTCGTGTGTCGTTTGTCGATTGAATCAAACGGATACGCATACGGATACGGACACCGAAATGACATGAGACACGACGAGACGACGAACGATGTCAATCAATCACCATATTCTATCTAATACCCTCTAAATACCTCAACCCTTTTTCAGGGAGAACACAGTTACTGCTTCCCAAAAATCTTCACCCGCTCCTCAACCGGCTTCTGCGCCTTCTCTCCCGCACCCCCCTCGGGACTCCCAAAGACCAACTGCGAGATAAGTTGCCAGTCACTCGGGATACCCCACTGCTTCGCGACGGGGGCGTCGATAACCGGGTTGTAATGTTGGAGGTTTGCGCCGAAGCCCAGGGCGGAGAGGCCGGTCCAGACTGTTTGTCTCGTGTTAATTGTTTGGTCACAATGCGGTGAAGTGAAAAGGGGGAAGAGAAGCGTACTGTAATACTGGTGCATGGCATTCGAGTGTTCAGCCCAGGGCTGGAAGTGGTCTTTGTAAAGGGCGAATTTCTCAGAGAACGGACCAATGTGTGCGGGGTCTTCGTAGAAGAGGACCTATCCGCTGTCAGCACCCATTTCACCTCTCCCCAATCCAACAACTCGACTCCCAGTGAAAGGGACATACAGTTCCAACCCCATTCTTAAACCCCTGCAACTTCGGCAACGACTGACTCTTCCACGTCTCCCCCGGCACAGCGCCCGTGTTCACCAACTGCGAGAACGTATCAATCGCCAAATCCCACAGCTTCTCATGCTGCTCATGCAACAGCACAACAAGTCTCGTGGACTGGGTGTTGAAGGACGAGGGAACGGTGTTGATGGCCGCGTTGACGAGCTCTTCGATCTTGGAGTCTGGGACGGGGGAGTTCTTGCCGAGCTTGTAGATTGTGCGGCGGGTTTGGGAGGCGTCGATTAGGGGTTGGGCGGACATTTTTGTGGTGCTTATGCTGAAGGGTCTTTGGTTTTGGTTTCTGGGTGTGTTTGGGAGGGGTTTGGTGATGGTGGTGGTGGTGAGCGGGACACGTAAGAATGGCGCGATGGCGGGGGATAGCGCGGGGCGGATGGTGGAGCCGATGTTTGTGCTGGCGCTGGTGTAGCGGAGGAGAGGTCGGAAGGCTGCCATTTTATATCAATATTATTGTATGATTGTAGAGTAAGATGAGGATATGGAACAATTCCGTGAATTGACGATTTCTTTATAAGATGGTAAGATGCCAGGCGCGGAATTAAGGTAGGCTTAATAATGACATTCCTCATGACTACGTTTTCCGTAAGCATTTGTATCTGCATTAGCTATCGAGAAGAGAATTAATAATTAGAACTGCAGTGTACATGATAACAAGCTCCGAAATCCGAAACTCCCAGTCCCAGTCCGGTTCTATATTCTATCAGGCCCAGGTCGATGGGAGCCAGGTGCTGTGATCCCTTATTAGTGTAGTAGTGGTGAGGTGAGGTGAGGTGAGAAGAGAAGAGGCAGTGGTGTTAATGCTTCAACAGTGGATTTTGCAAAACGCACTCGCTCGAAGTCTGTCCACGGTTGTTCCCCAAGTACCAACCATGGGAGATAAGTCGATTCTCCAGATCAAGCCAGTATTGCGCCTTGCCCCCGGCTCCTGTCTTTAGATCGAGGTCTCCTAGACGGACTTCGACGGGCCCTTCCCCGTCCAGTGGCATCTATACACGTTAGTTGTGGCGCAACACTACAAATAGAGGTGGGACGCTACCTTGATAAACATAGTGCAGTCCCTCAAAGTCATGGCAAGCGATCTCTCCTTCGACTGCGCGGACTGTCCATGCAGACCAACATCACGCATAGCTTTCTGATGTGCCTGAAGCTTTAACAGTGTGTCATTCCGGTGTAAAAACCGCGCCAGACGGTCCTGGTCTTGACATCCTTTGACGAATCGGGTCGCGCGCAAGACATGCTCGAACTTATCCGAGACGAGACCAAGAGGGCAGAACGATTTGTCTTCTGATCCGCACGCTTTCCGCGACTCGTGGTTCTTCATATCCCGTAGTGCGCAGGTACGACATCGTCGAGCATCAAGTGGTGCAGATGGAGACTGGAGAAGCCACTTTGGTTTTAGTTCTGCCATTATCATTCCTGGATCGTTAAAGGTTGTCATGTCTGTCACTAGCAAACCGAAAGGCTCATTTAGTGAGAGATACACCCCGCATCGTCTGCGAGGACGCTTGCCGTTGAGCTCAGCTGCACGTAGTCGCTCGTTACACTGTTGCACCAGTCCCCTGGGAAGTTGGACGAGCGTTTGATCCACTACTTCCTCGGGCTGGAACAACGGTCGAATAATTCTATCAAAATTGCGCGAGATCTCCTGGTACGAGATTCCAGATTTTGTGTCCTTGCGTAGTCGGAGTAACTTCCCTCGCAGCATGGGAGGTATACTCATATGTCCATTACTAGGCCCCGCTGTCACTGTCGCTGGTGCCCATATGATTCGGTAGATTACATTCGCGCCCCCCTCAGCGAGATAAGCGAGTTGAGCTCCCAATGGGAACTCCAGGCGATCGGGATTGGTCATCAGTTAAGATGTGTGATAATGCTGTGCGACACTTTTTCCTTTGTGTTCGAATCATGACCGCATTAGACAGATGCCTGCAATTCGACTATGGCGGGGTTTCGGCGCGTTCAGTTTAAATGGCGATGATCCCGGTCAAGGAGTAAGGCAGAGAAGGGTGTCCCGCGCGATGCACTGTGCTCGAAAAGGATATCGAAGTCTTAGGTGATGTGTACAGAAAACAACCCATCCCAGAAGAGGAAACGTCGCAAACGATGGTTCGATCGATTTCCGATAACGCAAGCAATCTACTCCCAATAATGTTATTGATTTAGACGGCGCGGCGTACAAGCTAAGCCGAACCGGGTGGAATGACCGCGTCCAGAACCCCTGTAGACGCGACCTTAGCAGGTTCCAATATAAATAGCGGGAAAAAAACGTAATCGGAGGATTCTAAGATCAAAGGAATCGACGAACGGCAATCAACAGATCGGGATCTGACAAATCGAACCGAATATGCAGGGTAACGTCGTTATCAGACCCGAGGCACTGGGCTTGCGAATTTCTCGGGATTTTTATAACCAATTCTCATGCCAATCGGATCGCCAGCGTGGTTGACACGGTTTACTTTATAGCCGCACTCTTCGGGGGATAAAATGCGATGGCGCTGCAACGCTCTCAGACGGTGTAATATTGACAGGTCGCATGCAAGAACGAATCTGGTGATTGATCGTATGTCACCAGGGCACAGGGGACAACGGTCGAATGCAATTGGAGTAACGAAGGGGACTCGATCGCGGCGCGTCGGGCACACAGTCGTCAGTCAATTATGACCTGTAAAGTAACCAGATCAGTAAATCATCACGCGCGATTTGTATGGTGCATGAAAGGCTGGAGTAAGGGCCGTACAGGATGCCGCGACAGCGGGCTGGGAACAGGATCCCCCGAGGAAACGAACGCGGCTTACCAAGCACCGCGCGCTCTGGAGGATTTTGGAAAGAGATAGAGCGCTCAACTGGGAAAAAGTCTCCGGGAATGAGGACAGATTGCCAAACACGAGAAGAGGGAGAGATGGTTGAGCTGAGGGCGCAAAGCGAAAAAGAAGTATCCGGTTCCAGCGACAATGACGTGAAGGCAGTGCTGATACAGCCGTTCGCATTCTCACTTCACGATATGGAATAGAAATGAGGAATCTTTTATAGGTGTTCAAAATTATCCGTTGGGGGTAGGAAAATAAAAAGCAAAATCTCATATCAGCCTTGTATTCCCTGAATCCGGGGAACCCCTGCTTTATATATAGAGTAGGAAGGGGAGATGACTCCATAACCAGTAGCGCATCAGGGGTTTCATTTTGACTGTAAAGAGAGTGGATAATCTAGAGACACATAGCTATAGAAAACTACATCTAGAATTTTAGGCCATTGTACAATTATTGGCATCGCCCAGACATGGCCATGAAGTTATCCAATGCCCCTCCGCATAAATTCACCCCGCCGGACTTTGCTCCGACCCCGTCATATCAACACCACAGGACGACAGAACATACAACACAAATAACTAAAAGGAAAGGATACATTAGAAGAATATTGTCACCTGAATCAATCTTCAAACAAGTAACATGTCCACCTCCGAAATCCCAACCCCAGCCAAATGCACGGCAGATTTCTGCTTGATCCCGGTAAGCATACATAACCACACCATCATAGTACATGTGCAATCTACTAACAGGACGTCACAGATGGGAACTTCCAGTCCCTCCGTATCCGCTCAAATCGCCGACGTCCAGCGTCTCATTGAAAAGTCCGATCTGAAATACACCATGCATTCTGCTGGGACTACGCTTGGTAACCTCTCCCCCGTTGAGATGCCTGATTGGTAGTATCATACTAACAAGAGTGTAGAAGGACCCTGGGATAGAGTCTACCAGGTTATCGGGCAGGCACACACAATGCTTCATCAGCAGGGGATAGTGCGCATACAGACAGATATCCGGACAGGATCGAGGACGGACAAGGCGCAGACGGCTGAGGATAAAGTGAATAAGGTGCGGCAGTTGTTGGGCAAGGAATAAAGGGTCATAAATACTTTCTTTTCTCAAGACGAATGAGATCAAAATAGACATTTCTATCGCTATTGAATCATCATTACATACAAAATGCCAATGAACCAGAACACCGCGCCGTCGACATACTATGTAGAGATATGTCCAAGATGCAATAGCATCAGATACCAATTTTCAAATCCAGACCCATGATCTATCCCAGAAAGAAGGAGTGTACAATCCCAACACCAATATGAACGGAGAATAAAAGAGGGAAAATGCAATATACAACGAATGATAAAAGGAAAGTCGTAACGGTCATTTAGTTCAATGCAATGCCACCCCCAAGCAAGCTCCCCCAGTCTCCACCAACCCAAACCCAGTCAGCCATGCTGGGGTTTGATCCAGACTTGGCCTTGTTGACCATCTCCACCAGTCCCTTGAACACATTGCCATAAGTTGACCCGTCGCTCGTCGAGCCCGCGCTGATCTCCTTGCGGCCAACGGCATTTGTGACATTGTTCAGGCTGTCCACGGTGTCGATGGCGGGTCCCTCATTGAAGAAGTCCACCAGGATGAAGGTAGGCTGCCGGCCGCCATACTGTTCCTTGCACTTATTCGCAGTGTCACCCAGGTTTCCAGTTCCCCCGGATGGAGCGTTGGTCGTAGAGACGTAGCTAGAGTTCGGGTACTCGATGTCCAGGATGGTGGTTTGGTATAGGAAGTGGTTCATAAGCGGGAGTTTGCTCGACTGCAGCGCGGCTGAGAGATCACCACTGATACTCGAGGGGCGGTCCGGGGTGCAGGAGAAGTTCGATGCTGAGGTCACTTCGTATGGGTTTTCCCACACGTAGTTCCATTCGTCCAGGAGGTAGGATGTGTCTGAACTGGTGGAGCCATCCAGCGCTGTCACGAAGGTCACTAGTCTCTTTCCATCATCGATCATGCTTTGGAGCGTCGGCCACGAGCCGGAGGAGGCGGGGGTATAGGTGTAGTTGTTGAGACCGGACGACTGGTATGCTGAGTCAATGTCCGAGGCCGAAGCGCCGTCTGAATTCACCAATAGAATAGTCACCACTGTATCAAACGTCAGCTATCGTTTCTTCCACAACACATCCAGGCAAACAAACATACCCTCATTCGCATTCGAATCCATCCATTTCTTAATATCCGTCAACCACGACGTCAACGTCCCCGCATCCATCAACTCACAACTCGAATGGCATAGATGCCATGCCGAGTCCTTCTTGTGAATCTGCGCGGTAAGCAACCGAACACCAGCACTCAGCTGATCCGTTGTCCCGTAGTACTGATCCCCCGCAGTCGAGTAATCCGTCGACGCATCTCGTACAAAGGGACTGTCGTGGGCGCCTAGATGGGTGATTTCGCCGTAGTTTTTGGAGCATAGATCGGGAGAATTGTTGCATGCTGTGCTGCGCGGCCGGAGACCTCTTGCGGCCACGAGGGGGAGGAGAGCGAGGAATCCTAATCCTTTCATTTTGAAGGTCTCACAAAGGATGTTGACAGCTGCTGGTTGAATGCAGCAAGAGGAGAAATGCTTGTCGCTGTTTGATAAATGGCAGTTCGGAAATGAATCAAGGAGGATGGAAGGGGGGGAAAGGAGTATTCGAAACTGATACAAGTGATAAGATCAGAGAATCACGACCCAGCGAGATTCACCTAAAAATAAAAGTGACACACCTGGTGGACTTTGTAGACAAACAACCACCGCCGATTCTACTATTCTTAGAAACGCCAATTCTGGGGACGCGCCATCAGGCCGTGGCTGAGGTGGCTGTTGATTGGTCGATCCTGTTTTGCGTTGCCTGGGGCATTAGACACGTGTTTTCCAAATGAGGTATAGCGTGAATCAATTTTAAACCAAAAGATACTATGTACTCCGTAGAATATGGAAGTGATCACTTAATCCTCACCGGTTCGTCGATTGAGATTGGTGTTACGAGGGCATGGTTTCTACATAGCTAGGCTTTGGAGTGCAAACTTGCAATGGAAGACTGTGTATGTGCGTTGCTGACGAGGGCTCTATGTACAGCTGCATATGGCTCAAACGGGTCATTATCCTTTTTAGTTGCCTGGTTTTGTGATCCTATAGCGTCTGTCATTATGGTGCGTCTCTATTTTCGGCATATGAATAACCTACCCTGACCCAGTCTATTCTGCAACATTCTTCGCCCCGCAGGATCTCTAGGGCATCTCCCCCAGTGCAAGTGGTGTTGGATCTGTAGACATGATCGCTGCGCGTGTAGATTTGAGATCAGACTATGGAGTACAGCAGTGCAGATTATGGTGTGATAGATGCGAGCCAAAAGATATTCTACCTCCAGTAACCCATTTGTAAACATTTTAGATTAAAGTTAGCTTCGTGCAGGTTGCTGATATGCCCCCCAGACTTAGTTCCGCCCGAGACAACGGTAGATCCAGTCAAAAGACGACGATATGCATGGGAATAGGGTCCCGAAGAGGGCAGATTACCAGAAACGGTATATGATACTCGCATCGTAGAACTGGGCATCATGGCTCACGGCACGTGTATTGAGTGACACTACTTCAATAGTGCACAACTTTTTGACCGGATATCTACAATCCCAAAGCCTTCAAAATCTCCTTCGCCACACCCGCAGTACTAGCCGGATTCTGCCCCGTTATCAACGTCCCACCCAGTCCAGCATACTGCGAGACAACCACCTTCTCACCCCATGGCTCGCTAGCCTTGACATATCTTCCCTCTGTAGCCCGATCCAACTCATCTTCGAGAAAAAAAGGCATAACCGCTGTCGCTCCTATCTGATCCTCCTCGACATTTGAGAAGCCAGTCACCGTAGCAGAGGAGAGAAGCGACTCGCCGGTGGGTGCAGTGGCCTTGAGAAAAACAGTCGGACCGTGACAGACAGCTGTAAGGGGTTTCTTTGCGTTTGCGAAATACTGGACCAGGGCGAGGGAGTTGGCGTCTGCGTGGAGGTCGAACATTGCTGGTTGAGTTAGCCTTCATTCACTCTAATCATCCCAAGCACAAGCTGTGAGACATACGTCCATGACCACCAACATAAAATATCGCATCAAACCCCTCAACCTCTGCTAGGACATCTGACAACTTCCTAGTCGTCTTCCAGAGCGACTGGTTCTCATTCAAGAATTTCGTGCATACGGGATCGTTTTTAAACATCTCCACAGATGCGGGTTCGAGTGGTGCTTCGCCGCCGTTTGGAGAGGCGATTACCATTTCTGCTTTTCCTTTGAGGACATTGTGGGCGTGGGCGAATTCCGGCTGTATGATATGGTATGGCCAGAGAGAGCTTCACGGGGTAAGGATGGGGAGGATGGGGAATGAACGGACCAGAAACCAGCCTGTTTGGTGGTCGGTTCCCGGGATTTTGTCGACGGAGGTTAGGACAATGAGGACTTTTGGGGCCATTGTCGATTGCGAGGGATTTGTTTGAAGGGATGTAGGATGAAATGCATTGAACCGCGTGATCTCAGAGACAGATAGAGAATAAGCACTTTCAAAATAACCGATGATCTACTCACTCGAAATATTTAGATTGGCATGTCATATGTCAATCATGCGGATTAAAGGTGCGGACAATACTAGAACCATGGTTGGGAGTTAAACAAGATATGAATACATACCCGGATTGAACACCGCAGATTCCAAACAGAAATCGATATCAAAATGAGTACGCCTTCCTAACTTCTGGCTTTTACAGTAACTTGAAATACCCCCCTACACAATCCCCTCGAAGTAAACACACCATCAGGGTCAACACTCCTCTGGATCCTCCCCAGCCTCTCCAGGTTCTCCTCCCCATAACCACCGTATGGGTCTTGCTCTTTGCTTGCATAGTTGATATACATCCATGGATGATGCTCTCCAGCATCCCGTGTGACAGCAGTGGATTTCTCGACCCAATTGCTAACAAAGGTATTCATAGCGTCGTTTTCAGAAGCGTTATTCCATAGCGTAGTCAGAAGAACGACTGGGGTTATTAGCTGGATTGCTTCTTGATTGATTCATTTTGGGCTAGCATACCAGTTAGTGGACCATTGGCATCTAGACCAGCGGCACTTCCTCCTCTCTCCTTCGACGCACGAATGGAAGCCTCATACAAAGGCTGGATAACGAGATTCGGAAGGAATCCCGGCGTTTTCTTGACAGATTGGAGCTCCTCGATCATGATGTCCTGGATTTGGCGGTTTAGATCAGCGGGCGGGTAGTATGAAACGGTAGCAAATAGGTTTCTACACAGTTAGATACATCGCCTTGACTGATGGAAAATGGACTAGGAACATACCGACCACCAGGAGGAGTTTCCGAATCTACCTCCCTACTAAAACTCGTCGACCAATCGATCCGAATAGTACTCGACTCGGACGGGACCCGATTCAACCTGTAAAACGGCCGGGGATTAAATATTGGCTGTGAGTACTCCTGCGTAAATGTAAGAGTGTAATTGTCTGTCTCTTGGTCGTAGCCAAAGTCGAAATAAAATGACATAGCGGTGTCGCTTTTCGAGCTTCCGGTTGTAAGTTCGTAGGCGATGTCTGCGATAGTGTCCCTCTTATCTGCTGAGTAGGATTTCTGTCCAGAGTAGAACTGGGTCTGCGGAACGGCTCTTATATTCGAAAATGGCTCATTTACTGTTTTTCCTTGTTACTTTCTTGCTTGCCTCCGTCGCCAATGCATTCCACCTCCGTGAGGTCTACCAATTCCCCAATGGCACCCGGGCGGAAAACATCGCCGTCCTCTCTAACGGCAACCTCCTAGTGACTTTTGCGAGCACCCCCGAGCTATGGGAAGCTATCCCATCGGCTCAACCCGGAGCCACACAGGTACGGCGTCTCCACCATTTCCCCAACGCTGAAATGGTAACCGGAATTGCAGAGCTCACTCCAGACGTGTATGCCGTTATAACACCTAATACCGTCTGGAAAGTGGATTTGAACAATGGCACGAAGAACACTCCAACGCGAATCGTGACACTCCAGTCCGCCAGAACGCTCAATGGCATGGCGGTGTTGGACCCTGATACTCGAACGGTGGCCATCTCTGACTCTAAGGCTGGATTGGTCTGGCGTCTTGATACCAACACCGGAAACTATACCGTGATACTGAAAGACGAGACCATGGCCGCGAATACAAAGGAGGGTGCCTTGCTCGGGATCAACGGATTGAGGGTACACGATGGCCATGTCTACTATGTCAACACACCGGAACGACTTTTCTGCCGTATCCCAGTGAACACAACGACTGGTCGAGCAACTGGCTCTCGCGAAATGATCAGCCAAGGCGCACTGGCAGATGACTTTGCCATTAGTCGCCAGGGAGTTGGATATCTTGCTGGTCTTACGGATCATGTCATTACCCGGGTTTTCGTGAACGGGACACAGGAAGTGATTGCGAACTCGAGTGCTCTAATGTCGGCTACGTCGGGGGCATTTGGACGGCTTGGTAGCTCAGATGTTCTGTATATCACGACTGGAGGGGAGACATCACATGTGGTCAATGGTACGAGTTCGAGGGGAGGGAAAGTACAGGCGTTGTCTCTCGGGCCCTAGAAACTTGGATATACCACGACGCCAAAATTCCGCATTCTATATCTGCTCAAGCGACTGTAGCTAGCTTAGTTTTGAAAAATTCATCGTGGGAGCATTGGTACTCACCTCTATACACTTACGCATGAGCCCGTCAACAGCTCGGAAGTCCGGATAGAGAGACACCAATTAATACACTATTCCGTAGAGCATGTTGAGAGCCCGAAGGTATCACTGAATTGTTCATGGATATAATACAGGTATCATGCTATTTTTTATATACAAAGAGAGTAGATATCATCTTGTTCGCGCAAACGCACCGTTCCGCAGGTAAGTCGCCCGCCATACCGTACGCCGGGTCCGAATCAGAGACATCTTGGTGCTGGGCGGATTCACCAACCGGTGCAAGTCTCTCATTTCCCAACCACGAAACAGGGTATCACTGCCCCATGCCCGGTTCATGTCCTGGGTGACCTTGTGTACATCATATGGATTCTCGCGGCGCAGCATCCGGTTCCTGGGACGGCTTGACAACCGATCTCGTCCAAAGAGCACCGCCAGACGGTGTCGACATGTGCGGCGGATCCAATACCTTGCGAGTCGAACACCGTACTGCTCCAGTTCTCGGAGGAGCACCAGCCCGCGCACCCAAGGGACCAGCTGTTCACCCTTCACCTTGAAGGGGTTGTAAGCTTTTGCCTCGGAAAGGGAAACTCGGCATCGGAATCCCCACGAGACAATGGCAGACTGCATCTGGGAGCTGAAGATCGCCTTCAGCATGTCGCTTCCATAGTGCGCGGGTGGAGCGGCTATCCTAGCCTTTTGTTGGTCTGGTGGAATAGGCCATGGCTCATTGCCAGGCGGTTTCGCTAGGGAGGAGTAAAAACGCGCTAGCCAAAGACAGCAATCTCGAAGTTCATACCAGCGGTGGGTCATTCCAAATCGTTTCAATATCTCAACCCAGAGATCAGCATCCACGTGGCAACCTTTTGGAACGGCACGCTTTAACATTTGAAAAACCACGAGCACTTCCTTGCTAGGGTGGAGGCCAAATCGTACTGGCGGCCCAACCCCTGGCCTTCGTGGACCGAGAGCCTTGCGGACCAGGAGGTTAAGACTGTCCTTGGTTAGGGTTCGGCCGCGCAAAGTCATCGTATCCACGACCTTGGCCGCAGATTTCAGATGACCCGCAACGATTTGTTTCCGGAAATGCACGTTGAAAAGCTCAGGACCTTCTTCCGAAAGCTCAGTAAGAATCGCGAGTGTCATCTGGTAATGGCGCCAATCGCGTGTCATGTAGTACGACATCAGAAGGGACTCCTGCATAGTGGCATCCTCGAGTACATCTGGATGTTGGTCGCTATGAAGTAGGTCAGAAAGAAGGATATCACGTTTTTCCTCTGCTAGTCTGCGAATCAAGCGTGCAAATACACTGTCTCCAACAGAAATGCCCGATTTTTGAAGCAACCGGAGTTTCTCCAGGAGATCCTGGCTTCCGTGAGCCCGGACTGCCATCTCGCGCAATGACTGTGGACCAATAGCCGTGACCCCTAGCATGCGTAGCCCTGAAAGAATCATGTCTAAGTTGAATGACCGGGTCGCGAAAAGCCGTGCACCTATCTCATCGCTGAACGGCTTTTCTTCCACCACGAAATTTTCGACTCGTTCCTCCGCAGTAATTGTATTCCGGTTATCGGACTCCACATGCCGGGACTCGAACACATTCATTGCATACGTTTCCAGCTTCTGATAAATGTGTGTCGGCGTATGTTCCATAGCATACTGCAGCAATTTCTGGATGTCTTCAAATTTTCGCGGATGTTCATCATGCGAGACGAAAAACACGTGCATCCATAATGCCTCCCTCCCAAGCCCTGATTGTAGCAATCTCGAGATAACTGGGCCATATATATGACGAGCTTGAGTTCTGTGACAGATTTGTCTGAACGCGCGTATGCCGGGAGCTATCGCACCTTCGTTGACCATAGGATGAGGACCAAGCGATATTGCTGGCTCAAGGAGTTGTAATATGTCATTCGGGTTTGATAAATGCGGATGTTGCAGATTTTCATGCCATGTGACTGCTTGCTGCACCCTACCACGTTCCAAAAGCCCACCGACAACCTTGAGGTAAAACCTACCCCACCGTTTACCTGCCTTTCTCCACAACTCAGAAGCATAAGTCACAATTTCCTGCAAGAGTAATCCCCGCCTCAGGCCCAGTTCGATGAAGCTCTCCCAAATGAAATCTGCGTGCTTCCCATCGACAGGCAGCTCTATTTCGTCGTGTCGAACCGTCAATCCCTCCCAAATGTCTAAAGTGCCCTTGTCTCCATAGTGACGCTGTCGATGACGAAGGAGTTCTTCCCAGAGAGCAAAATCATGCCGTCGTGCTGGATCGTCGACTAATTTTGCGCCGATGTCTCTGGTATGTCCAATGTCCGACTCAAATTCCAGCCTTTCCGGTTGCAATGCCAATGATCGCGGGTGATCCTGTGCAGTTGCTGTTGCATTCGGGTACGTCTTTGAATGCGGTATATCGTCATCGGTCCTCTTGCACGACGATCCTATCTCGTGCACACGAAAGCTAAAAGGTTGTCGGTTTGATTTCTGGCGTTGAGCGGCGGGAGACTCGGTCGACGGTTCAGATTCAAGTTCAGGTCCATTGAGGCCCGTATTCTGCGATATCGTTCGGTTTTGGCATCGTAGGCGTTTGTAATTGAGCTCCAAATGTTCGATCCCAAGCGGCGTTGCTACCAATGAGTCGAGGACCGAGACAGCGGATGGCCTCTTCAGTAAGCGAACAAGCGCCGGGCGCATGGATCCTGAAAAGAGAACACGAAGGGAATGAGAGGCAGCTTAACCATCCTCCTCGTCCATCGCACATAAAAGAGAAAATTCGACTTGTTCGAAAACTGTACAGCTTTTGATCCCGATACCTTTTTTCAAAAGCGGCGGGATTTGATTCCACGTGACTATTAATAAGCACGTTGTGTGAAAGACGGAAACAATGTCACATGATCTCCCGCGATCCACACTCCACGAACGTCGACTTGAGCCTTACCCTGTGTTTCGTTCCCCATTGTCCATTCGCGCCTCCAGAGCCTCGCTTTTCCGCCCCCGCAAACCGCAAAAATGTACCGCACCGTCCCTCGTATGGCTGGGTATGTGTTCCCCGTTCAATTCCTCTTGATCCGAGCCCCGCGCACAATTCCGGAAGTCGGTGGTGCAATCTTCGCCGGTCGACCGATAGAGTGACATGAGTTGGATCGATGGCTTCTGCAGACAGTCTGGCTGACAATTTCGCTTCTTGCGGCATCTAGGTTCGTGTTCCGCGAGAACCGTGTCCCTTACTACCAGCGTCTGTTCCAGCAGCACGACGGTAAGCGCCAGTGGTGGAAGGTCAGTGCTCCCGCAAATCGATTCCGGACTTTTGGGCGAACAGAGAACCTGACATACAATTCTTGATAATTTGAAGTCCTCGCGCTCCGGTTACATCATGTACCCCTACCTCATCTCCGTCTACGGCATGGGTGCTGGTGAGTCAATCCTCGGTTGGAAACATTGGTTGTTGTGCACATGGCTAATTGCGCCCTAGCTACCCTGTACGCCCTTGGTCGCATGGTCTTCGTACGTTGCCTTTTCCCTAGTCGCCGGAAATCTGTGCCCAAGCTAACCCTATCAACAGGGCCACAAGACCTGGATCTAAGCTCCCTTTTGAAGCGTTTTCTGTTGCATGATATTGGCAGTGTACTTCTACTTCAATGCTGGGCTGCGAGGGTAGGTGACAGACGTTTCGACGTTGTATATAATATCTGCCAAGCGTCAATGGGAAAAATCTGCCCTAGTTCTGATATTCCCATTTACTCTCGGAGGCTCGCAAGAGCGTTCCTCACCAGCGAGCGGGGCTCATTGTATATGTGTTTTGGTGCATCAGCAGACCCGCGCTTTTCAGTAGACGCCCCAATCTTACTAGAGATTTCCCCGTCGTTCTCAATGTCTGTAGAGTATTTCAACCAAGATAATGAGCCCTTAAATAAGCTCGGTCTTGTTGTTAATGAACGGTGCATAAAATTGATTAGTCATCCGTTATTCCTCGTGCTGCTGATCTTGAAGATAAAAGGACCAGCCTTCAGCTCGAAACCTCGACAGATGCTGGATTTTTGAACATCCTTATCAAGGGGGGAATTTATAGACTGGTTGATGCTATTTGCTGGCGCGTTTGCGAATCGCTAACAAGAATCTGCATCACCTGGACATGCAGATAATGCTACTTGCAGCAACCGAATAGCCTCATTCAAATACCCCTGGGATCCTAACCAGGAAAGAACAGGCACCCCAAAAGTATAATCTATATGATGATATCCGGATTCATTTTTTGCTGACGCGATGGATCAAACATCTGCTGAGCGGCCGGCCAAGCGGGTGCGGCAGGCTTGTGAGCCATGCAGGTAAACACGGAAGTTGGACCTCTATAAAACGGTGACTGACCTGGTTCGCAGGCGCAAGAAGGCTAAGTGCCCTGGCGAGCAGCCAACTTGTTCACTCTGTGCACGCTTACATCAAACCTGTGTGTATGATGGGGAAAGGCGCAGGTATCTATCGCATTCCGCTTCAATGCAGGAGTCGACGCCGTTATCCGCACCGGAAATTGAGTTTCCTCGGATTCTGGTGAGCCTCAGGTCCACTTATGCAGGGGATGGGGCTTGTGTATTGATAAATGTGTAGGAAGATCGACTAGGAGGTCTCGAAGCGAAAATGGCAGAGGTCATCGAAACTTTAAGGTAATGGGAACTATGATCCCATATCATCATGGAAAGGCTCTGACCTATATGACAAGGCAAAACAACTCGGGGCGCAGCCATCAATCGACGGCGAACTCACCTCCTCCAGACTTGGTCAATGGCACGGCGAGCCCTTCCATGGCAAGTCCAATTACACCTCTTCCTCCTTGGAACACGGTACTATCCATTGCTGAGCTGTATTTGCTATATTGCGAATCTCAGCCTCTTCCACTATTTCATAGAGCAACTTTCGTCAGAACTCTTGGGGGTCGTGATCCTGAGATTATCTATGCTGTGCTTGCACTGAGCGTCCGATTCTCAGAGGATTTATATGCAAATGATGATGAACTAGTGGATATGGTCAACAGCTACGCGGAGGTAGCCAGAGGTCTGGTCACGAAGAGGGTCTGGGAAGGACCAGTTGAGCTCTCCACTCTACAGTCACTCTGTCTGCTGAGCCTAGTCGACTTCACAAGTAAGACGTTTCACCCTGACGATCATGCTGTATCTGGGCTGATAAGAAATGCAAGATGGGAACACACACCGTGCAATGATTCATGGTAGTATAGCTATGAATCTGGCTCAATGTGCCAACCTCAGCTCGGAGTCTCATACAGGACTATCTCCAGTAGCTCGCGAAGAGCGTAGACGCTGTTTCTGGAGCATCTGTCTGCTGAAGCGTCTCCATGGGGGCGAATTGACTAATCTGGAATTCTTTGAGAGAAATTACCTTCCATTTCCCGAGAGCCCTGCACGGCCTACACTTCAATTCTCCCCGGAAAGCACTACAGATGAAAGTCGGTTGACCGATCTTCAAGATCAGGGTATCGTCGCCTATGTGATCATGCTCAGCGAGGTCTTTGCAAAAACGGGTAAATACGTCCGTCGCCATGGAAAGCCAAACAGCGTGCCCCCTTGGTCATCCCAGTCAGAGTACTCCGAAATACTTGCCTTGCAGATGGATTTGGAAACGCGGATGCCGTATACTCACCGGTTCAAGCCTGCTAAGCTAAGCGAGAGGACGCCCGAAGAACTCTTGGAACACCGCGATTATTGGAGCCCGTGGTTCTTGAATCAATTTCTGTACCACACGAACCTGTGTCTCCTGAATCATCCTCTTTTGCTCTCGTTGAGTCTACGGAACTTTCGGAGTAGCATCCCAGAGATATTTTTACAGCACACATCAGACCTCATCTCATCGCATACAACCTGGATTGTTTATTTCATTGACTACTTTGAAAAGAAGTCATTCATCGCTTCTGACCCATTGCTGGGGTACAGCGCAGCGGTTGTGGCCACCATTGAACTGCAGCTTAGCTTCACGGAAAGCCCTACAATACGACAGGAAAAGAGAAACAGGTTTTCGAAATGCGTCAGGTTTGTGCAGAGTATTGGGAAAAAATGGCCCCATATGGCACGAATGGTACGCTGAACCTTCAGGATATCTATCTACTTAATGGAGATCACTAGCTGACATGTTTATCAAATCGATCAGGCCGAACGATTACAACGCTTGGAAGACGCCGTTACCTCGTCTTACCAACCAGACCCAAATGCGCAGAACAAAAGTTTACTGATCGACCTCTCACGCTTCTGGGAGATTCTCGAATACTCATTCAATAGCGATGCTACTTCTGCACGCCGCATGTTTGGTGATACCCTTTATCTGGGGCCTCCTACATTTGCCGCGGAGGTGTCACAGACCTCTCCTTTACCAGCACCCACGCGACTCGACTTACTTGGACAATTACGCTCACAGGAAGATACTGGTCTTGGTAGTGGTCCAGCTTCCCCGTTGCCACAATATACAGTGGATGCTTTGGCCTCGCCGCGGCACATGGATCTGATCAATGATGAATTCTCAATACTGGCGACGAATTTCTTTTCCCAGGGACAAGACTTTCTACGAAGCCATGATACCAGAGAAGGGGCAGGGGATTTTTAGACCAATGGTGAAAATATAAAACCACTGCATTGTCGTTATGTTACATTACGAAGCCCAATCACGCCTTCAGCGCCTGCTTCAAATTCTCCACGAACGTCCAAACCTCCGTGAAAGTATTATACAAAGGAGCAGGGGCAACACGCACAACACCTGGTTCTCGCTTGTCGCATACCACACCGATTTCCTGCAGCTTTTGCGCGACCTGTTGCAGTAACCCGGGTTTCAGCAGCAAACACAACTGGGCTCCTCTGGCTTCGGGGTTGGACGGTGTGATGATTTCGAATTGGCGTGTTTCATCGGTGCTGTCTTTCAGTAGAAGATGTTCAAGATATGCTGTTATTAAAACAGACTTCTTGCGGATCTCTGCCATGGATGTTTTATCGAAGACGGAAAGTGCCGCGCATAGAGATGTGAGATCGATAGCCGAGGGGTTCGAGATTTGGAAGCCTCCTGCGCCAGGGATTGGCTTGAACTCTGTTCAGTGTGTTAGTGCTTTGAGCTCAACGGTACGAATTAATCGTGTAACTTACTGTTATCCATCTTGAACCGCTCCGCTCTGTCGTCTCCGTACCACCCGGTCAGACGATGGCGGAACTTTGGAGAATCCCTCCCTTCGCTATAGTCGACTTGTCCGTGTCTCTCATGAACGTATAGACCGGCAATACCCCCTGGCCCAGAGTTGCCATATTTGTATGTGCACCAAACCGCGAAGTCGACGTTCCACTCATGCAGCTTCAACTCAACGTTACCGTACGCATGGGCCAAATCCCACCCCACAATAATGCCAAGCGACTGAGCATACTCGGTAATCCGTTTGATGTCGAACAGCTGGCCAGTGTAATACTGGATTCCGGGAAGAAGGACAAGGGCGATCTCGGAAGCGTGGTTGTCAATATAAGAAAGAATCTTCTCTGTGGAGACTTCGTATTCTCCCTCGTCTGGACCGACGAGAAGCATGGACTGGTCTGGATCCAGGCCGTGCCATGCGATTTGTGATTCGATTGCATACTTTGTCGTTGTTAGCATGATTTACGCTGGTTATATTTCATATTCTAAGCACTTACATGGTCACTGGGAAACGCTTTCCAGTCCATCAGGATCTTGTGCTTATCGGAAGTCGGCTTGTAGAAACTGGCAAGCAAAAGGTGAAGGTTCATGGATAGTGTTCCCATTGCCGTGACTTCTTCCGGTGCTGCTCCAACGATCCTGGACATGGACTCGGCTGCCTGCTCAGACAGTAGCTGCCATTGTCTGAGCGGCGAGCCCTCAAGGTCTGTGAAATGGCCGCCAACACCGATTGATGACCACGTGTCGAGCTGTGCCTCCAGATACTTTGCAGTGGCTTTTGGTTGGATTCCAAGGGAGTTCCCGCAGAAGTAGATGCACGGCTCCGATGATAGCCCTGGTTTGATGTGAGTATTGGAAAGCTGTTGGACCCGAGAGATACACACCTGGCTTTGCGAGCTTCTTACAAGCGATATTTGCCTTGGATGGAATAATGAATTCATCACGAAACCCCCGCAAAGGATCAGCTGTGTCAAGAGAGGCAGCATATACCTTTGTACCGGCGTCCGCGGGGAATTCTGGCTTGGGTACTGTGGAGGGGGCCTTCATGTTTGCGTGAGCTGAACAGACGAGTCGATCAAGGTGAAATGAGAACAATATATCACGAAACTCAGGGCCCGACCGCTCTTTGTTCTTTATATATGATTTCTTTTGCCGATGCTATGCGGTGCAACCATCCACATCAGCCGGAACCCGGATCACATCCGCTTCCGCCTCGAGATCCGTCCTGTGGTGATAAGCTCTGTCCAGTCACGAGCACGGATGATTTCACGCTATCTCTACAAATTGGCTTTTATAGCACCAAAACATGCTAACCATTCAATGTCGGCTTTTTATTTGGAAATGAGACCGGATCCGACCCGGATGTCTTCCGGCTCATGTACCATGGGCCCATGTCACTTGACGGATGTCATCTCTGTCTACTATATAGACCCAAGGTTTGCTTGAAAATAACCTATGTCGCGCTTATGATTTAATTGTTATATAGTTCCCCATTGTCTCCTGAACCGAAACTCCCGGACAAGCTCTTCACAAGAAGCTACCATGTTGGAAACCCCTGAGATTGTGCTTGAACAATTCCGTGTTTCTCCTCAGAATGGATTCCTTCCTGCTGTGGCTCCGTTGCGAAGGCTAGAGGATCCTTACTACGAGCCGTGGGAGAGTATCGTTTGTGATCTCCCAACTTACATCAAGGACGGAAACATCAGACAGAAGGTAGACTGCTTGCCCGTTCTGTCAACCTCAATGCTCAAAGACGAGCCAGAATTGAGGAGAGCCTATGTCGTGCTGGCCTATCTCACGCACGCATACGTATGGGGAGGTGAAAAGCCGTCAGAGGTAAAGTCTACCTACCCCAGCACTCGCGGGCAATTTCTGATCATAGGCAGAGACTACCACCAGCCATCTCTTGTCCCTTTCTCGACGTCTCCTCTCACCTAGAGCTCCCAGCATGCGCTACATATGCCGCCTTTTGTCTTTGGAACTTTGCAGCCAACAACGACCAAACCGACCTCACCGATCCCGACGATCTCTGCGTAAACACCTCCTTCACGGGCACAAAGGACGAGGAATGGTTCTTCGTGGTCTCTGCTGCCATTGAAGCAACAGGAGCGAAGCTCTTCCCGATGATGCTCAACGCAATCCACGCCGTCAATGTCAACGATGCCCCCACTGTGGTCACTTCCCTCAACCGCGTTTGCGAAGGAATCCGAGAAATCGCTATCATTCTGCAACGGATGTTCGAAAAGTGCGGCCCATGTGTGTTCTTCCACCGGATCCGACCTTTTCTGGCTGGGAGCAAGAACATGGCTACGGCTGGATTGCCTAACGGGGTTTTCTATGATGTGGGCGATGGACAGGGCGAGTGGCGCCAATACAGCGGAGGAAGTAATGCACAGAGCTCGTTGATTCAAACGTTCGATATCTTCCTTGGCGTGCAGCATTCTGCTACGGGAGAGGTCAAATCTGATGCTGCTGGTCAGCAATCAGGTAGGACTGGTTACTTACAGGTATGGACATTATCCCACAAGAAAGCAAATGGCAGTACTAACAAGGTTGATTTACAGGAAATGCGCAACTATATGCCCGGACCTCACCGACGCTTCCTTGAAATTCTTACCCGCCTTTCCAACATCCGAGCCTACGCCATGAAACAAAGACCCGGCTCCGCCGTCCGGGACGCATACAACACCGCCGCGATGACTCTTGGATCCTTCCGCGACATCCATATCCAGCTTGTCTCACGGTACATTATCATGGCATCCAAGACACGGCCAATTGACGATCACGCAAAGAAGACAAACCTCGCTACTGCGACTGCCAAACACACACGAACCACGGAGAAACATAAGGTGTCTCTTACCGGGACCGGAGGAACGGATTTGATTCCATTCCTTAGACGAACCAGAAATACGACAAAGGCTGCGGCGAATTACATGGATTCAGCTGTCCTTTGAAAGAACTGCTTGGTGTCTGTTCGGGGATTTTTGTTTGGGGTGGCACAGGGGACTTCCAGGGCTGGTCCTTTGGATTTGTTACGGTAGTTTTGAGAGTTGTATATACCTATGCCACGTACATATACTAGATAAAGGCATATTCGGAAATTTATTTGGTTTGTTTAGGACATGCATGTCTTTTTTCATTTTGCTTCATTTCATAGAAGACTCAAGCTGGTATTTTCGCAACTCAGGACCTATATTACGTACTGCTTCGTGACAATGTTAAATTGCTCAAAAGACACTCCTCCTGGATCAAAGAAAGCTACCATGAATCATGTTTCTCGATTTATGTAGCTAGCTCTCTAACTGACACCTCGTACAAAGAGAGCAACACATCCATGGGCTAGACAAAGAACACACCCCTGAATCAAGCTCTTTGACACTGTAAGCTCTGCAGCGTCCGTAGATCTTGACAAACTTGAGTACACCCAAACAAATACGATCATATGACAGTTGCCCGGTTCACATCTGTCTTACCGGTGGAGCCGGAAGCGGAGACGGAAGCGGAAGCGGGACCGGATCAATCAGCCGGGGTGATTAGGGTTCAATGGATTAGTGATATTGGTCTTACGAGGGGAGCCGAGTGATTTGGTATTTGATATGGAACAAGATGTTTTGCATTAGTTGGCCGGGTATAGTTTCCGGGTACATGCATTGAACATAGGTTAATCATGAGTGTCTGTCTTCAGCGCTCATTCATGGTGATTGATGTGAGTGCAAAGAGGGGTATCATAATAGCGCCGGCTACTTTTAAAGATATAGTTCGGGGGAAAAGGCTGCGGGGATGTTCTTTGGCTGCCATGAAAGATGTGGTCAGAATTGTCAATGCAGCAAGTCAGTCTGAGAAACCCAAGCACATTTACCGCGTTTGGCTTTGTGATTGATTGCTTGCTCGTAGTGACCATTGCAGATACAGGCAGAATGAGATTGTAGCTGGGCCCTAGATAGTCAATCATCAGATGGCAAGAAAGCATTGCCGATTACTTACTGGAGCATGACAGTCATTTTGAATGAACGAATATATATATGTAACGAGGCAGAAAGTCCGGGATTGTCAAAGGTGATGCACGCGTAAAGGAACGTAGAATCACATTATCTTAGATGACTACGATTTTGTTCAACACTGTCCGATCACTGCTAGTTCTATGTCAGGAGCTTGGAGAAAATTGATCGGAGTATTATTTGTATTATTCATTTGAAGTTCAGCTTCGAAAAGTAAAAGAAATCATTATATTTTCGTAACTGAAGAGGCATGGGTAACCCAGTTGGTGTGGTGCTTGGTATATATGGCATATAAGCCAGAGTCGTTGCATCCATGGCGACGGTAAGAGGGGTGGCTTCGAAGGCGTTTCGCATCCCAACCACAGAAACTATCCACCGAGAGACCGGCTCTCTGTTCCTAAATAGATGCCCAAGACTCATGGCTGGTTCCAACGAAGCCTTTATGGTCGCTTCCATCAAATCTATCATCGGAAAGAATAGACGGTCAGGAGTTTGGGTGGTGACCCTGATATCACAGGTGGGGGAAGGGTAGTGTCCATCAATAATAGACATCGGTTCGAAGTCCGCGCGCGAATAAGGGGATAATCCAGTGATAAAGGTCGTTTATCTCTTCTTCGTGTTGGCCGGAACACCCTCGCTTTCCCTCAACTCAGCCAATTTCTTCTCGCGTTCAACAAGTCGTGCTTTTTCGTCCGCAATCATCTGTTCAACTGTCTTGTTCGCTTCTGCCAGCCTGCCCATTTCCTTGTTTTCCGTTGCCCTGCTATAAGGGTTCCCAGGAGTCTCGTTCAACGGAATCTCAGCAGACCTCTTCCCCTGCTGCCCCGCCTTCGTATTCTTCCCCCCTTTACCCTTCTGCGGCTGCCCATTTAACGAACCCCCCGTGAGCAAGTCATAAAACTGCTCCACCGGCTCATTGAAAAGGACCTCCTCGTAATTCTGACTAACCACAATCTCCCGTCTCTCCTTCTTCCCCTCCGCATCATGACCGTAAGGGTGAAGTTTCAAACTATGCCACAGCGTCTGCGGCTTCTCTGTTGACTCCGGGATGAAATAAAGTTTGATCTGGATCTCGAACTCTCCCCATCCGGTCTCTAGTATCTCGAAAGGCGCTTGCTCGACGGATCGGACGTTCTGCGCGTACGTTTCGTGTAGTTTAAATTGGACCTTTTTCAGCCAGTAGGAGATATCTTCGTCGTTGACGCCTTTGACGTAGACGCGCCATTGATGGGTGTGGTCTGCGGGGACGTGGGCGGGTTTGTTCGCTGGGTCGAAGGGTTGCGCTTCGCTGCCGAAAACTGTAACACTTAGTGTTGATTCGCATATACCGTGATTAACGTAGGAATAAGAGACACACCGAAAGGTCTAAACACCGAAACGCCCTGTCGACACAAGTTGTTAGCTTCGGCGCGGTCTGTCAGTTGGCACCCAGGCCGCACTCACCCTAACGCGTTTGTTGGAACCTGTTGCAGATGGCATTTTGGGATTATTGTTGAAGAAACGGCGATATTGGCGAGGTTAACGAAGGACAGAATGTTGATGCTCGTAGGGCTGTAGAGAAGTCTCGACGATGTTCCTGTCGCGGAAAATCAAATTCACGTGATTCACCGCCCGGGGAACATGACGACACTCGGCGCCGCTTGCGATTTGGAGCTTGAAGACTAGCGTCACTTGTTCTGTGGTATTCCATAAAACCACAACTTTCCTTCGAATTGAAACCCTTACGGATATATCTGAAATTAAACAATGGCTTCCAAAAGAGTGGTGGTTGCTGGTGGTAATGGATTCTTAGGTTCGTCTACAACACCGCACTAAAAAGATCCAAGCATCGCTAAGTCCTTTTCTTGCTATAGGGTCACGAATCTGCAAAGCTGCCGTGGCTAGAGGGTGGTCGGTGATGTCTCTGAGGTACGCCCTACCCGGTAAATGACCGATTGCAATTACTCAAAATCCCTAGCCGATCCGGAGAACCACGATGGGATACCGTTACAAGCTCCCCAGAGCGACCTAGCTGGGCCAGCTCTGTTGAATGGACCAGGGCAGATCTACTGAAACCGGAATCATATAAGCCCTATCTGCAGGGGGCGAATGCTGTTGTTCACAGCATGGGGATCCTTCTTGAGGCAGACTACAAGGGCGTCGTGCAAGGACGAGAGCCTATTATCAGTGGCCTACAGAGAGCGTTCAGTTCCTCCAAACTAGGGAGCCAGAATCCGCTTCAGAGAAAGGAAGGAGAGGCATTAGAGCCAAAGGAGGGTGATCGACAGTTGACTTATGAACTGATGAATAGAGATTCTGGTTTGTGCATGGCTATGTCTTCTGATTCCTAGGCCCAACGATTGCTGATCCACATATAGCCATTGCTCTAGCACAGGAATCATCAGGCGAGCATGTTCCGACGTTCGTATTCATCTCTGCAGCCGGTGGAGCACCAATCCTTCCAAGCAGATATATCACGACCAAACGAGACGCCGAAGCAACCATATCATCGAAGCTCCCAGACCTGCGGAGTATCTTTATGCGCCCTGCGTTCATGTATGATTCGAGCAGAAAGTTCACATTGCCGATAGCGTTGGGTGGATTTCTTGGTACTGAGGCCAATGCTTTCTTGGGTAACAGACTTCAATTCCTTGGATCGATGGTTGACAAGCCGCTGCAAGTGGACGTTGTTGGTGAGGCCGTAGTCGAGGCGATGGACGATGAATCAACACGCGGTGCAGTTGGGACGAAGCAAATCGAAACACTGGCGACCAAGGCCTGGAGGAAAAGCATGGTCTGATCCCCGACCGGCAGCTGATTGAATAAACCAAGGGCGGCCAAATCAACGCACCAAACCATCTTGTAGCATAATTAACGACCCGCTCCAGATGAGCGAGCCATGAAAAGATATTGGACTGTACAATATAACGCGTTTATGTAACATTCGAATCAAATCATCGTACCGCGTTCGAAACTGTCCCGAATTTCGGTAGTGTACTATGGAAAGGTTAACATACAATCCCACACGTCGCGCAAGAAAACATACCTTGTTGTAGAAGCGCGACAGCTTCATGTTGAATTGCTTGTTCTTCTCGTTGATGTAGGTGACGTCGGATTCGTCGTCGCCACGACGGTCCCTGCGCTTCTTGAGACGAACTTCCTCGGCCTTCTTCAAGTCTCCCACAAGCTTGTCAACCCCAGCTCGATCCGGTTTGTTTTCCGCAAACCCAACAGAGTCCGCTGTGGAATAGAATGAGCCGTTCTTGTCGATTGCGATCATCTCGCCGTCATTGGTTTCCACGATTTCAAGGTCGCCATTAGATGCAGCTTTCTCGATCGCGGCCATTTTCTCCCTCTCATAGGCTTCAAGATTCGGATTTAGCTCGCGCATCTGCCTCTTGTACACCTTGCGCGCATCTTGGGTGTAATCCTGGAATGCGACGTCGTCCCGGTGGCGCTGCTTTTTGTTCATCCGCTTATCCCACTTTTCGGATTCATCGACCGTCCAATCCCACGCACGTTTGCGCTCGAAATCCTCTCCCGAAACTTCTGTGTCGGCCTTCAGCAGGTTATGGGATGCAAATGCATGCTTGCGTGATAGGTTAGACATCAGCGCAGGGTCGGTAGCGAGACGTTGGGTTTCTGCGGCGGTTTCTTTTAAATTGCGTTCAGCTCCGGATTTCTATCCCAAGATTAGTTAGCGAAAGTAGGTATAATTAGGGACGGAGATCTTCTGTGGGAGTACTCACTGCGCGAGCTTGAAGAGCCTTGAACCTCTCCTGTCTTTGACGCGCCTTAGCGGCAGCGCCATCCTCTTCCTGCTCTGCTGTCGCATCTGCCGAACCTCCCTCTGAAGGCTTTTTCGAGTCTATTTCTTCTGAGGCATCATCTTCACCTCCAGTTGGTAGGTTCTCGGGGGCTTGTTCAGAATCGGCAGGCGTTGCCGTCGAATCTTTGGTTTCTCTCTTAGGTGGCATATTGAACGGAATTGGGTGAATCGCGAGAATGAGTATAAGGCGGTATGGGTTTACTGATAGGCGAATAAAACAAATTCGTATGGATTGTTCGACAGTCGGTGGTAAATAGATAGAAAAACAGTGATGTTGCAGTGGTGACGGAGGTTGTCAAGCCCAAACTTGACCGCCTTCCTAACCCGTGCGACATCGGACTTACGAGGAGCCAATCTTCGAGACATGGTCTTGGTGCTCTATTATACAGAATTGAGACTGACACTTGATTTGCTATCAAATGGTTGCCCAAGCCCATCGCACCGCAGGCATCGAATATGTCTCTGTTTCGGACCTGGGAAGAACTGCAAGAGGCACTTGCAGCGATCGGAAAGCATATATCTACGAAGTGGTCGTGCGAGAAGTAAGATGCCTTGTCAGGAACTGTCGTTTCGAATGCTTCAGTCCGTCGCTTGCTCCCTCAAGGATTTGCAAGGATTCGCAAGGATTCGCAGAATCCTGTGCCCGCACGCCGGGGATAAATACACTTCCATGATCTTTCCAACTGGAGAGGCTCAGCTTGGCTACGGCAATCCTCTTCCAATGGCTGACGATTGCGATAGGCTCGACTATAGCTTCGCTTGACAGCAAGGATTTAGTGGGCGCGAGATTTGTAATTGTGATATTTGAAATTACCAACGGGCCTCGGTACTATTGCTAACACCATTCTAGAAAATACATACAAAGTACTTTGCATGTTACGCTATTCCAGCGATCCTTATTGACTTTCCAGCTTTCTCGTCTGTAACTAAACTGGAACTGACATGTTCGTGCGGAGTACTCCGTACCATGGCGCAGCTGAATGCCTGCCTTGGCTTGACTTCGTGTGTGTGATGTGGGACTGGACAACTTTTTTGCTAGCGAGGGTCCTTTGCATTTGATGCAACTTGACTGTCTAGTCATGCAACCGATTCCAGTTCAGGGCGTATCAATGCCTTGAGTGGTGCCACGATCCGGTTTCTTACCATCTTCTATTGAAAAGGGTCATACAAGCATTACTGCCGGTACACAGCGGCGATTTTCCCTAATTGGGTTCGCATTCGAGGCTGCCATGTTCTTTCTTTGTCAGGCCTCTGTTACCCGACAACAAACTTTCCTCGGGAGCTCCGAACGCCAGGCTTCATCTGGAAATGGATCCGAGTTACTTTGGAGACTTCCAAACCTTTCATCCTCCGGTCGTCTTATTTGTGATAATGACAATCGGTGAGCACTAAGCAAGGAGCGGGGGTTGCGATGCCTGAGCATGAACAAGGCAACCATGTGCACCATAGTCCGGAAGCTGAACTGGTAAGGGTCTTTTTTCTTTTCTTTCTTTCTCGTTGTGCGTTCACAGGACGCCTGCAAGTGCGGACCTCGGTCCGGCTTGTCGTTCATCATTCGCATCTGATACTCCTCGCTATCTTGTCTGACACATCGCTCCGCCTGTTGGTCAACATTTGACCCTCGTATGACTAGGGTACCTTTGTCTCCTTGGTATCTCCGAGGAGCTTAACCTAGGAATGAACCTAGCGGTCAATCTAATCCAATGAGATTTAGGATAAAAAAGGGTTAGTAGAACCAAAAACTGGGACCTCGTGTCGATTACCTGGACCCATTATAATACACTTCTATGTCCCTGGAATGTTTCAACCTGTAAAACTGTGATCTGTAGGCTGCATAGAGAGCATCGCAAAGCTTATGCTAGTTTGACCCTCGCGCAAACTCTCAGCAGAGTGATTTATATTTCCTGGAAACCGCGCTTCCAATTTAAATGCAAGTGGAGACCCCTGCTCAAGACTGAGATTGAGTTTTCGTTCTCAGCAGGAAGACAATATTGCAGACAGTATCGTAAGATAGCACTTGTCCTAAGAGAGCAGAGATTGGCAACTCTTCCTCCTCTTCTCTGCAACCAGCAAAGGCTGTAGAGCACGATCTCGCATTGAATTTCGCGGGAAATATCTCCATCTTGGCTGAGCTCCGACAAAGCACAAAGAGCCGAATCAATGGACAACAAATGCCCAGGAAGGATACTGTGCTCCTAATTCCTCGCGTCACCACTCGCCAGGGAGGACGCTCAAAAGGCGATTCGTTGATTGCGTATTCTATAATCCTTCTTTTCTTTTTCTCGGCCAGCAGGTGAATGCATGCCGCCAAATGACGAACGGGTTACAGAACGCGATATCACATCTCAGCTGCAAACCACACCGAATCGGCGTCAGAAGCGAGGAGTCAAGAAAGAAGGTTTGATCTTCATGAGTGGCGAGTGACAAGACATGGCATAGCTGGGAATAAGCAATGCGACTGTTAAAATGGTTCAGCTGGTGCTGGTAATCAGGCAACCCAGATTATCTACACCGCGAGGTCAGGCTCGATAGCTCTTTGATATTTGTCGACAGTTCTCCAGACTCAAATTATGGGAGCCAATGATCGCAAAAATTAGTAGCTGCGAACACCAGGGACCCCAGTCAAGAAATGCCGGACGTACATATATACTACTCCATACTCCGTTATCTGCCAGTCAAATAACCCCCGGCAATTACTTCTCCTGAACCCCGAGCCAATTGATTGAACAATGGCGCCAGGCTAGCGCCATAGGCCCACACGCCCATGAACGGGCCAAAGCCGTTAGGGAACCCAGGTTCTGATCCGAACTTTGTGACACATCATCGATTGGCTAACCTATACGCTGTTATGGTGCTAATGCATGAATAGCGCGTTCGATGTGGGCTAGAAGAATTTGCAGGCTGTTAATGCGTCCTGGTATGTACTATTCAGCCGGACAAGGACGTGCATAGAGGATTTGGCGGTGATCGAGAATTCCCGTCTGTCATTCGTCGTCACTAAATCGGATGTGCCTACGTGATTGAGCACTACCGAAGTACTCCGTACCCGTACTTTGTCCAGATTGAAGCCACAACAATCAGCAGGATCTCGGAGGCGGATCTCGGGGAATCTGGATCACTCATTTGATTGGAGCATACTCCGTACAGAATATGGGGTACGTCTGAGTACGAAGTAGAGTACATACTCCGGGGCATGAGGTGAATTTGCCAATAGCCAATGGCGCAGAGAATTGCTGAGGGTTGGTTCTCTGTACTCCGTATGTCGGTACTTCCCACTCCAGACTATGTACAGCCAGGATATGCTCCATACTTGCTGTATTAAAGTAGGGACAAGAGATACCATTTTTTGTGCCAAGTCCTCGCAATTGACACTTGTTTTAGCCGGTTTGAAGTGCCGCTATTGGATGGTCTAACGGCTTTGCAAGTCGGTTTTAGTTTTCATGATTGTCCCCCGGAATTCCTCTTTGCTTTACAGTTAAGATTTGCACTTCTAGTTTGTGTTTGAGTCGGTGACTTAACGGCTAAGTCCAGACTCAGTAAGGATGCACAGTCAATGCGGTTTGTGGGTGGACAATATGAGCAGGGAACGAGTATAAAGACGTGTCTATATATGGTAATACACCACTTTCCACAGCAGGAAGGCTCGTCGTCAGTCCTTGGAAGCACGAACGTACCGACGGGAATTAAACGGAGTATTGGTTGCTTTGGCTTGGCGTCATATTTCACAAGTTTGGGCACATCATTGCCACACAAGAAAGATGTCAAATTGCATCTCTGCAACTGATGCAGCAAAATTGAGTTTTATATTATTGGTTGTCTTTTTGGTCCACCGGTAATGGGACAGATATGGGTCAATCTCCGCATGGCATACTGGATCTACTGGGTCCGAATTTTGAGGTGGCCGCTCAATGATTGACAGCTCATTGTCAATAGTTAACTAGTTAGTGAGGCCAGATGAGGTAAACAGTGGTGGGATGCTGGAAAAGTCTTTCTGACCAGCGGAGCACAACCCTTACAGATTTTGACCGAAATTAATTAACACTAAACTTTGGTCCAACCTCGACAAGAAAGGGATTTACTACAAAAAAGATAAAGAACCGAAACAGAAAAAGAAAAGAAAGAGCGTTCCGATTCCGGGGAATAGAAGCGCCTGGGAAATGAGGTTCTGCCAGGGACGGATACGAACGCGATCCTAATAATGCTGCTACATGTCCGATAATTCGAATACCGACATAATACGGAGTCCGGAACACATACAATTTGACGCACACAGGGCACGCAAACTCTTCCAAAATAGCCGCTCGGCCCGTTCCCCAAATCCGCAATCCTTTCCATGGTTCGACGGCTGAGTGGGATTGGATGCTAAGGCGCTAATCTCCATGAAGCACGGAGCACAACCATGCATAAGCACCGTCGCTTCCACCCATTAGGGTTGGCTGACAGAAGGTGCCCCATTTCAATTTCCTGGGTTCCCAACACGTCAGTTACGGCTGACTTGGCACCCATCATGTAGTGTGTTTCACCCTTTGGTGTAGCTGCTGCTGATGGATCTTGCTTCGGCACTCGGATTTTTCTTTTCTTTTTTTACTTTTTTATGCGGGTGGACGTTCCCTTACGGCGATTACCTGTTCATCCTAGTTTGTCCTTGTATTAATTACCCCAGTTCGGTGGCTTTGGGAAAGCTGTACTTCGTACATTAGAGTTCGTCTACACGACCAATGGTGCGTGTTATGCCATAGATACACCACTCCAAAGATTCTCGGTGGACCTCACTCATTCCTCCCACAATGCTTGTTATCGAACTGGGTCATTTTTTGGGCTGTATCAACCATCTATATTTGACATCCATCCTCCTCCCACCCTCCTATATACCGCGCCTCTTTGTCCCCTTTGGCGTCTAATTCTTCGGGTTTTCGCATCTTGTATCTTCGATTTCTTGGATGTCGTGAATCGGTTTATCCTATCATTGCCCACATTGTTCTGACCGCTTTCTGCTTACCGTCACGAATGCCTCTCTTGCAGGGACCGGGATCGCGCCGTCTGCCTTTAATTCGACCCAATTTCTTCGAAAAGAATAGCATAGAAGCCTTCTCGAATCATCCGCGCAGATGTCTAGAGCACCATCGCAATGTGGGCCTTCGTCGTCTGACCAACGGTATACGAACCAAATAAGACAAGCACATTACCCTGGGTATCATGGCGTGCCAGCGAGTTCAAATCAAACCTATCCAACACAAGGGTTACCTCGATTCCTCTACCCAGATAATCAAGCGTACGACCCTACTGTTGCCACCCGACCGCTAGGTTCTCAGCGCTCCTGGCAAGGGAATCAGCAGAGCAGTGATGCAGATCGGAGATATAATAATGTATATGGGAACTATGGAAACATCGACCCCCGACTCCAGTACAGCTTGCAGCGGATAGGTCCCGTGAGTTTTCAGCAGCATGCGCCCGGAAGCGCGGAATATTACAGCTACCAAAGCTCTTACCAAGATGCGTCTAACTCGTCGGTGGGCTATGGACGAGGCTCAGTTGGATCTGGTGGGTGGTCAAACGATGTGGATTCCCAGTAACCTCCCCTTTTTCCTATCGACAGATTGTCTTTGATTTTCGTTCATATGTTATTTTTTTGGAATTGGAGTTTCTTCTCTGTCGAGTGGGAGCTCTCAGATTCTTGTGCTCGAGAACAGAGATCTAATTCGGGAGACATCTCCAGGCACAGCGGTAGTTCCGCGGCTTTCGCAAGCCCCGTTAATTCTGACCACAGTATGGCATCGTTTCCCGGCAGCAGCACAATGACGAAGCCCCAATCGCAGCAGTCGCAGCGACAACGTCCATCCAACTGCAGTGCGATAATGGGAATCGATAATATCCTCCAACGTCCCCTAACCCCTCCCCCAGCACCACGACAGCAACAGCAACAACAACAACAACAACAACAACAAGCGCCAGCACCAAAACCAGCATCAACACCCACCCAATCACGCCACCACCTACACATCCGCCAACAACCAATCGCTGCACGGGCCTGCGGCGCAGGCGATAGAGATAGACGCCCGGTAGACCCACCACCGATAGTCCAGATGCTCCTAACCGATTTCAACCCTAGCGACGTCGACATCCTTCAAGACCCACGCTTTACCGTGGGCTGTCTTTTATTCCCTGTGGCCCCGGCGCCATCGGCTTCTTCCGAACGAAATACGGAGAATACATGGGAAAGCCGTACTAGCGGTATTAACCGCTCAGATGATGATAGCGGCAATCTACCGGGTCAATCGACGCCATTGCTTTCAGGAAAGGCATTCGTCTCGCCGTTTTATGTAGATGCGGATCCGGACCCGGGGACGGCGCCCGCGCATCCTTCACGACACACCACAAATACAGACCTAAGCACAAAACCGCAACCAGACGCAGATGCAAGAATTCCCTCAACATTCTTCATCTTCTCCGATCTCTCCGTGCGCACAGCAGGCCTATACAGACTCCAATTCCGACTCATGAACTGGGGCAGCGTCGAGGATACGGGCCAGTCGATGCCAATTCTGGCGGAGATGTGGTCGGAGCCGTTTCGTGTGTATCCTGCGAAGGATTTCCCGGGGATGAGGGATTCGTCGCCGTTGGCGGAGGGGTTGAAGGAGATGGGCTTTGTGGAGTTAAAGACGAGAGGGAAGGGGAAGGGGAAGGGGAGGAGGAGGTGACAGAGCTGTGGTATGTGGTATGTGGGATGGATTTGGTTGGGATGATGCTATGATTTTTTATATGAACATGGTAAAGGGAATTGGGAGTTGGTAACATTGGTGAAGGATGATGCGTTCTAGCGTGTTGCGGTTCGATCAGCATGTGGCATTGCATTTATCATCAGGAGCAAGCATTGCAAGCATTGTTACTTTGGCATGGGAATATCATTCATCTCGTATCATGCAGTCCATCATTCCATAAAACATGGGTATCATCGCGGATAAGTATCGTACACCATCTAGTCTATACATGCATTTTATACAACAGCACGCAAGCAAACCTAAACATCAAGCCGCTTCAAGTCAACATTCATAGTAAGTTCCTTGTTATCCCAATTAACCCTGTACCCACGAATCGCAGAGGCAAGGCCCGGTTTCTGCGCGGCCATCTCGAGATATTTTTTTCCAAGATCAAACTTCCCATCTAGTCGCAGCAGCAAAGACATTATCAGAGCCGCATCGTGGCTCCCATGGGTGCATGCGAGTTCATACCACTCGCGCGCGAGATTGAGATAGTCACCTGGAGAGAGCATGCGGCCGAAAAAGGAGGAAACCCAGCCTTTTTTCTTCTGCTGCTGCGGTTCCTGTTCCTGTTTCTGTTGTGTGGCATCCTCACCCCGTCGCGGATAACGACCCAGACAAGTCAGGTAGTAGAAATTGGCCAACTTCCTACACGCATCAGCATTTCCAGTAGAAGCAACCTTGCTCATGCAGGCCTCGTAATTCTCCAAATCACCATCCTTCATATGTCTCCCAGCAAGCGTAAACAACGCCTGCGGATCCTGATACTCCCGCGCAGCGATTTCAATGGCCTTATCTGCCGCATCGTCGTTCCCCAGCTTCCTATTGACATCTTCATAGACCTGCCACGGGGCCATGTCCAACGGGAAATGTTTATCCTGGCTAGGTCGCGACGTAGTAACCGGACGGATAACGCCCATTACTTCTTCCATCAACGCTAGCGCCTCGTTGTATTGTTCGCGGAAGATCAACACTCGTGCGTGTAGGGTCATGGAGACGGGATCGCGCATTTGCAGGGCTAGGTGTTCGATTCTGTTGAAAGGAATTGATGATGTCGGGGCTTTTGTAGCTTTGTCGAGGATTCGAGTTGCGGATATGATGGTTGCAAAGCGGGCTTCTGCGAGGGTGCAGGCCGTTACGACCCATTCGCGGAACCTGGGGTCACCGAGGGAGACGACCTGGCCGATGTTGAAGGTGAGGTCGGGGTCTACGATCACCAGTTAGCATCTTTTATGCTGTAATTAGTCTAAAAAGAATGAGGCAGACTGACCATCATGAATCTCCCGAATCGCTTCTCGCGACGGTGCCTGTGTATACGCCTTGTCAAGGAGCGCAGATCCCACACGCATGAAGACACGTTGATCCACTGCGTTTGGGATTATACCGGCCCTCTGCGCATCTGCCCATAACTGCACGCCGTGTGTTTCGAGGAATTGATGGCGGCCGTCCTTGGGCCCTTTCACTGGTGTGTTGTAGACTGGAGGCGAAGATGTAATGCGGGTTTGGGATGCTTCGGCTCGACGAACGGTTGGGGAGCGGCGGGCGGCGGAGGGATGAGGCGTGGAATGGAAGGATCGTGTTAATTTGGGGTTTGTGTTGGTGGTGGTAGTGTTTTGGTGATTGGGGACGGTGATGGTCCGCGATGGCTGGAATTGCGACGTTAGCCGTGGCAGTCGGCGGAGGGAATCTGAAGCTCGAGGGAGAGACATTGTGAAGAGAGTCGAGGTCAATGGGTGTTATGGTGCTGTAGAGAGCTCTGTAGGAGGATGAGAATATCTGAGCGGCGGAAGTCGGAGGTTCTTCCCCGCCGGCGATTTATATTGAGCGCATTGTATACAACGACCAATTGAGCAAAACTACGATATAAGAACAATGTATAACTAGCAAGAGACGAGAGAATCCATTGAAAGCACTAATAAAATACTCGAGAACCGTCAAACCGTGGTCAATCACCAATCAATCTCTGAGATAACAGTATACAGAACACAGAAAAGCAACATTCATCTGTATCCAAATTGTTCAGTCAATCGTAAATAATATACATTTGCCCGCCTTTTTTTTTATCTTCCAGGTACCGAAGGAAACATATCGGAGTAAAACAGAGGGAAAAGGAAAAGAGCCATTGAGACAAGAACTCCAGCTCGACGATGCAGTCTAATCACACATGTCTAGTCCACTCCATCTCACCGTCCCAATTCTCAACAGGCAAACAGCGGGGCGTAAGAGAGAGCATGACCCATTCCATTGCATTAAAACCACCCGACCCGAGGCAGAAAAACCAGAACCGCACGAAAACCGAATAACCATTACTCCATAGTAACCTTTGCACCGACACCCTTGAGGGTCTCGATGATCTTCTCGGCGTCCTCCTTCGGCACGGATTCCTTCAGAACCTTGGGCACGCTCTCGACGAACTTCTTGCTGTCGACCAGAGACAGACCGAGCAGACCCTTGATCTCCTTGATGGTCTTGGCCTTGGATGCGGCGTCGACCTCTTCGAGCTTCAAGTTGAACAGGGTCTTCTCCTGGGGAGCGGGGGCAGGCTCGTCTTCCTCAACGGGGGGGGCGGCGGGGGCGGCACCACCAGCCATGGCGAAGCCGCCAACTGGGAGGTCGGGGATGTTCAGGCGGGTCTAAGAGAAAATATAGAGTCAGCAAGCTGTTCTCCATAGTATGATCTGAATCCTCCACCCTTTCCAATCCCATTCAACAGTTCCGAAACGCACCTTCAAGGTGGACACCAGGTCCGCAGTCTCCAACAGCGTCAATTGGCTAATCTGGTCAACGATCGTGGTGATCTTGGGGTTGGCAGGAGCGGCAGCAGCGGCCTCTGCTTCCGTAGACTGCCATCTCCGGCAGGGTGTCCGCTGAGACAGATATGTGGAGGTGGAAAGGCGCAGAGAGGAAGTGGAGGGACGGACGAGCTGTCGGCAGCATCGGGCTGCGGTCTGAGCGGGAATCGACATGATGGCGTTAGGAAGAGGTACGGCGGAGGGAGAAAAGAGAGAGGTAAACGACAGGGCAGCTGCTGGACAGACAATCGCAACGGCAATCAACAATAATCGTCAATCCGCAAAAAAGAAAGTCGAAGTTTCGGCGCCGGAAAATCCAGCGCGGGTCACGTGCCAGACCCGCTCATCCGCAAAGGGCTTCAGGAACAAAATAAGCAGAATTATTAGAGGAAATACTGGTTGATTTGGTAGAATTGAGGTAGAGATGATGATTTATTACACTACTCGTGATCGCTTCTATAGGTACCGCGACCCTTCCCAGAATACTCCAATACTATTTTCATGATATCGTATCGCGAACAGAAATCTCAATTTCAACAACTCTTTTGAACCCCGTTCGACAAACGAATTTAATCATAGAATTATTTAGTCTTCATCCCAGTTCGGGTTGGGGCCTGGCGGCTTAGGCCCACCGGCCTGCCGGGCCACGATGATCTGGTCAACACTGAGCACTGTTCGGGCCGCCTCACTGGCGAGTCGGATAGCCCAGCTCTTGGAGGCCATCAGGTCGAGGATGCCCTCGTCGACGGCGTCCAGAGTACCCTCCGAAGAACCTTGCTCCAAATCAACACCCGTAGTCCAGTAAGGCTCCTCTTCTGAGCCCTTGCTCTGGTGTGCAGTGTAGAGACGGGAGAGAACCTCGGTGGCGTCCAGACCACCGGACTCTGCGAGAGTGCGCGGGATCACTTCAAAGGCCTCAGCGAACTTCCGGATGGCATGTTGGGGCAGACCAGGGGTCTTGTCTGCAAATGCGGAAATTCTCTCGATGAGCTGGATTTCAGTAGCGCCTGCGCCAGGAACAAGACGGGGGTCCTTGGTAATAGCCTTGACAACGTTGACACCGTCGTCGATAGCACGCTCAACATCTTCCAGGTGGTTTTGAGTGGCACCACGGAGGACGATGGTGGCGGTACGGGTAGGAGAGTTCGCATCCTCCTGACGGAAGACGGTGACACGGTCTCCACCAATCTCAGCGGTCTCAACAACGTCGACAGCACCCATCTCGTCGGGCATCGGGGCACCCAGACGGGCAAGAGGTGTGGCACCGACGACACGGCACAGCCGACGGAGCTCAAACTTGGAGAGGATCTTGACGACGAGAATGTTAAATCGGTTAAGGTAGTGCATAGCCAGGTCGCCAACGTTCGCACCGGCAACCACAACGCGGAGACCCGAGTCATGCAGTTCCTTGATAGCAGACTCAAGACGCTCCTCCTCACCCTTGCTGTAGTTCATCATCTCCTCAGCGTTCTTCAAGAGCACAGTTCCCTTGGTCTCGGTCTGCGAGACATCGATAGGGCAGCTGAAAACGCCGACCTTGGCCTTGGTGGCCTTCTTGATGATACTCTCGGGTTCCCGACCAAAGACCATACCCTTAATTACACGAGAGTTCTCCAAGCTACCACCCATAATCTTAACGACTCGGACATTGTCGACGTTGAAGTTGACGGGGTTCTTGGGCAAAACGGAGAGGACAGCCTCGGCAACCAACGAGGCCAAAAGATCTTCAGTTCCGGACTGCTTGCTGGCGACAACGGTACGGAGGGCCTTGGTCAGCTCCTCTTGCGAGCGAAGGTCTTGAAGACGGTCGACCTCGAGTTCTAACGCGTTCAAATGTCAGTAACCAAGTGTCCTAAAGAATCTCCACTCGAAAAAGCCAAGTATTCAAGACGGAAGATAAACCCACCCTCTAGTGTCTTCAACGCAAAGTTCTGTGCCTTCTCGTAGCCCTGCACAATATCACTCGTTTTCAAGCCCAAGCGCAGAACCTCCTCGGCCTTCTTCAACAACTCTCCCGCCAGGACAATGACCATGTTGGTTCCATCGCCCATCTCTGCATCCTGCTGCTGACTCGCCATAACCAGTAACTTGGCAGCGGGGTGAACGACATCCAGCTCGCGCAGAATGCTGGCAGCATCCGATGTAAGGATCATTTTCTGCAGGTGGTTGATGACGATCTTGTTGCGGCCGTAGGGACCGAGCGACGTTTGGACAGTCTTCGAGATGGCCTGGCAGGCCTCGATATTGCGGATGACGGCTCCATCTTCGGCATCGTGACTATAAAATTAAAAGATGATTAGATATGTCCTTGGTTTCTGTGTTCTTTTGATTCTGTTGCTGCTTTCGTGTCGCGGGGAAAGTCATTAGGTGGCCGTGACTTTTTCCTTACCTCTGATACCCAGGCTTGAAAAGCCCCCCTTGGGAGGGACCAGGCATAGACAATGACATGATGATAAAAAGATTCCTTCCAGAATAGCCAAAAGGAATGTAATTAAGAGAAGAGTGATTAGGCTGTCCGACTCCTTAAGCTGGCACGCTCCGGGAATTTTTGGTGGAGCTTCGAGACAGTCTGGCGGCGGCTGTTTGTTCTGTTTGCACGCGGAGGGGCTAGGGCATTCCTTTTTCGGACAGCATACTCAACTATATTTGGAATTTACCAGAGAGGAATTATTGTTTATCTAGATATACAGTGCTAGCTAAGCAATAAATACGGTACAGTTTTCTTTTCTTTTCTTTTCTTTTTTTTTTTTTTATTTAAAACGACCAGCCAAAGTTGCCATAAGCTTGCCGGAACCCCGGCACTATTCAACGAGCCACGTTAGCGCTATAGATGGGCATTGGTGCAGGGTGAGACCTCACTGTATGTTTGCATCGAGTCACATCCACTTTTTTCATAAACATCTTGAGCCTTGTGCAGCCTGACGTATCGTTAGAGAGAGATGACACTCGAGTGGCGACATATTTCCTTACCGATCACGAATTGCTTCCTCCCGGTTGTAGCTCTATACAGTCGTCAATAATGAGACCACCAAGGACTGTTCCTCATGAGTGATCAGGGACTTACCGACGGGTGTGTCGACATGAACTGGGGCGGCGCCTCTTTCTCCAGTCGCTTCATCCGCGACCAACTAATCATCATCAGTCGAGTACTCTAGGTTGGAGAAAGCAAGGTACACAAAGACATGACCCACAGTCTGGCAGCTGCCTCTGGGTTATAGCAAGCCTTCGACATCATCACTAACAATGCGTCAGTAAAGATCACAGAACCGTAAAAACACTCCAATACTTAGACCCATATCATCTGCCTCCGCCTGCGGTACGTATTAGCAAAATCATCGCCAAGTTATTGGTTGACGTCGACTTACTTCTTGTGTCCTTGAATTCGGCAGACTGTACATCAGGTTCAAAAGAAGCGACGGAACCTGTCCCGAGATATCAAACATCGCAGAGATAAGGAATACCGCCCCAATGGTGAGAAGGCTATTGCTCATCCGCTCAGCAGGATGCCGCGCTACCACATGAGCAATCTCGTGGCCAAGTACTGCTGCTAAGCCGTCTTCGCCTTCACAGACTGGCAAGATACCAGTGTAGACAAACACCTTACCACTGCAAATCGGAGTCAGCGAAATGAAATTTGGGTGAAATGACCTGAACATCACATATGCTCATACCCCGGAAGAACAAAAGCATTAACCATCCCATCATCCTTGATCACATGGACTCTCCAGTTTGCACCTACTATTGGTGCCTGTGGAATGAGCCGGTCGAGGACTCGTTTGACCAGCACAGTGGTAGGATGGTGTTCGGGCAGTATCTTTCCACGAGAAGAGCTTAGAACCTCTCTATAGCTCCGATTTCCCATCTGGAGCTCTTGTTCAGAACTAATACAGTTAAAGCGACGACGACCGGTCATCTGGCATCAAGTTAGTAAGTTGTAGGACCAGGACTAACAGGCAGTGTATTGTCGAGTCTTACCTCCACCGTCTCCGTATTGTATATATACAATCCACTAATTCCAAGCCCAATAATCACGAAATGATGGGGTTTCGCATTTCCCAATAGGCGCCAAATGAACGGTTGCCCCCGTGGGTTATTGAACCGTCTGTATGGCTGATTCCCGAATCCATAGTGGCGTCGGGCAGAACTGGTAAACTGCCGACTGCGAAATCGAGGAAGCTGCTGTTGAAGGAACGTAAAGGATGTTTTCGAGGTGATTGAATTTCTATGACATGGATACAAGGCGGAATTCGTCCGGGAGGTTTGCGAGCATCGTGCTGCTGCGCGAGAAGAGAAAGCGAAAGAAGCCAGGGATGACGAGAAAGCTTTTTGCACTGTGCTCGTTATCGGTTGACGGAACATGATGAACTGCTTGACATGTTCATAGGACGTGAATGGAAAGAATGAGAGAACTTGAAGCTATATCGCGCCGGCACGTGGGGAGCGATAAGATAAGGATGTGTATCAATATCATGTTCCATCATTGTCCGATTAATCAATAGATTTTTCTATTTAGACGAGAAATAGGTGCTAACTTGCATGGATACACAATCTATGAATTTTCCATCCCAATCAAGGCGTTCGCTGACAGCAAGAATAGCAATCAGCTGCCATCCTCTATTCCCACAAGCATGGAACGCCAATGCAGAATACTGTAGCCCTTATATTCGCAATTCGATGGCACCAGGAGTCAACATACGCAAGACCCATGACTCAAATGCCGACCGTCGCTCGATAGAGCCGTGGCAGCCAAACAGGACACACCCGATGAATATTACAAGTGATGTGGCAGGGGACGTATACCCGCTCATGGATCAGCCACCATTGATCAGGCCATTAGCTATACGACTATTGGCGAATTGCTCCGTACTCTGTACATCCTCCGAGTATTCTGTACCTTGGGATCACATTCCTTGTATCGGGATACCTCCGCACAGTAGAACCCATGGCCATACGATAGTGACCCAAGCTTCTTTTGCTTTGTCCTTCTGCATGGGGCATTCCTTTTCGTGCAGTCCTTTTAAATCAACACGAATCCCCGTATTAACTGACGGCTTCTGGGGTTTACACTGCATAACTTTTCACTTTTATTATACGATAGTTACATTCACAACCTTACCTAATGCAGAAAATGTGCTGTGCTCTACAGAGCTGCTTATATCTGCAGGAATCTCGGGTACGGCTTTCCATCGCCTCGTGCGAAGCGTGGAGATAGACTCACACGTCGCCGGTCTACTGCTGGCGTTCTTCCTTGTTAATGGATTGATGGTCTATGTGTCCATATCTGACTCCGGCAATGGCATTATTAGAGCTATCAGCGATGCACTTCAGCTGGATATCGCATTCCACACGGGTCTCTTTGGCAGCATGGTGCTGTATAGGCTTTTTTTCCATCCACTGCGGAATTTCCCTGGCCCAGTAGGTGCGAGAATATCACGTCTGCACGCCTCTTTTCTCACCTTGAAAACAGCTCAAATGCACTATGTGGTTCAAGATATGCATAGGCAATATGGAGATGTGGTTCGCACCGGTATTTTGATTTCTCCAAAGATTCTTTGAGCAGAGACAAAGGCTAACTGACGAAATAGGGCCACGGGAGGTATCCATCTGCCGTCCATCTGCTATCCGTGCTATATATGGACCTCCGACCCGATGCACAAAATCGCCCTGGTATGATCAGAATTTTCCGGAAGGCGTCGGGAAGCCTTTAATTGGTATACGAGATCCCAAGACGCATAATAAGCGGCGTCGTGTTTGGGATCGCGGATTTAGGATCCAAGGTGCATACAGCGTTTGACATATTTATTTATGTCCATTAACTAATCAAAAACCCAAAGCCCTCAACGAGTACGAACCTCGCATCGTCGCCAAAACTCGACTGTTAGTCTCCAAAATAAACGAGCGCCATGCCCAACCGCTCAATATCACTAACTGGATTTCCTGTTATGCCTTCGATGTGATGGGTGATATCGCACTGGGTATGGAGTTTGACATGCTGAAACATGGACAAAAGCCGCCTGCAGTCAAACAACTCCAGTCAACTATCAACGTGGTAGCAGTCGGCGGGACTATCCCATGGCTGGCTCCTCTAGTCATGGATATTCCCGGTGTGATGCCGCTTATCAACCCGTTCAGGCGGTTATGCCATTTATTACTTGAGGAGAGACGGCAGGTATGTCGTGTCTATGCGGTTTCTGGAACGGAATTGACCATACCTTTTGCAGACTGTGTCCAGAGATGAATACCCAAAAGATATCATATCCTGGTTGATCCAAGCAAAAGGAGACGGTGACCCGGGAGCAGCCCCCTCCGAAATCGCTTTACAAGATGACGCATGGACACTAGTTGTTGCGGGCAGGTGCGTTTACCACATCTATAAATCCCCAAGACACACTAACGTACCGTAGTGACACTGTATCAACTGCCCTCACCAACGCTTTGTTTTACCTCTCAACCCACCCTACCATTTTCTCCAAACTCCAATCAGAGCTCGACAATGTCTTCCCACACGGCATGCAAGACTGGTCATACGACATAGTGAGAGATATTAAATATCTAGACTACATCATCAACGAGACTCTTCGCCTTAAACCCTCAGTCCCCGGTGGTCTTGCACGCGTCACGCCACCGGAAGGCCTGCAAATTGACGACATCTATATTCCGGGTGACATGATAGTGACTGTTCCTACATTTACCATCCAGCGGAATGAGCGGTATTTCACCAGGGCGAGAGAGTTTATTCCAGAACGGTGGGAGGGGGTTAGCACGGAGAGCGTGCCGTTTATTCCTTTTTCACGAGGTATGTATCAATATGTGCTTTTTTTTGTGTGTGTGTGTGTGTGTGTGTGTGTGGGAAATGGGCTAACATTTCAATTTGATCATAGGTACATTTGATTGCGCCGGTAATAATATAGCGTGGATGGAGCTCCGGATGGTTTTGTCGACAGTTGCACTTGAATATCACGTGTGTGTGGCGGATGACGCCCATGTGGCTTTTGATGGACAGGAGAGAGATGCTTTTATGCTTGCGTTGCCGGATTTGTTTGTGGTGTTTAAGACGCGCAGGTAGTCTCGAGCGACTTCCTATGGATCTACAAATTCAGGAGCGCAGAAACTCAAAAGGCGATATCCTGTATTCTGCAGCAGGAGTAGTAGCTCACGTAAATCTCCATGCACCATGTTTAATTTGAAACCGTATCGTCACTCGTAGCAAATCCAAAGAAAGATAAAGAACATGAAAGAAATGAAATCAAGAACTGGGGGAAAAATGAAAAAGATGGAATAAGATGGCAATACATCAGACAGAATCATCTGAAATTTCATCTTCCAACCACTCCAACCCACCACCGCAAACTCCCCCATGAAGTTTTTCAGGCTTGCGAAGCAAATCCGATTGATAGGTAAGCTTCCTGGGGCTTGAGTGGCCACCGAATGAGATAGGGCTTGTAGGGCGTGTCGTCAGTGAAGCCGGAGATCATTGATCATGACACGACGAGCATTGATAGCTTCCTTAATGCTTCCAAGAAGAGCAGCATGGGAGTACCTTCGAGTTTTGACGCGCTCAGCGGATGTTTCAACTTGCTCCGCCCACCAGCGAGCAAACATGGTGCTGTGATAGATACCACGAAGAACACAAGTAAATTTGGTCAAGCCCATCGATCGCGGGCGCAGGAGCCGGGAATATCGGTCGAAATTACCTCCGTATGCAGCCATCTGAATCAGGAGATCCTTTCTAAGTGTCGGAATGTCAAATGGTAGAGGCGTGTAGAGCAAACGTGCTTCCTCTGGGGTGTAGTCAAGGCGCGAAGCAAGTAATTCAACAACGTGGCCATCAAGACCCCCGTCCTCAATATCTGGTTCTCGAAAATACAAAAATTCCTCTCTCGATTTTCGGGGGTGGCTCCCGAGCCTCGAGTGTCCAACGCACGGTAGTGTTACCATTCAAGAAGGACGGTGTCTTTGGCACCTTGGTATTGATAGAGCGAGTAAAGTCATCCATTACAGCACATTTTATTGGCGATGCCATGATAATTTGGAAAATCTCGTTGCACCCAGGAGTATCACACTCCTTAGCTTCCTCAGCTATGGAGACATGTGGAAGCAGGCAGAGCTCTTTGTAGAGATCAACATAACCTGCTGCAGCGCAAGCCCGACTAACTTGGTAGCGCATAGAAGGGTAACGCCCCGCTAATTCGCGATAGGTATCTTCCCTTGCAATATCCGAATTCCAGGTGCAGTACGGCTAGCATTCGGGATCATACATTTCGTCGGGAATCACGTTGCTCATGATCAATCGAGCATTGCGTGTGCGAGAAAGCTCTGGATAATCCGACTTGGTGCGGGAGCATAGCGCCACCACATCCGGGTTACTTGCAAATTCTGGATGACGGCGAATACCGCGGAAATAGAACGGCGTGTCGTGGCCGAGTCGATGCTTACAGGGACAACCTTTCCCTGGATAGCCGCGATGCATTCATCGTAGACATATGAAAGTGCCTGCTTGGCCAGAATGGAAAGTTGTTTGAGCTACTTTGGTCATCTTCGTCGTCGTCGTCGTCGTCGTCGTCGTCGTCGTCGTCTTCGTCTTCGTCTTCCGTTTCAGAGTCGCTCTTAGTATACGCGAAGAATCGATAAACTCGCTTCGTTTTCGTCGACTTTTCACTTTCTCTGCAGTTTGGATCTGCTTTCCCCCATTATTCTCCTAGTTCCAAGGCAAATCCGATCAAAAAATTTAGCTAGCTTCATATCGCAAGACAATGGTCATATTACACATGACCCTAATCCATGCTGGCTTCAGCATGCCGATAAATTTCTTCCACATCTGTAGAGTACTCGCATGCAAGGCCTAGTTGCCTTGATCATCGCGTGATGTGGTCTGAATGTGCGTCTTTGCCACATCCTTGCCACATCTTCAACCGTTCATGGGCTCCTTGTATCAATAACTGATACGGATGCTTCTGCCTTTTGTTTATTAACATTAGCAGCTTTTGGCTGCTTTCCAAAACGTTTGACCAGTAGCCCCCCAGCTGCCTCTTTGGTATTTCCCCCCTTCAGTTGGCTCTTGGTGGGCAGGGGTAGGCTGTTGACCCTGACCATAAACTAATTATAGGTCAGACTCCCATCCACCCCGGAGTCACGATTGTTTGTAGCGACTTGGCTTTTTCTGGTGTCAAATGGCAGGATTTGCTGCTGCTTGTAGGGCTTCTCGAAGTCTCTAGATTGCCATACCACGCTGTGTTAGACCGTGTTCCCGGAAATACAGACAGATTGGCCGAAATAAATATACCTAGAAGCCTGATAAAGCTCCCAGAGGTACAGTCGCTCATAGACGTGAGCGACGTAGTTTGGGCCCGACATTATGGGCACCGGAAATATCTTGCGTTTTGTGCTAATCAAAAGATTTCCAATGCTACACGAACTCCGAGGCCGGTCCATACGCACGCATACGTGACGGGTGCAGTAAATGGTGCCCCATATGGCAGTCCGCTTCATTGAGATCGCGGGTTTGTTTCGCAGAATATACAATTTGTTTCGTTTTTTGGGCACGTCTAAGAGCCCTCGTTATTTTGCCCCTGGCTCTTTCTCGGATTAAGGGGGGGGGGGTGTCTCATTTGACTGGATCCGTCTATCTCTATGATATTAAACGCGGTGCCAGACCCAAAGTACGAGGGCATTAACACAATGGACTCACCGGAAAACTTCGTTAATGGCATCTAGCAGCCCTCCCATGCCGTTTTCAAGCAGCGGGAGAGTTGCCTCCGCTATTTCGCTGTCTTGTAGTTCAACCTCGTTGGGTAACGAATTCCCATTGATACGGACCATGAGTCCTGGCCTGGTCCGCTGCCCCTATTGTTTGTTGCATCTTGGCCTTTCTTATTTGAGAATGGAAAAATCACATTCTGATTTGTATCCACAATCCCTGTTTCATTTGAAGTCGCTAAAAGTGCATTCAGTGGGGTAGATCCAGCGGGGGGTTTGATAAAGCTCCCAGAAAAACAGTGGCTCATATACATGTGAAACTATTCTTGCCTCGGTTCCGGAATGAGTGACATAAAATGATACATATAATGAGACAAGTTGACATCTGAAAGGCAAGAAAGAGAGTGGGACAAATAGATCGTGAATGGACACTAGATAATAATACAGAGAAGAAGAGAGATTGAGTCCAATTAAGCCCTATCGGCACATAAGCTATGCATAAGATCATGCATACATAACGGCATTAATATATCGGAAGGCAAAACGCCGACCCCCGACTCGGGAAGAACAGGCAAGGATTCCGAAGGAGGCTTAGTGTTCGGGAAGACCAAGAGCCGGGCCCCGGGAGATCGCCAAGATGATTCCGAGAGGCGATCGGTGTTAGGGTTCCTCCGAGAGCGTGGTTAAGATTGCCCCGACAGCCGACTGTCAGTGGCTAGCCGCGCGTTGTTTGTCCCTGGTCTGTGGATGACACTTAATTGGGTCCATATCTTAGAGTTTTAATATGCACCGAAAGTCATTCTTATCCAGTGGAGACAAGCATAACTGGGACATTAATGAACTTATAATAATACTAGGCTCCCGGGGCCAATCATACCCGAGGCCAAGACGATTCCACGGTGTTCCCGTACCCGTTGACTACTATTAGATCTAGACAACAACGATGTCTCGTCTCTTTCTTTAAAGCCGCGCTCTGACGGCTCCCTGCACTTTCTGTTTTACTTTTGTTTGCCCTTTGTTTGCTTTTTCTTGCATTACACTTGACAAATACATAGTATTTCCCATATCACCCCTCTCCCTTCCTGTATCTAGGCTACCACCATGGGTGCCGGTACTGAAGACGATCTTCACTCCGAGTCTGCCATGTCTAGCGAGACAGCAGGCCCATCGTCGTCCGTCATGGCAACTCGTTCCCACATGGATATGGATCCCCAGGAAGTCGACAACATCGTCCGTATCGCCTCGCATCTATCCCGGCGCCATGAGAACGTCCACCCCGGCTCGACAACAGACGGGGAGACCCTGAACGAAGATGACCCGGTTCTGGATCCTTCTGCGAAGGAGTTCGATCTGCGGAAGTACCTGACCAAAGTACTTCGGGACTTCAGTCGGGAGGGTGTTGAGTCCTCTCATGCTGGGATTGTCTTCAAGGACCTCACGATTTCGGGTTCTGGAGCAGCGCTGCAGTTCCAGAGTACCGTAGCGTCTATGATGTCTCTGCCGTCGCAAGTGAAGAACCTCTGGCGGGAGCGTAACTCTCCGGCCAAGAGTATTCTGCATGACTTCAACGGAACACTCAAGAGTGGCGAGCTGCTGCTTGTCCTGGGCCGTCCCGGGGCTGGTTGCAGTACCTTTCTCAAATCTCTCTGCGGAGAGCTTCACGGACTGACTTTGGATGACGAGAGCGTCGTTCATTATAATGGTAAGCTTCCTCAGCTTTATTCTTCTCGTCTATAGCTAACACCATTGAAAGGCGTCCCACAAAAACAAATGATGAAGGAATTCAAGGGAGAAGTCGTGTACAACCAAGAGGTATGACAACCCAAGCTTTAATTTTCGAGGCGCCAACCCGATACTGACTGACATGTCGCACAATGCAGGTCGACAAGCACTTTCCTCACTTGACTGTCGGACAAACCCTCGAGTTCGCTGCAGCCACACGTACCCCGGCCCGCCGTCTTGGAGGCATGTCCCGCGACGAATTCGCCAAGCACGTTACCCAAGTTGTGATGTCCATTTTCGGGCTCTCACACACATACAACACCAAAGTCGGAAACGATTTCGTTCGCGGAGTGTCAGGAGGAGAGCGCAAGCGTGTCAGTATTGCCGAAATGGCACTTGCTGCTGCACCCTTGGCGGCCTGGGATAACTCCACTCGTGGACTGGACTCGGCCACCGCGCTCAAGTTTGTCGAATCTCTCCGGTTGTTTGCGGATCTCACTGGATCGGCCCACGCGGTGGCAATCTACCAAGCGAGTCAGAGTATCTACAATCTGTTCGACAAGGTTATGGTTCTCTATGAAGGACGCCAGATCTATATAGGACCCGCCAATGAAGCCAAGGCTTTCTTTGAGCGACAGGGTTGGGAGTGTCCGTCTCGACAAACGACTGGTGACTTCTTGACGTCTGTCACCAACCCGTCAGAGCGTCGCGTGCGCCCTGGCATGGAGAACCAAGCCCCGCGGACGCCGGAGGATTTCGAAGCCTACTGGAAAGCGTCTCCCGAATACCAGAACATGCAAATGGATGTCGTCTCTTACGAGAAGAAATATCCATTGGCCAAGGAAGGTGCGACAGACTCGGATTTCAGCCAGCGCAAGCAGTTGATTCAAGCAAAGCACACCCGACCTGCCTCGCCCTATCTCATCAGCGTGCCCATGCAAGTCAAGCTCAACACCAAACGGGCGTATCAGCGAATTTGGAACGACATATCCTCAACCGCGTCAATTGTGATAAGTCAGATGATCATGGCCTTGATCATCGGTTCGGTTTTCTACGGTACTCCAGATGCGTCGGCCGGTTTCCAGGCCAAGGGTGCTACTCTTTTCTTTGCGGTTTTACTCAATGCTCTCATGGCCATGTCGGAAATCAACAGTCTTTACGCGCAGCGGGCAATTGTCGAAAAACACGCCTCATACGCCTTCTACCATCCTTTTACGGAAGCGGTCGCTGGTGTTGTCAGTGATATACCGATCAAGTTTGTGATTGCCGTGGCCTTCAACATCATCATGTACTTCTTGTCGAATCTTCGGAGGGAAGCAGCACAATTCTTCCTGTACTTCCTGATTACCTTCATCGTCATGTTTGTGATGAGTGCGGTCTTCCGAACACTGGCAGCGATCACGAAGACGGTCTCCCAAGCTATGAGTCTGGCAGGTATTCTTATCCTCGCACTCGTTGTTTACACTGGTTTTGTCTTGCCTGAACCTTCCATGCATCCTTGGCTTGGATGGATTCACTACATCAATCCTATCTATTACGCCTTCGAAATCCTCATTGCGAACGAATTTCACGGTCGGAACTTTACTTGTTCGGAATTTGTCCCCAACTATCCGACATTGTCCGGAAACTCGTTCGTTTGCTCGATCTCAGGTGCTAAAGCAGGACAGCGCACGGTTAACGGTGACGAATACATCGCGGTCAACTGGGAGTACAGTTACAGTCACGTGTGGCGCAACTTCGGTATCTTGATCGCCTTCCTCATCGGATTCATGTTCATTTACTTCGTCGCTACGGAATTGAACTCGTCGACAACTAGCACCGCTGAAGCACTTGTCTTCCGTCGGGGTCGCGAGCCTGACTACCTTCGCTCGAACCAGGAGGGATCTTCGGATCCTGAGAAGGGGGCAGCGCCTGTTGCCACGAGACAGCCGACCAGGACCGATGAAGGCGAACTCGGAAAGATCCAGGCTCATACCGATATTTTTACCTGGCGCGATGTGAGCTACGATATTTCGATCAAGGGAGAGCCTAGACGACTTCTGGACCATGTCAACGGTTGGGTCAAGCCGGGTACGCTTACAGCCCTTATGGGTGTCAGTGGTGCTGGTAAGACAACTTTACTCGACGTTTTGGCGCATCGTACCTCAATGGGTGTCATCACTGGTGACATGCTTGTCAACGGTCGGGAACTTGATCAGAGTTTCCAACGGAAGACTGGTTACGTTCAGCAACAGGATTTGCATCTTGACACTGCCACTGTGCGAGAGTCGCTTCGGTTCAGTGCTTGTTTACGGCAGCCTCCGACCGTGTCCATTCAAGAGAAGTATGACTACGTGGAGGAGGTTATCCGGATGTTGAACATGAGTGACTTTGCGGAAGCTGTCGTCGGTGTTCCTGGCGAAGGTTTGAATGTTGAGCAGCGGAAGCTGTTGACCATTGGTGTCGAACTTGCCGCTAAGCCTAAGCTTCTTCTCTTCTTGGACGAACCGACTAGGTAAACATACTCCTTTCTTTCTATGTTTATCCAACATCACATACTAACAACGCTCAGTGGTCTCGATTCTCAATCCTCCTGGGCTATTTGCGCGTTCCTGCGGAAGCTGGCAGACAACGGTCAAGCAGTTCTCTGCACAATCCACCAGCCCAGCGCCATCCTCTTCCAGCAATTCGATCGACTCCTCTTCCTCGCTCGCGGTGGTAAAACGGTCTACTTTGGCGAAATTGGCGAAGACTGCCGCACCCTCCTGGACTACTTCGAGAGCAACGGCGCCCGAACGTGTGAATCCGACGAGAACCCAGCAGAATTCATGCTCGATATCGTGAACGCCGGCCAAAACACACAAGGAGAAAACTGGTTCGACGTCTGGAAACGGAGTCAGGAAGCCCGAGGAGTTGAAGCGGAAATCGAGCGTATCCATGAGGAGCAGAAGAACAAGGCACCTGTCGGTGAGGATGATCATGCGGCTAGAAGTCATGAAGAGTTTGCTATGCCGTTCTGGTACCAGTTGTATCTGGTTACCTACCGTGTTTTCCAGCAGTACTGGCGTATGCCGTCGTACATTATGTCGAAGTGGGCGCTTGCAATCATGTCTGGACTGTTTATCGGTTTCTCCTTCTTCCAGGCGAAAACGTCGCTACAGGGCTTGCAAACGATTGTCTACTCCGTCTTCATGATTTGCACGATCTTCTCGTCTTTGGTTCAACAGGTTTGTCTATCCTGCCTTTCACTTTTACAATGACAAGCTAACAACACCAGGTCATGCCCCTCTTCGTAACCCAACGATCCCTCTACGAAGTCCGCGAACGCCCCAGCAAAACCTACTCCTGGAAAGCCTTCCTCATCGCCAACATCGTCGTCGAAATCCCCTACCAGATCATTATGGGCATCCTCGTTTGGGCCTGCTACTACTACGCCATCGTCGGAATCCAGACCTCCGCCCAACAAGGCCTCGTCCTCCTCCTCTGCATCCAGTTCTTCATCTACGCCTCTACCTTTGCACACATGGCCATTGCCGCCATCCCTGACACTGAAACCGCCAGTGCAATCGTCACCCTGATCTTCGCCATGTCGCTTACCTTTTGTGGTGTCATGCAGACTCCCACGGCGCTCCCTGGTTTCTGGATCTTCATGTACCGCGTCTCCCCGTTCACGTACTGGATCAGCGCTATTGCCTCGACACAAGTCCATGGGAAAGTAGTCGAATGCTCCGCGGCTGAAGTCTCCCTCTTCGACCCTCCATCCGGCCAGACCTGCAAACAATACCTCGCTGAGTACATGAGTTACGCCCCGGGAACATTGCAAAACCCCAACGCAACAGCGGACTGCAGATACTGCTCCGTGAGTGTCGCAGACCAATTCCTTGCCGGATCAAACATTTACTACAGCGAGCGCTGGAGGAACTTCGGCCTTGTGTGGGCGTACATCGCGTTTAACATCTTTGCAGCTACGATGCTGTACTACCTGTTCCGGGTAAAGCGGTGGAACATGAGTGGTTTGAAGGAGAAGTTCTCGAAGAAGAAATAGAGTGATTGCTTGAGTGGTTTACTTGCTTGGGTGGTTGAGTGTTTTGCACAGCGTTGAAGTTTTGAGACGTTTATACCAATACCCGTACATAGATGTGTTTTTTTTTTTTTTTTTTTTTTTTTTTTTTTTTTTTTTTTATAGTATTCTTGTTGCTTGTTTTTTTGCTTTTTATTTCGCTTCTTTATACATCTTTTAGCCTATTTTTTTGAGATCTTTTAATTCATACATGCCAAGTATACTTCATTTTCGCAGAAGCTTTGGACTTTCCCTGTCGTTTTCAGTCTGACATAGCACACACACAAAAACAACTCCCCAGTGGCGACCCTCCCTACCTTCTGAGAGGGTTCCCGTACTGCGGAAAACTCGAATCTTGTATTTAACTCCGCTCTGAATCGATTTATAATACTTTCAACGTTGTATTCCCCATTTTTCGCCGACAATGGGGGGTTGCAAAGAAGAAAGGAGTGGTCGGAGCCGCATCTCACGATCAACGCGCCCACGCAGCTGCCATCCTCTTAGAAACAGTAGAGCTGAAGCAGATTGTTGACAGGGCCCAGGGGATGCCCCCCCCCCAGGGATTTATTCATCCAATTCATGAGTTTAGTTGAAAACCTCGCAGCAAAGGTGCGTGACCGCGCTGGCAGCGGTAGTAATGAAGGCCATATTGGCCAGAACAAGGCTCTCCAACAGATCCAAGACATGTTCAATAAGCAGGCAGAGGAGATCAAGGCTTTTCAGCACTCAATGCAGCTCTCTAAAGTAACCAACAGCCCCCCCCCCCCCCCCCCCCCCCCCCCCCCCCCCCCCCCCCCCCCCCCCCCCCCCCCCCCCCCCCGGCGTCCCGTCCCTCTGGCCACGCCAGATCATACCGGGATGCAGCTCTGGCAAGTCACCTGACATCAATAGAGCCATCCAAGGTTGCTGGCTGGATGTGGAGCGCTACCAACGGCTCTGTTGGCACAAACGGGGCGCTGAGAACTTCCCCAAAAAGGTACCAAGGTGACCTATTCAACCGAATTAGTCATTAAGTATTCATGTCAACACTTACTCCCACCCAGAATACCCCCAAGAGCTAAAGAGACTATGCAATGATGTCAACCGCACACGGCGCTGGGCTGCCCCCGGTCAAGGGGAAGATATTGAGGCATTCCGCCAGGCTAAGCATACACTAAGCCGGGCAACCGCCAAAATAGGCCGTTGTAGCTACCGCACCCGCGTGGAGGATGCAACTGAGTCAGTGGAGGGTTTCTGGAAGCTGGCCCACTGGGCACGCCGCCAGGGAGCCGTCCAACCAACATACACACCAATTCTCCAAGTAGGGGACCAAACATATGACACCCCAGAAAGGAAGGTATAGGCGCTACAGGAGACCCTGCTCCCCCTGCCCCCTGAAGCCGATCTATCAGACATCTCAGGCCACAGATACCCTGAACCAATACAGATGCCTGCCATGGCAGAGGAGGAAGTCCACAGGGCCATCCTACGGGCAGCGCCAAATAAGGTCCCTGGCCCTGATGGCATACCAAAAATAGCATTACACCATGCCCTAGCCCTCCCAGCCTTCCTAACCTATCTCACTGACCTATTTAACGCTTGCCTGCAGCTAGGATACTGCCCAAAGCACTTCCAAAGTCAACCACAGTGGTGCTGCGGAAGCCTAGCAAACCTGACTACACAACCCCTAAAGCATACAGGCCAATAGCTTTGTTCAGCACAGTGGGTAAGGCGCTGGAAGCAGCCATCGCGACTCGTTTAAACTACCTGGTGGAATCCCACAACCTCCTGCTGCAGAACCACGTTGGTGGCTGCCAGGGATGGTCATGTGAACATGCTATTCACCTTCTATTGGGGCGAATTCATGCCTCCTGGCGTGCTGGGGCATCAGTGACCACACTGCTTACCTTAGATGTCAGCGGAGCCTTTGATAACACAGCACATGAACGGCTGATCCATAACCTCTGGAAGCGTCAGGTTCCGCTAGGTATTGTAAACTGGATAGCGAGCTTTCTCCACCACCGTACCACAGAGATTGTGCTAATGGAAGGTGCAATGGGCCAAATCAACCCCAATACTGGCATACCCCAGGGCCCACCTCTCTTTCCAATTCTCTATTTGTTCTATAACGCAGACTTGATTGATCGAATACATGCTGCATACCCCGGACGAGTCATGGTCACAGGATATATTGATGACATCTGTATACTGGTCTGGAGCCGGTCTGCTACAACCAACTGCCAATGCTTAGAATGGATACAATGAATAGCTGAACAATGGGAGGCCCAACATACCTCACAATTCGCCCCTGCCAAATATGGCCTAATACACTTCTGGCGGAACCTCTGAGGGGTTCCAAAACCAGATGACTCAACTGAGGTCCTAGTCAGGGTGCAAGGGGTGGAGATCAAGCCAGTGCCAGTCCTCCATTACCTCAGCATCCAGCTAGACCAGCACCTCACTGGCATCAAGCAGATTGAGCACTGCCAGGTTAAGGCTGCGGAGATGACTGCAGCTCTCTACTCTATAGCAGGCTCAAGTGCTCAACTTGGGGTATCACCTTGGCACACCTCCGCTGAATGTATACAGCTGTCCTCTAGCCACAGATCACCTTTGCCAACTCCACCTGGTTCATACAGGCCGGATGGGGCTTCAAGGCAGCAGAAACCGCGGCAAGGAAGACACTAGAGTCTATCCAATATCAGGCATTGTACCGAATCGCCGGCGCCTTCAGGACGACCTCCCAGGCCGCCCTGGAGATCTGCCTCAACATCCCTCCCCCTATAATTGCAATGGAACAAACCGCTAAGGAGTCATACCTGCGAGTGGCCACCTCACCCCTTATAACAACCCTTGAGGAGATACGCCAATCTGGTCAGCGGCGAGCGCCAAGGAATGCGCGGGAACGGCGTATGCGGTGGACAGCCGGTCCAGATCATGACCCTGTGACGGCTCAACGACCAGGCAAACAGTGTCAACATGCCAAAAGATGCCATACAAGCAATATGGACAAACAAGGGCTCAAGCCGCATCGCACAAAGGCTTATATAGAGACTGCACTCGCCAGATAGATTTCCTCTCCTTTTTCCTTCCCAGATTCGATATTCTCGTTGATGGCTACAATAGTCAAGATAGGAATTCAGTTCGTTATTATCTTCTATTCCGAGCCCGTGACAGACCCCCTGACATCACCGCTGGAGTGCTGGGGACGGCGGGTTTTGGCTGCAGGTAGGTTAGAAGCCATATACCCGTATGTGATTCCCTCATGGCAGTCAGATTTGAAGCCCTGTATGGCAGAAACCCAGGAGGCCGCCCTGGCAGCTCACCAAGCCACACTACGCGACGGTGCCACTGTCATTGCCTATACAGATAGCAGCCTGACGGAACAAGGGGTTGGCGCGGTAGTGGTGTCAACACTGAGGCGCCAGGCAGCCCGCATAGGCTCCTTAACCACCCATACAGTATATGCGGCGGAACTGCGGGGTATAGAAATGGCGCTCGCCCAGATACATGGGTCAATGGACCCGGTGACCCGGCGCCCTGGCCACGCACACACAGGAACTATTTTCAGACAACCAGGCAGCGTCAGCGATACGGGCATGCGCGGCCCCTGGAAGGTCCTCTGGTCAGTATATCCTACGCCAGATCTCCCAGCTAGCTGCTCAACTACGGGGATGTGGGTGGAGCATACGACTGCAGTGGCTTCCTGGCCATGAGGGTGTCTGGCAATGAACGCGCTGATACTCTCGCTAAGGGCGCCGCTGGCTCCCCGGCCCCTGACAGCACAGAGGAGCCAGTCCTCATGGCCAGCACCCGGCTAGTTCTTCGTACGGGGGCGATTGAGGCCTGGAGGGCCGAATGGGCTACTAATGCCCATGGGAAAGCTCCCTCCGCCGACTGTGGAGGGAGCCCTCAAAGGCACTAATGCTGCTATATCAGGGTCTGCGAAGGGCTGCAACGTCAGTTCTCATTCAGATGCAAATTGGGAAAATCGCGTTAGCCAGCTATCTCGGCACCTTTGGCACTATGGAGTCAACTGACTGCTCCTGCGGCCGTGGCCGACAGGATGTACGGCATATTCTCCTCTATTGTACGAACCAAGCTGGCCCCCGAGCACGCCACCTGACCCAGGGCTGACAGACGCGAGTATGAATAATAATAATAATAATAATAATAATAGCACACACACACTACTCCTTGACCATCAAATAGTCCGCACTGTACCACTCGAGCCGGCCTGCTGCGCTCAAGCTGAACCCGAAGAGGCATTTTCCTCGCATGCACAGACACGTCATATAACGCAAAATGAACTAAAGATTTGCAAATCTAAGCGTCCTCTGCTTCACAGCTATCGTCTACTAGACTTAGATATGCCGGTCTATAAGACGAGCATACGAACCTTGTACATGGCATAGATGACATCCAAGCGTAATTAGCTGAGAAGTCTGCTTTGGATCAGTATATGGTGAATACGCAGAGTTGTGATGGATGTGTAGCTGAGCATGAGCAATCCATAGTGACAGTGACAGTAACAAATGATCTATTGATTGTATCATAGCTCCTCAATATACATAATATACCTCCTAACAACATACAGGAATCGAAATTCCTACTTCCTCGCGCGAGACCGTTCCAATGCACCTTCGCGCCATTCCCACAATCCAATCAACGTAGCAGCCGGTCCAAAACAGGCACTTCCCAAGAGGACGGCAAGAACGGCAAGGAAAAGAGGGGTCTGAAGGACGTTCGTGCGGCGCAAGTCCCAGATCGTAAAGATGCACCAGATCAGAATTGCGGCGATGAGACATCCCAATTGCACACCTTCGGATGAGAGGACCATTTCTTTCAGGACTCCGGCATCCGAGATGTGTGGGAATACCCGACTAGCGATGACGATATGAAACGTGCTCGTAGCAAAAATCCCCAAGTTATAAAACCGGCATAAATAAGGCATATCTCTCGTCCCATACAACGCCTCCGCAAAATTAGAACTAGGCGGCTCCCTCGTCGACATCCTCTGTCCAAGCGAGACCAAAATCGGTAGACCGAGTTGAACAAGCGAAAGGATCCACCCTCGTATTTCAATCGGTGCTGTATTCTGGAGCACCAAGAGTGCAAGCACAATGTACGTGATCAATAGCCCCGTGGGAAGGAACTCGGCAGCTCGGAGGTCAATCGCTCGCGGATTAGGATAGTAGAAGGGTCGGGATTGGCTGAGGTGGATGTAAATGGCGAAGTAAATTGGTGTGATTAGGTGCCAGCCGAAGGCTGTGGAGGCGAGGATGTAGGGGATGGGGCTGGGGTTGTTAGTGTTTGATGGTGATGGTATGGTATGGATGGTGGGATACGTACCTGCATAGGTATTCTCCTGCGAGTCCTGGACGGTGGGATTCAATTGTCCATAGTGCATTGATGCCCATCGCGGTGACAAGCGTGTAATCCAAGAGAGAATCACGGAGGACAGTCGCAGTCCCCATGCTGACAGACTGTCCAAGGACGATCGACACCCCAGCGACAAGAAGAACGAGAATAATCCAAAACGCCGTCGCGACAGACGACCGGTCCCTCGGCCTCGCAACCACCTCAACATCCCGAGCCACGACTCCCTCCCGCGACGGCTTCGGTAGATACTTCAAAGTATGTCCCGGACAATGTGTTGCGGCCATTACAGCAGCCAACTGATCAACTTCTGTTTTAGCTATTACCTTTTTCTGTAGGAACTCCAGAAATGGGTTCTCGAGGGCCTCGAGACGTTGCAGCGCATGCGCACCGTCTACCAGTATTTTGGTGCGGGGCTTGCGCTCCTCTTGAAAGTAGGCGAGTTTTGCGTGGATCGTCTCGTTTGCTGGACGCGGGCTGTTGTCCAGGGCTTCTTTTAGCAGGTCTCCAAGTAGTGCTGCGTCTTCGATGGCTGAGTTTCCTCCTTGGCCGGTGAGAGGGTTCATCTAGACTCATTAGCTGCTGCTGCTATAACTCAGAACAGTAACCTTACCTTATGAAAAGAATCGCCAATCAAAACAACACGCCTATAAAAGCACTTCTCCAACACATACTCCTGCAATGGGACAAGAACCGCAGCCCGATGTTTCCGATAAAGATCCCCGAAAGTAAGACCCGGGAAGAGAGCATCATCCCTCTGCACATCCACCAAAGCTTTTTCATCCTCAGCGGTATACCGGAGGATATCCTTGTCGATAGTAACTTCAGGGTTCTTGGAGAACGCGAAAAAGTACAATTTCCCACCACGACCGGCTTGATAGAGATAAGAGCGGTTTTTGTGGTAGGTTTTGTATCCGCGGCCATCAGGAACACCTTCGGGACGGTCTGAGATGCCGAACATACATTTGTACGAGCAGGTCATTGCTGGATTGAGTCAATAGGCATCGTGGGATAAGTGTTGATTGTGCAACCCACATTTTGCCATCTGCTGCGTTCCGTAGTCTGGGACCTCTGAGTCTGCGATCCTCCACATTTCTTTTCTTGTTTGGCTGTGGACTCCATCTGCGCCGACGAGGATGTCTCCGGCGAAGGTGGTGCCGTCTTCAGCAGTGACTGTTACCCCGGTATCCAGGTGGTCGATGTTCAAGAGCCCCTTGGAGACGTGGACCTTTGACTTGTCCTGGAGATTGTCATACAAGGCTTGAACAAGCTCCCGACGATCCAGAAAGTTGAATTGGTATCCGGTTCTATAGTCAAGGTCAGTTCCGCTACATATAGTTGCAGGTAGATAAGACGCAATCACTCACAGTTTCAAAAGCATCTCCCCAAACGTATCATGACCACCAAGCTTCACCCCATCCGAATCATAATAGTGCATCGATTCCACCCTCTCGCACATAGCTTGAACCGCCTCATTAACACCCAATTGATCAAGAACCTGGCTCCCATACGGCAAAAGACCAAGACTCGCCCCCAACTGAGGCGCAATGCATCGATACTTCTCAAGCAAAACATACTCAATACCATATCTCTCGAGTATATTTGCCAGCGTCAAACCCGCAACACTCCCCCCGATAATGATAATCTTGAAAGACATGGTGAACGGATCTTGATGCAATTCTGCGTATGCACTGTCACCATCCGCGGACGTAGCTGGGTTTATATATATCCAGGCTTCAGCAGCTGGTTCCACAATGCGATTATTATCCCGAGTGTCCCACACATGCTTGACTGTGAGATTATAAATTATTGATGACACTGCCCCGTGTATATGCCGGTTATGCTGCTTGCGAGCCCCCTGGAGAGCTTTCTTTGTCTTCTTTGTTGGCTGTGCCCTAGGACATACTCGATTAGTCATCGGGGAAAGTTGGGCGGAAAGGAGAATATCTGATCCGTGGACCGGGTGCCGGGGGTGAAAACTGCCCGATTCGCCGATTCGCCGATTCGCCGAGCAAGAATGTCATTGATATAGGTCTATCGACAGGTGGTTTATCGCGACCGATGTATAATTGCCAATAAGACTGTTGAGGCGTATTGAATGGTGCCATTTTCCCCACCAAACTGGATTGGTTGAGGATGAGGGAAATAAGCGTGTTGATGACGGAGGACAGTAAGTCGCCGACAGTAGTTGTTGGACAGACACTACGTGAAACCAGCAACACCTACGACATGTGAGGCTTTATGGTATCATTCTAACTGCTCATATTTTCGCATTGAGCCTCCATGGCCGAAGACTGAAGCGAAGAGAGCAATAGGTTCTAGGATCTAATATTACAGAGAAATGCCGCTGGGGTCAGTGAATACAGAGGGATGTCCTGGAGCTCCTCATCACAGTTCAGGGTATAGGGACGAGCTGCTACGCCATCCCTAGAAGGACCGAGGGAGGAGGCGGTGATATCCTGCCTTCTTACAGCATACGTTTGTCGCTATCTTTGCGGTCACAATCACGCCAATGCTGTATGACCAGGTGACGATTATCCTCGTAGACACCGAGGCGGACGAAGGATGAAAACTCCATCGCTGTCGCCGTGTTCTATAATGCCAGTCAATGTTTGTCCGTGTCGAACCATGTCAATAAAGTCACCTGGACCGTCTACAACCCTGTAACGTGCTCGCAAACAAGCATGGATATGACTCAAGGAGAGCGGGGAAGCAACATGCGAGGATGGAATGGGGGAGAGCCTCGCTGCGGTAATTTATACTACCCATTATATGGAGTCTGACGCCAGGAATGCTGTGGTCTCTCGATGAGTATAACACACCACCTCGGAAAACGCCTGTTGCTACCAACATCATCGCGAGACCCCGGAGACAAAATATGTTTACTAGATCAGAAGCCCTCTATCCCAGAAGGGAGTCCATTCCGAATTGAACTGGATGATGACATTGATATCACGAGGGATATATGTTGAGCCTATTGTTGAAACCCAATTTCTTTAGATATCCAGGGTTGATGAGTCTTGGTCTGTATAGAGAGACCAGGGTTGACTTGAAGTTAAACCAAGCCGCCCAACATCGGCTAGATATTAGAAAGATGTGTTTGCTAGATCAACCCTCTGTGCCGTAGTCACGAGTCCATTTGGAATTGAATTCGATGACGACATTGATCAAGGCGGATCCATGTTGCTACCTCTTGGTGGCCATGGCGTCTATGATAGAACACTGTGGATGACCTTGTATACGGACAGGATTGAAGAGGGGTGTTAAGCTAGCAAATGTCTGGTGCGGTGTTGTCGACAATGAATGAACCCTGAAAGGTCTCGTGAAGAGGGCTCGTCCATCCTGTATCGTGAGGGGGATTGATTTAACAAACATGTCTTTCTCCAACGTCTCGAACATTTTGGGGGGTTGGTGGCCTGGTCGAATTTGAAACGGACCCGGAAGGCGTGCTATACGGAATAACACCCATCCATCACGAGGGGCCTCGAGTTAGCAAACATGGCTTCCAACGGTGCCTAGCTGCGGTGTTGGTAGGGATAACCAAGGCCCATTCGAACTCAAGCCAAGCCACGCTTCTATCCAACGGTCATTAATACAGACCGCAACCTCGAAACCATCTCCAATTCCTACGTCATTCTTAGCCATGACCCCAAACCAGGTACAACAGCGCCAAACCCCAACCCACATAGATAAAGATAGCAACCAATACCTCGAAGGTTCTTCCCCGCGTCTTCGAAAACCATCCACTGCATTAGCCCAGTCGGTAGGTTCCGGGCAACAAGTCATGTCCCTGGCGTGGCTTGAGCTTGATAGGCTGTTGTTTATCGATGTCAATTGCCATGTGGTGCCCGTTAGCGCCGGGAGTTGATCTGAGACGGAACTGGAGTCCTCGAGGCTGGAAATCGAGGATTCGGCGGTTGTGTTCTATTTGGGGTGTTGGCGGCTGTTTGGATACTTTGTTAGAAGGGCATGGTGTTGAGGGAGGATCACGGCCAATGGATGCTTTCCAAACCCTGCAGGTAAAGTTGCTAATTATGGACAATTGCGAGAGTTTAAGTCTATTAATGGAACAAAATTAGCGACGGAATGGACGGAACTTAGTGCAGTCAGTCAAGTCAGTCGACATTCGTATCGTATCGCATCTCATCCCGGTTAATATTCGAGTATCTACTCCGTACTCTAGCACATGTAGAAACTGCAAGGAACGATATTTGTCACTGTGATTCAACCCCCCCTTTTTTTTTTTATAGACATCGTAAATGACTCGCACGATGTACTCCGTACCTGATTACAGAGTACTTTACCCGTATTCTCCCCGGTGTAAAAATATTTTCAGTGTAGCAGAATCATGTACGACCATGCTCGAGTCAGCAAGGTACGGTGCAACATTATGCGGTGAGACTGGGAAGTAAATTTTGCAACTGACTAATTCGTCGTATTCTGACAGATAACCGGGGAAAAAAATTGAGAGGTTGAGAGACGCTAAAATGGACTGTGCTGGAGGTGCAGATTGTAGTGATGGGGGGTTTAGGGCCGTGATTGGTGGGTGGGGATGTGATAGCTGCGGGATTGTGATGTGATGGCCGGGTCAGAGATTCAGAGATTTGGTGGGATTTTCTACAATTAATTGTTCGGCTATGTTGATATTTGTCCATATGCTGGTATTTTGTTGAGTATTGTTGAGTATTGTTAAGTTTATATATTGACAAACTAGTATTGATATAGTATGAACATTGAAGACAGACGGTACTCTAGACAATGTACTTTCACAGTGTAGAGTGACAGAAAGTGATGTGACTCGAGTGCATAATATGCAAGCTAATGCAATGCACCGCAGGGTCTAATCGCATTAATTAACCGCCGATAAGAATAGTAATTCCCATTTTAGGGCCACAATGTTCCATAATTATCCTGTTTGGGCGGTTAAGTGCCTAATAACCTAACCAGATAAGGTTAGTGCACGGCCCGTCTGCATGACAGATTGAGAGACTGAACCAATCAGGGTGTAGGAATGGAAGCTTGGCGTGTCTCTTATCACAATCACATTCAGTGCTAGTGTGGTGTGTGCTTTGTTGAGTCGGTCAACAAGTGCGGGTGAAGATACTCGGAGCTACAGTGTGTGTATGGTGCTGAGAGTACAGAGTAGAGTGTATGGATGTATGAATGTATGATATCGAGAGAATCAACAGTAGTAAAGAATACTACATGTTTGCCAGTCCATGTGACAAAATCCCGCAATTGACGACAATTAATGCAGCTAAAGATAGCAAATTAACCCTCGGACTGTGATTGGCAGCACCCATGTCGATCGGCCAGGATCATCCTCACCCCGCGCGCTTGTATACAGACCAGCCTGAGAAATGAACACCACCGCAATTCTCCGATCCTCCAAAATAGAAACACTCACCATGTTGCTTTTAAAGCTTGTGTCCCCGGCTGGTCCATTCTCTTCTCTCCATTCTCAACTCACTATACACCCAACTTCATCCATTGCTCACTGCTTATTGCTTTGCTGCTGGTCAGCTAATTCGTTATTCTCTGTACTCTTAGCGACTCACTCCCATACACAATGCCTGCCACAAAAAAGAAGTCGACTCCCAAGCCGAGAGTCACCAAGAAGATTGAATCGGAATCCCCTCCGCCAAAGATTCCCTCTACTCCCATGGAGAGAACCGAAAGACAAAACAGGTTGCACAAAAGATCGCGTTCTGGTAAGTCAGAAAACAATTGTGTCTGCTCAAAGGCGCGGTGCTGACCTACAGGCTGCTTCACATGTCGTCTGCGCCGGAAGAAATGCGATGAGAAACATCCCTCCTGCAGTGCCTGCAACAACCTCCGCGTCCAATGCGAATACAAGCGCCCGATTTGGTGGGGGAATCCTGAGCACCGGAGACGCCAAAAGGAGGAGATCAAGAACAAGATCAAGCAGACAAAGATGAGCGAGCGGAATGCTAGTGTGACAGGTAGCTCTTTGCTCTGGGTCGCTTTGTGGGAGCTCAAGCTAATGACAAGCATCTATAGATCCGCTTATTCGTCGCAACCTAGTCGCTTCGCCTGTCACTCCCCCGGAATACGAGTTTAGCTATCCTATCATGTCGGAACAATACGACCTCTTTGGCCCCTCGCAGATGCCTGTCGCTACGATGGACCCTGTCGCATATGGTCCCTACGGCCCCTACGAGATTGATGTCAAGACGGAGCGACAAACATACATCAACGACGTCCCATTGCGCCACGACTCGTCGATATCCACATTCAGCTCATTTGCTCCTCCTCAGATTGATGCGCCACTTCCGACATTCCCTGGGGATGAATGGATCGAGGATGATTGCTTTACTCAAATCCCAACCCTTGAGGGTATCGACCCGGCTTTGTGCGACACGGACACGGCTGGGAGCTACACAACCATGCAGAGTAACATTCCCGTGAGCGACCAGGACCGACCGCTTTTGGACCACTTTATCCACAATGTTCTACGTTTGATCTTCCCTGTCCTCGAGGCGCATCAGCAGGGACACCCTCGCGCGCAGACCATCCTCCGTGCCCTAGAGACAAACAAGTGCTACCTTCACTGCTGTCTCAGTGTAGCTGCCATCCATCTCAAGACCACAGTAGGAATTACTGGAGAGCAGATCGACCACGAAATTATGCGCCACCGCTACGAAGCCGTCTCCCAACTCTGCCAGGCCCTAGGCCAAGACGTCGACCACGAGGAAATCCTCGACGCAACTCTCGCCATGATCTTCTTCCACTGCTCCGTCGGACCCGCAGACGACTACCTCCCTGACATCCCCTGGTCCGATCACTTCCAAGCAGCCTCGAACCTGGTCAACCGTCTCGGTCTGCCAACAGAGATGCTCAGCGCCGGCAGCCCCTACATGCCCTCTCCCCCATTCAGCATGACTCTCGCTGCGTGGATCGACATCCTCGGCTCGACCATGCAAGGAACAACCCCCCAATTCGCCCACACCTACCGCTCCAAGCACCTCAGCGGCTCTTCCTCCGGCCTCCGCGAGCTCATGGGCTGCGACGACCGCGTCATGTACCTGATCTCCGAAATCGCTTGTCTCGACGCCCTCAAAGCCTCCGGCCGCATCGACTCCATGGCTGTCTGCTCGCACGTCTCCGCGCTCGGCCAACAGCTCGAATTCACCGAACCTGCTGATCAAAACCTCGAGCCCCTTTACTCCCCGACCACGGGCGCCATCCGCCCAGACGTCCTGACAAAGAACATGACCCGCCTCTTCCGCATCGCCGCCCGCATCTACCTCTGCAGTCTCGTCCCAGGCTTCGACCGCAACCAGCCCAGCACCGTCAACTTGGTCTCCGCATTTATCGATGCACTAAACTACATCCCCACGGGACCAACCGGCTACGACCGCTCGCTCGTCTGGCCTTTGCTTATTACCGGCTCGTTCTCGTCGCAGGGAAGCGAATTCCGCACCATTCTCGCGCAGCGCGCAGCTTCGTTGGGCGAGCACGCAGAACTCGGCAGCTTCGGTCGCATGTACCGTCTACTGCAGGAGGTCTGGCGCCAAGCAGACGAACTCGAGGACCCAGTCTACATGCCCGAGGAGATGTACTCGAATCTGTCTGAGGGCTCTGGTTCGGGCTCTGCGAGCCCCGTGGCGAAACTGGAGCGTTCTGTCTCGCCGGAGCACGCGCCTTTGATGGCTGTACCAAAGCAGACAGTTAGCTTCAGGGATGTTATGCAGCGGAATGGATGGCAATACTTGCTCATTTAAACCACCAATTATGGCATGTGGCATGTGGCATGGGTTAATTCGGACGGAGTTCACGGTACCGGCGTTGGAAAAGCGATTCTACATTTTCATTTTCCTTTGGTCTCTGCTTATGCATGAGCATAGCATTTTATCTTTTTACTTTTACTTTTCTGCAGGACAGGAAAGACAATTCGCGCATACCCATTTTGTTATACTTGCGGAGGAGTCATGGTGTTTGATGTGATGTTTTGATTACGATGATGATTTTATCTTGTTCGATGGCTTTTGATAACCCATATGCATGTTCTAGTTTATGATTGTTAGGTAGAGGTAGAGGTAGAGGTAGAGGTAGAGGTAGAAGTAGTGGAAGTGGAATGGATATTGATTCCGTCTAGTTCTTTTTGGTTGGTTTGCAACCGTACTACGATAAAAGTATCAACATCGGCAAGCATTATCCCGTTGAAAGTAACAAAGCAAATTAAACACTCTAGTGGTCCGTATACGTACATAGGAGTAGATCTTCATTTCAAGGTCCGGTTTAGTAGAGCTATTCAGGCTCTCCTATGTTCCCTCCCCCCCGTGATAATCGTTGATTATCCACAGTATTAAATGTTCTCAACATAGCTTGATATCACATCACATCACATCCCTTATAGCTCCGTCAGTTGATTTCAATTCCAGCAGACCCCATCAACCGTCTGGTTCTTATCTGATTCTCGGTATGAATAAATCGCGCGATAACCAACGAGTCTAAATCACTCGGATCTGAGGAGGTTATCATCCTAGTTTCCATCGACACTGGTCTTGAAAAAACAAAAATCAAAACAAATAATACAAGCAGGCGCATTTACCCTGTGCAGACCAAGTTGGACAGACAAAAAAGCTGTCATTTTGATTAGTTTTTTGGGATAACCGTTTAAACTCCAAGTGGCCCAGAATCCACTTGACATCGGTTCACGGAGACCAAGTCCCACTTTCCTGCATAGTATACCGTAAAAGGTATAGCAGGAAACAAGCAACCATGATGGCAAAGACGTAACCAGATGAATTGATCATTTGGCTCACCAAAGAGCTTTCCGAGTAGTGCTGTCTATTCAGGTCCATTTGTGATGACCCAGGGTACCGGAAAGATAATGGTAAAGTGCGTATCGTTTCCACTTGTCGGTAGAAGAACATCAACGCTGGGGATGGCCCGGTCACCCATACTGGGTGAAAGTTATACGCCTGGAGACCAGGGCTGTGAGATGCGCCTCGCATGGGTGTTCGTATCACTGTGCGTCAAGTTGCAATATCGGACAGTTCATAACGAGAGTCTAATAAAGTGCAGTACCAGTCGATGTACTATTTATGCATTGGACACAAACTTCTATACATAACGCGGGAGCGGATTATTTTTCGGCTTGCATGTGTAGCTCTGCGGATGCACGTTCGAAACCCATCGAACTAGAACTGATGGCTTTCAGACTCCCGAGGTATGCGCTGTTTGCTAAAGTTATGTTAGCTTCATTGAGTATAGATACATATGGTGATCTTCGGTTGGGAAGACATCTTTCATCAAAAGGCTTTAATGCATGATGTCAATACGGAAGGCTTCTATGCTTGCATCCAGGCCTCGCTACTGACCGTTAGGGAAAGCCTTGGGCAGACAAGAGCCATTGTTATCTGTCCGTCGATCTATATCCTGCTATTCCGTGTAATATAACCGACTTTAGCCGGTACAATTTGGTTCCCGGATGACGCCTCAAAAGATTTCCAGCACTTGGATTCGCTGACAAGATGATGAAGCGCGGCGTTCGTTTGGTCAAGCACCAATTATGGTATAGGATCGAGATTGCCCACTGAATGACGGCAGGTTACATCATTGAGACCAATGCTGGGGTTCTTGTATCTCATCCATGGATCGGCTTCCACAAAACCCGGTCAAGTGCCACTTCCTACACACCGAAAAGGCTACAGGGAATCAGGGATCATTTCCCTTTCCCTTTCCCTGAATACAATTTTTTATCAATATTCCAATGGAGAGAAAAAATGGACAATAACAATAATGACATGCTTCAACCTTCCGAGACCGTCCGACACTCGCGGACTCTATCAGAAAACCTCACCGACCCCCTTCCTATCAGCCACCGTCACCGTTCCTTCTCTGTCTCTTTAGACGACGAGAAACCACCAGAGTATCATATTCCAGTCGCTGGGAGAGCATCACTAGGCCAGCCGGAATCCCGTGGTCAGGTAGTTCTTACCGAATACGATTGTTATGATGAGTTGGGCTTTTGTTTCCCTACTTGGAGAAAATGGATGATCATAAGTGTCATTTTTCTTGTTCAGGTTTCAATGAATTTCAACACCAGTCTATATTCAAATGCTATCAATGGTATTTCACAGGAATTTGGTGTCAGTCTGCAAGCTGCGCGGTGTGGTGCCATGGTCTACCTAGTTACTTACGCCTTTGGTTGTGAGCTGTGGGCTCCCTGGAGCGAGGAACTGGGACGCAAACCTATCCTGCAACTCAGCATGTTCCTTACCAACATTTGGCAATTACCTGTTGCCCTTGCACCAAATTTTGCCACTATCATGGTTGGCCGAGCCTTTGGTGGTCTCAGTTTGGCTGGTGGCTCTGTCACATTAGGAATGATAGCAGACTTGTGGGAGTCAGATGATCAACAGTATGCAGTTGCCTGTGTGGTGTTTTCATCGGTGGGTGGCTCGGTTCTTGGGCCTTTGATAGGAGGTTTCATTCAGGCCTTCCTGCCATGGCCCTGGGCCATGTGGATCCAACTCATCTTTGGCGGATTTGCGCAGATTATCCATTTGCTACTTGTCCCCGAGACTAGGACCTCTATCATGATTGATAACATTGCCAAGAGAAGACGCAAAGAGGACGGCATCTCGAACGTTTGTGGACCCAATGAAGTCCTGCCTTGGAAAGAGCGCTTTTCCGCGAGAAAGATTCTCACCACCTGGATTCGTCCTTTCAAGATGCTGCTGACAGAGCCGATTGTGTTGACTCTGTCCTTACTAAGTGGCTTCAGTGACGCACTGATATTCATGTTCATTCAATCCTTTGGTATGGTCTATGCGCAGTGGGGGTTTAGCACTGTCGCTGTGGGCCTTTCCTTTATCCCCATTCTAGTGGGCTATATCATTGCCTGGCTTAGCATGTTTCCTGTTATCCACAGGACAAGCAAGAAGCGGAAATTAAATCCCAATGATGAGCATGCACAATATGAGTCGCGACTCTGGTGGCTGCTCTACACCGCACCGTGCCTTCCTATTGGCTTGATTGGATTTGCATGGACCAGTTTGGGTCCCCCAGTTCACTGGATGGGCACTATGGTGTTCGCAGCCATTGTTGGCGTCGCCAACTATACTATCTACATGACTACCATCGATTACATGGTCTGCGCTTATGGTCCTTATTCTGCTTCAGCAACAGGTGGGAATGGTTTCTCCAGAGACATACTTGCAGGTGTCCTTACTGTGCCCGCCACGCCATTCTTTAGCAGTACGGTGACCACCCTTTTTCTTCCCTCTTATTCCGAATTGCCACATTTAGGGACAGGACTGACCGGAGATATCAGATATCGGTGCCCCTAATCGTAATCTCGAGTATGCTTCTACCATTCTCTGCATGTCCCTCCGCTGTTGTCAAATTTTAACATCCGTCATCAACTTCTAACTTGTTGAAGCTTGTATCTCCGTTCTTCTCGTGATTTCCGCCTATGTGGTCTATTGGAAAGGGCCGATACTTCGAAAAAACTCGCCATTTGCCCAGCAATTGTCCAGTGCCCGGAAGGAAGACGCCAGCCGTCGCGCTTCTATGACCTATAGTGGACGGGGGACACAGTCCCGCAAGAACAGCGGTTATTCAAGGACAGGAATGACAACATGAGACTGAGGGTAAAAGTCTTCCCGTCGACACAATTCCCTTATCCTTACCGGTCGTGCCACCTTACAGCCATGGCCTGCCAAACACATCTACCTCGAGCATGAGTTCAGTTGAAACATATAAGACTATATCATGTGTGGAAGTTGGACTGGGCGTTTAAAAAAAAAAAAAAAAAAAAAAAAAAAAAAAAAAAAATCTGAATACTTTAGAGGGATTACAACAAATTGTCACTGTTTTTTCTTATCACTTTTCTCAGTTTGATTCTTATTCACTGCCTTTTTACTTCTTTCAATGCTTTCATTGTTTTCACTATTTTTGGCCTATTCACTAACTGATTTAAAGAGGTTTCTTTTCTTGGTTTTCACCATCCTGCAGGCTTTCCAGCCATCCATATGTCAGCCTTTGATGTCCTAACTAGGGCTTCATAGGCACTACCCCATCTTGTTACTTATTTTTGGCCATCTCTGAATGAGAGCTTCCCATGTGACTTGTGACAGAGAAAATCCCATGTATATGTCACGGCTCGATAACTAAGTAGATAATAACGAAATGATATTCCTATCTAGACTAGGTAGTAACCTCTCGACGAGAATATCGAATCTGGAGAAGAAGAAGAAGAAGAAGAAGAAGAAGAAGAAAGGAAATTGTCTGGCAAGACAAAAAGGAAAACTATCTACTCATCATGTGATCACGTGTAACAGGGCTTCAATTGTCATTTGCTCATATTGCCCCGTTTGCCATTATCGGCAGTTGGTCATTAGCCGTTGACCGTCACATGATCGATAGTTTCCTCAATCAGAGTTCTTCCTCTATTCACTCCGAATAGTACCCAAGACATCCTACCGAGCATAGTAGTTGACAGTTTAGCATCATCTACAAGAACAAATGTAAACTCTATAATCAGAGATAATCTTAATCCCAAAATATCTATTATTTGTATATAGACTATTAATAATAAAAGATATAATTGTCTAACTACTATAACCCCCTGAAACAAGTTCAGAACTTCAGCACATCATAGCCCCAACACCAACTTCATCATTCAATCCAACTAATCCAATCCAATCCATCCAATCCAATATAACATAACAAAAATTGACGCAAGCGCACCCTCTCAACTCAACAAGTGGACCCATAACTTCATAACGGGCCCTGGGAAAGGCAGCTTAATTTATCGAGTGGCCACGCCCGTTGTCATGATTGGTACTCTGCCCTCCAATCATCCCACAAGACCCGATGAGATGATGCCAATCCTACATGTTCTGTACCATGGGGAGATCTAGGGTCTCCTTGAATTACTATTATTATTATCCAATGTGTGGAACATGTGTGATTTGATTACGGGCCTACGGCTGTAGCTTGTGTGGTTTTTGACGTCAGTGGGTTCCTTTTTTTTTTTTTTTTTTTTTTTTTTTTCTGTGGCGTTGTATCAAATCAAGATGAGATGGGATTGTGATGATGGTATGGTATGACATCGATGGTAAATACCTACAGTTGTTGGAGTTGACGACTGGTATTTATATCGGGCTAATGCTGGGTGATGTTCTGTTCTTCAATGATATTTCTTTCTAAGTTATATCTTACTTTATCATACTTTATTATACTATACTATCTTAGTATACTCATCTACTCTATATTCAATTAACCTACCTATACATTATAACAACTTATTATACTGTACGACTTACGCCTAATGACATCAACATAGGATACTCTCACGCAATCTTCTACGACCTTCCATCTATCGAACCAATCTCAATCTTAATCTCAATCCCATCAAAACCAACCCCACCAAGATGTCCGCCAATATCACCCCCGACTCCAAGAAACCCAAACCCCTCGACGACCAGGAACAGCGCGACCTACCCTCCGCCGTGCCTGAGGACAGCCAAGCCCAACCCCAGGATCAGGCCCAGGCACACAGGTCCGATGAAGACGGTGACATCATCGATAAGTTCGGCAGCGTCAAGGGTCACGCCGAGCCGTACGAGCCTCCTGAGGAGGAGAAGGTTGAGACCGATCTCTCCATCCTGGATGGCAAGACGGTCAACAAAGTCGGCAATGTCGTCGACGCCCAGGGTAACGTCTTCGGGCGTATTGTCTCCGGCGATGGCCGACTGGCCGGTCGCAAGGTCGACAGCCAGGGCCAGATCTGGGGTGACAAGGGCCAGATCATCGGCAAGGCGGAGCTGATCCCCGATGCTGAGCAGGAGAAGCCTGAGGGTCCCTTCTATGGCTTTGAGACTGTCGTCGTTGGCAAGGATGGCGTGGTGACCGATGCCACGGGCAGCATCATTGGCCGTGTCATTGAAGGCGATGCCCTGCGCTTGCTTGGTCGCCAGGTTGATGAAGATGGCGACATCCTTGACAAGAACGGTAACACAATTGGCCGTGCGGAGCGTTGGCAGCCCGAGGAGAAGAAGCGCAACGTCAATCCCATGGCTGGTCGCAAGGTCACCCGCGAGGGAGAAGTGCGCGATGTCGATGGAAACCTCATCGGCAAGCTGACCTCCGGTAATCTGCCCACACTCATCGGAAAAGAAATCGACGACAATGGCAACGTCGTGGACAACGACGACAACAGGCTGGGCGAATGTACACTGATCGAGAACATCCCCGAGCCTGAGCCTGAGCCTGAGCCTGAAGTGCCCGGTCCATCCCCAGAGGAACTGCAGAAGCAGAAGGAGGAAGAAGAGGACCGCCAGCTGGCGAAGAAGATGAGTGCCATCGTCGGTCAGACGCTGGATCGTCTCCGCCCCATCTGCAAGACGATCTCTGAGGCAAGTCCCACCAGTCCACAAATTCATGCAAGGACTCAACTAACACCATCTCAGCACGTCGAACGCGCAGACCGCACTCCCAAGGAAGAACTCGATGAAGAAGGGCTCGTCAAACAAGTCAAGCCCCTCCTTGAAGAAGGCGGCAACATCCTTCAAGAAAGCAACGGGGCAGTCCGCGCCCTCGACCCGGACGGCCACGTCGCGGCCAACGCCAAAGCCCGCGCCGCCTCCCATGAGGCATCGAAGGAGGAACATGCGCTGGCGGAGCAGCTGAAGGAGCTGTCCGAAACGGTCTGCACGACGATTGACAACGCGAAGAAGCGCATCGCGGACATGCCTCACGCGAAGAAAGAGCTCAACCCGCTGTGGGCGCTGCTCACGGAGCCGCTAGGTCAGATCATTGCGGCGGTGGGCTTGTTGCTGACTGGTGTGTTGGGACTGGTTGGTCGTCTGTTAGATGGACTCGGACTGGGTGGTCTTGTGAATAGCCTGTTGGGTGGATTGGGGCTTGATAAGTTGCTGGGAAGTCTGGGACTCGGGTCGGTGACTGGTGCGCTTGGACTGGGTGGGGAGAAATAAGGGATGATCCAGACGCAATTGATCTTCAACGGAGAAGAGTCCCAGCTTATAATCCAATATAATGCCTTCATCTAGACGTTCTCATCTAAAATAACTACATATAAACAGAGCTGATTCTGATGTCGCTGTAGTTTATGAATTTGGGGGAGGGGTGGCATATTTCTATACGCCCTCAAGCCAATTAATACACTCCGCCAGATTTATCCAGTATCGGAACTAAGGATGGCGTTCTGACCCGCACAGGGCATTGCATATCTGCGTACAGCATGAGTAAACTCATATCGTGAAAGAGAAAACCAACATACCTAGTGAAAAACTTGTTCCTACCGGATGAGAACCGATCCTTAACACTGGTATAGCAGATACCGTCACGACCGTAGTCTCCAGAGTATTCACTGTCAGTAATGTCGCCTTGACTAGTCTAGGAGTCGATTCTCATCGTGAAGCTATTATTCAAAGTATGTTGTTAGCCAATCCCTTCTATATGAGAAGTTTTTAAATCAAGGATACTCACTTTCCTCGAGAGAACCCAAGACAAGGACAGCAAAGACCCTCAGAATCGCACTTCAAGGCGTCGTCCCGCAAATCATCACTAATAGTCCTTAACTGGACGGTGTAGTCCTCGATTCCAAACATCCGAGAAAGACGCAATGGGAGGGTCGGCATCGAGGTTCACCCAGTTGAGGTTAGTAGTAGGCCTTCCAAATCGGGTTAGCGTTTGCCACAACGTGAACTCCTCTTCTTCTCTCCACTAGCCTTAGTTAGTTTACCAATCAACAATCTTCGTCTGCCTTCTTTCCTTGATACACCCAAGCGCAGTCCCAATTGTCATGGGTTGTAGTAGAGGCATCACTACCATCGGCGGCACCATTGATCTCCATATGGCAGCTCCTACCTCCCTGGTTGCGAAGATAGATGGTGCGGTAGTTGTTGGAGTCGTTCCAGGGAGCATCGTCTTCACTGGAGTTAAACCAGCGGCTTCGACGAATGCGTACACACCCAGACTCAGAATGACAGGAGACCGACCGTCTTCTGAATGTTGCTGACCTGGTCTGGGGTGTCGAAACAAAGGGCCGTCATGTTGACGGACCGCTGCTCAGCAGCTATGGGGGTTCCAATGACACCCATGGCGTAAGACGCCAGGAGGGTGAGCGGGAGGGTGCTGGTCTTCATGATAATTAGGATCAGAAGATTGGTGCTTTCTTTCTGTTTTTGATGTCGACGATAGTCTTGGGAATCCACAGCGCTTAAATCTCTGCTCCCCCGTCTCGCCCCCAACCGTCTCTGGGGAGAAACTGCAAGAATATGTGAATCCGAATGACGCGGGGGATCTTTTACACTGACCGGGGAAGTGTTGCTAAAGTAGATCACCCAATGCAAGCTTACAATCGCTGGGCGGTACAGAGTGGGTGGTAAATACAGATTGGGTGGTAGGTATAGACTAGGGAGTAGGAACAGACTGACCAGGTATTGTAGTGGTGTGCCCGGGGATACCATCGGAAGTACGTTATGTCGTCTCCAGTCTGGCCCCGTACATCCTACCTTCGCAGGAGATAGCTACGATCAATCAATCAACAACGCACTATGGTATGACCGGGCAGTCAGATTCCAGCAGCTCTTTAGCATATGATGCTGCTGCCATGGCAGCATATCCTTGCCACTGCTTGCTCTTGTGGGAATCAGCTTAATCGCAGATGCCACGGATTACAATGCAGGGAATGTCCAACATCAACCCAGTTGCCTCCATTTCAAAACACAGTGCCCCGGTCTTCAAACGAATCTGCTCCCTTGTCAATCCATCTTTGATAACAGAATTTCCAGACGCAATAATACCATAATGTGCTTTCGGATCATTATCCTCGCGTTCAGCCCTACTCTCCTCCTGCCCAGCCAGACATATATCACAGTTGTTCCCAGGAGCAGGATGTTCATGCTTGGTTTTGAATAATCGATCGCTTTGCGGACTAGGTCGACCAAAGTTTTTCTGGGTCCGTGGAGTCCTCCCAATCGCATTTTGGAGGTATTCGGGGTAACGGGGGTCATCAGTCAGCCCGGCAGCCCTCATGGTGTTGACTGCTGTCAATAATGATCTGGGAGGACTGTCCAAAGCACCAGTTCGACGAAACTCACCACTTTCATTGACCTTCCCTATATTATATTGAATCACGCTTCCGCAAGTATCCGCTGGGCAGCTGATCACAATATCGCCAAGTTGTATATAATGGTCAGCGGACGAAATCCCTCTAACATCGACCATCAACCCGATCCGTAGCGATTTTGAAAATGTACGGATCATATGATTTGCCACTATTGTAGCTGCACAGGTTCCGTATTGTCCTCCAGGCAGGCAGGCGATCACGATGTTGTGTTTTCCTATTCGGCCCAAGGTACAGGTGTTTGGATCGGTCGTATGTTCAAGGAACATCCGCAATAAATCCGCGCTCAATAGATGGTGATGCATGGATATATATGACATACTACTAATCACTATACATCCATCAATATATTAGCCTAGTAGGGACCACTATGTTGCTTGATATATATATGAATGACAAATGCATGGCATTTAAAAGATAGCTGGGGGGCATCTGGGGGACATCTGCACTACATACGCGGTGTGACATGGTTCAAATTGCCGCTGCATTCCAAGGACAACGGCGGTACCACCACGGCACTCCGGCTGTGTTTGGGATGCGACACATTTTTGTTGATGCTCCTCTAGGAATTACCCCGGTCCAAGTAGCCTAATTCCATCGCGAGCAATGATATCAGATCCTGCCTGCTTACTTGCAAGATGGAATTCTCCAAGGAAGAAACAAAGTCTGCGCTGGTAATGGACAATGCAACTTCCCATCAAACAGAGTGAATAAAGCAGATGCGTACTGATGCAGGGGTGAAGCTAATGTACTTGCCTCCATATTCCCCAGATCTTAATCCAACCGAGGAGTTTTTTCGCAGAACTTAAGGAGTTCATCCGATGAAATTGGAGCGAATATTAGTCTAACCCAGAGCAAGGTTTTGGTAACTTTCTAGACTGGTGTATTGATGTTGTAGGAGCTAGAGAACAGAGTGCAAGAGGCCATTTTAGGCATGCAGGTGTGGCCATTCAGGAGATTTGATGTGGGTGCCTTTATTTATAGATTCCTCGTTTAGATAGCCCCATAGACCACTATATACCCTATAGAAAAAGAGCTCGTCGTGCAGTTGAAGACCCTATAGCATGGAAATTCAGATGTGTTGTTTCACGCAGGGGCGACAGCGGTGAAAAAGAGATAGGTAATTTCTGGATGAAAGCTACTCTTCAAGGACGCTGTTTTGTAGATTCAGACAGTACATTTACATGTTCAACGGCCTTCTTGGAACAAAAGTATGGGATATTCTTCGTCTCATACAAGTCCTTGTGCTGGGCCTTGATAATGTCGGAACCCTAAATTTCATTCAATAGTTTTGCTATACTTGTCACGGGCTCGAAAACTAGTAGATAAAACAAATGATATCGATATCTAGACTAGGTAGCCTATCGACGAGAATATCGAATCTGGAGAGGAAGAAGAAGAAAGGAAACCGCCTGGAAAGACAAAGGAAAACTATCTACTCATCGTGTAATTACGTGCAGAAGGGCTAGAGCTCGCCGTTTGCTCATATTGCTCCATTGGTGGTGTTTGTCAGCATCGGCAGTTGGCCATTAGTTAGCCGTTGACCGTGACAGGAGTCTTGATGAAATCGATATCGATATCGCTGCATAGCTCGACATCCTTGGATCCTCTCGCACTCATTGTAAATTGATACCTCGTCGAGGGTTCCTGTCGTTGTTGGATCAGAGACGAGAAGGAAAGGACGGCGAAGGGAGGGTGGCCCTTCTAAGGATGGGAATGTTTGTCGGATCGCGGTGGTCCCAAAGGAATGATCCGGTAAACAGAGGTAAACGGGACGGATCTCATATAGATCTTTGCAAAAGTGGCTTCCCCTGCACACAGTCAAAAGATTCTTTCGGCTCAGGTGATGCTGATGTACATCTAGTCAATTAAAAATCAGGGCAATACAAGGTCCCGAAACCAAAAATTTATAGTGTAATGATTGTGCAATTGTGATTTTCTGGCTTCTTCTGTTTTTCATGTGTAGAAGGCTTTCCATAGTATTAGAAACAAATTGGGATTGTTTTTTCTGCTTCGGGATATACAATAACAGCAAAAAGAAAAAGTGTGTTGTGATCTAGGGCTCAGGACAGTTGCGCTACCAGTACATAGAGTGTGTTGCGTTAGCTCACGAAGCTGGAAGCCCCAATATTCAATACCCATCAATCTTCCATGTCAAGCTAATGATTGGAAACAACTCCCACTTTGGATGGAAATATGCATTTCCTTGCTGTAGGCAGCAAAAGACCAAGCCCGCCCCCCAATGACCCATTGAATTATTTACCGTTCATGCTTACGTCTAATAATATACGCATGAGAATTATTACAATATCAAAGTTGCTGTAGCATCGCCATAGTCCAGTACTTGCCCTGTTTTCCCATCAGCTCGCGATGCGTCCTGGTCTCTATAATACACCAATGATCAAAAATATGAAACTCTTCAGCGTTGACAATGGTGTTCAAGCAGTAGGAAATGACGATAGTCGTTCGCCCTTCCATCGCGGTCTGTAGTGCACCCTGGACCAACTTCTCGGAGACAACGTCCAGGGCGGAGGTGACCTCATCGAGTAGACTGGATAGCAGGCAACTTGGACTGGATGGATCAAACTGGAGCGGTTCCGGTAGCGCCACCTCTTGTTTGGCTCAGGTCAAGAAATCGGACTTGATTGGTACTCACGGATAGTTTCTGGCCGCAGACTTTGAGACGGGTGTCATCCTCATTGGGGTTCTCAGCTCATGCTAATCCTTCCAGTACGGATAGGTTTTGGCCTTGGCTTTGACTGCAATGATCTTATCCATAGTAAGGACGTGGGAACATAAAGATGGATATGCGGGGTGTTTTTTACATTAATTCGAGTGTTTCCTATGACTATAGTGGTAGCTTATCTAAAACAAAGCGCTCGCATCAATATGACAATGGCTATAAATCAGTCCCTGAAGACCGGAGATTCAACCCATGAATATGGCTCTCAGTCATAGATGTAGGCCTCTTGTTCCTTCTTAGTCTGATACAGCACCAAAAAATCCAGCTCTTGAATTTTCAACTGAATGTCCTTTTCCATTGACTCAAAGCAAAATCCAACAATAATCTTTTTGAGATTGGGAACTAACTCCTTGTAGACATCCCCAACCCTTTTTAAATGAGAAATAATCCATGTATTGGTTTACAAGATCATTAAGTGCTCTATTAATGCTGGAAGCATATTCACCAATCCCAGCTTATCTTTGTTGGCATGAGGATTCATCGGATATGTCTCCTTCACCACTGATTATAGACGCAATAGCCCCAAGGGACCGATATTTCGCAAAAACTCGCCGTTTGCCCAGTAATTGTCCAGTTCCCGGAAGGAAGACGCCAGCCGTCGCGCTTCTATGACTTATAGTGGACGGGGACACAGTCCCGCAAGAACAGCGGTTATTCAAGGACAGGAATAACAACATGAGACTGAGGGTAAAAGTCTTCCCGTCGACACAATTCCCTTATCCTTACCAGTCAAGCCACTTTACAGCCATGGCCTGCCAAACACATCTACCTCGAGCATGAGTTCAGTTGAGATTGAATTCTTATCTAAACTATTATAGCTATCGACGAGAATATCGAATCTGGGAAAGAAGAAGAAACGGAAATCTATCTGGGCAATGAACGGTCTTTATAGACATTTTTATGGTGCGGCTTAAGCCCTTGTTTGTCCGTATTGCTTGTATGGCATCGTTTGATATGTTGGTGCTGTTTGTCTGGCGTTAAGCCGTTGAGCCGTCACATTGTTTGGATCAGTGGATTCTGATTAGACAGTGTCACGGAATCATCCAGGATAATGGAATTTCGTCTCATTAGTTCCACCTAGTCAGCTATCGACGAGAATAATCAACATGAGGAGGGAAGAAGAGAAGGAAAGATGCCGCAAGTTCTGTAACGGTCTCGAGCAATATGAATCTATTGGTAGACTATCTGACGAAATTCTAACATAAGGAGGGAAAGGAAAGAGGCAGGCCTGCCGGCGACGAGCTATTTAGTGTGTGCGAGGGGTTTAAGCGATGCTCAGTGAATGTTCTACGCCAAACAGGCCAAAGTAATCAAACATGCCATACATCTCGCGAGTGTCCATGCTCCGTGACAAGTTCTGACATGGCTCATATCCCCGCTTCCAGGCACGTGAGGAAGCATGCACATGACCAGGTCGTCACAGACAGTTTGTCATCCAAATCAGCACGATACATTGAGAAATCACACTTAGGTGGATTCCAAGTGTGTCACGGAGCTCAGCCAGGATAATGGAACATCAACTCATATGCTCTACCTAGGTAGCTATCGACGAGAATAATCAACATGAGGAAAGAAGAAGA